AAACTTTAAAAAGAAAATCATAGTTAAAATTTTTAGATTGGGAATGTTTTACAAAATAAAAGGGTTTAGTAAATAAACGCGTGCTCAAGGGAAAAGAAGAAAACAAAAGACGACTTCAGCGGCATGCAATGCAATCAAATTAATTCTTACTCCATTATGTTGTTGTTGCCAGTTTTAAATTTCCTAGACTTATAGACGACTTAAAGTGTTTGTTTTCTAAACATTTTCATAATATGATTATCAATTTTAAATAAATAATTATTTAAATGGTAATAAAAATGGGATGCCAATGGAGTATATCAAATTTGACAAATTTATCACCATTTTTCAATTGTTCATTTTTAACTAATTTATAAATACAAGTGAATAACACGAAAACCGGTGGAAATTTCTCGGGGGGCAAAAGAGAGAGAGGTTCACGGGAATCCAAAGGAAAGCTTTGGAGAGTTTCAATGGTGTGTAGTGTATGGTGGGAGGAATCGCCGGAAAAGTGCTCGTGTCGCCTCGAGATGTCCCTCCCTCTTTTAAAAATAAATATGTTTCTATATATCAACTTATCAAGTCTCAACTTTAGTCTTTCGCTATTTATTTTCAGTTTTGTTCTTGCAATTGTTTTGGAACTTTAAATATTGAAAACAATAGAGTTTATAGGGTTTGTCTTTGTATGAACATGATGTCGCATCATAGTTGTCGTAGGCTATTAGTTATGTCTATCTATTTTTGTGTCTACTACTATATTTGAATGATCCCCAAAAAAAATAATCTATGTTGCTAAGTTGACGTTTGTGTTTGATTTATTTTTAAGGTTTTTGTTTGCCCAAAATTAATTGTTGTGGGGATTGTATTTTGTAATCGATTTCATATACATTGTTCAATTATCGTTATATTGTAGAAAACTTTAGTGGAATGTTTACCAAGTGTGTGAAACTGTGGAAATGTGTTGTATAACTCAAAACACAATTTGGCAATACAAACGTTCGGAAAAAAATGTTTCACACTCGACAAATAAAACTTTTAGCATGAGAAGTGAGAACTAATCGTTTTTTTTTGTTAAGTGAACAATAATAAACACTTCAAATTAGCCATTCATATAATTGGACTTAGGTATATTTTGGGCCCAAATTGTCCACACGTTAGAGGTTCGCTTGGAGTCAACCCAGCTTTTTCTCAAGCCCACTATCTAATGCGCCCACATTAATTTTTCTTTATGGGATTATTCTTCTTAATATTTCTATCTGATCCCATAATAGATGATGAACAAGGTTCAGAGTTTTAAGATTTCAATTATAAGATATACATGTCAGTTTCGTGATAACCGAAGTCAAACAAAAAATATATAAAGGTTTTAACGCTTCTAACAATTGGCGAAGCAAAGTTCTTTGGCGTTCGGAAATTCTTTAATTCCCCAACATCTATCCTTGCCTTTTTTGGCGCAGCACCAACAATTCTTTTTAAAAAATGAACCAGCACAAACTTCTTTGGAACAATATGGTAGATAGATTTCGCTGATCGGTGCCTCTACTATCCCTTTAACCTCTATCCTTCCACCTACACATCGTTTTAAAGCACACAAACAAAATTTTCAAGATGAAAACAAAAAACAAAAACAAAGATTTCTGTATTGTAATTTATGAGAATAATCTATACGTACATTCATGCAGAGCGAAGAGGGGGAACATGACTATGCAGATTAGAGCTATATGTGATGATTTCATGGTTCGGATGACTCAAAAGACCGACTTGTGATTCTTGTTGTCTTGTTGGGTGGTTGTAAATTGTAAACACTAAACTTAATATATACATATAAAAGGTAGATAAATTCTCCATGTTACAAATTTTCTATAATATTTTCCATATTTCATACAACGACCAAATCTTTATATTCTCTTTTTAAAATTTCCATTTTCAAAATTAACAATTATAATTTGCTATTCTAACTGAATAATTTTTTTCAAATTCAACTTGTAATGACATCTAATACATTTCTACGTTGACCAAAAAAATACTTCAAATGGCATTGTTTAAAAGGTTTCTTAAAAAAATTGTTCAGTCAAAATTATTAATTAATACTAAAATATCAATTATTTTTATCATAAACACTTCAAAATGATTTTTGAAGTGTTTTTCTTGCATATCTTTCTCACTCTGGCCTTTAATGGAAATGAATATACAACTATTCAAGCAATTAACACCAATCAAAATTAATAAACTTCATTTGTTACGTTTCATGAGATTTTAGCTCAAAACCAATTGACAACATATGAGTTGATATATTTTATTTTAAAGTATATGATCGGTTGTAATATTACCCACTACATTGAATTTGTTGTTGTTTCTACTAGTGAGTATAATGACTAATCAGACACACTAAAACATATTACTATTACACACAGACTGTGGTCTGTGGGGTTGAATATGCATGCTTTCCCATTACAACCTTAGTGTTTCTTCACTTTGTTGTCTCCCCTAAATTGTGCCATTAACATATAAATATTTTATCTTAGCAATAAAGTTCAAGCTATCCTTCGTTTTCTCATATTTTTCGTAGATTGTTGTAGAAGAAATCATGGCCGACAGGCGTCATCATGGTATCGAGTTCTTTCTTTTTCTTCTTCTTGCCAATAAAATTTATAAAGGATATTCTTTTCTTACTTTGATAATGTGGGTGGAATCAGAAGACGAATGTGATTCATATAATGCCATTATCTCTTTTCTATCTTTCTTTAAGTTTCTGGTTTAACTTTTTTTCCGTGACCAAAAAGCTTTTCTTGTCATATAAGCACTTTTGGTAGGTTAGGTGGAAACTTTGAGTTGTCTTTTTGGAATTTGGAAAATACTATACTGAAACATTCAAGAATTCTTATTCTTGAATTATAGTCACAACTCATTTCATGGTGAAGAGCTTTAGCTTATTTGATATGAATTCGCAATGAGAATTGGTCTATAAATAAAAGCCCCAACATGTATCAATGCATATAAGAAACAAGTATGCATAATATGACTTTGATTAAGTGTACTATATATGTATCCATTTCAACAATTCACATATCTGATAAGTGATACTGATAACTACAAATCTATGACCCGAATATGAATTTATAGATAGATTTGAACACACCATATCCAATCTATATAAAAAAATGGTGCGTGGGGGTAATTATGCATCATAATTGAATACGAGGGGAAAGAAAAAAAGGAAGAGAAATAGCAGTGGCAAAAGCACAAGAATGTGCCCTAAAGTTGTAACTCATTTACAATTTTTATTAACCTCTCTCAATTATTCCAAAAGCACATCATTAGTATTTGTATGGTTCGTACGGTGACATCCCACGTGCCCCGACGCTCCTTCTCCCTAACATCTATTATAAAACGAAAGCGATTACGAAACCATACATAGAGAAATCAACATGAGAAAACAATAAAATGTCAAATATTTATAAAAAAATGTTAATTAGGTGGATAAGAACAAGAGAATCTTGCGTGTCTCGTGGACTTAATTGGTTGATTAATCTGATGTACGGAAGGATGCAATCTTGCATACTAGGAAGTTTCCATCTTCTATTTCTCTGTTTTTTCTTTAGATCTATTTGGATCTCAATTATAAAGTTTATAATAACGTTTCCTAGATTTATAAGATCTCTGGTTAGATATATGCGGATGACCAACTGAGCTCTGTACGTATGATGGATATATATTGACCTTGTGAATTGTTAAAATCAAACACTACAATTTTATTTGGCTGAAATCCCATCAAACTCTTTTAAAATCTTCTAAAATCTTTAAAATCACCTAAAATACAAAATCATTCAAAAAGCACCTAAAATCTTTAAAATCTCTTTTCCAATACACCCCCCTAAATGTAAGTGGTAAAACTGTGTTAGATTTATAGTTGTAGCCAGTAGTGCTATTTTAAGTTTCGAATAGGTTAATGCATAACATCTATACGTAGATTTGAATTCGAGTGTTACCAAACTATTCATAACATCTATGCATTAACCTATTCACAATATCTGCTACGATCTTGTTCTTTCAATTTAGAAGGCAATGCATAGTAAGAAAAGAAACTTACTCCATCACATATCAACTTGAAAATATGGTTCGTGAGTCAATAATTTCCCTTGAATGCTATCATGATTAATTAAGCAAGTACCGGATCTACCAACACCATCACCGATCATAAAAGCTCTTCTAAATTTATACAATTATTGGTTAGCTTAGTTAGGTTAGGTCTATCTAACTAGAAACATTTTTTTAATAAATTAGGAAATTACATCTAAGAAAAAGTTACATCCATCAACGTAAATAAATAACACTCTATGAAAGTGAGTTAGAAAACGTATATAGCAAAGAATAACTAACAGTTGGAAATAATTCACGCAAAATAATGAAAGTAGGTTAATAATTGCAAGAGATTAACACTTTGTAGACTTGCAGGAAATTAATACAGCTTTACATATAAAATTATAAATGTGGTGGTTGCGACTTGCGACTGTCCAGTTTGGCTTGTCGACACATTACACTCCATTGCATTATGATACCGCACGTGTTCCACTCCTTTAAATCATCATGGAGTATACTGAATTACCGTTATTCACTTCGATAACTAATATTTTTGATAGTTAGATGTTCAATTAATAAATTTACATTTCATTCGATATAACAATTTTTTTTTTTTTTTTTTTTGTGGTTTTACCTTGCTGCAAATTGATTTGTTTCAAACACAATCATGAGATAGTTCAATAAATAACTATATAGATCATGATATTTTGTAAAGAGCGAATAAGAATTACAGCATTAAAATTTAAAACCAAAAGAAAAAGAAAACAATTACAGCATTGCATATTGCATAATGCATAATGCATAATTAAAAAATAAATAAAGCGAAACCATGGAAATTAAGATATATATATATATACAAATGGACACACGGAGACAGAAACTCAACGTTACAGACCCACTCGTCTCCTTCCTTTTACCTCTCTCTCTTTCTCTCCTTCTCGATGGAGACACTGTCATCGTCATCCTCACTTTCACCGGCGATAAATGTCGACCTCGACAAAATCAGAGCTCTCAAACTCCTCGGAAAAGGCGCCACCGGAACAGTCTTCCTCGTCCACGACTCTGTTTCCGACCCCTCTGCTTCATCTCCATTTGCTCTGAAACTCGTCGACAAATCCTCCGCCTCTTCTCTCCGTCGTGCCAAGTGGGAAATTCAAATCCTCCGACGTCTCTCCGATGACCCAAACCCGAACCCGTTTCTCCCACGTCTCTTAGCTTCCTTCGAATCCCCTGAATTCTTCGCTTGGGCCATACCTTACTGCTCCGGCGGCGATCTTAACGTCCTCCGTCACCGTCAAAACGACGGCGTTTTTAGCTCCTCCGTTATTAAATTCTACTTGGCTGAGATCATCTGTGCGCTTGACCACCTTCATTCCATGGGGATCGCTTACAGAGACTTGAAACCAGAGAATATTCTCCTTCAAGAATCGGGTCACGTCACTTTAACCGATTTCGATCTCTCTTGTAATCTTAATAAACCCACCCGACCCGAATTCTATCTGTCCGACCCGGAACCGGAATCCAAGCACATCCGTAAAAGAAGTCTGAGATTTTTCCAGCAGCAGAAGAAGAAGACGAAATCCGCTCGGGTTAACCCGATTACCCGGCGGAGAATGAGTTTTTCCGGCGGCGAGCGGTCGAATTCATTCGTCGGAACTGACGAGTACATATCGCCGGAGGTAATTCGCGGCGACGGACATGATTTCGCCGTCGATTGGTGGGCTCTCGGAGTTTTAACGTATGAGATGATGTACGGTGTCACGCCGTTCAAGAGTAGAAGCAAAAAGGAAACTTTTCGTAGCGTGATGATGAAAGAACCAGAATTCGCCGGAAAACCGTCCGATCTAACCGATCTGATCCGTCGATTGCTGGTGAAAGATCCCATGAGGCGGTTAGGTTACCGGCGTGGGGCAGCGGAAATAAAGGAGCACGCTTTCTTCAGGGGAGTGAAGTGGGACCTGTTAACGGAGGTGTTGAGACCTCCGTTTATCCCGTTGAGAGATAACGGAGAGCCAACGGGAAATGTAACGGCAAATGGATTTGGTGTAAAAGAATATTTCGAGAAACTGAGAACGCCGCCGTTACCGTTACCGCACGAGTGTTCTGAAAACAATCGGTTTGTTGAATTCTGATTCACGCGTGGGAGAATCTAACATTTCTAATATTTTTAGATTTTCCTTTTTTTTTCTGTGTCGTTTTTTAGCTTTTCTGATTTTGATGTGTATAAAAAAGTAAATGTTAGAACGAAAATCAAGAAACCGGGATGTGATGAAAAATAATTTTCAACCAATATTGTTACAAATTATTGGTTGGCTTTTGCCACAATGTTATTACGTAATCTATTTTGTTGTCCCAATAGTATGTATTCGCGATATCTTGTCTACAGTGCGTAATATATAACTAAGAAAGATACTACAACAAAATTGTAAACAACTGTCGTGCATTAGAGAAAGTTATAAATCACTAATCCAATAACACATGTTTGAATCATAACTACACGGTCTAATTGTTTCGTAAAGCATGCCACTTGATAATTACTCAATGAACAATGTTTAAAGGTCGCTCTTTCTTAAACCGAATGAACATTTTTTTTGTTATTTAATAAGGATAGTGGTAATACACCTTGAAGTCAGTGATAATTCTATATATACGAAAACCTTGATTTCTTGATCGAAGTATAGGCTTCGAATGGTGACACAGATCAAAAAATGTAGATCAAACAGTAAATCCATATTAAGCGGAACAAATACAGATCATGATCTAGATACAGAACAAATGCATATCAAACATATGTAACAGATAAAATAAATCTAACAAATTTTATTTTTTCTTGAATTGTGAAACAAGATAAAAGTAATACAAATAAAATTCTATAATAAGCAAATACAGTTATATATGCAAGAAATATAATTATTATAATACATATATTATATTTGATTACAATATATATTCCCTAATAAATTTGCAAGTACCTTTTATTACTTTTCTCATATTATTTTATTATTATTAAGTAATTTCAATTACTTTCTCAGATTATTTACTTTATACTTTCAGTTACTTTCATATTTTTATGCTGATTTTTTAGTTATTTCAAAAGAAATCCAGATTTTCAAATAACTATTTCGGTTACTTACCATATATATTTGATGATAAAGTAAATGAATTGGTTCCGAATCGAAAGTACATCCAGTAAAACCCAAACTCGAAAAGAACTTAACCAAATTCGTTACAAAATTTATAATTAGCCAAAACCCAAAATATCCAATCAGAATTCGACCTAATAATCCGAACCCCATACTTAATACATACTGAAAATATTATAATCAAGTATTTTATTTGTCTATAGTAGATTTACAATTTTTTTTTATAATGTTTGCTATAATACCTCTTTCTCCATATCATTGATATAAATCTATAATACTAATGAATTCATTATAATAATTTATATATTATAAATATGACTGTTAACTAAATATAATTTTGAATTGATATTTTATAATATATTAAAGATATATAATTTCATTTGGGTATTTTAGTTATATAATATGTTAGTGATTTAAGAGATTTTAGAATGAAAATGCTTTAAATATTAATTATAATAGCACCTTTAGATAACAATTAATACTTAAATTAAGAGAGAAAAAAACAAAAAAAAGTTGATCTTGTACGTGATCATGTGGTTTTTTAACACATTTCTCCCTTTTGAATGCAGATCAAAAATTACAAAGGGTTTTGATTTGTATGCAGATCATTTATTATTTCTGCATTTGTTTCTGATTGTAATAAAACTGGTGATTAGCAATTAAATCCAGATCACTCTGCATTTATTTCCGACTGTCTCTCTCCTGTATTTGTTCGGTCACTCCATTCAAAATGAGAAAAGATAAAGAAAAGCCATGATGAGATGAAGTAATTGGGTTCTTAGTCATCACTAACACTTGATGGGATAGATGTTCGATCATATCTAAAAGTTGCTGACTTGTGTGCATGTTCATCTATACCTAGATAGTGACCAGTTTGTTAGCAATATGTAAAACAAAGAAAATATAAATGCTTGGGTCGCGTGATGACTATTCTAATCCCCAAATCAATCTCGCAGCTTTTAGGGGAAGTTTTTTCCCATCAGATATTTTTCATCAACGATGTTAAAATTACGTCGTCGGAGGATAATTTAACATATATGTCCATGTGTGGCTAGAATGGATCAATTATTTTATTTTGAAATATGGGCTAAAAATGTTTAGGCGCATATGAGCAAGTCACGGGGGAAGATGAACCTTGACGATAATAAGAACACACCTACAAGCTAAACCCTTTTCTACGGTTTTGCAAATGAGGTTGTACTATTTTCTAAGTTGTTCGGCCAAATTTGGATAGTAAGTGATATAAATATGTAACATCAAAATTTAAGAGCTAGGTTCTCTTAATTTGAGAGATAAAAACGAAATTTGGGAAACGCATCTATCAAACAAAGGTATACAATTTTAACCATAAAAATGAAGATATCTTTCAGAAAATATATATGTTTACATCAGGAATAATTGATCGACAAGAATTAATTAGAATAATTGAACCTTTTTTTCGGGGCTCACTTGATTATTTTGATTTTAAAGAGAACATCCACCATTGACTTGATACTTTTGAGTAGTGAGAGTGAGAGAAGACAAAAAGAGGAAGAAGAGAGAAGGGGACACAGGCTACTGACATTTGCAAGAAATGACAAAACAAATATTTGTTTTTGAGAAGAAATCCTTCAAAAATAATTAAATTTTAAAATAGAAGAATTAGAGGAAGCAAAGAAAGACAAAAAGGGTTTAATGCTTAGGAGATCACTTCACGTGTTGTGCTCTGCCAAACCTATGACAGCCCCAAGCCCCCCAAGTGCACTTGTCTTGCCAATTAAATAGTATTATTGTTATCTAAGAATGTATATTATTGTTTCCATTTTAGAGATAAATCAGTTTTCAATTGTTACATGACAAAATTACGCTTTCTTGCTTATATCGCATTTTCAAGATTGGAATAAACCATAAACATCTTCGATTACAAGCCAATACAGTGGGTCAAAAAGGGTAAACAAAAGATACATTTGCAGAGAAAACAGTCCACTCGAGATTTGATCTCTCTACGGCAATTCCCTCTTCTCTCTAGATACTGATCAGAAGAATGACTGTGAAGCAGAGAAGTTCCAGTGGTCATGCACACACTATGAGATGCTCCTTACATATTGGTCAAGTGCAGTGTTGAACAACTCCGACCTACACACCAACGAAACAAAATCAGGGTCCGCGAGTCTAATCGACGAAATAAGATGTGTATTCATGATTCAACCATGGCGGAATATCAGTGTGGATGCTTACTTGATTGGAGACCCTGGGCTGTAAATAGGATTTTTAACCACATACTCAACGTATAAACTGTAGATGTACTTCAGGGATTCACGTAAATCTCCAGTCTTTGGATGAGTCACCAAGATAATCTGCAACATAATAAAATCATCTTATGGTTTAAGCAATGTCTGTTTAGTATTGTAGTCAAACAACTCTCGAATCTTCACGTATAGCTAATATCTCATATTGAAGACTCCATCTATGTGTATGTATAACAATCAGAATGAATAAAAGGCAGCCAAATCTCAGTTTCTGCCAAAATGATCCACAATCTAATATGACCAACCAATAATCATCTCCTCAAAGCTTGTTCAAAATATAGCTCAGCTTGTTTTAGGTACACTAAGATTACGACTTTACGACTTTGGGATTAAATTTTTTACAGAACACAGCTCTTCCATTCGTTCAGAATCTCTAAAGAACTAGCCAGGTTCCGAATTATCTATACTTATCATACCAAAACTTAAAATTTGGGACATTTAAGAGCTAAGGAGCGAGCAATGAAGCTAACCTTAATACCAGAGGGAGTCTCCATGAAGCTAAGCTTGTAAGTGTTGGTACGGAAACTATGGAACGAGCATCCTTGTCCTGGCAATTGTGGAACCCCTAGATTCCCCTTATCCGCACTGCCAAATCAATCACTGAATTAGCCTCCACCACAAAACTACTGTCGATTAGAAAGCATTAGATCAAACAAATCAATCGCAATCATCAAATGATGTAAACTAGTTTCATAGATCCAATTCGAGCGAGATTGAAAATGGTCAAATCGATTAACGGATCTACGAGAGCGAAATGAAAGGAAAATGTGGAAAATCTAACTTGACGGGATCCATTTTGGCGGTGAGGGATTTGAGGGAGAAGAGAAGACCAAACATGAGCTTGTGATCTTGCTGAGGGTTGAGCGTATGAAGAGGCCGATTCCATTCTTTGTAGAGAAGACATATTCCGTTTCGGTTGAATACGTACATCATGTGCGCGTTGTTTCCACTCGCCGTTGGAACCGGCGGCGACGGACTTATCTCCGATCCACCGAAGAACTGCATTTTTCTTACGTCGTTCAAGGCGATTGACGAGAATCAGAGATGGAAGCTGAGATCAGATTCGAAGCAATGTTGACAACTTCGAATTCAGATCTTCTGTAATTTTCAGTCGATTGGGGAAACAGTGAAATACACAGTTCTCGTCTTTACTAATATGGGCCTTTTAATAACAAATCCATAAAAGAGTGTGCTCATAATGGGCCATATTTATATCTTATGAGTTCGTCGTGTTGGCTCTGTAACGAAGTTCAAAATGAGATGAATATCAGAAAACCGGAGCTGGTTTAATCAAGAACAATGGGTTAACTGGAATTGCAGCTCGTTCAGTCTGTTTAAATAATTTGTAATATCGGTTAAATTTGATTGAGTGTTAACTAAAGTTTTTTTTTTTTTTTTTTTTTTCTGTAAGCAGTTGACAGAAAGCTTTGATCTTTTTTTTTTTCCGCTAATATGAAGTTTGAGTTTTTTTAGAATAACATAACTCAATAATGCTACCATGGCAAAAAGAAAGAGAAAAAAACCATGGTAACAAACGCTTATAAAGCCCATTTTATAAAAACACTAAAGAGAACCAGACAATATCAAAACAACCAAGACGACATTAAGCTTTTAAAGCTGTGATCTTCTTAAGAGATCGATTGCTTTTCTAACATTTGGTGTGTGCATTTTTTGTGAAGACGCATGAGCGAGATGGTTCCTCATCCAAGATCTCTGTTAAGGCACATGACACAAGTTCACAAACCCAACAAGATAACTAAAATAAAACATTACAATCCCATGAAATTAGCTCATGTAATTAAGTTCTTAGGCTGTATACATATAAAATGTGTTTGAGAACATAATTTTTCTTCCTTAAAGGTGTTAAGAGGAACATTATTGTAAACCAATCTACAAAACTCATAATAATAATATTTTTCGTCATTTTTCTATGGTTTTTTTTAGTGTTTTTATGTTTTTGTGATTCAAAAATGTTTGGTTTACAAAAGGATTTATTTGTTAAGATTCAATGGTCCCAGCGGGGCTCGAACCCGCGACCTTCGGCTCATAAGACCAACGCTCTAACCAACTGAGCTACGGGACCATGTTGAAAATACTTTTTCAAGTCGATTTGTGTAAAAATAATTAAAATTGAGAAACAAGCAAGGCGACTTTATAGAGTTGATCAGATTTTGAGATACGCAATACCACACTTGTATAATCTTGTACACCTCACTTTTCTAAACTTTTGTTAATTAATGATACTTCTAAAGCCACTGATTAATCAAATGCACAATAAGTTTTTAAGAAAGAGGGAGTAAAGGTGTGAAAAAGGAGAAAAACCTAAAAAGACTTTCAAATGCATTTTTGAAATAAATCTAAGAAAGTGAGAAAGATTCTAAATTGGTGGCTTACTATTTCTAGGAAGAGGATCTTCACGCCTAAGTTCCACGTGAGATTGTGCTTCTCTGTTGTATCCCACCTCGATTCTCACATTCTCAAACCTTATCTTATATTTATGGATATTGTTTTCTTTGTTCCAAAGTAACGAGTACTTTCTTGACACCAAAATAGTTTTTAAGGATATATATATTGTGCTCGGTGACTCTACAATAAGTTACTGAATTCATAGAGGCATAGAGCTACTTATATGAAAGATTGAAAGATATCAGTTACTTCTTGGTTTTGATATAAATCATAAAACTTGACATTTGTATTTTTTTTTTTTTTTTTTCTGCTTGGCTACTTTGTATTTATTTTCTTGGCTTCAAAGACATAAATTTGAAACTAAATTAACTAAGAACATATCATTAGGTTATCCGATCGATCGAGTATGCTGATGTAATAGTCAATGTTACAAAGATCAAGTCCATTCGAGTTTATTTTTTCCAAAACACTCAATGCGACATTTTTACTGTGGTGAGTCGTGACTAATGACATTTGAATTTGGATATGAATCAGTATTTGTATGTACTCTTTTTAATTCGTAGATGAATAATATGTGTTCTTTTAATACTATACAGAAACGTAAGCACATTACGTGTCCTATTTTATATGCAAAGGTACATACGTGTTTAAGCGTGAATAGTTGGATTTAGTCGCTTGAAAGGTTCCCTAAAATTTGGAGCCCTAGATTGGCAACTCAACACCTGTCTGATTCTCCAACTATTTTCCGTTTTTATTTTCATTTTCCGATTTAATCACAATATTCTTCTAGTTTGTTTTTCTTTTAAGTTGTCCGTCATTTCAATATGCGTCATATGTCCTTTTTCTCAGCCATTTTTATAGCTTTAAGTCAACAGCTTTAAATCCCTTAATAATACAGTCGTCATTTTATTAAAGTATTGCTCTTATATCTATCTCTGTTTTTGAAAGTTCTGTATCATGTCAATAATTGCGGAGTTAAAAATCATTAGTTAATGAAAAAGAAGATAAAGTCCAAAATCACTAAAAGCTGCTAGATTTCTTTTCGCAAAACAAGAAAATTATTGAATAGACTAGACCATTATTGACCGATACATCGATTGCAATTCGAAAGAAAACGGAAAACAAAAAAAGCATACTGCAAAACAGGGACTCTCGATTTTAAGGACAACCTAGAAACAGTTTACTTCATTTTTTTGTATAATCGGACAACAATATGAACACCTTATATGTTTTCCAAAAAAAAAAAATATGAACACCTTATAACAAATTTTATCCGATTGTACAGAAAACACAAAATTGATATGCACACTATTTTTTTTTTTGAGAAAGAAAAATGATTTTTTACTGCTATATAGTAATACGAAAATGATACTACAAAACAATAAAATAAGTGTGGTCCCCACTGGCCCATACGTGTCAACGTCGGGGGTTCCCATTCGTAATATTCAGACATGACAAAGGGTACTTTTGTCTAAACGTAAATAAATCCCAATCTCTACCTGCCTTCTGTTGTTTTCTCTTCCTCTCCTCTTCTCTCTCACATAAGCTTCCCTCACGTTCTCTTTCTCCTCTTTTCTTTTTCTTCGCATTTACTGTTTTTATTTTATTTAATACATATATTATATAACCTCAGAGATCTCTCGCCGGGAAAATAAATCTCCCGGCGAATCAGCGAAACTTCCCGGTGTCATCTATTTTTCCAAACAGAGAAAATAACACAGCAGGAGAAGAAGAAGTCTCGAGCTACTAAGATGGAGTCAGAATTTCAGCAACATCACTTCCATCTCCACGATCATCAACACCAGAGACCGAGAAACTCGGGACTGATTCGGTACCAGTCCGCGCCGAGTTCTTATTTCTCGAGCTTCGGAGACAGAGAATCGATCGAGGACTTCTTAGATCGACCGACTAGTCCCGAGACGGAGCGAATCTTATCCGGCTTCTTACAAACCACCGACACAAGCAACAACGTCGATAGCTTCCTCCACCATCCTTTCTCTAGGCAGAACAGTGGTGGGACGACGGAGAAGAAGCCTCTGGAGGTGAAAACAGAGGAGGTGATTGATATTCCGATGGAGGTCGTCGTCGGTGATGATGTTGTTGGTGGCGTTGTGGCTCCAGAATCAACCGGATATGCTTCGGTTGTGCGGAGTTTAGGTCAGAGTAAAAGACCGAGAGAGAAAGATGATCGGACTCCGGCGAATAATCTCGCTCGACATAATAGCTCCCCCGCCGGATTGTTTTCCTCCATTGATGTCGAAACAGGTTCGAAAAATCTTTTACTTATTTTTAGAAAGTAATTTCAAATAATTTCCTTATCTGGTAACTTTTTGAGAATATGCCTCCGATTTGATAGGACTAAAAACACTGAAAAGTCTCTGTAGATTTTGGATTCAATAATTAGCAATTAATTAGTATACAAAATTTTGGATATTTGGTTTCTCGAAATTTAATATCTTTAAGCAATTTTTGGTGTTTCTTGGAAAATGGCAGCTTATGCAGCTGTAATGAAGAGTATGGGAGGGTTTGGAGGAAGTAATGTGATGAACACAACCAATATTGAAGCTTCGTCACTTACTCCTAGAAGCAAGCTCTCTCGTACAGCTTCAAGACCGATGAGTCCGATCTCTGAGGTCGATGTCAAACCGGGTTTCTCGTCAAGATTGCCTCCTCGAACACTCTCTGGTGGGTTTAACCGTTCGTTTGGGAATGAAGGCTCTGCTTCCTCCAAGCTTACATCACTTGCAAGGACTCAATCTGGAGGTCTAGATCAGTACAAAACCAAGGTACAGTATGACCTTTTTCTGTGATTTTTCCAAATCTTGTTTGAAAGCAAGTTGTGATGATGGTTGCTGGAATGAATAGGATGAAGATTCAGGAAGTAGACGTCCTCCTTTGGCGCATCACATGAGTTTGCCCAAGTCTTTATCAGATATTGAACAGTTACTCTCAGATTCTATTCCTTGTAAGATCAGAGCCAAGCGTGGTTGTGCTACTCATCCTCGAAGCATCGCTGAGAGAGTAAAGATCCTTCTCTTACTATTATGCTCAGTGAAATATACATTCATGTCTCTTAACATTATAGATGTTTTCTTGTGGAATAGGTGAGGAGAACCAAGATCAGTGAAAGAATGAGGAAGCTGCAAGATCTTGTTCCGAACATGGACACGGTGAAATCGATCATCCTCTCTCTATCTCGTTTCCTTTTTTTCTTGCGGCTTTCATGTTATTTTGGTCAATGTGTTTATAATCTTGAATTGATATGCAGCAAACAAACACAGCAGATATGTTGGATCTTGCGGTTCAGTACATTAAGGACCTGCAAGACCAAGTTAAGGTAATGTTCTCACTTGTAGTTTACACTAATCTCTCTAAAGTTGTCTTTATTGATCTTTGGTTTTTGGTTTGTCAGGCGCTCGAAGAGACTCGGGCAAGATGTAGATGCTCCAATGCGTAAGAACTAGAAGTCTTGAAGTATGTGCGTGTTCGTGCCAGGGAGTGACTTGTGCATAGAAAGTATCTGTTCGGCGTATGGAGATAGTGGAAGGTAGCGAAGTAGTGGAAGGTAGCGAAGTAGAGAAGAGAGATCATGAACAGAGCTGAATTTGGTGGATGGATTTGTCAAAAGGGTTTTGTAAAGTTGGAACCTTTTTTGATCGGAGAAAAGATGAAGAAGAAGAAGGGGAAAGTAAGTTTGTGTTATGGTTCGAACTTCGAAGCTATCAAATGTTGTTCTTACACCCAAAAAAAATATATGAAAAAAGCACAAGAGAAGTGATGTACTATGTTGAGAAGCTTCTTTTATTGCAACTCAAGAATAATTCAGGGTAAAAATTAATTATTTTTCCTTTTTATTTAGAACTTAGTACCATCAACAACAACCATCACGTATTTGGTTCTTTGCCAAAAAAGGATAAGGCAATTTCATAAATCTTGAAAAAATAGAATATGAGTATATGACCATTATTGATTCTCTACAATGGTAAGAGTACACTATTCTTCCACAAATCTTTCTTCTCATCATTTTTCTTTGTTACTGCTTCACCCACTGAGAAATATGTACACATCTTTTGCTACGCATTACAATAGTTTTGAAAGAGATGGTTACATGTGGATTCATAAATCTTTCGATAATGTAGGATCTAATTATTTTTGTTATTGTAAATATTGACACATAAACATGGTGTATGTTTAAAAATTTAGACAAAGTCTGTGATAGTTATTTTGAGTCGACCCTACAAAGCAGATTATAACAGACTCCATAAGTCTTGTCCAAAAGAAAAGATAAAATAAAATCAAACAAAAAAGATGGGCAAAATCTTGCCTGCATTATAGTTAGGGACCATGTCTTGTTGTTTTCTTTCTTTTGCTCTTTTGGGGAGTCATGTGAAGGTGCACTTAGTTGTGGGGGTGACACGTGACAAGATGCTATAATTGTTTTCTTCTTAAGGTTACAAGTGTTAATCATTAGCTAATAGCCTAATACCAAAAAGGTTTGTTAGGTGAAAAGGTCTTTAGCGATAATGCGCATGGTTAATACGTGGTGTTTTAATATGCTCAAGTCATGTCATGTCCATTATCAAATTTATCACTCACGCTTTTACGATTTTTTATTTTATTTTTCGGGATGAAATCAATTGTATTCGGCTTGAACTAAAAAAATAGCTGATTTAAGGATGAATTCAGATTTAACATTTTATCAGAAACACCACAACATGATGAAATTGTAGAACTATTTATTTATTCTTACTAAATTAAACGGGGATATTATCAACATATCATCAAGTAATACAGTAGAAACTCTATAAATTAATATTCGATAAATTAATAACTCGATAAATCAATAAAATTGTGTGGTCTCAAATTAAGTTTTTGATCCAGTAATCTCTCGATAAATTAATATTTCGTTAAATTAATAAAATATCTTATGCTCGACATTATTAATTTATAAAGTTTCTACTGTACATTGATTTAGGCATTGTAGATAAATAGATTATTTGCTTGAAATACACATAACTACGTACAGATTGAGCTTAGGATTTTTAACCATGTTGTTCAAAAAAAAAAGGATTTTTAACCATAAGTAGACTGATGATCGTATCTTGTCTTTCTATGGCATACAAGATGCGGTTGAAGGGAGACAGTCATTCATATCAACAAACTATATATAGATGGTAGATTTTCTTTGTAGAAATTTGTTTCCATGTATCAACTAAGTCATAATATTAATGAGATTGGCATTAAAATGAGGATATTCTCTCAAAACAATGAGATTGACATTACTTAAATAGAGATATACAATACAAATCTACCTTTTTAGTTTTTCCAAGAAAGATACCAAAATCTCTTACCAAATGTGGAACCATATAGTAAATGCAAAATCATATAAATAAATCTCTAACTATCTATGATCAGTACATGATCAGGTGAGAAAAATATATATACATACATACACCATCCTGTTGATCAACAAAGTGGTGGAGACACAGTTTGAGGTAAAATGAGTCGTTCTGAACTCATATTGTTGCTTTTATGTCTTGTGGGTTTGTCGATAATGATAGATTTCCTATATTTTCTAGCTCGATTGATTATCGTCGATGAATCTTCTTTGCTATGCAACAACAATAACTGAATCTATCGTCTTCTTTTTCTTACATTTCTTATATATTTTTAGATTGAATCTAATAGTCTTAAAGTGGGTATTCGGTGTCACCAGATAAATCTCATCCATTATGTTCTAATGAAATCCGATTCACAAAATTTAATGTGACTGATTCGATTCGTAGTGAGAGAATTTATACTCAGAAAATCGAATCACACCATGTTTTGTTGCCGACTTGATACCATTATGATTAGGGCTTCCATTTAACCTAGAGCCATCTCAAACCATATTTGAAGGCGTTGTGGATTTATTTATTTATAATTAGGTGTTCCAAAGTACGTACATAATATTAAAAGCAAATTATGTGCTAGTGTTCTAGTGCTTCATTCGAATGTTAGCTAGTTTCGTCGGATGCTTTCTGAATTTAGTGATCTTTGTGTATTGATTTTGTTTTTCTTCTTGTTTATAGGAAGTTACTATGGAGTTTAATAAGATGGCAATGCATGGCAACGGAGCTTTCTTCATTTCTGACTCAGACTCAACCTCGGAGGATGATGAGCTTGTTGATGTGGACGAGCTTGAGAAGAGAATATGGAGGCAAGAAGCACGCCTACGACGTCTAAAGGAACAAAGAAAGACTAAAGAAAGAGTTGGTGAGCAAGCGATGATGAGTACGGAGATGAAGAAAACGTGTAGAGAGCAAGATGCGATTACGGAAGAAATGTATAAGATGATGGAGTTCTATAAAGCTCAAGGGTTCGTTTACGGAATCGTTCCCGAGAACGGGAAGCCGGTGATGATGAGTGCTTCTGATAATCTTCAAGAATGGTGGAAAGACGAGGTCAGGTTTGATCTTAACGGTCCAATCGCTATAGCAGAACACAAAGAATCGGAGAATATGATGAATCTTGCGAGTAACATCCAAGGTAACGATGCTGCAAACGAGCTAGGTCCGAGATCGCTGCGAGAACTTCAAGATCCGACTCTCGGATGGCTTTTATCATTATTGATGCGACATTGTGATCCTCCACAGAGACAGACAGTTTCCTTTTGAGAAAGGAGTTAGACCACCATGGTGGCCTACAGGGCAAGAGCATTGGTGGCCACAAGATCAAGAACAAGGTCTCGCGCCGCCTTATAAGAAGCCTCATGATTTGAATAAGAGGTGGAAGATTTGTGTGCTGACTTCAGTTATCAAGCATTTGTCTCCTGGCAAAGCCCGCAAGATTGTTAGTGAATCCAAGAAGTTGCGGAAGAAGATGGCTGCCACAGAATGGGACATTTGGTTTAACATTGTTAACCAAGAAGAGAACTCATTAAATCTTGAGACAATGTTGAATCTTTCAAACTTTGAGATGGATCAAACGCAGATGATGGGGAAGAGGAAGCCGGAGGAGAGCTATCTAATGGACAATGAAATCAACGTTGGATTTCAAAACATGAGTTCAAGAAGAGACAATAACCAACCGGTTTGGCCAAACCGAGACAGTCTTTTGGCATTTGGAGGTTATGAAAACGGGCAGGAGATGGTCCCCGAGTTCATGTCTATGTACGATGGAAACATGAGCAACCAAACTTGTTCAGTGATGGGAAATCAAAGCGTGAATCTTCTTCAGCCAATAGCTCAGAATCATCAAGAACAAATGCATGTTGCTCAGAAAGCAGCAGCAAAACCTAGGGTTCTTTACAAATGAGTTTGCCAATTAATGCTTTCATTACTTTTTTTCTTTTGGTGTAATGCTTTCATTACTTGTTCTAGTTCTTTACTCAAACTTTATTTATTTTTACTAGTTCAATTAAATTACTGTCTACTTTATTTAATTCTAAAAGCTTATAGCAAAAATTCTCATAACGATTAGCCTTTAAAAAAAAATCCAACTCTTCTTAGTTTTGTTTTATCTTTAACAAAATAAAAACAAATGTTTTGATAGTACTTTTCCCCAAAATCCTTTGGTAATTCGCCGTAAGTTATATTTTTGAAATTTAATATTCTGCTAGTAATTCCCATTTTTTTAGAGTTTTTACTTTTATAGAAAAAAGTTAGCATTTAATTTCCCTTGGGCCTAATTTTCGGCGAGCACGATAAATTAGCTTTAATTATTTATTCTGGGCTCGGCGGGAAAATAATCGAGTTTTCTCTTCCTTCATTTTTCCCTCAAAATCTCAAAATCCCCAAATTTTGGCTGCCGTTAGGGTTTTCTATTTCTCACCACTTCTTCTTCTTCCTTCGCTTCTAATTTTCTCATTGGTGGATAATTGTGAAATTCATCATGAGGAGGACGGTGAAGCGAGAATCGGTAGCAGCCGGCGGAGGCAGTGGGAAGAGAGAATCCGGCGAGTCGGAGGGATTCAGGTCCGTGAAGAAGGAGAAGGATAAGCAGCAGAATAAGGGCGTAGCTGATTCATCTGTGCGAATCGATGAGCCGCCGACTCAGGAGGAAGAAATGGGAATCTCTGATCGGAGGGTTCTCAGATCTCAGTATCTCGCTCTAATGAACAAAATCAGCGGTATACACTGACGCTTTTCACTCACTCTCTTAATTCCCTTCTTTATTAAATTGAATTCGCCTAATTCAATTTCAAATTTCGTTTGTTTGTTTGTTCTGCAGATTCTAAAGACGATTTGACGAATGTTGATTCTGACAAATTCTCTCGAATTTTCACTGAATTTGAGAGCCTCCACCAGAAAGGTAACCACAATGCTTTAACATGGTGGAATTGTATAGGTCCTTTAGTGTCGAATGATGAAAATGCAAATGTTCTTTGTTTCAGTGTCTTTAGTTTCCAATGAAAAGGCCAATTCTGTTTTTGCTGAAAAGACATTCCTTTTTGGTTTACAATTTCCGTGCAGTGCAGAAGCCTAGGGAGCAAATCGCAGATGCAGAAGCGTTTCTGGATATCGCAAATACGTTGATGTCATCGGTCAAGTCTCAGTCTGCTAGTGGGGTTTCTCCGGCTGAGTTTGTTAATGCTTTGATCAAAGGGTTTGGTCAGAGTTCTTTAGAGATTGATTCTGATGAGACTGCCCAAGCATCTATAAATTGGAAGGACCTTGGGCTTGCCGTCTGCTCTACAGCTTTGGTATCATGTGGTTGTTCCACAATGTGAGTTTTGATTCATTGAACTGCTTTGCTACAGCTTAGCATTCATGTTTTAAACTTAGGTTTGTTCGTGTGATTCTTGCGACTAGGTTGGGACCTATGGACACTGAGCTGAAGGAAAGGAAAAAGGCAGTCTACAGAAAACGCACAAAGCCTGGTGAAGGCGCTCGTCCAGACGAGGTAAGAAGTGTTTTGCGCTCGTCATATTGCAATATTGAACTGATATGTAGTATAGCTGGTCCCATATTCCTTTCTAGATTGCACATATGTTGTATAGTAGCTTTGTATCTCAAGCTTGATCAGTAAAGTTTATGTGAAATTGGAGTCTCTCGCCTGTTGATTGATTTGAATGGTTCCTCTGTGAAGTATGATGCAATGCTTCTTGTGGAACTTGTCGGTTGTTATGTAGTTTGGATTTAGATGAGAAGCCAAAGAGCTGATTTGAGTACTTTTTTGTGACCAACAGGTAGATGATACACAATCGGAAGAGAAAACAGATACAGACAAGAATATGGCGATAATGTTTAACATCTTAAGGCAAAAGAAGCGTGTAAGGCTTGAGAGTTTGGTGCTCAATAGAAGATCATTTGCACAGACCGTAGAGAATTTGTTCGCATTATCTTTCTTGGCCAAAGACGGACGAATCGAGATCATTGTCGACAAGAGTGGTTCTCATTTCGCCTGTAAGATCACATTACCATCCTCTAATATCTGATTTTGATATTTTTGGTTCGTCTCACTTATATATCTTTGTCTACAGTGCCGAGAAACGCACCCGCTGCAAACCTGGTGATGTCGGGAGAAGTCGTTTACAACCATTTTGTGTTTAGATTTGATTTCAAAGATTGGAAGGTAAAAACATAGCATTGCACTCTTGGTTGGTATACTATTGCCTGAAGATATCTGATTGTTGTGGTAAATGATATATGTCAACAGCTGATGTGTGAAATGGTGCCAATGGGAGAAGAGCAAATGCCACACCGAGAAAGTTCAATCGCTTCATCATCTTGTCCATCTGCTTCAGCAGCAGACTTCACACAAGACTCACAGACGACGCCGATAAGAAAGCTATCGAGAAACAGAGGTTTGGTTGTACAAGAAGATACCGTTGTAGAAGATTCTCCTGTCTCCGAGGGCGATGGACCTCGAAGGAGATGTAAGCGGAGACTCTCTTGAGCAGAAGTAAGTCTCATTTGTACGAGGTATATAGAGAGTAGAGAGCTTTGAAAAACCTCTTGTTGGTGTTTCAGTTTGGTGACATTAACTTAATGTCTTCTTTAGGTTTTGTTTTGTTCATGGTAGGCGTTTAGCAATCTTAAGTTTGGCTTTTCTTCTTCGTTTGTCTGCTCAAGAGAGACATTAATCTCATTAATGTTAGATATCAAAAATCTTCAAAGCACCATGTTTGTAAAACAATAGACTATGTAGTAATACAAAGCAAAACAAAAAACTCTAATTAAGTTTCTAAGAAAATGAAAAAAAATCCCTATTGTTGGATCATAACACCAAACAGCTTAAACCCTCCTTTCTTCTCCTCTGATTTGGTTTCCTCACCTTCTAGCTTCATTTCTTCATCAGAACTCTCATGAACCATCTTCTTGTTTACTTCATCTGGAACCACGAAAGCCTCGTTGCCTGAGAAGTAATGAACATCGATCATCAAGAAGTTCCTGCTTTGACCCTCTAATGTCTTGACATTGCTAGGGACATCACAAGTGTAAAACACAATAACATCCTTCTCCTTGAGATTCTTCTCCTTGACGAAACCATTCCATCCTCTGGTGAAGACAAAGCTCTGGCTACTTCTCCAGTAACAATACCTAAACTTCCACTGTCTCATCGCCTTGTCGTAAAACACAAGCTCCACATCTTCCACAGCATCTCCCTTCTCGCTCTCTTCTCTCTCTTTTGGATCGTCGTTAATGTAAGGCAGATACTTCACCGCATACTTCTTAGGTATCACAAGCCTGTTCAGCTTCCCAACATCGCTCGGCGTCAATGTCTTCTCGAAAAGCTGCGTGCACGAGAAGCACTTTTTCGACTCTTCATCTCTCCGGCTCTGCTTCGAACCGGCGATGTTGATGCTGGCGACCATCTCAGATCGGATCCTGAGGTACTCTCTGAACTTGTGTTGGTAAGAACCGTCTCTGATCATGTTCAACACATCTTCCGTCGTGTGGTTCACTTGAAAGTCAGGCTCGTGGACGGTGAAGTCAGACCAAGGGAAGTTCCGGTGAGAGTTAGCGTCAAAGCTCCGGAGCTTGATGGATGCGCTATCGTAAGCCGCGGCGGCTTCAGCGGCGGCTTTGAAAGTACCGAGCCAGATCCTTCGGTGGTCTGCGTATATCTGAGCTCCCCAATGACCGTTCTGTTGCTGAACCACACCTTTGTATTTCGCCGCCGCCGTGTTGGACAAGGCAAGTTTTGTGGCTGTATCAACAACAGTAGGTTGCATGCGTTTCATGACACCTGAAGTCTCTGTGGTTTTTGTCTCGTCGATATCCATTGCTAAAGAAGCAAAACAAAAATCAAGAGACAGACGGAGAAAAAGAGACAAGAGACAGAGATTATCGGAAGAATAAAAGCAAAAAATAAAAAAAGAGAGAGTATTTGAAGCAGAGATATGAGGGAGTAAATCCTGGAAAATCAGTATTGTGTTTCTCTGTTGTATCGTTAGTAATGTTACAGTTTCCATTTCCTGTTCTTGTTTCTAAAGGAAAAAATGGGAATTTGACAGAGTGGAATCAGTTAATGGTAAGTTTTGTTTCTGATAAAAGCTGTTAAATGGTAAGTTTCCTTCCTGATGAGATTTGTTTCTATTCATATAAGATTTGCTAATATATTCCTTGAGGACTAAGACAAGCAGGAGAAGAAATAAAATATTCATTGTTAGAACTTCTTTTATGTTCCCCTGCGAGTTTTGGTCTTAATTTAGACATTACTAGCGAAACTTATATCATCATCCTCTATGTCATGTGGTTTCTTGTTTTTGTTTTCTGGTTTTTTAACTGACAACACATCAAAAAAAAAAAAAAAAAACAATGATCAGGGAAATTTAACAATCAACTTCCATTGTTGTAAAACATTTGACAGTTTCTTTACAGAAATATTTTGTTATATTCAAATGAGATTTGAGTACTAAAGAACAATCATTTGTTCTGATAACTGTAAATCTCCTGAAACGACGCAGCTACATTTCCCGGATGTGCACGAAGATTATGTTATCAAATCCTCGACTTATCCTCATCTTCTCATCTGTATAGCTACAAAACATTAAAGTAAGAAGAATTTCTTTTATTAGCACTAGCAATTTAATGCAATGTAGACCAAAAAGAAGATAAGAGTGATCTTTACAGAATTTGAAGATCGAGAATGTTGGTCAATTCTAACGGATATCCAAATGGACCGCCTATAATTGCTGAGTCATTCATCTTCAGTTCATAAGTACTGTCTCCTGATTTCCTGAAGATCATTAAACCAAATCAAGAAACAAGATCACAAGAAAATGTAAAAGTAGCAAAATGACTAAAATACAAAGAGAGTCTTACAAGAATCTGCCTTTCATGGAGAATCTAAACGCCGGAAGGATATTAACTTCAAACTTTATCCTTCCATCTTTCTCAATGATCTGAATCAAATCAACAATTTTCCTAAACAAAACAACAAAATGTAATCCTAATTCTACTTTAGACATCTAATAAAAGTGTTGACCTGTCTTCCCATAAGACCATTTGCTGCATTTTCAAGCCAACTATCTGTAAACATCTGCAGAATCTAAACGCCGGAAGGATATTAACTTCAAACTTTATCCTTCCATCTTTCTCAATGATCTGAATCAAATCAACAATTTTCCTAAACAAAACAACAAAATGTAATCCTAATTCTACTTTAGACATCTAATAAAAGTGTTGACCTGTCTTCCCATAAGACCATTTGCTGCATTTTCAAGCCAACTATCTGTAAACATCTGCAACACAAAACGCACTTATTCAAACAAATAAAATTGTTTTTGTTTGAGACAAAAGGTGAAGTTATCAGAGAACTCACCTGTGAACTCCAAATCATTTGCCAGCTTCCCTCTAAAAGCTCATAACCATCATCATCTTCAGCGGAATTAGAATTCTTGGCAAGAAACTCATCGATAGCCTCTGCTACTCCTTTATCTTGAGATATGGTGGCTAACAGTTTCTGCCTAGGAACGGTTTCTTTCTGAAGAACAAACGTTGTTCCCTGCGCTACAGATACATCTTCTTATGGATTACAAAACCACTAACAAAGCTTTAGCTTTCTTTATAAGAATCAAGAAACTCATTTGTACCTTGTTTCCTCTTGAAATCCTAAGGTTTCCTGAAGGAGACAGATAAGTAGTGTCTAACCAACCTTTTGCTTCATCACCAAGAAGTCTAAAAGGAACTGGATATGGAACTTTGAAAGGAAGAAACTTTATATCGAAAGCCGCTCTATCGAAACGAAACAAAACCCTTTTCCCATCTTTGATCGACGCAACTGCCTGTTAAATGGAACCAAACAAGTATCAAAACTCTCTCAATCTTTTGATGCAAAGACTTGAGAGAAGAATGCTTACCTCAACTTTCAGCTCTCCAATGAAGTCCGAGAATTTAACAATGTTTGAAACACGAGGATCATTGTTTGTTGTCTTCAAGTATACATCTTGAAACACTGTGAACACATCTACTCCTGTAAATGTTCTCTGCAGAAGAACACATTTGTTCTTCATAAGAAGATGGAATGTCAAATGATGATGAATTGTTTGACAAGAAACTGACCTGGATTGGAGATGCAGTTCCAGGTCTTGTGGTGAACATTAATTGCCAACGACCTTCGATTAACTCAGAATCTGTCTAAACATTTTGAATTTCCCCCAAAAGAAAGACAAAATGAGCAAAGAACAGAACAAAAACAGAGTATTTGTAATTTTAAAGATGAAAGGGTTTCACAAGAAAACATTCATACAGGATTTGGAATGCCCTCTAAACCTTCAAGAACTTTCACAGCAGATTCCACATCCTACAACAGAAATGTCTCAATTCAAATATACATAAATCAAGGAAAAAAATCAGAAACATGCAACAAATTTTTTGTTTTCATACATTGAGCTGTTTAGGAGAAGCGGATTTGCCACGGCCTTGAATTCCGATCAAAGCGTCAATGAGTTTCATCTCAGCATCGTTGAAAGACGACTGCTGTGTCTGGTCAGTGACAGTAGAGGAAGACGAACAACTGATTCGCAGCGTTCTGCAATTTCTTGATGAATCTAGTCTCTTGTTCGTTGTGTTAAGAAACAGATGTGATCTCCGAGAAGACAACGAAAGAGAAATCGGAGATGACGGGCATGGACATAGACACGGTGTCGTCGACGACATCTCTACGGTGTAGAATCTAAGAGACGCCATTGTTGCTCTCTTAGTGAAAGCTTTTGTTGTATTGAATGGTTAAAGCTTTCATTTTTATTGTGTGGTGTACAACAAATAACATATCTTGGAAAAAATGAAATTAGTGGAAGTAAAATTTTCTCAATTTAATTAATCATTTCCTCATAAACCCTTCACAAACTGCAAAACCAAAAGCATGAATCTTTGTTCTGATTTCTCAAAGTTAAGATCTTTAACAAAAGGAAGAAGCTTTGTGTGACTATAAACAACAAAATCTATGGACTTGAGAAGATTGAATTTGTCTCAGAAAGAATTAGCAACAAGAATAGCTTGTCTACATCTTGCTCTAGCTTGTTCAATCCTCTCGCTAAGAGTCTCTTCTTTCACAGAAGCTTTAACCATAGCCAAATCCATCTCCATCAATCTCAAAACCCTGAAAAGCTCAGTCACCATTCTCTCTTCAACTTTCCCTTCATCTCTCAAAACCTCAGCTTCTTCTCTCGCTCTCTCCGCAACGATCTCTCCAGCTTTAGCTAAAAGCTCCTTAGACCCAAACTCTCTCGCCATCAAGCTTTCGAATTTCTCTAAGAAGTCCATTATCACATACCCTTTGGGTTTCTCCAAGTTTATCTCTTTCGTTCTCTTCCAACCGATCTCGAAATTCGGAGGCTCGGGCTTCACGATCCCTCTCTGTTTTCTGTCGCGCACGATCTCCGATCTTCTCCGTTTCTCGATGGGGAATTTCTCGGCGCTCGTCGTGTTGATCGATTCAGGTGCAGGTGTGAGGTCGAGAAACTGATCTTTTGGCTCTGGATTCGATGAACACTTGGTTGCGAAATTGCTTGTTCGGCGACTGTTCTGTACACCGAAGCTATGTGTTCTGGGGAATGCGGCTTGCAAATTCGTCGAAGAAGAGAGAGATTGAAGAATAAGTGTGGGAGCCATTGGTCTTGAGCTTAAAATGTTTCTGGAGATTGGAGGGAGAAAGATAAGGCCTTCTCTGCTGTTACGATCGTGCCGTTTAAATGTTTCGGATACACATGTTACGTCGTTTTTGCTACTTTGTTTGGAGATGTATATTTATTTTTAATTTTTCAGGAATATTTTGAGAATCTGTACTCAACTGTCATCAAGATCAAGCAAGCATGGCAACCAACCAAAGGCAAATGGTTTGGGCTCAGCGAATCAAAAGCAGTTTCATGATAACACAATGGGCCAACAAACAGAGAAGGAGATCAAAACAGTGTAAAGCTTTCAAATAACAAAATGGAGGCAAAAGAACCAAAGACTCTGTCTGCCACAGCAAGTTCATGTGCAAATTTGAGTCAATATAATAAATCTATGGATTTAAATAGATTAATTAATCCTTTTCAATAAGAGTAAATATTGGAAAGCATCTAAGAATTAACAAAAATGGAAAACCAGAAAATCAAATCTTAATAATATTCCATCAAAAACAATTGACAAATCCAATCAACTAATATTATTGCTGTCGACCAAAACAATAAAATAATTCTACTCCATCGTTATTTAAGTCCGTCCAGAGTTCCAAACACAAACTTCACACAGCAAGGACGTTCCCACTCGGCGTTTTCTTGCGTAGAAACAAGCATGGACTATTCTTTGAGAAGCACACGATTATTAATTGACAAGCACACGCCAACGTTCCTAGGCCATTGATTACCTGTCGTCTCATACACAAACCAAAATAAGAAACACACACACAAAAAACAATCAAATCTCTAATGGAAAACCAATAAAGTCTTAGAGGAAAATGAAAAATGCTTACAAGGAGGTAGATGTCAATTTTGTAAATCAAAGAATAAGCGGTCCAAATTCCAACGTTGATGAAGTTAACCAACGATAACCAAAACGGCATGTACCTAGCTGGATCCGGCCCCATTATTTTTGTCTATTGATTCACGCACAAGAAAATTAATTGATCAAAACTAAACTTATAAACATTTAGGTTATTTATCTATCAATTCAATTAGAAAGAAAAATACAAAAAAACTCACCAAGGCAAGTGAACCATGCATAAGAATGGAGTAGACGTTGCAAACAACACCTATGAATGGACGTCTAGCAGAAAAAGGTTCAAGCCACCAGAGAGTAAAACAAGAGAGCACAAACAACAAGCCAATTTCAATCGTAACCACGCCAGTGACGTCCGTCTGCATAAGCATCATTCTTTTTTTTTATAGTTTCAAATTCGGGTGGCCGATTAGGATTAACTCACAATCAACATAAACATCATCAAGATCAGTGTACATTAATATGTATGAGATGGATGGAACATACACGTCGCTTACAGTCACAGTAGATAAAAAAGACGACCACGTAGATAACTTCGATTACCAAACAGACACCATTACTGGTGCTAACGAGAATGCTATCCTTTTGAACAAGTGGGAGACCATACAATACCCACATGCTACATTTCATCACCATCGCTACATGACGATGTTGTGGAAAACCCTCCACTGTTTTCTTCTTGTAAAGCTCTATAAACCTTGGCCTACATGTATATAGAAATGTGCATATTTTTACGACTACCTAGCTTTAATAATATTTATACAAATCTGTGGAAAACAGATCTTTGAAACCTTTAATAAAAAAAATGAAAAGAGATTACATGTATGAGATGGAGATAAAAAAGGATAACACATTGCCTGCATCAAGACAGAAAAAAACTTGTTGTTAACATGCCGCTAGCTATGACGATATTGTGCTAATTAAATCTCTCTCTTAATCATAACATGCTTATGCAGATATGTTATGTTTATATAGTAAACGGGCTGATCGAGATAAAATACGATAAACATTGATTTATAGTGACGGTTTACATAGACATCCACCATTTAGAGCTCAACTCAAAAATTATGTGGACTATCAAGACCCCGCAAATTCATATAAATTGATTAACTAGGGGCATATTTACAGAGTAAAGTTTTATTGATCTGCCTCTGGTTAATCAGTTTATATGAATTTGGTAACTATTTGGTGAAATGTTCAATGCCTCGCTTGTTTTTTATTTATTTTTTATTATATTTTTGTTCTTTGTTTGCCACAACTTAATTATTATTGTTTTCCAAGTTTCTTTCCTTTATGTAAATCTTCATTATCTTAAATTAAATATTTATATATATATATATAATTTGAAAAGATATTGAAGTCACTGTAAACATCTAAGTTGAATAGAAATATTAAAATCGTTTATAATCTTTTGTATGAAGATTCTGTAAAGTTGTGAACTCATTTTGATTCATGAAATTTTACTGACGAAAAATCCCCGAAAAAAAACCACATATAACAATTTAATGTACCCATTACCCAATTAAATGCCCATTCAAGATTTAAGTTAGTTACAAACTTACGTGTACAACAAACACATCATCTTCTTCGTTTAGGGTTTGTGAACTACCGCTGAAGAGGATTAATTACAGATCTACAGAACAGTTTTAAGCGTCTAAGCCATCGAATCTGACTAAATCACTACACCAGTTTTAAATCTTTAACGTTCCCGAGAAGTCACTAGCTATTTTCTAATTTATCCGGCTCCATCAACCGACTACCGTACCCGCCTTTCTCAAGACATCTACAGGACGTTTCTGTTACGTACCGGAGACGTGAGACGACTCTAACTAGAAGCCCCCGTGCTTACTAATTTACACACATATTTTTTTGTATAAGAGAGAGAGGGAAGCAGATTGTACCAATAATTCCGATGATTGTACGGATTTCTTTCGCGTTCATTCTGAAATAGATGAAGAGAGACATTTGATGGGTGGAGCAAGACGAAGAGAGTGGTTGGGGATTTTTTGCGTGTGTATATATAATGGAGAGAGAGTACACGTTTCAATTTCAAGTAGCCAATATTTTCTTTGAGATTTTTCTTGTTGGGCATGTTTTATTTTATTTTATCTTATTTTTGTAAATCCAAAATTTTTGTTTGTAGCTATCTATGCCTATATGTATATTTTTTTTCTTTTTTCTTTTTTTTGATAAAGAAGTATATGTAGTTATGTATACGTATTTTTCTTATTTTAGTTGAAAAATACTATAATATCTAGTATCAAATCAAGCTGTTACTAGGTGATTACCTAAAATGTTTAAATTTATATTTTGTTCCATGGTTAATAGATTCTTAAAATTTTTGACGGTAGTTGGATTTATCACAAAGTGAAAGTGAAAAACCGGAATATACACAAGATCCTAAATTTAAATTAAAAAAAAAAAACATATAGCAAAACCCACGGTTGAGTTGATGACTACTCGATTTCGTGCAATCCAAATTATCATAAAATATAAATATTAGATACCCTAATTATTATTAGCCTCTTTTAAATAGTCGTGCTAAAGTTTTCGTCACTACAGTTACGCCATTACTGTCTTCTCCTTTCTATCTTTCCCACTAATATTTCTGTTGTTTTGATATTTATCTTTGCCTACAAGGTAACTCAATTCTGAAATTATTTACGTATGAAATTTTAGAGTTGTACACAAGAATTAAGAACTCATTTAATTTTTTAAGTTTTCAAAATAAAGCATGTTTTGTCATCAATTTCAAAACCACTCAACCAATGAAAAAACAATATGCACAATTAATAAAGTAAAAAGCATCAAAAACACATTTAATTTTGCATAAAAAGTCTGAAAACACCTTATATTATGAAACAAAAAAAGTCTTAAACCTCCTATATTTTGAAACAGAAGGAGTATTTGCCATTCTCATGTTACATATGGAAACATTGATCTCTACTTAGTGGTATGCTTTTCTCTTCTTTTTTATATCTCTCATTCAGAAGCAGGTCAAGTATTATTTTTTTTCAATCTGTATTTTATTTGTTTAATTTCCAGGGTCTCTTGCTGCACTAATCTCCCTGCATAGATTTTTGTTTTTTTTCTCCTTTTTAAAAAAATTCTGCAGTTGACAGTGGCATTTTTATATCCTATCTGTTTGGTTTTGAAAATCCAGACGTGCAAGCTACGATAAAGGTTCTTGACAATTGGACGAATTTCCCAGGTGTTGTGATTTTAAGTTAAAGTGATTAACAATATACATATCTATTTTTCCTATGACTATTTCTACTTTTTGTTTGTCAAAAAGATTACTTAATTTATATCTGTATTTATCCTTGATGAAGACAATGGAGTTCGTGATGGTACGGATCGATGGTGACAGATATGTACGGATAGAGGAGGACGAAGGTTATAATGATAAGGATGATGAAGACTATCTATTACCTTTATAAAAGATCTATAAGGCAACAGCAAGGATATGTTCGTGTTACTAACCTGTCATAATTGAGTTTTGAAATAGATTTTAGTGTAGTATTGGCTCTCTGGGAGTCTGATATAGTTATCTACGGGAAAGACATGGAGGAAGTTCATACAAATGTTATATTTTCAATACGAGAGATCATTGGACTTTTGATCAATATTTTTGTGCAACTTTTGAACTTCCACGATTGTTATCTGTTGGGAAACAAAAGGATACTGAACTATACATATGCTTGAGTAAATGGTTTAGACAATGAGAAAAAGAGATTAAACATTAGTTACAAGAAATATCATTACGAAACTGCAGCTGCCTACCTCTATTGTGTTAAGCATAGGACTGGTCCAAACTGAATTCGTTATGTAGTATGTACTAATCGGATGGCTAAAGAGGGCCAAGGTTTGATCAATTAGGCGAGATTAATCGGAGAATGATTTTATTTATTACTAGGGGTGATCCGCGAAAGCGCGGATTATCTTTAGATATAAATTTCGTGTGTTTAAACATAAAAATAGTAATTAAATAAAATTAAGGTATGCATAATTCTTATCTCGTTTCATTAAATAAATATTAGGGTTTCACATAATTTTGGTATTGTTCCGTCTCGTCTTGTTTCTTTCCATCTCATTACGCCTTGTTCCTTCCGCACTGTTCCATTTATTCTCATCCCATTTTTCCTTATCCCATTAATTTTCTTTCCGTTCTGCCTCATCCTATTTCTTTCCCTCTTTGTTCCTCCCCGTTCTATTCATTCACATACCATTTTTCCATGTCACATTTATTTTCTTTTTGTTCTTCTTCGTCCTATTTCTTCATGTGTCGTTCCACCTCGTCCCATTCTTTCCCATCCCATTTTGCCACGTCTCATTCATTTTCTTTCCATTCCTTCCCGTCATGTTTCTTCCCTTCTCGTTCCGCCCTGTCTCATTCTGCACCGTCCCATTCATTATCATCCCATGTTCCCTCATCCCATTCATTTTCTTTCCGTTATGCTTTGTCATATTTATTCCCGTCTCGTTCCTCTCCGTCATATTCACTCACATACCATTTTGCATCGTCCCGTTCATTTTCTTTCTACTATGCCTCGTCCTGTTTCTTCCCGTCTCGTTACGCGTCGTCCCCTTCTTTCCTATCCCGTTTTGCCTCGTCCTATTCATTTTCTTTCAGTGACTTGTCCTGTTTTTTCCGTCTCGTTCTGCCTCGTCCTATTCATTCTCATCCCATTTTGTCTTCTCTCATTCATTTCCTCTCTGTTATGTCTCGTCTTGTTTCTTCTCGTCAATTCATTACCATCCAGTTTTGCGTCATCCCGTTCATTTTCTTATTTTTTATATATTTATTAAACTATTAAAATCAATTTGAGAAAACTAAAATTATTAAATAAGAACTGTTTACATTAATATATAAATTATTTTCTTTTACAAAATGACTTTTCAAATTTTATTCAAATCTATTAATTTAATAAATAATAATTATTATTGATTAAATTATATAAATATAATAAATTGTAGGTATTAAAAGTTTCTTGAAAAAGTAATGCTAATGTGACAACTTCTCAGATAGCCATTTTGCTGACGTGTCATATTCAGAAGAGAGCAAACTGTGTTTTATATATATACTAAAGTTTGACCCGCGCCTTGCACGGGTGATATTTTCTCAATTTGATTTTATTAAAAGATGTCTATTTACATACAATTTTAGGAACATAGAGTGTTAGACAATTAAAAAAATGTCAATTTACATTAGACGAAATTTTGAGTGATGCATATTTTTTTAGCCTGGTTTGATTTTTGTCATCGTTTACAGTGTGGTAATCTAACATTTGCTTTAACAACAGTTTCTCCCTTTCCGAACCCACATATATATTAAATTTTAATACATTTAAAATAATTTTATATTTTGATAAATATAAAATGGCATATATATTTTATGTTTTTATCAATTTTAAATAACTAAAATAATTTAACTTATATGATAAGTTATTAGAATTTATTACGTTTAAAATTTTGATCAAACCAAAATATTAAAAAATACGATTTAATTATTTAATTCAATTAAAGAATCAAATTAAATCGAATAAAAGAAATTTTAAAGATTTCCAAACATGGTAAATTTTTCTTTCCTATTTGTGATTATGGTTGATCATTATTTGGATCCTATTTTATAATAGGTTTTTGAACTATTATCCCAAAATATAATCATGTGGGACATTTAACATTTTTAGAGATTTGCTTCATTTTTAAAAATTCAAACCATAGCATATGTAGAAAAAAACTAATTTTCTTTTTTTAAATATTTTGATGTGATGATATAATTTATTCTTGAAAGTAAAGCTAAACAAAAATGATAGATGAATAAATTAATTTTTAAACAATTAATATAATACAATTGAATAAAACTTTCCATATTTTACTGATTGATTGACTAATAAATAAATTTTCGTCATTACCAAATAAGGAAACTGAAAGAAAATAATTTTCATTAATAATTATTTTTCTGACTAAATTAATCATATATATTTCATTCTCTAACCAAATATGAATGGCATAACATGTAATTAGTCTAGTAATGTTTGTCTTAATTAAAACTAACCTTGAAAGTGAACCTGGTGTTGACACATCAGCATGACATTTCTGTTAATAACACATGAGACAAAGGTTTATTTTATAGTGTTTTCTCTTTTAATATATTAGGGATATTTTTATTTTATCCATATACATGATATATAAATATTATACAAAAACAGTTAACTAAATATTAAAAGTATGACAATATTCACATCCTAAAAAATTCTAAAAAATATATCTTAGATGGTTTCCGGGGACTTTTAGTGATAATTATCTCGAATCTGGTGGATTTCGATGATTAAATTCGGTCTTAATTTTGAATTTGTTTTTGTCTAATCGAATTTTTGGAATCCATCCTATTTGAATTTGATTTCAGTAGAAATCTTCGGAGATTGCTATAGGTTATTGATTTTGATTTTTTTTTTCATTAGAAATCCTTGGACTCGCGAGACATACAAATATACCATATGTACTTCATGCTCTTCGCTCTATGATCAGAAAACCCAAGTTTACATTGTTATGTTGTTTCTAAACATATTACCAAGAATACAAGATACTGGAGGGCTCATGCTCTCCACCTAACATATTTACTATGTAAGGAAAACCTGGTTAGTTAGCTTCTGCTCTTAGTTATACACGTTTCATGTTCTGTTTTTGTTTAGTTAGCAAATTTAGGCTTCTCCATTATACTATTTCAGGTGAACGATGCGCGATTGATCAAGAGTTGGTAAGCTTTCCTTAATTACTATTGACAATTGTGATACCATTTTACTTATTTAGTATAGGAACTATATAATGTCTGATGAGCAGTATTCATTTCAAACTGGTACTTTAAAGTTTTCAAAGGTTCATTGTATTGAACAAGACCGAAGGCATGAACTTCTTTCAGAATAAGTAAAAGCTTTTTTATTGATCAGATGATATTTTTTTGCTCCAAAAGTTACATCATTTAGTACATAATTGATAAAAAGGTACCCATTCAAAGAATAAAAAGTTAAAAAACTACTCAATTTACAAAGGGAACGATGCGCGAGGAAAATTAGTTCCCTATTCTAGAGGAGACTTATTCATTCGGCCAATAACGTATACTGATATCAGATATTACTGTGAGGAAAAGCACATTCGATCCTTTCTAATGAGGCTATCAAAATTCCAAATAACCAGTCTGCTCGAGAGTTGGCTAATAAAAGCAAGAACTGTCTTTTTTTTTTTTTTTTGGTCAACCAAAGCAAGAACTGTCTAGCGTCAAAACATAATGAAGTTATGTTTACTGTATATATTTTCTGAGCGGTTAACCAAGCTTGAAACAAGGTACATTAACTTGAACTTTACATTTTGTTTAGCAGCTTATTAAAAAAATGAAACAAATAATTTCAAAAAATAATCATTAAAGTTAGTAGATAATATAATACTATACTGTGTGGTTGAGCTGCGTAAAATAAAGAGAGACGAAAGTGTTTCATGCGCTTGGTACTCTAATTTTTTCTTCCAGTTACATGGGAAAAAGAGAAAAAGAAAAATATATTTACACCATTAATTTTAATAGAAAATCATTAAAAGTAGCATTTTACAGTTAGAAATTCAAACATATTAAACACATGTTACAGTTAAATTCCTCAAAATTCTGTATGGAATAATCAAATGGAAAAGATCTTTATTACTTAATCTAATTAAACTTCAACAAGATAGCAATTGCTTTTTGGAAAGTTAAAAGCATATCCAATGGAGGAGTTTCTCATGAAGTTATGAAAGAGTGAGAGTTTCTCAAAACAGAACTTTTGAGAATCCCTTGAGAAATCCAAAAGATATGTGTATGACTTTTATTGATTGGTTCAAATGTTTTTATATGATTAAAATTTAATTGTAAAACTCAAATTATATTAAAATGTGATTATTTTTTGAGAAACTACAAACAATCTCCATCCATGGTTCTTAAGGAGTTTATACAAACATATTTTTAAAATATGTAATAATATAATATTGTATGAGATTCTTAAAATTAAGAAATTAAAGTAACTCTCCAAAGTTTTCATAAACAAGATAATTTAGAACCCTCTCTTTATTTTTAAAAACTCCATAATTACTGTATTTGTTAATATTTCTTTTACTTCAATATTACTCGAAAGTAGGTGCTCTAACATTTACACGTCTGGAAAGAAAGGCAATTTTAACCCGAGATCGCTAGCTTCGCGCTCTCAATAGGAAATCAATATTATTTGGTCGCTAGATTAAAGAACGTGACACGACTTTCTGGCTTTGGATGCTTGATGTTTCATGGAGAAGGGTCTGGGGTTTAAGGGTGATGGTCTCTAGATCTTACAGGTTTCTTTTTCTATCTTCTCTCTCTCTTTTCTGTTTTTTTTTCACTCTCTAAAGCTACAGGTTATTATTACTTTCGGTTTAAGTCTCTCCTCTATTTGATAAAGTAAGTACGAGCTAGAGAAAAATCGTATATATTATTGATTTATAAAAGGTACTCCATTTTTTCTTCCAATCACATGGAATATATATATATATATATATAACATATTTATAACATTTTACTACAAACTTTTACTCCTTTTTTTCTTAGTTGAACCGAGAGTAAGGAAAAATTAACATTACAACTTTTAAAGTTCTTCAGTTTACTCTATCGCGCGTACTCTATTTTTTTTTTTCCTTCTCTGTTACTCTGTCTCTACATGGATTACTTTTTACCTTTATTACTCCAAAGTGTTACCATATGTTCAGAAAAAGGGTTAAGTACACGGTACTTAACTAGTCACATGACTGAGGAACATCAATAGGTCACGATCTGTAAGTTTTTATTAATGCCATAAAACAAAACCTTCAATGGCATGCTTTCATCTTACATGTAAAAGACCAATAAAGTTTGTCTTTAGTCGACAGTAAATCAGATACATTCCATATATAGTTTCATTATTTTTTATATTCTTGTGGCGACACTGAAATAACTGGTTAGTTGTGGGAACAAGACCAACAACAACATATAAACTAATTTAACATACGCAAACTCAACAAAAAATATAGTTCATAAGTACAAGCTAGAATGATGCACCTACACAACAATGTAACAAAATCCTAAACGAATATGAAAAACACTCTTTAAGTGGGCAATTTATTTTCTTGTTACGTAACTTACATGTAAACTCTTGTAGTTATAACCTTTATTGAGTATATTAACTAGTCATCTCTCAACTGGTAAAATGCACACAAACAAACCTTTTCTAGGGGTTTATGTATACAGTGCACAACTTAACGCTACGTCTAGATTTATTAATTATCTAACGCTACGTTTATTGATTGTCTACGTTTAATATTTCTTAATCCAGGAGAAGAAATGTGTTGCGAAAGCTGGCTGCAAAGTAAGGAATATAAGTTTTATGTTTGATACTTAGTTAATTAGTCTTTTTTTTTTTGTTGTTAAAGCTTAGTTAATTAGTCTTACACATCCATACTCGATCGTCTAGCGAGTATGCTAACTGTAGTTTTATTAATTTGTTCGTAAAGTTTGCATAAATACATCCTCTCTACTTTCTAGATCTCTGTGTTTTTAAGCACTATAAATGTATTCTTCTGTACTCGCAAACTTTTCTGACTTTTAATTAGTCTTGTTTGGCAAAATATTTCCATTTTTGCATGCATAAGTTTCATATTTTGCATAATTTATCTTCATTGCACTGCGATTCTTTACCTAAACTTCTGACGGTGGACGTTCATCGCCCATAGGAAGGATAGTAAGAATTGTTAAAGTAACGTTTGATGAAATAAATCGAATAAAAAAAAAATCGAATAGTGGTGTTGACCCTAAAGAAAAAAAAAACGAGTAATACTATCATTCTCTCTCTAGGGACAAATTGTCTATGTTTTTTGGTAGCTAGATTAAAAAAGTGACACGTTCTTTTGGCTTTTGATGCTTGATGTATCTTTCATGGAAAAGGGTCTGGGGTTTAAGGGTGATGTTCTCTAGATCTTACAGGTTTCTTTTTCTATCTTCTCTCTCTCTCTCTCTCTCTCTCTCTCTCTCTCTCTCTCTCTCTCTCTCTCTCTCTCTCTCTTTTTTCGCCCTCCAGAGCTATAGGTTATTATTACCGCTTAAATCTCCACGATTGATAAGAAAGAAGAAAAAAAAAAAGAAGCTAGAATGATGCACCTACATAATCATGTAATAAAATCTAAAACGAATACGAAAAACACACTTTAAGTGGGAAATATACATGTATCGTAACTTACATGCTGAACTCTATATATAGTTATAACCTCTATCGAGTTAGTAGTTAGACATCTCAACTGGTAAAAGCACAAAAAAACCTAAACACCGTTTTTTTTTTAATGTAGCTATGCGCCTAATGGAGTTACGTGACTACTTCATGTATATCCTACTCTATTTTTTACTATATTACTTTCTCAGAAAAAGGGTTACGTACAAGGTGCTTGGTTAGTCACATGCTGGGGAACATCAATAGGTCACGATCTGTAAGTTTTTATAATTAATGCCACAATACAAAACCTTCAATCGCATGGCTTTCGTATTACATGTATAAGGCCAATAAAGTTTTGTCTTTGATCGACAGTAAATCAGAAATATTCCTTATATAGTTTCGTTTTTTTATATTTGTGTGGTCCACACTTAAATAACGTAATTCAGTTGTGGGAGCAAGACCAACAACAACAATAAAAAATCCTATGATACACATGTTCGAAGACCACCAGAAAAGTACTACGTGAAAAAGAAAAAAAAAAATATATCTTCCAAACTTCATAAATCCTTGTGCTCTTATCTGATTGGACAAAAAAAGAGTAAGGGAAATAATAGTATACTATTTTCCAGCTATAAATATAAGACTAAACCATCCCCTCTCCTCCTACCATCTTATTTATCTTCTCACTTTCTCCTCTCTTCCATCGTATCTCTCTTTCTCAAGCTTTTACTTATAAAATGTCTCTCTATTTCAGAATTTTTTTGACTCGAATGCCAATTATTGAGTGTGTTTTACATTTTCTAGATGGAATAGAGCATTTTGTGAGGAAGTATACAAACATGATATATTTTCATTGGGGCATGCTATGTTTCCAAGCTTTTATAGCTTGTGGAGGTAGCATAGCTTGTGCAATTCAGATCCAAAATAAACCATTTAAGGGACCTCTCACGGCACCCATTTTAGTATTTGGAGCTCTTATGATTGTTTCATGTCTTTTATTTGTAGTTGGGTTTTATAGGTCTATGAAATCTTTTTATAAGATTTGGGTTGATAGATATTTTTGTTTGCATATCATCATAAAAGTGGCCGGTTCTATTGCAGTTCTTAAAGGTTTTGTAGCCCTTTCAAATATTGTTGAAAAGGACAAACATTTAAATGGTTGGGCATTAGGTTTTTTTCTATCTTGTCAAGTTGTTATAACCACTGTGGCTAAATTATATGGTAGAGAAGATGCATTTGGCGCTGCAGATAGTCTAACAGCAATTTCTGTCATGATTTTTGTTAACTATGATAACACTAAACTCAGTAATGGCATTTGGGCAGTTTTTTACGGGGTCGTTTTTATTTTGGGTATTTTCAAAGGGTCTGAAATCGCTTTAAAAGGAAAGGTCTGTGGAAAGCCCGCTGATGAAGATGAGGAACCTGAAATCCTTACTAAACCTACTCTTCTTAAAAAAAGACGACATGGGGAAATTTGGAGACTGCCTCTTAATGCTACACTAGTTGTAGGAGGCTCTGGTCAGATGGAGTTGACCTACGTGTGAGAGCGAGAGAGCTTTTCCTTTAGTATGTTTTTTTTCTTTTTGTTGTTGTTCTGTATTGTCTGTTTTTAATTAATGCATTTTTGTTGTTTTTTAATTATCAACCAGTTGTAATGCTCAGTGGAGTCTTTTCTCCTAAATATAATATTTCTGGTCTTTCTAAAATTCTAGTAATTTAAAAAAAAATAAAACATACGAAATCCGAAAATAATCAGCTTGTGAAAATGAAAAACCGATCAAAATTAAAGATTGACTCTTTAGTTTCCTCTAATATATTAATGTACGAAAATATACATGTCTTTTTCTAGGTGTATTATGCATGCCACATCTTACCATGTAGTATGGATCAGATGGGTCGGTGGTGGAACCCATAAAATTTCTCATTAAATATATAAAATACAAAAAAATCTTACAGTGTCCTCTTTAAACCTCTGAGCAAATGATGACCTCTATTTTTCATTTATTAAAAGGCAAAGGCGTTACTTAAGGTTTCCATTTTTTGGGATATCAATTAATTGTTACGCTAGATTCTATTCTTCTGATCGTAAAAGTTTGAGAAATTATGAAATGATTAAGTTTAGTCAAGTTAATAAAACATCTCAAGACCTAGCTAGATGTTTAGTACTCCAGATTGAGAAAAGAAGCGAAGAAAAAACTAAAGGGCAAAACGTTGGCCGGCCAAGAGCAGCGGCGGGGACGTGTTTTTTTGGAGGAGAGAAGCGAGAGTGAAGATACGGCGAGATGATATAATCGAAAGCCCTATGATCCATCTACTATGGTAAAGTTAATACATTTTAAGACCTTGACTAATACTATAATTTATGTAAATAAGCAGTAAATAATGGTACGATATTTTTTTGACACATTTGGTTCGGTTATACTCTAAGTCTAAGTGAATTAGTTATAATTTAAGTTTTCTTGGAGTACGTACAATAATACTATACGTACGAATGATAGTGTACGAATTTTAATCAAAGAAATACTTTCCGAATGATCCAAAAAAACAAAAGGTCTGGTTAAATTTCCCCATAAATCTGTGGATTTTTTTTTTTTTTTAAGTGTACGTGTTACAGACTTACAGGGTAGTGCTTAATTGTCATACCAGTCTTACGTATTTTTGTTTGATCAAAATTATCAGTCTTATTCTTACGTATTGTGTGTTACGTATTTTAGATTGTGCTAATAGATTGCTCTAATATTTTTTTTTTCTGTTCAAGATATTAAAATTTGAGACAACGAATAATTAAAATAAAGAGAAAAGGACATCTAATATGTATGAGATTGCTCTATAAAACATATTACTTAGGTGGTATACCGTATACAATGGACCTTTTAACAAAAAAAAGGGTGGTATACAGTGCACGACTTAACGCTCCGTTTATTTATTAATTATCTAAGGTATATTTCTTAATCCAGGATAAGAAATGTGTTGCGAAAGCTGGCTGCAAAGTATAAGTTTGATGTTTGATACTTAGTTAATTAGTCTTACACATCCATACTTGATCGTCTAGCGAGTATGCTAACTGTAGTTTTATTAATTTGTTCGCAAAGTTTGCATAAATACGTCCTCTCTAATATCTATGTGTTTTTAAGCATTATAAATGTATTCTTCTCTTCTCGCAAACTTTTAATTAGTCTTGTTTGGCAAAATATTTCCATTTTTGTTAAATGGATATGGCTAGAGAAGTGCTACAAACATGATAAAGTTATAAAGTGTTTGTTTTCTGTTAAGAATGTCCTTTACTGAGTTTGTTGAATGCAAGATATACAGAAATGAGCGGTTAGTTGTAGGCTTGAGACAGCCTACTCTTGCTGGTATGAAGTTCCACTTGAGCCACAAATGGAGGTCTAGGCTATTGCGATCATATCGTGGATAACATTGTGCTCATCACAAGTCCTGTCAAAATTAGATATTCAGTTTGGGAGCAGCAAAGTGATGAGGTTGACATGATGCAGCATGAGGTCTCTAAACTAGAGAAACTAAACTTGGACATAAAGCAGAGTATCAGCACCGTGTTGGCTGAATTTTTGAGACGCATAGTTATAGTGTTTTTTTGCAGAGTTACACTTAGCTTTCCAAGAGACTCATACATATCATAGTTGTTTAATTATGCTGAAGCAGTGGTCTTTGCAATTTGTGTTTCAACAGAGGAAACAAGGAACTGGGAAACCGTTGTTCTTACATAGAGAGCTACAACAGATCTGGTTTATCTTTTGAATAATCGGCTTGTTCAAATCAACAAAAATATGTCACATGCTCTAAGTAGACAAGTCCCAGTTCTGCTCTTCTTAAGGTTGAATGGTTAATGCTGCAACACATGAGTTTCCACACTCAATGGAAAACATTTCAATACATTCTCATGATCATCAAACGGGTTTCCTAACGATGCATCAAATTCTGCTAGACAGGAAGAATTTATTGTAGTTGAGAAGTTACTTGGAGACAATTCTCTTATTACATGGCTGGTTCTGAAGCTTGAATTGAGGTTCATTCTGAAGCTGGGTTTTAGACACAGTACGACGATTTGGTTCAGCTCAGGACTGAACGTCAAGGCTCCTCAGGTCTGGACTACTTCACTTGCTTGATTACTATACGGAACCAAGTCTTACAATGTGATTGTGAATCTGGTCATATAGTTCTGGAACACTCTCTGTTGCTGATTTCGTCAATGGTTTTCATCACACTGCAACTGCTGTTATTGTTCTGCAGTTATGCCTCTTTCTCAAGACAGATCGCAGACTGTTTTACGGTGTTATTGATCTCTGTTGCTGTGAGATTAACTAATGTGTCCTGTGTTGCTAAATATGAGCATAAGTTATGGCTTTTAGTGGCTCACTGGTTTGATTAAGCAGCTAGAGATAACATCTGAACAATGCTATAGGTTCTGTCCCGCCAAGTTCGATGCTCATGTCTCTGCATATGGAAGAGGAATAGACACGCCATATGATATAAATGAAGTAACAGATCAAGGTTTGGCTCGACTCCTATATCAGCTTTCAAAGATGGTGCTTTGGTGGTTGCTTCTCATCTTTTACAAGATGCTTTGGAGATCCTCTGCTTATCAATAGAAGATTCTAGGCGAGGACTTTATATCTTCGACAAGGAGTTTAGTTTGCAGATTGCTACCAATGCGTTTGTATGATTAGGCTATGCAAATTTTGAAATCCTATAATTTGAAAACTATTATAGAACTTGGAAGGTTGAAAATGTTATATGGAACTTACAGAAGCTTCGCTTTACTTCACTTCCATAATTTGAACAAACAGGCAGATATTAGATACTGACAGCGAGAATACTGGTGGTGAAAATATGAATTCTGTTGGTGAAAATAACATAAATGGAAAACAAGAAATTCAAATCTTCAAAATTTTCCGTCAAAACACAAGTGACAAATCCAAAAGTGAATTTATTGTTGTCAACCAAAAATAAAAAATAGTTCCACTCCATCGTAATTTAAGTGATCCAGAATTCCAAACACAAACTTCACACATCAACGTTCCATGACCATTGATTACCTGTCCCATACACAAACCAAAACAAGAAAACATTCACTAAAAACAATAAAATCTATTAATGAAAACCAACAAAACAAATTTTTTTCAAGGAAAATGAAAGCTTACAGTTAAACTGAAATCAGAGATACTTGGGCGGACTCGTCACTTGACATTGTAACTAAATACGAGTCTTGTCTTCTTATCGGTGACATTCTGACCCGCTACTACTAACTTACCAGGTTCCGTCACCGTGAATGTGCAGTGAATGTGCAACTGAACAGAGTTGATGAGTCTACTGTTTTCCTCTCCACTGGAATTTCCGTGAACACATTCTCATCACTAGCTTGTGTAAAAGTCGACTTGCCTTCTTCTGTTGTACTAAAAGTCCCTGGGAAAAATGCTGACGTGTAAGTCAAGCAACTTCCCACAGACCTGAAAGTGAGATTGATCTCACATACCTGCAAAAACAACAAGAAAATACTTTGGTTTTCAAAACTTCAACCCAACAACATATTCTAAGTAAACAATTTTTATAGATTTGTACTAACCACAGGGCATTCAATCTCAAGTGTCTTTCTTCGTCCGGGATTGATACTTATTGAAGAAGATATATCGTTAACAGAGAAGTCTTCGGGTTTGTTACTCAATCCTCCAAACTGGGTGGGAATTTGGTTCGGTTTGATGTACCTAAAACCAAAAAATGTCAAAACTAAACAAAAGAAACATATAAAGGATAATTACAAAAAGTTGTTAGAATCATCAATCAATTACTTTGTCAGAGTTTTAAATGATTTCGATTTACGAGCCAACACAATCTCTCTACTCATGGAGCTTGATGCGAGTCTTAAAGACATCAGTTTGAAGTAGATGTATTCCTTCATAGTGGTGTTGATGAAAATCTGGAAAAAACAAATTTTCAGATCAAAATCAATGAATAAGTAGGGTATCTCAGTGAAGATAGTATATAAGATGTAGTTAGAGTTAGTAAAACGAATTGAAAGTAAAAGGTGTACCTGTTTGAAGGCGAAGTCAGAATAGTGGTTTTGAAGCAACTTGAGTCCCGGTTTGGTTAGTCTGGAGATCGTATCACGCTGTGTACCAGAAAGTCCCAGATGATTATGCAGGTCGATGACGTGAAGAATGGGAGAAACGACACCCGAGAGCGAATATTGTTCCCGTATAGTTTTCTCCATGACCATTGTCCTGCTGGTCACGAAATTAGTCACAAAATTCCCCAGAGCCGTCTCATCAGAGAGTATATCTATACTGAAGTCACAAAATACTTTCTCGTACAAAACTGGGTGTCCTGAGACGTCAACTCCGTGCATGAACTTGGAGTTTAGATGATCCAGAGAAGAGTGCACCTTAGTGTCGATATCTGAAGTCTTTCTCCACTCCATCGTTTCCTTGAGCATGTTCAACGTCTCCTGGACCTTGAAGTTCTTGGCTCTTAGGAATTTCATCAACACAATTTCACTTCCCTCTTGTTCAAGCAATGGGATCCCCCAAATTGTTTTTTCACATTCAGGACTAGCTTGCAGAAAGGTTCGCAGTTGATGCGTCAATTCTCGGAGAGCTCTCTTCTGTAAAACAGAGAGCTGTTCTTTCTCCTGTAAAACGGAGAGGTGTTCTTTCTCTGGTAAAACAGAGAGGTGTTCTTCCTGATGAAACGTATTTGTGACTATGGCCTCAAGGAAGGGGGAGAGAGCTCGGCAGATCTTATCTGGAACATTTGGTTCATCTACAGTTGCATTCAATATTGCTCTCCCGATTTGAAGCATGTCTTCCGGTGATATAGATGAGAACTGATTGTTTTGGGAGTGAAAAAACTTCAAGAGACGTTTAAGAGTCCAAACCGTTGCGTCTCTGACGTGCTTATTCTCGTCCTTGGTTGCGGCGAGGATAATTTTTAAGTCGGCAGCAACAATCTCGGAGAGCTTGTCGGCTGTTGGGCCCTCAAAAATTGATCCAAAAGCATAAATAGCCGCTTTCTTGCCATCACAGTCCGTAGTCATTACGTTTTCTTCAAAAAATGCGCTCACATGAGGGACAATATCATCTCCAAGCGTTCTGGCAACGAGGCCAAGGCATGTCCTTCCAGCCTCAAATATGTCCGGTTTTTTGTCCTGCATCGTTAGGCTGGCTAGCAACTTGGGAACCAAATCGTGAAGAGCCTTCTCTATGGAACCGTTAGTGTCACCAACTTTGACACACTGTTGAGCTATCTTTCCCTCACAGATAGAACACCAGACCTTAATTGCATGCACGGCAGCGCTCTCACCATCTCTCCCATCAAGATCAGATGTTACAGCAACAAGCCTGTCCATGAATTTGTCCATGAATTTCTGCTCGACAAGATATTGGTAGTTTTTGGAAGCAATTGAACCAAGGCATTTGATCACAGAGTTCTTGATATCTGCCTCCTTTGAATTGGTTTTCTTGAACAAAATATCAAGCACCCATTTTGCTATGTCTACATCTTCAAAGGATTTCTGGTAAAGAAGTACAGAATCCAATGCCTTTGTTGCTGCAAGACGAAGCTCTGTATTCCCATCTTCCCTATCTATGATATCCAACAATTCTCTAAGGAAGTCACTAACCTCCTTTTGCTCAAGATCATGATGGGATATCTGTTCACAGACATAGCCCAATGTTTCCACCACTATTGACTGCTTCAAACGTGCATTGGACTGAGACTTCATACTTTCAAAAATCCCAGAGTCTCCACACCACTGCTGCTTCTTAGGAATTTCAATTGTCGCTATCTTAACAATTATCTGAGCTGACATTTGTCTCACCTCTACCATAGAGGAACCCAGATTTACCACCAACTGTTCTTTGATCTGATCTTTATGAATACCATCAATTACTAACCAACGATGAACTTCCCCTGCAGAATCCTTTGTGTCGAGAGACTCCTTTAGCATATCACCAGCGACTTTGAGCGTTTCAGCATTAACTTTCTTCGAAATCTGAGAGGTCAGGTTCAGTAAAAAGTCATGGAAGCTCTTTTCTCGCAGTTGCTTGAGATAATCCATTGCTTTAGTACTTCTTCCTCTATCCGCTGAACTTACATCGTTTAAGTATGGAGTCAAATCGATGGACATTATCTTCTCTGCACAAAGTAAATGCAACAATCATTATCCACAAAGGTTAGTTGAAAACAAAACAAATTAACTCTCTATTAGAAACTTTGCTCACCACTATTTGCAGAATGTATGTTTTTTATTCTATCGTCAAAATAGAATTTGTCTGAAACCACCTTGTATTCATTATCTTCGGGAGACAGGAAGAAGATTTGTGTGAACTGTCGCTTAGATCGATCCTTATCCTTTGATGTGAAGGAGCCGTGCACAGTGACTTCCCTCTTTCCATGTATGGATTTGCCAGGATCAATGTTCAAAATCACCGCGGACTCAAAACCCCCATAGGATAACATATTGAGTCTGTTATCGTAGTCCTGTTCCAAAATAAATTATATTCAGTTTGTTTGTTAAGATAATAGATTAATCAAGAGAAGAGTTATAAATCAAGAGAAGAGAAGAGTCTGTTACCTTAATAGTAAAACTTTCCATTCCGTCTGTTCCAGGTCTTGTAATGAGGCTGTTCTCTTCGTAGAGTCTATGGAGAAGATAGACTCGATCCTTGATTTGCAAGAGCTCGAAATAATATTCGACAAACTTATCTACCCCTATTTCCTGAAAAAAAAAAATAGAAAAGGATGATTTCGTTAGTGAAAGAAAATGATTTTACCTTATCCCTAACAATATCCGATCCGATTCATAGTGCCGACAAACAATGGTGAAATATTGGAAACAGAGAACTTTTGGAACTGAAATTTCGATTGATGAACTTGAAATATGTAAAAGGAAAGCTTAAATAAGTCTTAAATAACAAACTCAAACTAATTTCATAAAAACCTGCAACTACGATCAACGACTCCCCTAAACTGGACTCGGTAAACGTTAAAGACTTGACGCAGAAGTCTTCTTATTCTTCAGTTCCTCCCCTAAACTGGAATCACTCTGTTTCCAGTTTACTCTTCTTTCTCACCAACTCCCATCTCACTTCTAAGCTTCTCAAATACTTCAAGCTTCACCGGTTTTGTCATAATATCAGACAACTGCTCTTGTGTGTGACAATACTCCAGCCTAATGACCTCCTCATTCACAAGTTCACGAAGAAAATGGTACCTTACGTGAATATGTTTGCTTCTACCATGAAGAACTGGATTCTTGGAGAGCTTAATTGTCGAACTGTTGTCACAGAACAGAACAGTTACTCCTTCTTGATGATAACCGATTTCTGCAAGAACGTTCCTCAACCACACAGCTTGGCAAGCTCCATCTGCAGCTGCTACGAACTCTGCTTCAGTTGTTGACAACGTTACGATAGGTTGACGACCATGACACAGCTCCATTTCCATACATAAATGTATAGCCCGAAGTGCTTTTCCTATCGTCTTCATCTCCTGCATAGTCACTATCCACATACCCGACTAACTCCTCCTCACCATACTGTCGCAAGTACTGAATACCGTGACTTGTGGTACCTTGGATGTACCTCATTATTATCTTAGCAGCCAACATATGTTGTTCATTTGGACTCTCCATGTATCTGCTCTCTAAGTTGACTGAATAAATCAAATCAGGTCTGGTTGGAGTCAAGTAGCTTAGACTACCGACAATTTTCTTGAAAGTGGTTGAATCCACAGCTGATCCAGCTCCTTCCTTTGTCAGTTTACAGCCTGGAACAGTTGGATTCTTGACAGAGTTGCAGTCTTGCATCCCAAAACTCTTTAGAATCTCCATTGCATACTTTTTCTGGTGAATGAATATTCCTTGCTCATCTTGCTTCACTTCTACGCCCAAGAAATATCTCATATTTCCGAGGTCTGTCATTGAGAACTCCTCCATCATTGACTTTTTGAAGCTATTCATCAGTTATTCCGAGTTGCTTGTGTAGATAAGATCAGTTACATAAAAGACTTATGATCAAAGTTTTTTCTCCTTCTGTTTTTACAAACAGTAGCATTTCTTGAACCCCTCCTTCATGAAATAACCTTCGATCCTGCTGTACCAAGCTCTTGGTGCTTGTTTCAAGCCATACAATGCCTTCTTCAGCTTGTAAACCTTCTGACTATCTTCTCCTCTCAGCTCAAAACCTTTTGGCTGCTCCACATAGACATCCTCGTTGAGCTTTCCATGGAGGAAAGCGCTCTTAACCACCAGCTGATAAACATTCCATCCCTTTTGAGCTGCCAAAGCGAGTATTAACCTTATTGTGTCCCACCTAGCCACTAGTGCGAACACTTCATGAAAATCAATCCCATGCGTTTGATGAAATCCTTTGGCCACCAATCTCGCTTTGTATTTGTCGACTTCTCCTCTTTCATTGAGTTTGGTTTTGTAAACCCATTTGACTCCAATCACTTTAGCTCCCTCTGGTTAGGAAACTAACTCCCAAGTATCTGATAGGATGTGAAGGGCTTACGTGGTAGTGGAGAATGTTGAGCTGGAAGTAAGAAGAAGAATAAGGAAGGCGGCTACGTGAGAGAAGTTGTAAATAGAGAGAGATTGTAAGTGAGAGGGTTATGCTTAATCTTGTAGTTGAGAGAGAAGACGCTATGGGTCTTTGAGGGTCATGAGAGAAGACGCTCATGGCGATTGCAAATCGATTCTAAAGAGATAGTGATCTCATGTCGATCATGACCCTCAAAGACTCATGGCGTCTTCTCTCTCAACTACAAGATTAAGCATAACCCTCTCACTTACAATCTCTCTCTATTTACAACTTCTCTCACGTAGCCGCCTTCCTTATTCTTCTTCTTACTTCCAGCTCAACATTCTCCACTGCCACGTAAGCCCTTCACATCCTATCAGTATCATTCTCTTCTATCGATGCAGTCTCAGCTTCCATTGCCTTTCTCCATTTATCATACTTGACTGCATCTTCGAATTTGCTTGGATCATCTTCTGAAACGAAAAATGCTATCAGCTCTTCTCCATCTTCTTCCATGTATAATCCCACGCCAAAGCATTCATAGTCATTCATCCAGACTGGTTTTTGGTGGAATTCTTCTAGCACCATTCCTACTTGTACCTTGCTCTGCAGATTTTGCTTCTATCTCCTTTGCGTTTTCAGTTTGTGAGCCGGTGACTGCAGTGGCTTCTTCTGATTGTGGTGAGGCTGTGACAGCGGTTTGTTCTTCCTCACCATTGCTCTCTTCTCCTTCTTCTGGCTCATAATATTCTTCTCCAAGAACAAAGAGTCTCTTCTCGTTCTTCTTCCTCCTATCTTCATTCTCCTTTTTATCCCAATCCCACGATCTCTTCTCATCAAACTTTACGTCTTTGCTGGTGATGATCTTTTTCGAAACTGGACCATAGAGTCTGTAGGCTTTTGACTCTTTGCTGACGCCAAGCATCACACACATAATACTCTTCTCATCAAGCTCTATGCGTTTCTCATATGGTACCAACGCAAAAGCTACACAGCCAAAGACACGTAAATCCTCAACAGAAGGTTTGTGCTTACTCCATTTTTATGTTGGTGTGACTTCTCCCAAGACTTTTGTAGGACTCCTGTTCAGTATATGCACCGCATACTGAACTGCTTCTGGCAAAAAAATCAGAGGAACTTTCATTCCAAACAGCATACATCTCGCCATATTCATCAAGCTTCTGTTCTTTCTCTCTGCTGTGGTCTTTTGATACCATTCTCCACGCAGAACTCTTGAAATGCCTTTGAAGTGAACTCTCCACCTCTGTCAGTTCTCAGGCAAATCAAGGGCTCGCCTATCTCTCTTTCTGCAGCAGCTTTGAACTCCTTAAACATCTTAAAAGCCTCTGATTTCTCACTGAGAAAGAACGTCCAGCATTTTCAGCTATAGTCATCAATGAAGTTAAGTATGTACCTCTTCCCACTTGATGAGATTGGCGATATAGGACCGCAGATGTAGCTGTGTACGAATTCTGGTGTCTTGTTTGACCTCCATACACTCTGCTTCGGTATGCTCTCACGGTTTTGTTTCCCCTTCATGCAGATATCACACAAAACTCGACCATCAATGAGTTTCGGAAGACCTATCACCATCTCCTTCTATGCGAGTGTGGCTAGACTGTGATGATTTGGGTGCCCAATTCTCTTGTGCCATATCTCTTCATCAACTTCGATTGTGCTTAGGAGATGGTTCACTTAAGATTTCTTCTTTTGGTTCCTTCATCTTGCCTAATATCACAAACATCCTGTTTGTCGACATTATTGATCGCATGAGCACTCTTCTCTGCTGCTTATGCCAGACTTCACACACGTCATCTTCTATAGCTTGACTTGTTGGCGAAATCTCAGAGAACATCTTGGGAGATCTGGTGCAAATTTTCTCGACTTAGCATCTTGGGACTTACTGGATTTTCCTCAGACTCAGAGAGCTCTTCCACGTGTCTTGACTGTTCCTGGTATCGTCTCTGAGCTGGAAGGAGGCGCTGTTGATGGATCCTCCGATGTTAACTCCTCCAGCGGCTCACACGAGCGGAAGATTATAGTGGCGAACATAATCTTCACAAGTGAAACCACTTGCGAACCTAACTATGCTCCATGTAGAATGCATATCGTGTGATTTCTTAAACATCTCCTCAAACATCTAACGTTTAATCAACTCAACGTTCTTTCTCAGTGAGAAATCTAACGTTTACCGAGTTTTATTCTTAGGATGCCAAAAGAAGCAAACTTTGAGTTTTATATAAACTCTTATCCCTAACAATATACGATTCATAACAAACAATGTGAAATTTCTTAATCTGGAAATCAATTAAGAAATCAATTAACAGTATGGGATTCATAACAACCCAATACAACCTCGTTCATAATCAAAACCAACTTCCGATATCAAAGCAGCAATTTTTAGTTAAAATGAAGGACATACCCTGGAAGCCGGTGCCGAGAGTGCCGAGACCATCGGAAGAAGAAGCTGCTCCAGCCATGTCGTCGAGAGAAATCAAGGTCGAAGCTTTTTTTTGTTTTCGGTTTTAGAAAAGGTAAAAGCTTGAAAATTCAAAGTAAAACCCTTAAAACCGTGTTCGAAAAATGAAAGCAAATGCAGCTTCTCCAAAAGCAAAACGGAGCCTTGAAAAACCAGAGAGTTTTGGGAAATCTAGCTCTTCAAATATCTCGAGAGAAATCAGAAAAGGTAGTTGTTTTGGGTTTTAGAAAAGGTAGAAGCTTTTTTGGTTTTGGGTTTTAGAAAAGGTAGAAGCGAAAACGCTTAAATCCGTCTGTGATAGCTTTGGGTAAATGAAGAGAGCTTTGAGAACAGAACAAAAATGATCAAATGAAGAGAGCTTTGTCAAATTTGTTAAAGTTACACCAAATTTGTTAAACCTGTAATTTTTCGTCTCGTAGTAGATTACTAAAAAGTAAGCATAAAAAACAAAGTTTTTTGGAGCTACAGAGGATGAGCTGTAAACAATGGCGCCTGATGAACAGAACAAAAATGATCCTCTGGCAATTTTTTTATAATCTTATAATTTGATATCAATTAATCAAATATGTAGTTGTTAAATAAAAGAAAGATAATAAGTTAATAACGTTCATCAATTTTTTTGGAAAATAGAATATTAAATATTTAATGCTGACGGCAATATTTAGAGAAAAAGGAAGAGATTGGAAGGAAAAACATTTGCTAGGATTGGAACTCTCGAAGGTAAAACAAATAAAGGACGACTCAAACCACTAGAAGAAGGGAAGATTTTGAAATATGAAGCACCTAAACTGTTAATATCCTTTAGCCGCATGTAGTCCTGTGCATTTTGGGTTTTTTCCCGGGAATTGACGGGAACGATACGGGAATGAGAAATTTATGAAACCAAATATGATACCGAAGTATTTCCTTATTATAATGGGATGAGAAGTAACGGGAATGGAAAAAGAACGAGAAATTTGGGAATAAAAAAATAATACCTGAAGCCTTAATAAATCAGGAAAATTGAAAATATTTCGGGAAATTACGGGGAAATATGTGAAAATACGAGAAAATATGAAAAAAAAAATTGGGATATTTAAGAAAAGAATATCTAATTTTCAATTTTTTATTTTCTTAAACGAGAAAATTGGGAAATCCGGTATCCTTCTTGAACCCTTTCTTTACCCGTTTGAATGGAAGAAATGTTCTCAAACGGGAAATTGCAAATTCCCATTCCCAAAAAGTTTGGAAAATTTTAAACGGATAAGGGTGGAAACGAGATTCCCGTCCCGAAATGCACAGAGCTAGCCCCAGGGCCGGCCCTTGCTGTAAACTCCAGGTAAAATCCAGATATTTTGATAGGTGTCTCCATCTCTGTCTTTCAATCTGATTTTGTATGAAGGGATGAGATTCGATTTGAGACCTTGATGGCCCGTACAAGTCTTTGTCGTTTATTGAACTACTAAAGTAAAGTATTTGTTTTTGAAGGATTGAACGGATTTCTAACCGTTGCAGGTTGAGACGCTGTCGTTTGATCTTCTCGATCCATTCCTTTGCATTGGATGAAACGCAGCCGTTTTGTCTTACACCTGAACCTGCTGTTGCAGACAGAGTCTTTGGTTCTTTTGCCTCCATTTTGTTATTTGAAAGCTTTACACTGTTTTGTTTTGTTTTGCTCGACTGGGCTTCTTCTCTGATTGTTGGCCCATTGTGTAATCTTCTGGAACTGCTTTTGATTCGTTGAGCCCAAACCATTTGCCTTTGGTTGCTATACTTGCTTGATATTGATGACAGTTGAGTACAGACTCTCACTCTCTCCTTCTCCAGTGATTATCCTTTCAAACCTCCAAAGATCAAGTTCGAGACATGTTGCTTTCACCCCCAACGTTGATGTGTATGGCTATATCTGCTTGGATATTATTATCATAGTTATATAGACGCATTCTTTGTAGGTTTTGTGAAAATGTTAGGAAGGTTTTATATTTTCTTTGTTTCTGGTGTTCTTGTGATGAAATGTACGGGAGGAGTCGCAGGTTGGCTTTGGAATGTAAGGAAGAGAAGGACCAGAAACTGATGGTGAGGAAGCTGAAGCATTCTCTTGAATTGTGCTAGTTTGAAAGACAATATCTTCGTTACAATTAATCTACAAAACAAAAACTAAAAACAATAACTCTTCGTAAGAACGTGTTGCTCAAGGTAATTTAAAATCAATATGTAAAGAGTATAAGCCTTTCTTGTAAGAATGAGCCGAAAATATTTCAGTATGTCCCATTTCCATTTATCTTGGGTATGACTTTGGTTTATTTGGTATGTTATTCATTAAGACCAAAACATATTTGTCTCAGGTTTATCTCTTATTTTCGCTTTAAGAATTCATCCAAGTTCACCGAATTCATAACACTATCTTGATTTTCCAACCAAAAAAAGAAGAGCAAATAAAACGTGAAAGGTTTTATATATAACCAAAACGAAAGATACACAAGAGGCTTTGCTATGTATAGAGATATTGTTATAACGAAGAAACTCAAAATGTCTTGCGTGTATTTATTTGCTGTATATACTAAATAATATTTTACTATCTGAGAGTAGCACACTAATAAGTTGACTTCTCTTCGATGTTTCACATGATGGAGCAGCTTTGTTGGTTCGAGACTTCGTGGCAATAATGTGAGTGTGGGTGTGGCCCACCTCCCCAGCTATCATAAATGGGCCTTCCGTAATAACTGAACTGTTGGGCCTCGTAGTACGGCCCACAATGATACGCGTGACTCATCGGCATCATTTGAGGAGTCGGAGCCGGTGGCCGTGCCGGAGCCGGAGCCGGAGCTGGGGGCTTCTCGGGCTCTTTAGGCTTTTGAGAAGCTTGTGCCTGGACTTGAGGTGGTTTGGGTGGTTCGAGGATCACAATAGACTTGATAGAACCGTCTCCTTTAGAACATAGTTTGTTCATAAACCTCTCAGGATCGTAACAAACCACCTTGATGATGATTGTATTGGACTTCTCATCGAACAACTCGTCTCTTATTTCTTCTTTTTTTATTTTCCCACAAAGCAAACACAAATTCAAATCCATTCATCAAGTTTCAGACTTTTTTACCAACCACAATAATTCAAAATGAGCAGGAAATAAATAAAATTATAGAGAAAGAAGAGAAACTCACGAGGGAATTTGCGGAGAGCTTTCTTGACCTTTTTGTAGCATTTGGAGCAGTTTAGATCCACCTTCAACATCATCATAGTCACCTGTTTTTTTATGCATAGTAGAGTTTGATCATTATTACCTTTAATTAGTCACTGTATTAGCTACAAGAAAAAGAGAGAACTAAAAAGAATATTCAGATCCTAAAAAGGAAGAATTAAAATAAAGTAGAGTACCTTCTCGGCCATATCTTTGGAGTCTTGAGTCACAAAAGTGTTATGTGCAGGATTTAGAATCACTGTATATATACAGAGAGAAAAGGGTACAAACGATGAGAGACTTAAATGAAAAAAAGAAAAGAAAGAAAGATAGAGTTTATATCAAAATATCTAATTTTGATATTTGTTTTTGTATCTACAATGATTTTTCAGAAAGCATAGCGTGTATATAACGACATAAATTACACAACTGATAATCACGAATTTTGGCCTCACATTTTTCAGAGAGTACGACCGGAGTTTATTTCCTTGCAGTGGTCCAATTTGTCAAAATAAAAGAATTAAGAACAATATGTTTCTATGGTGCGAAAACATTGCCGACATGGATGAAATGCAATCGTTGTAAAAGGACTGTCTGAATTTGATGTTTCCACTAAGACTCTACCATGAAAGTAAAAAACATCAGGTGAATAATTTATAAAAGAAGGAAAAAAAGAGGACGACAAAATCGATTTAATTCAAAAAGTGAAAATCTAAAAAGGAAAAGTGTACCGTTCGATAGAATTAGATAATGAGATCATCCTTGGATACTTGTGAATTTTCTTTATCAGTTAGTTGATACGGAGTTAGATAGGATTTAGATAATGAGATCATCCTTGTGAATTCAATCAATTCAAGGAGTTAGATAGGATTTAGATTCAAGATCATACGTTCGAATAAATCTACGATAGTAAACGGAAGAATAGTCGAATACTATACGAAGCTTTCTTGATTTCAGATGTCCAAAGTAGACACTCGTTCTTTTCTTTTATTAACACTTACGTATTTTTTTTTGACGTCATTAACACTTATGTTGTGATTTGGTTGATTGCGGTTGGAGCATATATTTTTGATTTATTAGTCGGATTTTTTTTGTAGGATTAAAACAAAAAAAAAGTCTGTTAATATGATATACTCATCAACTGTGATCACGCGTGATGTGATATATTTTAACTTAACAAATTTAACATTTTTTTTTTTTTTTTTGTAAAATCTCACATTATATGGAGATATATTTTAGGAACATTAGGTTGAAACCCTAACCAGGAAAAAGTGACGATGACACATGAGGAGAACCTTCCATGGGAGTTGACTGAAGAGATACTCTCTCGTGTCCCTCCCATATCTCTTGTTCGTTTCAGAGCCGTATCAAAACAATGGGACGCTCTCTTCGACGACAAGACGTTCATCAACAACCACAAGTCGACGTTCCGATTCATCTTGACAACCAAATCCAAGATCTATTCGGTAAGCATCGATCCAAAGATTGTGGTCCGTGAGTTAACCTTGGGTATTCAAGGTTTAGAATATCAAGTACTTAAAGCAATAGTTGAGTGCGGTGAGTTCTTGCTATGTGGCATGGACAACAGATCCGCGGTTTGGAACCCGTGGTTAAACCGGACTAGATGGTTCAAGGATGAGGTTGGCCAACCTAAATTAATACTTGAAGGCATAGGTTATGATAGTAATATTAGAGCTGAGGGAAAGATGTACAATACCATTTGGTATCGTCCAAGAGAATCATCAATGTTGAAGCATACCGAGTGGACAATCCATGATTGTGCCTCCGATGCTTGGAAAGACGTCATGGCGGAAGACGAGGGAAGAAAACTTCCTACGTTTTCCACAAGTAGTGTATTGTTGAATGGAAACTTGTATTGGGTTGTTCATGTTGAGGGGACTGATCTGGCCTCCTACTTCTTAAATAAGTTCGATTTTTCGAAGGAAAGATTCTTTAGATTTTGTGATCTACCATGTGGTATGAACCATCCTCGCAATGCTCTTGTGCTTAGGGTCTTTAAAGGAGATAGGTTTTCGTTGTTAACGCAATGTTACGTAACGAAGAAGATTGAGGTTTGGGTGACCAAGAACAAGATTAACGATGAGGAGGATGGTGGTGATGTGGTTTGGATTAGTTTAATGAGTTTTCCAATTCTTGACTTGCCGAGTTTAGTACTGAAAAGATACTCTCAGCCAAGTTACTTCATCGATGATAAAAGGCTTGTCGTGTGTTCCTGCGATGAAACTGGCTGGGCTTGGATCTATGTTATGGGGGAAAATAAGTTGATCAGCAAAACTCGAATAGATTCTGTGGTTGATAAATGGCCTAAGCATTGCACCTACTTTCCTAGTTTGGTGCCCATTCCTCGAGGTCAAAGAGCCAAGAGAAAAAGTGAAGAATCAGAAGAAGAAGCTTAAGTTTGATTAAAGCTTAGTTTCTTGTTTGGTTGTTTTGGAAGCTAAAATGTTTAGTCAGTCTTTTTAGATTTTGGTGCTTTTCTCTAAAACCATCTTCTTTGTCGTTTGCTTTTTTTTTTTTTGCGGAAAATAAAATATTTAAGTTTTTTTATTAGAGGGACTAGATTAAATAAGATTCATGCAAAAATAAAAAATGGAACTCAAATCAAATAGTTTTATTTTTGGCCTAATACCAACACAAAAATACTAATCTACTTCTGATGACATGACCATGTACAAATCACTCCAGTTGATAAACTAAGACCAGTCGTCTCAGTTTTCCTAGAATTATGACGTGGTCGCTAGCGCTATTGCACTCAGTTGGATAATTCTGGTAAATTGGCATTGATCTTACTTTTTAAAAACAAGAAATTGGCTTTTGATATGGAGTTGGAGGAGTTCGATAAAAGATTCAGTAATTTAAGTTCGAATTGTAATCTATGAGAGTAAGAATAGTAGATACTACACCAGCTTTCTTGATTTCAATGTCCAAAGCAGAACTCGTTTGTTTTCTGTTTTAACACTTAAACGTACGTTCTGATTTTTCTAATTCCGGTTGTAGCATATAACTTTTGATTTAATCAATGATTAAATGCGTTTGTTAGTAAGAAAAGGTAATCACCATATCGCCCGCAAAATCTTACAATCGCCAATACCAAAACTGTATCACACCGCCACAAATAGAGCAGACAAGCATTGAAGAGAAGACCTCATATTGCATCTAATCTAATGAGTGACGTTTCAATGTTTTAAATAAACGGACTAATTAATAATTAAGTTGGAGAATTGGTGGCAGGCGGTTTTTATATTATTAATTGAGAAGTACTTTCTAATGTTTCGATATAAAAATAATGAAAATATCTATTTGGATAGAAGAATAAATAGAAAAAAAGTTGTTTGAATATAAAAATAAGAGAAAAATTTATTAGGATAGAAAAATAAATGGAAAAAATTGTTTGGATACAAGAATAATAACTTAAACCAAACCGATGGTTTAAAAGACTTCCGTTTTCTAACTCTTAAAAAATATGCAAAAAAGAAAAATTAACATAATTTATCAATAATACCAAATCAATAGAATATGTTCGAATGATATTTGCAAAATTTTCAAAAGTGAAATAGAAATATGTCTAATTTAAATCAAATTGTAGATTTCTATTCGGGTATTTTTGAAAATTTCTGTTTGGTATGGGTTAGAGTTTTTTTGGGTTTAGTTCAGGGTTTTCGGGACTTTTTGGATTTCGTGCTATTCTCTTGTTCTTTTGTTCTTTTCTTTTCATTTTAACGTCAAATAAAGTGTCTTGTTAGATAGATTAACTCACTCTTATTAAATAGATTAAAACCAAAAAAGTTTTCTTAAATAACACGTGTCATACTCATCAACTATGATCACGTCGTGTGATGTGAATACCTTAACAAATTTTAACAACAAATGTAAATTCTCACTTTGGAGAATATATTTTAGGAACACTCGGTTGAAACCCTAATTAGGAAAAATGAGATGATGACCCATGGGGATAACCTTCCATGGGAGTTGACTGAAGAGATACTCTCTTGTGTCCCTCCTAAATCTCTAGTTCGTTTCAGAGCCGTATCGAAACAATGGAACGCTCTCTTCCACGACAAGACGTTCATCAACAACCACAAGTCGACGTTTCGATTCATCTTGAAGACCAAATCCAAGATCTACTCGGTAAGCATCGATCCAAAGATTGTGGTCCGTGAGTTAACCTTGGACATTCCCGGTTTAGAATCTCAAATACCTAACGACGTAGTTGATTGCGATGCGTTCTTGCTATGTGGCATGGACAAAGGAGCCGCGGTTTGGAACCCGTGGTTAAATCGAGCTACATGGTTCGAGGCTGAGGTTAGCCAACCTAAATTAAGAATAGATGGTATAGGTTATGATAGCAATAAGAGGTCTCATGAAAATGTTTACAAGACCGTTTGGTATCGTCCAAGGATATCAGTGTTAGAACACACCACGTGGAAAATCCATGACTATGCCTCCGATGCATGGAATGAGGTCGTGTCGGAATCTGGTGGTGGAGACGAGCAGGGAAGAAAACGTCCTACGTTGCATTCCAAAAGCAGTGTATCGTTGAATGGAACTTTGTATTGGGTTACATATGTTGAGGAGACTGATCCGGCCTCGTACTTCCTAAGTAAGCTTGATCTTTCGACAGAAAAATTCTTAAGATTTTGTGATCTACCATTTGGTATGAACCATCCTCGCAATGCTCTTGTGCTTAGGGTCTTTAAAGGAGACCGGTTTTCGTTGTTAACGCAATGTTACGTGACGAAGAAGATTGAGGTTTGGGTGACCAAGAACAAGATTAACCATGAGGATGATGTGGTTTGGATGAGTTTAATGACTTTTTCAGATCCTGACTTGCCGAGTTTAGTAGAGACCATATCCTACTCTCAGCCAAGTTACTTCGTTGATGATAAAAGGCTTGTCGTGTGTTCTTGCGATGAAAATGGTCGGGCTTGGGTCTATGTTATGGGGGAAAATAAGTTGATCAGCAAAACCCGAATAGATTCTGTGGTTGATAAATGGCCTACGCATTGCACCTATTTTCCTAGTTTGGCGCCCATTCCTCGAAGTCAAAGACAGAAGAGAAAAAGAGATGAATCAGAAGAAGAAGCTTAAGCTTTAAGTTTGGTTGTTTTTGGAAGCTAAAATGTTTAGTCTTTTTAGACTTTTGTGCTTTTATTCTTTGGTGTTTCTTTTTTTTTTGTGGAAAATTAATTATTTAAGGTTTTTTTAAAGAGAAGCAAATCAAATGATTTTATCATTGGAGGCACAATAATGAGTTTCTCTATGGTCTTGTTCCACTCTGCAACACCACCAACAACATACATCTTCACAATCTCATCATCTTCTTTCAGACCAAGAAGAAGTCTTTCTTCAACTAATCGAATCTTCCCAACTAATCAACCTAAACCCTTAATCAAGATCGAAACCCTAGCCGCCAGAGACACAATCATAGATTTCGGCAAGCACAAGGGCAAAATGCTTGGCACTTTGCCTTCTTCATACCTCAAATGGGTCTCGAAGAATCTGCGAGCAGGAGATTCTGAGTATTGGGCAAAGCTTGCAGACGAAGTGCTCGACGACGATGTTTATAAAGACAGGACTGAGTGGGAATTCGCAGAGAAAATCCTCCATGGGAGTGATGAGAGCATGAGGGCTTTGGTTTCTGTAAAGAAGAAGAACAGAGAAGAGACAAACTCTGTTTCGATGTTGTTGGAGATCAGTGAGAGATTCGGTTGGGATAACGAGGATAAGATTGGTTGGAGCAAAATCAATTTCGAGCTCTTGGGGACTAGCAAAGGCGGTCGGATTCCTAGACTAACGATGAAGACTAAAGAAGAAGAAGACGAAGAGAGAGAAGAAATGGTAAGAAGAAGAAGAGAGATTAAGAATGAGGAAGATGGGAATCGATGGAGGAGAAGAGAGAGGAGAGATCGGATGAGACAGAGTCTAGGGAGAGAGAAGGAGAGTGATGATGATGGCAAAACGGTGAATAGAAGTGAGCAGAAGGGTATTTTGGGGAAGTTAGAAGACATAGAGAAGCACCTTGAGCCAAAGATGATTCATAGTCCATTTCCAGGTCGTGAGAGCCTGTTGAAGAAAGTGATGAACAAGAAGAGGATTCAATGACAATCTCAAAATCTCTCCTTTTGATTGTGACTTCTGAGTTTGTGTAACTCAAAAATGCAAACTTTATCGCAGAATCAAAATCAGTATCCAAAGTTTCCACCTTTATGCAGAATGAGATTTTGATTATACAAAAAAAAACCAAGACTTTTTGAGTGCATGCTTATTTCCATTTACATGCAAATAGCCGCATGATAAAACCAAAGTTGAATCGGATTATGTTTCCAATCAGAGAAAATGAGAGAATCATCATCACTATTACATCAGAAAGAAGAAGAAGAAAACTTAAACCTGTTCATTCAATAGTTTTAACTTTTAAGCAACAGGAGGACGAAGGACATGGTCCTGTGAGGTATCAACAGCAGCAGGAGGCATGAACTGCCACATTGCAAATCCAGGGTAAGTTGTGAAAGGAACAAGCTTGCTGCTTCCAGGAGCTTGAGCTTGAGAGAGTGTCGCCGGATTCGGTAAGAAACAAGGCTGAGGCTGAGGCTGTGTCTTAATCGCATTCAGTTGCTGCTCGATTCTCTCCTTCTCAATCTTCAGCTTCTGCTTCTCATCACGCAGCTCGTTCTTCTCATCCTACATACCAACACAAGATCAATGGACAATCTAAGGATGTTCGATTAAGTTTTATCAGTTTTTTTTACCTTTAACTCTTTGATTTTCTCCTGAAGGCTTGTGTTCAAGTCTTTTAACTTGTGTGCTTCGTCTCTTACTTGATTCACCATTCGGATTGCATCATTGAGAATAGCAACCTTGTCTGTTTTTGGAAGTCTTCCAGGTTCCAATATGGAACTCAACTCCGTAAACCTGTATATTGTTTTATGGCACCATCATACTAAAAGAATTAAGAAGTCAAAAGATGAAAGATTGAAGAGAATGACAAAGAAATCGAAAAAAGAATACTTGTCATTTAGCTTATCACGTCTTTGTTTCTCCCTACACGCTTTTGAGTTAGAACCAGCGCAAGATTCAGATTTGATCCTGAAAACAATTAGAGCATTGGAGCAAAAAAACTTAGCAAGAAGGCAAGAACCACAACTATTCGACCAAGTCTTGTTTTCATTAATACCTCTTCTTTGAGCCAGGTTCTTTGATCACATCTGAATCACAAAGGAAGCCATCAACTTCAACACTGTGAATCAGATCACATCAACATCAGAGGTAAAAGGATCAACTAAAAAGGTTACAGCCAATTTGAAGACGACACCACACTGATCACACCTGGAACAGAACGTCACTATCCCAAATTTGTAGAGATCTAGTTTTCATGATTTCATCTACTACTTAAGGAAACAGAGGAATGAAATGAATGCAAAAACAGAGACAAAAGGTTCAATTTTTATGCAGATAAAGGTTCCAATTTCTATCACAACAACAGCAACTTTCTCCATGGTCAAACTACATAAACAACTTTCTCCAGATACTAAACACACACAAAAAGTCCAAAGAATCGACAAACCCTTAAATCTGACAAAACTAAGAAAAGCTAATCCCAGATGAGTCAATAGATACCTGACACTAGCAGAACCATCCACGTTCTCGATCTGCCATGGAAAAGAGGGATTTTGATCAGAGAAAGCACCGTCAATCAAAGGGTAATCACTGAGCCAATTCGTGTTCTCCGGAGAGACCATTCTCCAAATTCAAACCCAATACGCGGCGGCTGAGACAAATTTCCAGAAGAAAATGGTCGAATCTGAATAGACAATGTGTGGAAAAAGGGAAGAAAGAGAGAGATATGGTGGTGGTAGAGACTCTCTCTCTTTCTCTTGAATCGGTTTCTATTAAATTTCATTTCATCTTTCTTATTCATGGATGTCGTACACTATTGGCCCACCAATCATTGTCATTCCTTCAAATCTACTTATATAAATTATGTCATGGTTTGCTCAATTATACACTTCTTCTGATGTCATTGACATTGGCTTTCCCAAATTTTCAAATCGAAAAATACCATCTTTATGCAACTCTTCTTCCTTCAAACTAAAATCCCAAATCTACTGCGGTTTAAATGATGCGTATTTTTACAGTTATTGGTTAATTTCATTGTGGTTAAAGGATAAGAATTAACAATTCTGGGTTTTGTGAAATTGCAGAAGAAAATAATCCGAAACTGAAGAATATGAACATTCGATTGATGAAACAGTTGAAGCGAGTGATGATTCTTCACAATACATGATTGATGAATTGAAAAACTAGTCTAAATCTAAAAAAGCCCCAAAAAGAGAAAACATCACGGAATCGAATTTTGGTTTTTTGATCTAATCTTCGTCAGCAGATGGCTTCGAGGAACCACCGGCCTTCTTGGGAAGGAGAAGGCTGTGGATGTTGGGCATCACTCCTCCGTTAGCAATGGTCACATCGCCGAGCAACTTGCTCAACTCCTCGTCGTTCCTCACCGCGAGTTGAATGTGCCTCGGAACAATCCTCGTCTTCTTGTTGTCTCTCGCCGCGTTTCCAGCCAATTCCAAAACCTAAAAAACGAAATCACCCAGAAACCGTCAAAATTTGGGGCTAACAGAATCTAACTACGAGATCGGAAAATCGAAGAAGGGAGATTGATAAATTTACCTCAGCGGCGAGGTATTCGAGAACGGCGGCTAAGTAGACCGGAGCTCCGGCACCAACACGCTCGGCGTACTTTCCTTTCTTCAGGAAACGAGCGATACGACCCACCGGAAACTGGAGACCGGCTTTGCTACTCCTTGTAGTCGCCTTCTTCACCGCCGCAGATCCGAGAGTTTTTCCACGACCCGCCATTGTAAACTGATTTCGAATTTCTCTGAGAAAGATGAGAGGGAAATAAAATTGGATTCACGAAATTGATCTGTGAACTTCCCTCTATCTTCTCCGTTCTTTATATACTGTTTTAGATTCGGCTGAACAATACTTAACCAATAAGAAGAAAGTACGCGGATCGCTATTGCACACCGTTAGATTAGATCTTCATCAACGGTACGGATTTGAGTGCCAGGGATATGTTATAGATGGAAAATACCGGAAATACCCTCACTTACTTATTACACTTTGCTTTTTCCTTTTTTCTTTTTCCGGCCCGAAGTTTTACAATTGAGCTGAAGAGCCCAGTGAACTTTTACATTTTAACACAGATTTATTCAAAAACTGAATCAGGGTTCTTGTCCTCGTAACGTCAGTGAAATTGAAATTGAGCAGAGAGACTAAATTTGAGCGAATTTTCAGAGAATCGAAAAGTGAATTGGAGGGTGAAGATTTGGAAAATCGACTGCTTTCAATGTAATTAAATTAAAAAAATTCCCTGAATTTTCAGTTTACAATCGAATTTCTCGGGTTTTACTATGAAACGAGGACATGCCGAATCTCCGTCAAGCTCTGATCTTCCTTCCTCATCGAGAGTCAAACTAAACCCAGAAGGTTGTGTTCCCGCTTCTTCTTTTTTTTTCCCATTTCATTCAGTTTTGATTCTAATTGTTTTTTTTTTTTCATATTCATTTGCTTATCAGTCTCTTCACACTGTAATAAAGTTTGTATTTTGATTTCTCAATCGTGTTATAAAGTTTCAATTTTTATCTGAGTTCCTTGAATTTTGTTTATCATCAGGTGATTCTCAGTTTCTAGAGGATGATGATAACACCAAGAATTTTGCTCGAGAGGTGGCTGATCATTACAGTCGAAGAACGAATCAAACTCTACAAGAGCGAGAAGCAAGTCCCATCATTCATCTCAAAAAGCTTAATAACTGGGTTAGTTAGTTAGTTGATGACTGATCCTAATCTCCTCCAATGAAGAATTAGTTAGTGACTCATTTTTGTTGTCCAGATTAAAAGTGTGTTGATCCAGCTTTATGCTCGTCGTGATGATGCTGTCTTGGACCTTGCTTGTGGAAAGGTTACATTTTTGTCTTTACAAGACTCTGTTTTGATTACTCCAAAGTTCCAAATGTTGTTTTGTTACTTACTATATGCTTTTTATATACATAAGGGTGGTGACTTAACAAAGTGGGATAAGGCAAGGATTGGTTACTATGTTGGTATTGATATCGCTGAAGGATCAGTAAGTGAACTAGCTCTACTTCTGGATTTTTTTTGTATCTGTGTACTTATGTGTGAGTGTTTTTGAATGATATGTTTTAGATCGAAGACTGTCGAACGCGTTACAATGGTGATGCGGACCATCGTCAGCGACGTAAGAATTTCCCTGCCCGTTTGTTGTGTGGGGATTGTTTTGAGGTAAATGAGAAAAGTCCTGTCATGTACTTTAGAACTCTCTGGATTGGATATTACCATATGCGTGATACAAGTATCATTTGATTGATATTTTCAGATTGAGCTGGACAAGATTCTTGAAGACGATGGCCCTTTCGATATCTGCAGCTGCCAGGTTTCGTACGCTTCAATTAGTGTAGCTTTTGGTGAATTGAAGTTCTTGTTGAAGTTATTATATATCGTAAATTTACTATAAGCTATCAATTTTTAATTTTTGTAGTTTGCTTTGCATTACTCTTGGACTACTGAGACACGTGCGAGACGAGCCTTGGCAAATGTTTCAGCTTTACTTCGTCCTGGAGGCATCTTTATTGGAACGATGCCAGATGCTAATGTTATCATAAAAAAACTCAGACAAGGTTCTTACAAAGAAACCATGATGATCTTGCAAAAATTATTCTCCTTTGCTCTGATAGATGATAGGAAACCTTTTTCTTGTTCTATATATGCAGCTGAAGGTCTGGAGATTGGTAACAGTGTATACGGGATTCGTTTTGGTGAAGAGTATTCTCAAAAGGTTACTATTATTGTTTCAGAAATATAACACAAAGTTTCCTCTGTTCCGGTTTCTGATGATGACTTTTGTTATATGATATTCAGAAGTTTAAAGGTCGCAGTCCCTTCGGTATCAAGTATGTATTTCATCTTGAGGTACTAAAACTAGTATACAGTGCTTGAGTTCCCTTATCTTCTGCCTTATTCAACTACTTTCAAAGAGAAACAAAGAGGTTTATTTCAATAAGATGACGCAACATTTTTGTAATGAAGGATGCTGTTGATTGTCCTGAATGGATTGTTCCCTTTCACGTCTTCAAATCCTTAGCAGAAGAGGTATATATCTTCTGCCTTTGTATAGTCTTCTTCTATGAAAATAATGATGCTCTCTAGTTGTAGACAAAAGTCTTGTTGCTTACTTGAACGATATATCAATGTTGGTTCTCGTTGTTATGTCCTGTAATGAAACTTTGGCAGTATGATTTAGAGCTGGTATTGGTGAAGAACTCTCATGAGTTTGTGCATGAGTACATGTCAAAGCCTGAGTTTGGTGAGCTCATGAGAAAGCTTGGTGCTTTAGGTGATGTTAATCAAGGTCAAAGTAAGTCTTGTTCTGCATCATCATCTCCAGTTTGTTGCTTGGAAAAGAGAGATAGTAATAATCATTTTTTCAGGCACAATATCAGCTGATGAATGGGAAGCCGCTTATCTCTACCTCTCTTTTGTCTTGAGAAAGGTTTTTTGGTTTCTCTCATCTCACAATTCTTCTTTTTCCATTTGTGTCTGCACAAAACTAATCTTTCATTCTTTGTACATTCGTTTTTAATAGAGAGGGGAATCTGATGGGGCTGGAAGAAGATCTGTGCAAAGGAATAAAAAGGGGAAGATGAACATATCGAAAGACGATATTTTGTACATCAGCAACGAGGTCTAACTTTAAGAGTGTCCCTTTTGGGTTTGGTTTTGTTTTGTTTTAGTGTTTAGTGAGGAGTCTTGGAACATACTCTTACGTTCTTGTTATGTAACTGGTTTGATTTATAGTTTCCCAATTGATACTAGTAGAAAATCCTTTAATTATTTCGTCAATTAAAATCTAACAAAGGTGTTTCAGTTACTTTTTCTTTGTATTTACTTGATTTTGAAAAATTTATCTCATAAATTCTATCATCAACCCAATAACCCATAAAATGTATTACACTGCATATAGTTTCACTTCATCTTTCATTTGTGAATGAATCAATATCAAAAGTGTTAAACCCATAAAATGTATTACACTGCATATAGAGTTTCACTTCATCTTTCATTTGTGAATGAATCAATATCAAAAGTGTTGTTCTTTCGTTGGATATGATTCTTAAAAAGAACAGAAAAAAAAAGTAACAATAATCAAAGAGAGAGGAGTTACAGAGACACGAGAGTTTCAGTGTGAAAAAATTGGAACCCCTTGAGAGCAGAAGGCCAGTCTCCAAGTCCGTTGCGTTGTCTAAAATCATCCAAAATATGACTATAGTCGATTCTTCTGAACGTCTTTCTCTTTGGATCAATATATATCATATCCAAAGATTCTGTTCCAACAAAAATCAACTCACCATCATCAGTGGCACCATCGGGAAGAGATGAGAATTGATGCGATGACCATTTGGGTTTCCTTGCATCCTCCAAAACTATCATTAGGAGTATCCTACCATGACCACCAAAACCAACACAAGCTAACTTTCCATGATAAGATAACGTCATCCGCCAAGACTTAGTCTCCAGCGGTAATCTTATCGCACGGAACTTTTCAGATCTTACATCAAAGCTCATTATAACACGATGATAATCACCTTTGGCATGATAATACACAACACCGTTGATGCATCGTGCATGATAAAAACCGTTGTTATCTCCAGTTAAAGGGAAATGATCAGGAATGGTTTCGACCTTTCTCCATTGTTCCTGAGCTGATCCTGATCCCAATGTTAAAACCTTACACTCATCTAAAGCTTGACCATAAATCAGCTTAGGCATGCACACTACTTTGTGTTTACCCTCGATTGGGTCGTATCCTAAAAAGACTCTTATACTCTTCCATGTTTTCCCCGGTTTTGATAAAGGTGTCAACTTCCTCAGGCTAGGGTTCCAGACTATGGGTTTGTTTGGTTTTTGAAAGCAAATCATCAAGCCGTGGACTGACTCTGTTTCAATGGTGAAAGGACAACGATGTTTTGCGTGCTCCATACGGTAACTATCAATAGGTTGAGAACATGAATACGAACCATTAGAGTGGATCCGATTCTGCAGATTCTGTTGAGGAAGCGACAAGACGAAGAACCCATCGCTTTCTCTGAAGCCGACGACTAAAATATGACTCACACGTTCTGAGGACTGAGCTTGGAACGACTTTTTGAAGTATGGATCGGTGGAGACTGATGACCATAGCTTTGAAACACAACGAAACCGCATAAGAGATTTTAAAGGCAGCTTTGAGAGTATCTCTGAAATTATATCGGGAGGAACAGACGTTGTTGATTTTCTTCTGCTGCTTCTTCCTTCTCGTCTTTTTTTCTTGATCTTTCTGGTCACCTCGACAAGTTCTTTCATCTTTGTTTGAAGCCCTAATTCGTGACTTCCTCTGCAAGTTTTCGTTGCTTTATATAGGCTCTCTGTTTTTAAGTTTTTGTGAGGAGCGTACTGCATATAAAACAAAACCCGGCCTTTATGAATAGAACCGACCGTGAAACGACCAAAACCCTACCGTAAGCCAAAAGACTTAGAACGGCAACGTTTCACTGAATTTTACATAAATTCTCAATAGGTTAATATTTTGTTACTCCTACTTCCAGAATTACAATACAATGTCTTTTTAATTAGCAAAAGTTTCCTCTGTTTCGGTTTCTGATGATGACTTTTGTTATATGATTCAAAAAGTTTTAAGGTCGCGGTCCCTTTGGTATCAAGTTTGTATTTCATCTTTAGACACAAGTCTAGTTGCATGGCATACTTGAAGGACATCTCAGTGATGTAGACAAAAGTATAGTTGCATGACATACTTGAAGGACATATTGAAACTTTGGCAGTATGATTTAGAGCTGGTATTAGTGAAGAACTCTCAGAGTTTGTGCACGAGTACATGACAAAGCCTGGTGAGCTCATGAGAAATCTTTTGCTTTAGGTGATGATAACAAGATCAAAGTAAGTCTTGTTCTGCATCTCAAGTTTGTTGCTTGGAAATGAGAAATATTTAATAACCTTTTTTCAGGCACCCAATCAGCTGATGAAATGGGAAGCAGCGTATTTCTACCTTTCTTTTATCTGCGAAAGGTTTTGGTTTCTCTCATCTCACATTCTTCATTTACTATTTTGGTCTGCACAAACTATTTTTTTTTTTTGGATTGGGTGATTTTTAAAAGAGAGGGGAATCTGATGGGGCTGGAAGAAGAGCTGTGCAAAGGAATAACAACGGGAAGATGAACATATCAAAAGACGATATTTTGTATATCAGCAACGAGGTCTAACTCTAAGAGTGTCCACAACAATATAACGTCTCTTTTGGGTTTGGTTTTGTTTTGTTTTAGTGAGGAGAACATACACTTGCTTTCTTGTTATGTAACTGGTTTGATTTATAGTTTTCCAATTGTAATAGTAGAAAATGCTTTAATTATTTCCTCAATTGAAGATCTAACAAAGTTTAGCTTCTTAATTTAGGTGTTTCGTTTACTTTTTCTTTGATTTTACTTGATTTTGAAAAATTTCTCTCATATATAAATTATATATATATCATCAACCCAATAACCCATAAATGTATTACACTGTATACAGAGTTTCATTTCATCTTTAATTCGAAAAAGAATGTTGTTCTTCCGTTGGATATGATTCTTATGATTCAATGAAAGCTGCTATATATATATATATATGCATATCGTAGGTCTTCACATTGATCTTTTAAACATCACCAGAAGGTATATATATGGGATGCTAAACTGTTTCTTTGTGTATTCACGTTTTTTTTTATTTTTTACTTCTAAAAATCACAGAAAGAGCTTTGGTAATGAAAACGACATGTATAAAAGATTCAAATAAATAAATGACATTGATTCTGATGATTCAAATAAACGACAAAATAAAAAGAGAAAGAAAAAACAAAAGGTAAGAAAAATAGAAGCGAGCAAGTTACAAAGACGATAGTGTTTCAATGTGATTGGGAAACAACTGGAACTCATCCAGAGCAGCCAGAGCAGCCAGAGGAGTGTCTTCGAGTCCGTTGCGTTGTCTAAAATCATCCAAAACTCCTCTATAGTTGACACTTCTGAGCGTCTTTCTCTTTGGATGAATATATATAAATTCCAAAGACTTTGCTCGTACAAAAATCAACTCACCACCATCATCATCATCAGTGTCGCCCATTAGTACATCGGAACGATTCAAATTCCGCCAATGTTCGGGAAGAGATGAAAACAGATGCCTGGACCATTCGTGTTTCATTGCATCCTTCAAAACGAACATTATGATTTTATTACCTTGAATATTATAACCAGTACAAGCAAACTTTCCATGATAAGATAGCGTCAATCGCCAAGTCCATTTCGGAAGTGGCAAATTTATCGCATGGAACTTTTCAGATCTTACATCAAAGCTCATTATAACACGTTGATGAGGACCAAGTTTGGCATGATAATACACAACACCGTTGATGCATCGCGGATGAGAATGACAACTGCTTTCTGCAGTTAAAGGGAAATGATTACGGATGGTTTCGATCTTTCTCCATGGTTCTTGAGCTGATCCGGATCCCAATGTTAAAACCTTACACTCATCTAAAGCTTGAACACAAGTCAGCTTAGGCATGCACACTACTTTGTGTTTCCCCTCGATTGGATCGTATCCTAAAAAGACTCTAACACCCTTCCACGTATCTCCGGGTTTGGACAAAGGTAACAACTTATTTATGCTAGGGTTCCAGACTATGGGTTTTGTTGGTTCTAGAAAGCAGATCATCAAGCCCTGGACTGACCCTGTTGCAATGGTGAAGGGACAACCAGGATTTGCGTGTGTCATACGGTAACTGTTTATAGGTTGAGAAGGCTCGTTCGGTTTCTGCAGATTCTGTTGAGGAAACGACAAGACAAAGAACCCATCACGTTTTCTGAAGCCGACGACTAAGAGACGACTCGGACGTGTTGTTTGTAGCGATTTTAAGAAATATGGATCGGTGGTGATCGATGACCATAGCTTTGAAACACAACGAAACCGCATGAGAGATTTTAAAGGCAGCTTTGAGAGTATCTCTGAAATTATATCGGGAGGAACAAACGTTGTTGATTTTCTTCTTCCTTCTCGTCTCTTTTTCTTGATCTTTCTGTTCACCTCGACACGTTCTTTCATCTTTGTTTGAAGCCCTAATTCGTGACTCCCTCTCCAAGTTTTCGTTGCTTTATATAGGCTCTCTGTTTTAAACTTTTTTGTGAGGAGCGTACTGCATATAAAAAAAACCCGACCTTTATGAATAGAACCGACCGTGAAACGACCAAAACCCTAGCGTAAGCCGAAAGACTTTAGAACGGCGACGTTTCACTGAATTTTACATAAATTCTCAATAGGTTAATATTTCGTTACTCCTACTTTCAGAATTACAATTTACAATACTATGTCTTTTTTATCCAAAAGTTTCCTCTGTTTCGGTTTCTGATGATGACTTTTGTTCTATGATTCAAAGGTTTTAAGGTCGCGTCCCTTTTTGTAAAATTAGTATACTGTGCTTGCGTTCCCTTATCTTCTTCCTTGTTCAACTGCTTTCAAAGAGAAACATAGAGGTTTGAGTTTCATTAACGTGAGGCAACACTTTGTAATGCAGGATGCTGTTGATTGTCCTGAATGGATTGTTCCCTTTCACGTCTTCAAATCCATAGCAGAAGAGGTATCTTTTTGCCTTTGTACAGTCTTTTTCAATGGAAATAATGATAAGAATTGTGCTCCAAATGTAGACAAAAGTCTAGTTGCATGGCATACTTGAAGGACATCTCTGCAACAAGGTCTAGCTAACTCTAAGAGTTTCCACAACAATATAGTGTTTCTTTGTGCATTCATGTTCTGTTATTGTTTTACTTTCAAAAAGTCACAGAAACAGCTTTGGTAATGAAAACGAAATGTATAAAAGATTTCAAAATAAAGAAATGACATTGATTCTGATGATTCAAATAAACGACAAAATAAAAAGAGAAAGAAAAAACAAAAGGTAAGAAAAATAGAAGCGAGCAGTTACAAAGACGAGAATGTTTCAATGTGATTGGGAAAAAACTGGAACGTATCCAGATCAGCCAGAGGACTGTCTTCAAGTCCATTGCGTTGTCTAAAATCATCCAAAACTCTTCTATAGTGGACTCTTCTGAAGGTCTTTCTCTTTGGATCAATATAAATAATTTCCAAAGACTTTGCTCGTGCATAAATCAACTCCCCATCATCATCAGTGTCGTCAGTCATTAGGTCGAAATGATTCAAATCCGGACACTGTTCGGGAAGAGCTAGCTGAAAACTGATGCATGGACCATTCGTGTTTCGTTGCATCCTCCAATAAAAACATTGAGATTGTCTTACATTGATTATCATAACCAACACAAGCAAACTTTCCGTGATATGATATCGTCCTCCGCCAAGACTTATAACCCCGTGGTAATGTTATCACATGGAACTTTTCAGATCTTACATCAAAGCTCATCATAACAATTTTGGAATCAAGTTTGGAACCAAGTTTGGCATGATAATACACAACACCGTTGATGCATCGTGCATGAGAATAACCAGTGTTAGTGTTACCATCAGTTAAAGGGAAATGATTAGGGATTTTTTCCAGCGTTCTCCATGGTTCTTGAGCTGATCTCGATCCCAATGTTAAAACATCGCACTCACCTAAAGCTTGATCAAAACGCATCTTAGGCAGGTACACAACTTTGTGTTTACCCTCGATTGGATCGTATCCTAAAAAGATTCTAAAGTCTATCAACCACGTTTTGAAGGGTTTGGGCAAAGGTAACAACTTTCTCATGCTAGGCTTCCAGACTATGGGAATCTTTGGTGTTATAAAGCCGATCATCAAGCCGTGAATTGACTCTGTTTCAATGGTGAAGAAACGTTGATAGCTTACGTGTGTCATACGGTAACTTCCAATAGGTTGAGAACAGGAATACGAATTATATGTAAAAGAGTCAAAAGACTCGTTCCGATTCTGCAGATTCTCTTGAGGAATAGACAAGACAAAGAACCCATCATGTTTCCTGAAGCCGACGACTAACAGACGTGTTGTTTGTAGCGATTTATGGAAATATGGATCGGTGGTGATCGATGACCATAGCTTTGAGACACAACGAAACCGCACGATAGATTTAAATGGCAGCTTTGAGAGTATCTCTGAAATTATATCGCGAGGGAGAGACGTTGTTGATTTTCTTCTTCTTCTGCTTCTTCTTCTTTCTCGACTTTTCTTCTCGATCTTTCTGGTCACCTCCACTCGTTCTTTCATCTTTGTTTGAAACCCTAATTCGTTACTTCCTCTCCACATTTTCGTTCCTATATGAAGGCTCTCTGTTTTTAACTTTTTTGTGAGGAGCGTACATATAAAACAAAACCCTACCGTCAAACGACCAAACCCTACCGTGAGTAAAAAGACTTTAAAACGGCAACGTTTCACTGAATTTTAAATAAATTCTCAGAAGGTTAGTATTTTTTTTTTTTGATAAAAAAGGTAATATTTTGTTACTCCTACTTTCGTTGTTATTATATTCCTCTTTCATTTGTGAATGAATCAATAACAAGAGTGTTGTTCTTTCGTAGGATATGACTCTTATGATTCAATGAAAGCTGCTATATACACACATCGTACGTCGTCACATTGATCTCTTACACTTAATTCACAGAAGGTATATAGTATGCTAAACTGTTTTCTTGTGCATTCATATATTTTTTGCTATTGTTTTAGTTTCAAAAATCGCAGATAGCTTTGGTAATGGAAAACGAGATATGATGGATTCAAATAAATAAATGATAAAAGCCCCTACAGTATATTGAATTCTTAGAAAGAACAGAAAAAGAGAACAAAAAAAGAAGCAACAAAAATATAAGAGAGAGGAGTTACAAAGACACGAGAGTTTCAATGTGATTGGGAAATAAATTGGAACCCCTCGAGAGCAGAAGGCCAGTCTCCAAGTCCGTTGCGTTGTCCAAAATCTTCCAAACTATCACTATAGTCGATTCTTCTGAACGTCTTTCTCTTTGGATTAATATATATCATTTTCAAAGATTGTGCTCCTACAAAAATCAATTGAACATCATCAGTGGCACCCTCGGGAACCAATGAGAATTGATGCCTGGACCATTCGGGTTTCGCTGCATCCTCCAAAACTACCATATGGAGTATGCCACCACGACGACCACCAAAACCAAAACAAGCTAACTTTCCATTATAAGATAACGTCATCCGCCAAGGCTGAGTCTCCCGTGGTAATGTTATTGTTATCACATGAAACTTTTCAGATCTTACATCAAAGCCTATTATAACACGATCAGAACCAAGTTTAGCACGATAATACACAACACCGTTGATGCATCGTGCATGATAAAAACCATGATGATCTCCTCCAGTTAAAGGGAAATGATTAGGAATGGTTTCAACCTTTCTCCATGGCTCCTGAGCTGATCCTGATCCCAATGTTAAAACCTTACACTCATCTAAAGCTTGAACACAAGTCAGCTTAGGCATGCACACTACTTTGTGTTTACCCTCGATTGGATCGTATCCTAAAAAGACTCTTATACTCTTCCATGTTTTCCCCGGTTTTGATAAAGGTGTCAACTTCCTCAGGCTAGGGTTCCAGACTATGGGTTTGTTTGGTTTTTGAAAGCAAATGATCAAGCCGTGGACTGACTCTGTTTCAATGGTGAAAGGATAACGATGTTTTGCGTGCTCCATACGGTAACTATCAATAGGTTGAGAACAGGTGTACGAACCATTAGACTCGTTCGGATTCTGCAGAATCTGTTGAGGAAGAGACAAGAAGAACCCATCACTTTCTCTGAAGCCGACGACTAAAAGACCACTCGGACGTTTTGAGGACTGAGTTTGGAACGACTTTTTGAAATATGGATCGGTGGTGATCGATGACCATAGCTTTGAAACACAACGAAACCGCATAAGAGATTTTAAAGGCAGCTTTAAGAGTATCTCTGAAATTATATCGCGAGGGAGAGACGTTGTTGATTTTCTTCTTCTTTCTCGTGTTTTTGTCTCGATCTTTCTGGTCACCTCTACTCAAAGTAGATTAAACATCAAGGTGAAGAGGTGATCGTTCTGGTCACCTCTTCATCAAGGTTAGATGATTAAAGTAGATTAAACAATTTACACATCCCAATGTCCCATTGTAAATTATCTCATGAACCAGAGTTTCACTTCAACAATTCATTTCTGCATCAATCAATAACAACAGTGTTCTTCGTTGGATATGATATTTGTTTCCTTTTGCATTCATGCTTTGTAAGTGTTAATTTACTTTTAAAAAATCACAAAAGGAGCTTTGGTAACAAAACGACATGATAGTTTCAAACTAAGGGATGAAAAATTATGAGGAAAATAAAAACCGTGCCATAAAGTTGCATAAAGCAAAAGAGAATGGGAAAAAAAAAGAGAAGCAATTACATAGGTTATATGGCCCCTAACTTATTTTAAAAATAGTTTTTTTTATAAATCTCTGGACAGGCTTAGAAAGACATGAGAGTTTCAATGTGATTAGGGAAAAAATGGAGGTTACGCAGAGGCCCACCCTCCAAAACTCCTCTATATTTGACTCTTCTGAACGTCTGTCTCTTTGTACCAATATATATAATCTCCAAAGGTAAGAGTAGCATTCTTGGTACATAAATCAACTCACCATCATCAGTGATACCACTTAGTTTGAACTCGTGTTGCAAATCCTTGGCATAGTGAGAAAGAGGTGAATAATGATGATTCGACCATTCGTGTTTCGCTGCATCCTCCAAAACCCACATTGAAATACTATTTTTACTCTTACTATAACCAACACAAGCTAACTTTCCTTGATAAGATATCATCATCAAATCCCGAGACTTACCCCATGGTGATGTTATCACATCAAACTTTTCGGATCTTACATCAAAGCTCATTATAACCTCATCAGAACCAACTCTGGCATGATAATATAGAACACCGTCGATGCATTGTCTATAAAAATCAACATTGTTTCTCCAGTTAAAGGACAATGACGACTGTGGTTGATTCCGACCGTTCTCCATGGTTCTTGAGCTGATCCTCCCAATGTTAAAACATGGCACTCATCAGAATATCTACCCCAAGGCATGCACACTACTTTGTGTATACCTTTGCTTGGATCGTATCCTAAAAACACTGTTGCATCCTTCGATTCCTTTCCGATCATGGGTAAATCTAAAAACTTTCTCATGCTAGGGTTCCAGACTACAAGGGTTGTTAAATTGTAAAAGCAGATCAAACCGTGGACTGACTCTGTTTTAATGGTGATGGGATAATTATTTGGGTATGTCATATGGTAACTCTCAATAGGCTGAGAAGAGGAATACGAACGAGACTTGTTCCGGTTCTGATTCTGTTGAGAAAGAGAGGAAACAGATAGTTTGTCACCTTCTTTGGAGCAGACTAAAAGCCTCGGACGTGTTGAGGAGTGAGCTTCGAACGATTTTATGAAATCTGGATCGGTGGTGATTGATGAGCAGAGCTTTGAAACACAACGAAACCTCAATACAGATTTTGCAGGCAGCTTTGCGAGTATCTCTGGGATTAGATGAAGAGGAACATACGTTGTTGATTGTGACAACGATGAAGGTTCTCTTTCTCTTCTTCTTCTCTTGATCTTTCTGGTCATCATCTCTTCTTGTTTCTCCATCTTTGTATGAAACCCTAATTTGTTACTTCCACTCCACGTTTTCGTTCCTTTATATGTAATACATGATTTTTCTCCATATAAGAAAACCGCTGGAAAATATACTAAAATACAGAAAGCTAAACCGGGGAACGATTTCTCTAATTACCGGTTCAATCTCAAATCACCTTTAAAATTCATAGACATTCCTCTATTGAAATGGAATAAACCCTTACCATCGGCTATCAATCAGCATATTCCTTGCTTATTGATCTAAGTCTTCTGAAGCATTTATTATCAACTACTAATGGTTATAGCTTATAATATGATGTATTTTTTTTTTTTTTTTTTTGTCAACTTATAATATGATGTATTTAGTTTATTCAAATGTATACAAAAATATTGAAGTCGCTGTCCTATATAAGATAAATAGCCAGTTAATAGTTCATTATAGCCACACCACCTCACCACTATGCATGATCACTTTATTTTGTACAGCCTACAGAAACAAATTTAATGCTTCTATTTTGTAGTACCATCATTTTTCTTTTGTAAAATAGATGGTACAAGGTTTTTAGTGAGATTGAGAAGTTTGTAAACCCTCTTATACCACTTCTCATCATACCACCATTTTTCTCATCATCCGAAAACCGCTGACCACGTCGTTAATTTTTAAATTTTCTATGTCATAAAATCAGAACCGATATATTTTAATTCATATACTTGTAAAAAAATACAAAAAGAAAAAAAGCGAATAACAACAAAAAAGGAAGCATAGAGTCGTGTGTCCGGAACAGATTTGTCAGAGATTATCAGTGAAATGAAAAGTTTTTCGAGCGTTCATATAATATAAGCCATCTGGTTATTTGGGTCAAACAAAACAAACCAACAAAGAAATTATTAAAATAAATGTACTTATTTTTTGTTTTTACCTCTGAACTCGATCAAAACAGAGTTGACTGAGATTGTCAACTTTGATAAGGCTCCATCTAAGATGAGCAACGAATATTCCGTTTTCTCAAAGCCTCTATCTTCTTCTAAAAGGATTTGTCCCCTTGTTTTATACGAAAAAACAGAAAAGAGAAGAAAAGATTTTAGGAAAAATGGGTTGTGTACGAGGATCAGGTTTATTTTCCCTTGTTCTTGTTCTTGGTCTGGTCTTGATCAACTGGGTGATTTTCTGTAATGGAAGCATCACTAGTAGCTTTGTCAGGAAATTGGAGAAAACCATTGATATGCCTCTTGAAAGCGATGTTTTTCGTGTCCCTCCCGGGTATAATGCTCCTCAACAGGTAGCTTTTAATTTCACTTTTTGTTTTCTTTCTAAAATTAACAAATATTTTTCGATTCATGTTGTTTCTCACTTTCTTGTGGCTTCTGCTTGTAACTTAATTACCTAAGTCCTTAATTTTGCTAATTTAATATTTACCACTTTTTGCTCTTTTAAAATCTTGTATAAATGGCTTAAAGTGCTATTATTGGACGGTCCTGTTTCGATTCTTGATTCTTTGATCTTTCTAAAGAATTAAAAAAAAAAAGATTTTATTGATTTGGGTTATTTACTTATTTTCCACATACAAAAGGTGCATATAACACAAGGAGATGTAGAAGGGAAGGCAGTGATAGTGTCTTGGGTGACACCAAAAACACCAGGATCTAACACAGTCCTTTACTGGGAAGAGAATAGCTCCAAAAAGCTTAAAGCCCAAGGCAAATCCAAGACTTACAAGTTCTACGACTATACTTCTGGTTACATCCATCACTGCACCATTAGAAACTTGGAGGTACATCATCATCAACTCATCATGAATCTTTGCTTTTCTTGTTATCTGATTTTGTGGTTAATTATATTCTTGCAGCATGACACCAAGTACTATTACGTGGTAGGTGTGGGACAAACAGAGCGCAAGTTCTGGTTCTTTACTCCTCCTGAAACTGGTCCAGACGTTCCTTACACGTTTGGTCTTATTGGTATTGTCCTGAAGCATATTCATGGTTTCTTTTCTTTTAAAGAAAAAGGCAATTTATTGCCATCCATGGTCTTGAACTTGAGTTGCAAATTCTTGTTTTGCAGGGGATCTTGGGCAGAGTTTTGACTCAAACATAACCTTAACACATTATGAGAAGAGCCCAATAAAGGGACAAGCGGTTTTGTTTGTTGGGGATCTCTCATACGCTGACCAATATCCAAATCACGACAATAATAGATGGGACACTTGGGGAAGATTTGTTGAAAGATCCACAGCTTACCAGCCATGGATTTGGACCGCAGGAAATCATGAACTCGATTTTGCCCCCGAGCTTGTAAAGCTTCTTGCTCCCTCTCCTCTGTTTTTACTTGCATCTAGGCTTAAAAATGCATCTAGTAGTTTCTAGCTAGACCAGCTTTGCCTTGACTGAGACTGACATGGATTGCAGGGCGAGACCAGACCGTTTAAGCCATTCATGCATAGGTACCGCACTCCTTACAGAGCATCAGGCAGCCCAGAACCATTCTGGTACTCCATAAAGAGAGGACCGGCTTACATAATCGTGCTTGCTTCATATTCAGCATATGGTAAAGGCATCTTAAAGATCTTGACACTTTTACAAGGCATTGGTCTTAACTTCAAGACTAATAAGATCCTGAAATATTCCATCTTTGTTTTTTGGGACAGGTAAATACACGCCGCAATTCAAATGGCTCGAGAAGGAGTTCCCAAAGGTTAACAGGACGGAAACTCCATGGTTGATTGTTCTGATGCATGCACCGTGGTACAACAGCTTTGATTACCATTACATGGAAGGCGAAACCATGAGGGTGATGTATGAGCCGTGGTTCGTCAAGAACAAAGTAGATGTTGTTTTTGCAGGTCACGTCCACGCCTACGAAAGATCAGTAAGATCAAAAACTTGTGGCTCCTCTCATTTCAATTTTAAACTAAGAGATTCTGAGAAATCTGAGCTATTGTGAAACCTGTAGGAACGTGTATCAAACATAGCTTACAACATAGTTAACGGCATTTGCAGTCCAGTCAAAGATCAATCTGCTCCAGTCTACATCACCATCGGTGATGGAGGCAATCTTGAAGGATTGGCCACCAAGTAAGCTATAAACAATTCTGTTCATTTCAACATACTTTCGATTAGATTAAGATGATGTGTTTTTTGAATGTGTGATACACATGGTGTCTGCAGATTGACTGAGCCTCAGCCTAAGTACTCTGCCTTCAGAGAATCAAGTTTCGGGCACGCTATATTCTCCATAAAGAACAGAACGCACGCACACTATGGATGGCACAGGAACCAGGACGGTTACGCTGTGGAGGCTGACACCATGTGGTTTAACAACAGATTCTGGCATCCAGTGGATGATTCTCCTTCTTCAGATTCTTGAGAACCTCCATTTATCTTGTGTGTATGCATATCTCTTTGACTGAATAAATGCAATGTTGGCCAGTTCTCGTTCATGTCCTTGCTTTAGACCAAACACATTCACAATGGTGAGGCTCTTGTTCAATTCGCAAGAATCTTGACCGTTGTTCATTCTAAAGAGTTCTACCAAAACATTTAAATTCTTGAAATTTGCAGCTGTTTACTACCGCCAACTATTCTCTATAATCTTAAGAAATCTAAAGGGATCTGAATTTATATACAAGTTCTCTTGACGCTGTTATAAACTCTAATATGCATTTACATTGAACTTGAGACTATACTTTTGGTTTATTGAAACATATTAGGCGTTTACTTCTCGATGCCTTGTTGAAGATACTGTATCAAATCGTACCCATAAGTGGTCCATTTGTTGTAGGCATCGGTACAGACATGGATCATGAAGTGTGCGGCTTCACGCTCACTCATCTCTGGATGAAATCTCTTTCGAAGCTTCCCAATTGGATCTCCTCTGCTGAAGCAAGGCAATCCACTTTCCACCATCATTTCCACTGTACTGATGATCCCATCCATGTATCGCCGAGCAGCCAAGTATCCCTTCACGCACAAGCTTTACAAGAGAAAGAGAATATAACTAAACTGTCTCAGAACCTCAAATGGTTTTCATTGAAAAAGGTCAAAGAGATAAAAGTATTGAGGAAGTTTATGACTACCTCACAAACTGATGCCAAGTTTCGCTCTTCATATCTCCTGATGGATCAAGCAACTGTGTCATTTCGTGGCTCAGTTTGAAATGTGCGCTCTCAAAACGCATGTTTCCACCAGGTGAAGTTTCGAAAATGAAACCAAAGTCAATGTGAACAAGCCTTCCCATGCTGCATTTTCAAAATATGTTAATGGTTATTTTCAGAAACTAACAACAACCAGAGGGTTTCAAAGGTGTGTAACTCATCTTACTTGTCGAAGAGGAGATTGCCGTTGTGTCTGTCTTTAGGCTGGAGTAAAAGACTTGCCACAGCATAACCAGCACTACTGGTGAGGAAGTTAGCCCGTGCCGTTTCAAAGGAAGGTGAGCCAACGGGTCCAAACTCTTGTTGAAAGATCTCATACAAGCCACCATCGGTTGTTTCACCCATTTGACTTCTGCTTCGTGTATTTGGCACAACCTGTTGAAGAAAAAAGGACAAGACATATAAAAAAACCACACAACCTAACATTTGGATTAAAGAATGTGAATGAATTAGCAGAAATTACCTCAATTATCCCCCTACCGTCCCCAGTTGGAAGTACTCCATATGGAAAAAGATAGAGATTAAGACCAACCGCTTGAAATATGTCTCGAAGAAGAGATATCACTTGCAGGGCAAGAACATCTTGACGACAATCATCTCCAACCTAATGAATACAAGAGAGAGTTAGGAAGAGCAACAGACATATTGATTACGTTTCTTAAACTTGCTAAATACTACGGAAACAACATTATAGTAGAACAGATTTTCATGTAGACCACACAGATGTATGCAAATCATTTTCAGAAAGCTAACCTTGAAAATACAAGCCTGTGATTTCACATCGTTGTGGTCACCATCACGATCAACCACATTAAACGTTATCATAATAGGGACTTTGGCAGCTGATTGTAAGGGTATTCCACTGTCTACTTGGATACCCCTGACGAGCTTGTTCGGAGCTGTAGGCAAATAAAGCTCTTCTCCCTGCATTTTGATTTTCTCTAACTCCCTGCCATGGAAATTATTATTATATGACTATCTTGCATCTAACAAGGCAGACTCATTTGTACCACAATCTAGTTTAGAATGCTACCTTCTGATACCAGCTCTGCGTTCTTCTTTTGGAAGAGGAAATAATACTCCAGAAATAGATGTGACCTTGTCAAAGAAGTCAAACTCTCTGCTGAACAAGTCGAAGGCCTTGGGAGTAAAACCATCAACTATATGCTGTCGAACCTCTGGCAAAATTCCTCGGAATCTCGCATTCTGGAATCAAGGAAAGACAACACGATGAGCTCAGAGTTTTATAACAAAACAGTAGAAATCCATCGGAAAGGTTTCTGGAATTACAGATAACTAGCTTTTTCATGTTTCATGACTCAAGAATTCATCACTGCTTTACAAGATGTTTTCCAAGAACAAAATAATGCCAACACAGAGCTATAACCCGTAATGAGACAACTCAACGTTTTTTAAAAAGAAGAAGAATGAGTATTCATCAAATCTGACAGCAATGATATATAAGCATAAGAGAATAATCATTGGCAAACCTTATCGAGAACACCATTCTTCACTGTTTCCTGAACAGACTCACCCTGGCATTACAGTAACAGAGAGTACGAGATTTAATTGTGACAATTCGCTCTATGAAAAAATGTAATCCTCACAAACTCAATGAAGCTAAACTCACCTCCAAATGCCAAATGAGGATATGAGCAAATATGTCGCTTCTTTGTGCAGCTCTTAGAAGATATCCTTCAACCAACCTCTGCAAGCAAAAAGGTTTAAAAAAAAACAACCTTTCAAAAAATATATAGCAGAATATTGGTCTTCAAACTGCTCAGAGAGAGAGAGAGATGTGGGGCATGAATTATAGAATCACACTTAACGACTTACCTGTTCATCATAGCGCAGAGACTGCACTAATTGTGGCATGAAGAAAGTGACTCGCTCGGGAGGGTAAGACTCTAACACTCTTAGGACATATGCCATGACACGTGGATGCCCCTTATAAGCAGGTGTGAGAAGCACAAGAGCCTGTGTAATTGAACAAGCATCCCAGTGTAGTAGCTGCTGCAAGAGCACTGAGTCCTCTTCAACAGTCTTAGGTGTGACAAAATATGGTAACGCCTCAGGAATAGTACGAAAATCTACTATATGAGCCTACAAAAACAAAAGTAGTACTGGTGAGAAATTTATTCTAATCTTTTACACCCTGATGATCCAAAACAAGTTTAGTCATATTATTTTGGTGTAACACCCTCCTTAACTTAATGACAAACTTGGAGTCTATTATCAAGTCCTACATGAGGTAATCTATGTAAAAATCCGTACCTGAACTAGCCGAATGGCTTCGGATTTCACAGCGATATTTGCTGGAAATCTTGAGGCTAATGATATAGCAATCCGGGGATCCACCGAAAAAGCAGTTTTAACATGTTCCGTCCATTTCTTGGAGCTTAATTTCAGACGTGAATATGGACTGTCCCTGTACATAAGTTGTAGTTTTGAAGAATGGATATCAGCAATGTAGGTCAAAAGAAACCAATGAGTAGTGGAACGTAATAGAGGGGATGTTTTACTTTGGACTAATAGGTTGTGCCCAAACGTCAAGCCTATCAGATTCATGCTGGCAAAGAATCAGTAGTAGTTGCTTCCTCTTTTCCATTCCCGCTCCATAGTTTTCCATATTACCCCAGACAGGATGATACTGATCAATCTGTAAACATGCATCCAATATAAATAACATACTTTTCATTCAATGAAGTATACAAGCATGAAAGTAGAAAAATAAAGAAGACAGTTATCATACCTCATCAGTTAAGTTCCCGTTTTCATGAGCTCTTGCATTGGAACCAGATTGGATAAATTCTGATCGCTCATTTGACAAAAACTGAGCAAACATTGAAACAGACTGAGCCTCACTTTGACAAAAGTTCGGAATGTTTACATCATACCACTCCGGCTGGCGAGAGAACCATCCTAAAGAAGTCCTGGAATAAGTGGAAAAGACAAAATTCTTACTAACACATACTTAAATAAAACGAGGGTAAATCAGAGATGTTGATAAAGACGTCTGCAACAGTATCAAAGTTCAACTTGTTTTGCCAAGCGAGGTATGACAAAAAGTCACCTATAGATTCGATCTTCCAATAGCTGGAGTCCACGTATAAACTTATGCACCTTGCCTTGTCTTTGGCATGAGCAGAACTTCAGTCCAAGAAGCATCAAGGTAAAAAAGGTACCAGCCGCTGCTGGGTGGTGGGTAAAACACAAGTCAAGATTTGTACTCCGTTGTAACAGCTGACCAAACAACAAGAGTTGCTCCGTGCTATTATGTCGAACAACCTAAAGAAACGTGGAAGGAATAAGAAACAATCACTCAAATACACCTATACAACTAAAGATCACAAAGAGAACTCAGCTACTCATAAAATTTTCGTTGGTCTAATCGTATTTCTAAGCATAACTGTATATAGAATAAAGCCTCACCTCAAAGCGATCTATCAAAAATCCAAGCCATAGTCTGTGAGCGAGTATTTCATTAACAGGGTCACTATCAGGTGGATCTTCTGGTTCTCCAGGAGAAAGTTGGGGCCTTAATTTTGCAGTTGGGCCATAGTATCGCACATCAGATGCAAAGAGTCCTCGCTTTGCATCAATTGTCCATATCCATGCATCAACAAGACTGGAAAGAACAAAAGATTCAAATTGTGGAGCAGCGGAAACCAACCAAGTCCAAATGTATATTCCAGTTTCCATAGCATCATGAGTTAACATGTAAGCTGGACACCAACAGAGGAGACACAGTAAGTGCGAAAATTCCATCATATCTATTCTCTGCTGACCATCTTGCTGCAACAATAGAAGAATAGAAAATTTAACTTTAGTAGATACTAATTATCTGGAAGATATGACAGACACATGTGTTCTTGCTTACCAGATTTGATAGAAGTAAGGCAGTTGCATGAGAACAAGTTTCTCGAAAATGCGACTTGTCCACCTCTCCTCCTTTCTCAGCAGTATTAACAAATTGTTGAAGGCGCCGCACAGAATGGGAACTCAACGTGTCATTGCCACTAATGTTTTCCAATCTTACTGTGCAAGCAACTTGTCTGGTATAGTTGCACTTTAACATTGCATTGACTACACAAGTACCAAGTACCTCTGAGTTAAAAGCTTCCGAAGTTTTGAAATTTGCCCCAGAAGCTGCAACTGCTGCAGCCATTACAGCTGGAATATTTGCTGCTTTGATCCCAGACCAAATCTCATTTTTCCCAGTTCCAATCCTTATCTCAGTTAGAAGAGAAACCACATCATTTGTAGTTGAAGATCGCTGCAATGTGTTAGCCTTACACAGCTTATCCTGACATGCATATAATGAGTTTAATCACTAAACAATAATTTTAAGTACAACATATAATCACAGGAAAAAAAAAAAGAGTCTTATTGTGAAAATGCATTCAGAAACATTTAACAATACTAGTGGTCAGAGAAAGAAACAGAAAAAAATAGACCTCACATCTTTAAGCATTTCAAGAAACAGGGGAGCCTAAAGTTTAAAAAGAGATTTAGAGACAGAACAAGGCAGTACTACATGCACCCCGACAGAACTGAGACAGGAATGATTTCATTGCAACAGTTCTCTCGTATTGATAATTATATACTTCCTCAAATTGAAGTGGAGAAATAAAACTGTCATAAAAAAAGATATTCGAACATGCATAAAGAAAGATAAGAATTGGTGTAGAGAAGGAAACCTGAAGCAAACCCTGACTAGTGCATGGAGCATATGAAATTGATAATATGATCCATTCTCTAAGAACTTTCTGGTATAAAGATCGAATGGCAGCAGTGCAAGCAGGATCGTTGCCGACTGAAGATGCATTGTCATGAACAGAGAATAGCAAACTATCCAGACAAGATGAGCTCCATAGGACCTGCATTTATCATTGTAAGTTGCTTCATGTTGCATAAACTAATGCGAAATTTTCTCAAGTGTTGTTGATGAAGGCAAAAGCCAGCATATGTCATTTATTCCTACCTGGGGAAACTTGTTCCTGATATGAGTCAACAGTTTCGCTGAGATATCTCGTATGTCTTCATCTCTCTGTGACATACTCTTTATGAGGAAACATGCATGTGTATACATTGTTGATTCCATTATATTAGCATTTTCCCCAGTAAGAGATATTTGATCTTCCTGAAATTAGATGAAAATGTTCATAACATTCATCTACTGCTAAAATGCTAACAAAGGCAAGAGAACAAATAAAAACAGAAAAGGAAATCTGCTACTGATGATAGTTAACCAAACGACCAAAATGCATATATATACAAGCTAGTGTTGCAATCTAAAGATCGCATATATAAAGATAAGGCTAAAATCAATAAGACCATGTAATTAAATACATACCAGCCATGACACTGCTGCTTCAAAGGCTCTATGCACAGTTGCTGTCAAACACTGGGAAACAGCAGGCGTGAGGTCCGGAGATTTCAGGTACTCGAAGACGCAACTGAAGGCACTTCGAGAGGCAGACACACTTGAGCCACCGTTAAGAATACCCCCATTGCTAATAAAACGTATGACCTCCAGAAGGGCTACTGCAAGAAGATATGTAGCCTTCGCCCCTAAAATAAAAAAGAGAAATAAACCATTTCTATCATTATACTAAAAGGTAGAATACCAACAGCATTGCAGTAAATCTAAAGCTAAGACATTCACATCTATTTGACCTGAGATAGTTTTCATTGCTGAAACATCAACTCGACCACCCAAGGCAATAGAAAGAGCAGTTCTCTGAGTTGAAGCTACTTTCTTATTCCCAGTTCCTCGTAAGGTATCAGAATTATGAAGTGCATTGAGCTCTAATTCGTCTTCAAGCCATTTTACAGAACTGACGACCTACAAAGAGCACATACTCAATCAATTAAAATTAAAACTCAGACACAGTATCTCGTGGAAGAGCTAGTAAAGTGATACTGTAGCTAGACTAACTTACAAGGGGAGGAGTGCCCTGAGAAATTCTCTGAACAGCAAGAGCCCACCGAGGGTTCCACATGTAAGGCCCTCCTACAGCTTGTAGAGAGAACGTACTAATTCTTCCAGCACTATTCACTGAATTAGAGATTGTCTTCACTTCTGGAAGCGGAGGTTTCAGAATAGGAGGTGCTAAGGCAAAAAGGGCTATGTAGAACCATAGATTGCGAAACAATTTCAGCAGTGAAGGTTCCACTTTTGAAGTGGGATCGAAATCCGAACATATTTGCGCAACAGCACGAAGAAGAGGACCCAAAAGGTCGGCACCGCTCCTAAAAGAAAATGAAGCACGTCATTGCTGATCCAATGGTTGTCAATAGAATTTTTTTTTAACATGAAGGTAACTTATAATATAACATGATGAATGATAAAAACAACACCATGGACACGCCGTTGGTACTCTCAATGATCAATTCCTCAACTTTATGTCAATAATTAATTGTCTGTATTCTTTTTCTATTGTTTCTCTGTTTAATTCATAACCAAAAAAAAAAACAATAGATTTATACATGCTAGGATCATATACGTGGTTAATTACCATCCACTTTTCGACTCAGAAGCCAGGCTTACATCCGAACATAAGGAAAGCAGGCGATGGCGATAGTCTGCACGCAGTTTTGTATTCTTAAGACCCCTAGCAATTATAAGAAAGCCTGCAGCAAGACTCTGCAATGCAATTGGATCTGTGAGCCTTAGTGTAGTAGGAAATATCAAAAAGAAAACACAGAAAGTGAACAATCTATCAGATTTCATTATACCTCTAAGTGCCAAGCTATAGACCTTGGTGATGATGTTTTGCTTTCGACAGATCCTACCGTCGATATTTTGCTCAAGTAACCTCTAGTCATCATAACTACTGTCTCACGGTAGGACTTCTCATATCCTAATGTTGCTATCCGTGATACAGCATCAAGAAGCTACATATAAGTGGCAACAGATGCATAAGTAAATCTACAAATCTAACGAAAAACGGACAAAATTTTAGAAAGTAAAAACAATAGCCTGAAAATGGAGCCATACATGGAGTCTCAAAGAGCGAGGAGTTGAAGAAGCATCACCCCCTTCTAGGATTTCAATAAAAAACGGTAAAATCATATCTGCTACTTCAGGCTTTTTAACAGCAACGGTGATATCAGCAAGCAATCGTATTACATTCAGCTGTACAGCAGGAACTTGCTTCTCTCTGTCAACCTGAAGGCCAAATGATTAGACTTCTTAAAAAGTTAAAACTATAATGCAACACAAAGAGAGACGAATAAGCCAACTAAGGTAAAGGGAACGGTTTAGAGTAACCTGCTCTTCATAATCATTACTTTCACGAATACTTGAAGCTAACCCCACGATGAAAGTGTCCACTGAAGCTCGATCCTTGGCCCAACCAGATTTGATAATCTCACAAGATAATTTAAATACGCTCTCAAACAGACTCCCCTGATTTCTCACCCAATTGTTCCAACATAAAGAAACCTCAATCAGTCATTAAAAATGTATTAAAAGATATATCCAGACTTCAAAGGATATGTGACATGATGTGACTATTCTTCTTACTAACACCCATCAGTAGCCTAGACTATGCTGCTCAAATGAGTTTCCACAAAACAAGATTACCTGTGCGCAGGCAGCAAGTGCCAGTAATTTAAGTCGGTTAAACAGCCCACGTGGTGGATAACCTCCCTTCCCTGCTGCCATTTTCGCAATCCCAGAAAGCAGAGAGCTGAAAAGTTCTTCGCAGCCCTTCATTTTCCGCCACACGGAGGTCAAGCAAGCATCTGCAGCATCTAACAGCAATGTGACTGTCTCCAGAACCAACCTAATAGATGTCTTTCTATCTGTTTCTAGGGACGTGAGACTCTTGATTTTCAGGTTAGCTGCAGCTTGATAAACAAACAGTTTCGCATTGACTCTAGCTTTAAGAGCTTGGTCTTGTTCATTCCAATCCCGCCTTCTTGACTGTGAAACAAAAAAGCAGAAATAACATCATCATCTACAAAATCCATACTTCACTGAAGCTCTTTAAAGTAGGCAGAGTGAAATTTCTGTTCTAGGAATACCATATGTAAAGTACCAAGATTACCTTGAGAAATGCAGACATGGACTGGAGCTGCCTCTTAGCTACTGAACTCACCTGATCGTGGAGTTTATCATCAACTTTCACTTTATCCAGAACACTGGTTAACAATTTCAAAGCAAACTCCTGCATCTCCAAACTCTGGATGGAATCTTCCTCAAAAGAAGCCACTTGATCTCTAAGCACAAGGTGAGAGCCTCCACTTCCCTCATTAGATCCAAAACTCAGCTGATCAACATCAGTCTTCCACTGGAGACTTCCCTCATTCACCACTACAGAAACGGATTTTGCAACATCAAGGCCAGGACTAAGCTCCTCACTCTTGCTAATGGGAGAGTTCAATTGAAGCTGTTTCATGGGAGATTCAGGAGGAGCACGGTTCTCTGCAAACTGATTGAGCAGAAATTTGATCAATTTATCACCATCGGTCTGTCTAATGGACGGGAAATTCTGGGTAAGAGCAACCAAGAAAGCCCTAGAGATCGCTGGGTCTCTATCGCTCTCACTGCAACTCATGACCTCTACTGTAATCTCCAAAACTTTGGTGCCGAATTCAAGTGACAACTCAGCCGCGCCGCCCGAAACGGAACCTAGGAAACTGCAATAGAACGCGGAAATCGAATCCAGCGAGTATGAATCCGGCCAGAAGGAGCGGTGGAACGACTTCGGAACTGCCTGGAGGAAGTCGAGGATGACGAATTTGCCATGATTTCCGGTTGTGTCAACAACGTTCCTGGAGATTAGATGAGCGACGGCTAACACCGCGGTGAGTTGAATCCGAGAAACTCTGGCCGATTCGGCGCGAAGCAGCTTAGGTTGCGGACATTTTCGGCAAAACCAATCCAGATTCTCCGATAATTTTTCCGGATTCTCCTCTGTAACGTCGCAGAGCTCCTTCCATGCCTCCATCTCCGACCCGAGATCAGAACTAGCGCACAGAGAGAATTTCTGCGATCCAAAGCTGCAGAAAGACGGAATCAAAATCTCCGATGATCCATGAAGGGGAGCAGTGGTAAATTTCAGGAATGTGAGTGTAGCGTTTGGGTCTAGAATCTTTTTTCTTCGTTGTATGGGGTTTTGAAGAGCCCTGCTTTCGTGTGCTACGTACTGGGTTAATTGTAACTTTTTCATACTATATGCTATTTAATTCTCATAAATATATGGTACTAATAATTTTGTCCCTTTTTTTTATTAATTAGAACAGATTTTATGTTATTTTTTGTTTTGATAAAAACAGATTTTATGATATTGATTTGACATATTTATTCACAACTACAGTATTATCATGGATATAAGAAAAGTTATAAAGATTATAGGATTCTGAATAACTTGAGTAAATAGAGGATTAATTTAGAGAAACAGAGCAATTTCTCAGTATTTATTTATCAAGAAGCTACACTAGACTTGAATTCAAAGAAAACAAAGATAAGAATAAGTTCCTTTTATGTAAAAAAATATCATTTTATCAACAAATATTTAATTTATTTATTTATCCATAAAATCTGATTTGTTTGTATTCATTTCATTTACCAGTTTGTCAATTCATCAAACGTACCACATGTTCATATCATAAAGATTAAATTTACGTCTACTGTTCAAATCAGACAAAATTTGCGATTTCACAACTTAAACCAGTTCATAATCATAAAGAGTCGATCAAACCCGACCCAAATCCGATTTCAATCTTAACATTTGTCATTGGGTCGGTTTAAATGGAAGTAGCGAAATCAGGTTATGAGGCAACAACTTGCCTTTGAGGAAGCTCAGATCTGCACGAAGAGTGGTGTTTTTATTTCGCCGCCGATCAGTGAAAGAGAGCATGACTCTGCTAGTCGATGCCTCTATTCCTCTCAGACCGTAAATGATAGACATATCCATGAAAGGTAAGCTTGAAAAGTAACGTTTTACGGATTAACTTTTCACTGAAAATGGAGAATGAGAGTCGGAGAATCAGTGATTTACCAGATGAATTGCTGTTGAAGGTACTGTCGTCTTCGCTTCCTAGTAAAGAAGTCGTAGCCACGAGTATCTTGTCAAAACGGTGGCGATCTCTTTGGGAAGAGGTGAAGACTTTAATGTACGATGGTGATTCTTTCACTAGAACTTACTGGAGGTTTACAGAATTTCTCAGCAGAAGACCAAGCGTAGATAGCTTGCACCTCAAGCTACACCCACATGTTGGCAACACAGACCTAAAAACTTTGGTTAACATCGCGATTTCTCTCTCTCTGAGAGAGCTAAGAATCGAGATGATCTGCGGTTTCTTCGAGTTCCCCAAAAGCTTTTACATCTTTTCACAGCTTGAAACCATTATACTCGAGAAACAAAATCTGGTGGATGTTCCACCAAATGTTCGTTTGGTCTCCCTCAGACGTCTCCACCTCTTATCGGTGAAGTTCCAAGGCGATGAATCTGTGGAAAAGCTTCTAAGCGCATGCCCACGCCTTGAAGATTTGGTAGTGACACAAAGATCTTACACCAATGTGATGTTGTTTAACATCCGTGTGCCTACGTTGAGGAGTTTATGTATCGATAATACGTCTGGGAATCATCGGCCTAAAGGTGTTTATGGGTTTGTGATCAATGCACCTTCTTTGAGGTTTTTTAGCATTAGGGACAGCTTCAGCAACTACTTGTGGTTTGGAAATATGCCTGAGCTGGTCAAAGCGAGTGTCAACGTTGTTTGTGACAAACCTGACAAGTTTCTAGGATCTCTTGCCTCAACACAATCTCTTTCTCTGTGTTCTGTCACATCCTCACAGGTTAAAAAAAGCTTCTCTGTTTTTATTGTATAGATGTTAAAGATCTGACCTAATCATGTCTAATAAAGCATATTTATCAAAAAAAAATGTTTAATAATGCAGACTCCATATCCTCCTATTGGCACTTCCTTCCTCTCTCTTGACCATCTTGAGCTATGTTCATGTTCTAAAGAGTGGTTGAATCTACTTACATTTATGCTCAATGATGCTCCAAGACTTCGTGTTCTCAAGCTAAAACTGGTATGTGGTTCCTCCTTGTAATCCTTTACTTCGTTTCTTGTGGGTCTGACACTGATACAATTATGTAGTTTCAGAAACACTGTGTCAAGAAGGAGGCGATGGATCCATGGAACAAGCCGGATACTGTTCCTGAATGTTTATCATCCCATCTTGAGATCTTTGAGTGGAGACAGTACAAGGGCACAGAGCAAGAGAGAGAAGCTGCCAAGTACATTGTAGCAAAAGGAAGTTGTCTAAAGAAGGCCACATTCTACTCGGAATCTGCAGAGAAGGATGGGATGTTGAAGGAGTTAGAATGTGTGGCCAGAGGTTCAAAGACTTGCTCGCTTGTGTTGAAGTAAACGCTTCGATCCAGCGAACCTCACTATCAATCTTATGAGAAAGCTCCTGTGTTTATAAAAAAAGAATAGAATATTGGATCTTTTACGAATGAAATGAAAAGACATACTAATAAGTAATAAGAGACAAAAGAGAAGAAATTGTATCTAACTTGACAAACACGCATACAAATACTATATACATGTCAACCTGTGAGAGACTAACCTCCGCAGTGTAGCATCAGCAAGATCATATTTAGCTTCAGTCACTCTTGGATGATGATTTCCAGACCAAGACCGATATATTATTGTTTCAACAGGCATAGAACCAAAAGTGTTATTTGTTTATATGATTCTTGACTTAGGAGTTAGGGTACAAATAAATACAAGAAAATCCAGAACAAGTAACCAGAAAACAAAAAAAATCATCACGGAGTATGTAGTACTTGAAGATCGTTGGTTCCATAATAATACTAAACCGAGGCCAATAAGGATCACATATAAAGATGATAAAGAAGGCAGAAAAATCCCCCGTGTTGTTAAGCCAATAGGATACACGATTCCCATGTATTATTTGTCATCCCATTAATAGGGCGGGCGTAATGTCCCCAACTTGGGTAACAAGCTCTCGTTAGTAAGCTCGACACACACTCTCTGGTATAGCGACTTATATAAACATAACAATCTCAACCTATGAAACCGGTGTGGGACGAAAGAGAAGTAACGTCAATATTAATGGTCTTTTGATGATTATCTTCCAAGTAACGAGAGCACCAAAACAAAAAATTCTAAAGCCTCTGAGATTCTGACATAAATGGAAGAAAGCAATAAGCAAGAAAGATTTAAACAAATAATTTGGATTAGTGACATATATGGTTCAATGATCATTTGTTACGAGTTTTAAAAGTAACAATCAAAAGATTTTGTTTAAAATTTTATGTTTATTTGGCCAAAAGAATATTTCTACGTTATTAAATTTCTTATTAATTTTAGTCAACAACATGCAAAATGTAGTATCCTGCTGTGGATTTCACTAACTTTTATAAGATGAAAGTTTTTTTATGGGAAACATCAATGTAAAGAGACATTGTATTAGACCTTTTATATTATTAAAACTTTTTTTATAGTTATTTTAAAGAACACTTAACGAGTCCTGACAGCTTAAGTCAAACGGAATCCAAATAAAAGAAATCCAAAAACACTTTAGGAGTTTGTCTCCAAACGAACAAAAAAAAAGACAAAACATGAAACCAAAACTATGAAGACTAGGATTTGTGGAACACGTTGCGCTGCATCAAAAGGTAGGTTTGTAGCAGCCAAGAGTCCAAGATCAATTCAAATATCCACCTGTTTCTTCATTCTCCATCTATTTCAATTCAAAACACCATTTCAGAGACTAAGCTAAAAAAAATCCAAAAACAAGCATAAGTTAAGGTTGAGAGATCCCATAATTACCTTTGAAAAAAGATGCTTCTTCATTTACTTTCCAACTTTTTTCTGCTTGACCTCGACAGCCCGCGCAGGCTTCTTCAGGCTCGGATTCTGCTTGACCTCGACAGCCCGTGCAGGCTTCTTCAAACTCGGATTCTGCTTGACCTCGACAGCCCGGGCAGGCTTGTTCAAGCTCCGACTTGGTCCAGCTTCCCCAACCGTCAAGGATGAGGATTTCATTAATTCCTATTTAATATTACCATCATAATCATCACCATCCTCAGATTCAATGGCATCATCATAAACTTCTCCATCCTCAGATTCAAAGGCACTCAGATCAAGCTCGTAACGAAGTATCCCTCCAATGCCTCCATAGTCTCTGCAAAACCTAAACCCTTCTTCTGATCTGTCCGTTACAATCTCTAACGCACAACCAAAACGCTTGTACCCATCAGCTATCCACTCCGCTAAGGACATCTTCTCCTCCACGTCAAACTCTTTGAAATTCTCTTCGTTACCTTCTTGTTCCTTGTTCAAGTGTTTTATCACAGTTTCACTCGTAGCACTCTTCTTCTTCATAACATATCTGTTGATGTCAAGATTCTCCCATACGATAAGTGTCTCGACAGCACCAGAATCCAAAGCGTTTAACGTGTCATCCACGCCACAAACGTACTTCCCTGTGCCCTGGCTCATCTCCGTAAAATACTTCCCCACCAAACGCTTTTCTTGATTTAACTTCACATTCGCCAAAACATCAGATGACAGATCAATTGCCTCTTTGAAACCCGTTTCTCCTCCGTGTGATACCTTCACTACGTTCAGTATCTTCGCCGCGAGCCGGGGATTAAACATATCTGACTGGCTCAGTTTAGTCTTCAAATCCGCTGAGCCGGCAAGTATCAGCCCATCCACGTTAGGGTGACTTGTCGAAGGATTGATGAAGTACTGCGTTGCGAGCTCAGCTGTTTTGCTCAAGTAATTGTGACGCTTCTCCGTGCTGAGACGAGCAAACCGGAGAGCCGATTGTCCTCCTCTTCCGTGACTGTTTGGAAGATCAACAGAAAACTTGTGAAGCACGTCACGTGTGTTACCGCTAAGAGTTCCAAAGAGAGTGCCTTTTCCGTCCATAACAATGAAACCAAACTTGTCTTCAGAGTCAACCAATTCAGACAAAGCCTCAGTGTGGAACTTATTGTCACAGAGGTAGAGAGAAGCGTTTATCGGTCTGAAAGGCTCAAAGTCGATCGTAACCTTCTTTTCCTTGCCTTCTTCGTTGACAATGGTGCCGGTGAAGAGCACGAGACCATTAGGAGGGACTTTGTTGTAAAGCTTCAGCCTTTGCTGTGCACAAGTTATGGCTCCCAAAACAGATTGGCGGTTGACTCTGCTCTTGATGTTTGATGCGGTTCCGTATTCGCTACTCAACATCCTTGTAACACGACAGATCTGATCACGAGGAGGCATGATGAGTGAGATCATGCTTGTTCCGTTTCCCTTTGCAGCTTCAAGGGCTTTGATCCGCTTCTTAAGCTTCCACCTCTCAATGTTATCATGATTGTCTCCCATTATAACTACCTGTAACAACAACACAAACCAGGGATTTCAATTAGTACAAAAGCTAGTTAACTGCAAAATATTGTACAATATTTAAGAGATCAGCTCACTAGCTTAGGATGTAGGTTGAATCAAACAAAACTCATAAGTTCTCAATACTTGGCCAAAGAACTAAAAATTATATACCCTTTCCATGAGACCTAATCCAACTTTTTTATAAAGTATTAAAGTGTATAATCTTAAGAAAACAAAGGAGATATATATTTTGCGGTTAATTAGAAAACCAGCGGTGAAAAGACGCAGTATATCTAATGAACATCATGAAATTCCAGAAACTTAAAAAAAAAACACACACATACGATCAGATCACACGATCGATCAACCGAATATCAGACGAACAAATAAGAAGCGAGATCAACAACAAGAAAATAGCAGACCAAAATAAGAGAAAGCTACGAAGTTAAGGAAAAACCTGAAGAAGAAAGTAGTTGAAGGAACGACGCTTGAAAATTTAGAGGCTAATAGGTTTTGAGAAAGATTTGTGTTGTAGAATGGTATTTAAACGTAAAGGTCAACTAGACTTGTGAACCAAGTTATAGAAACTTTCCTAATCTTTCCAGGAAGTTTCCAAACCGACTTACCTTAATGGGCCTAAGCCCAATATCTTTATTAGTTCTTCTCTGTCCCTGGCCGAATTCCATTCTCGTTAGGATACAAATGTACAAATAGAAAATAGAAAGATTCTAAATCTAACCACAATCCATTGTTGTTCAATCATGGTTTTAAAATCTTCTAAAAAAATCTGGTGTTCTTGGTTTATATATTTAGAATCCTTTCATTAAAAGAGTTGAAAATCTAGTGTTATTGGTTCATATATTTAGAATCTCTTAATTAAAAGAATTTAAAATCTAGTGTTATTCAATTAAGGATTTGAATAAATTAGTTAAAGTCTTGTGTTATTCAAGTTTATTAGATTGTGTTCGATAGATTTGATGTAAAAGAGTTTGTTTGGATTTGAAAACAATTTCATGTGTAAATGATAGTAATCAAAATCTAACCTTTTACTTTTACCTTCAGATTTTGTAATCAATTTATTATAACTATTAAATTTAATAATTATCAATATTATTAACCCTAATCCCATCTTCTTTCTCTTTCTTCTCCGCCAGTTCTCCTTTTCTTCTTCTTCTCCGCTAGTTCTCTGGTTTCTTACGTAAGATATACATATTTCATCAAAACTCATATTCTACAAAACTCTTGTATAAAGTATTTCATCAAAACTCATATTTATTTGTTGATTGAATTCAATTCTATTGTAGAAATTAAATAAAATCCTATTGACTTTGTAAATACAATGCCACAAAAAAATTAAATCCAAAGATAACTCATATACCTATAGATTGTAAAATGACTAATAAATCATTGTAAATGAATCAAAACTTTTAAAATCTGATGTATTTCAAAATCTATTGGAGTTGATTTTATTATGTAAAACCAATAACACCCCTAACTAATAAAAACCCAAAGCCAAAGCTGATGACTACAAGCATATGGTGCAATCTTTTAACACTCTCCGACCATCAAAGATGGCATTATTGGCATATATCGATCGGCTTGCACAGTTTGCTCAAATTTAAATATCTCTGAAGCACTAATGACTTGTTTATCCTTATGTAGATTGCTCTGCGACAACAACTGTTTGTTCAACAAGTAATAATACAATTTAACCTCTGTAATGAACCTTGGTAAACTCTATGAATTTTTTTCGCCCGATTCTTTAAAATAAAATTTCACTAGATTTAGATATCTTGTATTTGTCAAGGGCTTGATGGAGAAAAACTCTGACATTTTTTCTTTGAAAGGTTAAGAGTATTGCTTGACCTCTAAGAAACCTCTTTGAAGTGATGCAAAAAGATCAAACAAAAAATCCACAATGTTTAAAAAAAAAAAAACACTTACACAAAATATGTCCATAAATTGAACTCAACCTAGGCGGCATGTGTTCTCCATACTTAATCAAAGACACTCTAGTACTCTACCCTTTTCATTTCAACAAAAGTAAATAAAAGAGGGAAAATAAAACCAAATTAAATCAAAAGACGTAACCATGGAATCCCACAGCGTAAACAACAGCTTGAACCTTGACAAGAATAAAGTTCAAGAAAAGGACTACTCGAAGCGAGCTCAATGGCTACGAGCCGCCGTGCTCGGTGCCAACGACGGTCTTGTCTCGACTGCTTCAGTTATGATGTGCGTCGATGCGGTTAAGCAAGACGTCAAAGTCATGGTCTTATCCGGTTTCGCCGGTTAAGTCGCGGGAGTTTGTAGCATGGCGATCGGAGAGTTTGTCTCCGTCTACTCTCAGTACGACATAAATGTGGCTCAGATGAAAAGGGAGAGCGGAAGCGAGATAGAGAAAGAGAAGCTTCCAAGCCCGACGCAAGCAGCTGCGGTGTCTGCGTTAGCGTTTTCTTTAGGAGCTATCGTGCCTTTATTGGCGGCTGCGTTTGTGAAAGAGTATAAAGTGAGAATTGGAGCGATTGTGGCGTCGGTGACGTTGGCGTTAGTGATGTTTGGGTGGTTAGGAGCGGTTTTGGGGAAAGCACCGGTGGTTAAGTCGTCGGTTAGGGTTTTAGTAGGAGGATGGTTTGCTTTGGCCGTTACGTTCGGTTTGACAAAACTTGTTGGAGGATGGTTGGCTATTGGTGTGGGACATGTTGTATGTGTGTGTGTTTACATACGTGATCAGACTCTTTTTCATGTTTTCATGCACCACAAATGAAAGCGGTTATAGTTTTTTTTTTAATATAAAAAACTTTTGTAATGGCTTCGTGAGTGTCTTGTTTTAATTCGTTGAAAATTGGTTGCTTTGATTGTTGAAGTCATCAACTACAACAATGCCGCGTTCTGATCGTTTTACGTGATATGGCATATATAATATGGTCATCAAAAGTCCCACATTGAAAAAAATAAAGTTTTCGTCGTTGTATATATAAGCTTAGGTCATAAACATTGAATGTCGAGCTTAGTAACGTGGGCTTGTGATCCAAGTGGAGACATTAGGGTGATCCCTGAGGATGATGGAACGTTTGGATCGGATTTCACTGGGACAAGTGAAGGGGAGTTGCGCAGTGTGCCCAGAGGGTTCGGAGTTGATTAGGTCACATTCGTGAGGGGCCCCCTAACTACTGCCGGGCGGCTGCGTTTAATATAATCTCCCCACTTGTTGTCGAGCAAGGGACGAAGCCAGAGGAAACAATGGTGGAGACCCTTCCGAGCCCTGAAACTATCATCCAGTGGAACCGCAATAGGACCATCATCTTTTTACAGACCTGTGTAGCATCATTGTGTTTGGTTATGTTTCTACTTTTCTTTTGTGTCTTTAGTATTGATACGATGATCTCAATCATATCGTATTTCTACAGAAAAACCAAATGAAGAGTAACACAAAAAGTATGATCCAATAGGCAAGAAAACAGAGTATGATCCAGGAGAAGCTGTGCTACAGAATGGAGAAGCTCATTTCCGATATCAGTAGAGAGTTAATCAAGAACAGGACCGGTTTTGTCCATTAACTTGACAAGCAAAATCTCGTCTCCTGTTGATAACATCTCCACACAGGGTCTCTCCCTTGTCCTCCACAGCCATCTGAGCCCTGTATGACCCAGTAAGTCCGACTTCAGTTGTACCCTCATCTTTTTATTAGATAGTGTAAATAAATTTCCAAAATGTAACGTCAAGCTTTAATCTTACGTACAGACATTTCCCAAAAATCATATATAGTACCAGTCTATGATTTATACAGAAAATCCATAACGAGCTTATGAAAAATGTACGTTGAACAAAGTCCTTGTTCTTGTCCTTTTATCGTCCCTTTTAATTTCGCGTTTAATAGAAAAATTTAGGTTTTGATGCATATTATAATGTCATCAAAAAGTCCCACATTGGAAAAAAATAAAGTTTTCGTTGTATATATAAGATTTAAGTCATAAACATTGAATGTCGAGCTTAGTAACGTGGGCTTGTGATCCAAGTGGAGACAATAGGGTGATCCCTGAGGGTGATGGAACGGTTGCATCGGATTTCACTGGGACGAGTGAAGGAGTTGCGCAGTGCCCTGAGGGCTCGGGGTTGTTTAGGTTAACCGTGATGGGGGCCAAACAACTGCGGGGGTGGCTTCGCTTAATCTCCCCACTTGTGTTTGTCGATCGAGGGAAGCCAGAGGAAACAATGGTGGAGACCTATGCCTTTCTTAAACAAAAAAAAAAAAGAAAAAAACAATGGTGGAGACCCTTCCGAGCCCAACTATCATCCAGTAGAACCGCAATCGGACCATCATCTTTTTACTTACCTGTGTAGCCATTGTGTTTGGTTATGTTTTGTACTTTTCTTTTATGTCTTTAGTATTTATACGATAATCTCAATCATATCATATTTCTACATAAAACAAAATGAAGAGAGTAACAAAAAAAGAATGATCCAATAGGCAAGAAAACAGAGTATGATCCAGGAGAAGCCCATTTCCGATATCACTAGAGAGTTGATCAAGAACAGGTCCGGTTTTGTCCATCGACTTGATAACACCTCCACACAGGGTCTCTCCCTTGTCCTCCACGGCCATCGTTGTCTTCAATTCGCCCATTATCGAGAACAGAGAGAAAAGAAAAGTCGTGTCGGTGGTGTTTCAGTCGAATACCTTTACCTTTACGACTGCTTGATGCTTCAGCTCCTTGTCATGTCATCATGTTTCACAAATTCGAAATGACTTGCAGCATTTACAGTCTGCAATCATATTACTAAAATAAAAAAGAACAACTGACCAGCTTTGGATCTATAGAGACTAGAGAGTGCCATAAATGATCTAAAATCCAAAAGAAAGGTATACAGAAGAATAAGGGCTAAAACAATTAACCCTAATTATGAACAAAACCAGTCGTAATCGAATTCGTTCTGCTACTGTTTCACCTTAATCTTGAAAATGTTTTTTTTCTATGTTTTACCTGCTGGGGACATCTGGTTGATAAACTCAAAACCACTCAGACTTATCCATGGCTTCTGATTTGTATGATCGATCAAATCACTCGAAATGAACGATCTGCAAAACTAAAAGAGGTCAAGTTTGATATATATAAATCAAAATTCTCTGAAACCGCAAAGACATCTACTTACAACGATGTATGATCTTCCACAAAATCTCCAAATCGACTCCGAGAATCGTCTCCGACCGTTCGTTTCCGCCTTCGCCTAGTGGTCGGATTTTCTGTGCCAATTATGGCCTTGTAATTCCCTTGTACGGTTGTACCGATGTGACTAAATACGGAAATCGTACGAACCCGACCGGTTTGATTATTCCCGAATAATCAAAGATTATCTCACTGATCGGTATTTAATTCGAGATTCAAAATAATAGCGGTATCGCGCAGTACTTGGGCCCATTATAATTTCAACTCCGATTTATGTGTGTCACATATGTTAAGCCCAATTCAGCAAATCAGGCTCTATTGCTATAGAATTGCCATAAATGGACAAATAATTGAACGAAATGGTAATGATTTCATTTCATATTTGGGTGTTCCCAAAAAATAATTTAATTCACGTTACGTATAATAAGTAATTTTGTAAGCTCTTTGATATTGTAGTATTGTACTAAATTCCTGCATTTGGCTTAGAGTCAATGTTATTTTTACTAGAATTCTCATCAGTTTTTCTTTAAAAAAATATTAAGATGACTCAAATGGGAAACAAAATTGTTGTTACTAAAGAAAACATTTAGTAGAAGTATGAATATAGATATATATATATATATATATATATATATATATATATATATATATATATATATATATATATATATAGACATTGTTTTCCCTTACATCTATTATTTAGTAGACCTTGCCTTGGGCATAGATGTTAAACTGAGTTTGAGGAATAGCAACAACATTAGCTTTTAACTTTTCTTAGAAAGGTCAAAGAGATTAATCAAATGAGAAACCTAGATAAGCCTACCTTATCACCGGTTTCTTTAACATCACGTTCATTCTGCTCTTTGTACTCTCTGAAACTGAATCTTCTATACTTTTTTGGATTCCCAAAACATTCGATCTCCGTTTCGAGGTAAGGACATACGAAGAAAGCTATCGACAATCTCTCGACATTTACTGGAGAAATCACTCTGTGTCTCACGCTCTGGTAAACTCCATTACTTAGTGCCTATAGCAAAATTTAAAATCAGTTAAAGAATTTTATTAGGAAAATAATCACCTCACTACAAAAAAAATCAAAGTGGATAGAAATATCTATATTAAGATTTTTAACATAAGTTTTAGGGACTAGAATCTTACGCATAATTTTATGTCTAACACCGTGTAAAAGAGTTAGGGCTTCCCCTGAATATTTGCATATATGATCCATATAATTTGTAGAGAAACTATTTAATAAAATCTATCTTTATCATAACTTAATTCGTAGTACTCATTCTTATATTCTTGCATTTGTTCATTAGTTATAAAGAAAACATATGAATAACAGAATTTAATTTTGACATATGTAATAACAGAAAAACTGAAAGCACGGTTTTTGTTTTATCATTCTTTGAATTTCCTTGCATAGCTCTCTTAACATTAATTTTAGTATCAAATATGTATCATATACTAAACCAGATAACCTCCATCAGAGGTTTAGGTTGTAGTTTTAGTCTAAGTCAGTATAATTTAAAAGTCAGAACTTAGTGAAGCTATTTTTAAATGAGACAACATTTAAAGGACTCAAACGTTGAAAATAAATTGGTTGAAGTTACCTGAAACATATCACCGATATTCACCGTAAGAGCTTCTGAACAAGGTTTTACGCCGATCCATTGTCCATTTTTATTCAATTCTAATCCTCCGATTTGATCTTGAAAGAGTATAGTGATGAAACTTGTGTCGGTATGAGGAACCAAGCCTAACACTTCTGAACCAAAAACACGAGGATGATATTTGTTAAACCTTAGAAAACTGTTTTTCAGCTCATCACAAATATTTTCAAAATACTTCGAGTTCACGTTCACTTGTTTTCCCAGTATTTCGCATATTATTTGTGCCACTCGACCTATCTCTTGCACATACATTCCAATGGTTGTTCTGTAAACGAAAAAATAATAACAACTTAATTTGTCTACTCATATGTATAATAATGATATATGATATTGTATTTATGTGTGTGTATCTTCAACAACAGAGCAATTTATATATAGAAAATTAATATATCAAAGTTCCACTCAAATATAAAGGAATTACTAGTGATGCTGCATATAAAGATACACGCTTGTAAGTGTGAACCTTGATCTTCCTGAAGAAGTATAACAAAATTTCACTCCAAACAAAAAAATTAAACCTTTTCCATATAGACTCATAACAAATTTTATAAAAAGGTTGAAAATGATTCTTGAAACTGATGGGAAAACTTATGACTTGCTAAGATCTTTGCCCTCACTATTTAAAAGTCAATTTTTTTTTACTAGAAATAAAGACAATTCAAGAACTAGAGTTTCCATCATATATGACAGAATTCATAAATCAAAGCAACTAAATAGCTTATAAGTATGAAACGTACCTGAGGTTGTTGCGTTCATAAGAAAAGCTCGAGATCTCTGCAAGAGTGATGTGAAACGCTTCCGACAAGGAGTACTGAGCCGGAGAAGTGGCGCTAGGGTTTCCCCACCGGTAACAATTCTTTGATAAGTCCGAGAACTTTTCTCCGACTTTCTCAGAAAAGGATCGGTCAAATAGTTTCTTCTCCTCGAGAAACATCATCTCAAAGACCTCTTTGGGAATTCCATAGTTCACAATTTGAAAGAATCCCCACTCTTTGGCTGCCTCAACCATTTGTCTCACACAACGTTTGCGCTTGACCTCGTCGCCATTAGTTAGATGGCTGAGATTGATCACTGGAAGCTTTATGCCTGCGGCTTGGACAGTTGGTTCGACCGTATTGTTATCACTAGTTGATCCCGGAAAGGAGCTTCCGAAAATCGAGGAGAAATTTGTCTCAAAGGGAGGTTGAGAAGCCATGTATAAGGCTATATGATTAAGAAGAAATGAAATTTGAGAAGTGATTCTTTTCAATGATTCTTATGTTTTGCCTTTTATTGATGTAAGAGGAAAAACCTTTACCATCTATATATAGAATAAAATTTAGGTGTCTTTGTTTTTCTTTTTTGAGAAAATAAAATTTCAGGTGTCGCTGTCCAATCTTTAGATGGAAACAAATTATTAAAGGAGTCATATACTGTTAGAGAAATGATAAAAATAATATTTAGGGTTGATACGTACATAACATCGACATGTGCGTTTTCAATAGAAGAAAATTGAAATTTATGTATATAAACTCACCAAGAGTGGATTAATTAGCGGTAAATAGTTTAGCATGTGATAAGATGTAGATTTAATTAGCGTTTGATCTTCCACGTTATTGATGGCTTTAACGATATATATTTTAAAAAAACTTTAAATCCCGCATTTATTACAATTAAATTCCGTAATAGGTTCACATTTGCACACCACACCACCAAGAAACAAAAAAAAATCGTAATAGGTAGCAATATATACAATAATGATAATAAACATATGGTGCATTTAGTTGTACGTGACATGCCGTTCAAACAAACAGAAATAAGTACAGAAATCTTCCTATTCATTTCCAGTATATAAATACAATGGGCCTGCGAAAATTTTAGCAAGAAAATGAAATGTTTTAATTATTTTTATATAGGTACCATTTAATAGTGTCGATGGTCGATGTCTCATGTCTCTATGGACTATTGTTTAGTTACCACTTATTACGACTTGATCGAGCATTTATGGTAATTTCGCAAGCTACGGAACCACGTGTTTATGTCTCGATTCTCTTTCTTCCCCTAAATAGTTTGTTTCTTTGTTTTCTTTTTTGAGAAAGGGAACATCAGAGAATATCCAGAGAAAGCTCTTGAAAGTCCTATAAATAGCGACATAAATAGTTTTATCAATATAAATGAATATATATACATATATATAAATATATAATCCGTACATGCAAAAACTCCACAGCTAGCATTTGAAACGCACAAAATGTATTTTAAATGGCTAATATGTATCCAAGTCTTACCGTATCCTTTTTTCCTGTTGTTTCGATCATGTCGACAAGTTTTTGGCTTAAAATCTGGGAGACTCTCATAAATTTTTCTTATTTTTAATTAGCCCACTAATTTAAAGGAAAACAACATTGAAAAGTCAGATGTACTATTAGCATCCGTTTATTCAATTTGGCGGCGGTTTGCTTGGTACATTTTCAAGTGATGTAAAGGCAAATCCAAACCGGATTTTATTCTTAGTCATGGTCGGTTCGACCGGACCGATTGGATGGGATTTTAAAATTAGGTCTTACTAAAGTGTCTAAACGATGGCTTGGTAATTGTGGTATTATCGTCAGAAATTTGATTCCTATAACATTTTGTATAACAGTAGTAACTAAAAGTCATAAGAAGACTCACATAACTCATGAAATCAAACCCTCAATGTCGACGATGCATTGTTATAGTAGTGAAGATATATTGAGTTGGATTGAATTGAATTTGAATTGACTTGACCGATATAATATGTAAGTTTTTTTGTGCCAAATCTAAAAACCAACATTTAAATGTAGTCACTAGTAGGATTATGTGATATGGTATGCCCGTGGGATGTAAATGTCGGCACCAGTGAAAAATTGACACGTCAAGAAGTCGGGATCATCGACATTATATTATATTAACAAATAAAAACTATAGCCAATTCGTCTCTCTAACAACTTTTGGCCTCTTTCGATGTCTAATCTGAAGTACATTTTTCTCACTCTACTATCACTATCACTCTCACTCTCACTAGCTCACTTATCATTATCAGTAATTCAGTATCATTACTATTTTTTTTTTTTTTTGCTTTTGGGGCTAGGTTTTGTTTCACTTGTCGACATGCTTACAAAAGTTTTGATTTTATTCATTACGATATCGATGGATCGTAGTGAGTTATGTTAGGTATTTTATTTGGGATGCACTCGGAACTAGCTAGTGAAGGCATTAACAATATACAATTTCTCTACAAAATTAATCAAAATTAATTTTTAAATCGAACTAATTATAAAACCCCCATGACCGAGCCACATCTATTGGGTATAATGTCTAAGGAACCAATGTTACATGCTGTAATTGATACTTTATGTCTATGTAACGAAGACAACATATGAAAGTTTTTTACTTCAAAATGTTTTTCCATGAAGTGGTAGAATTGCGGTAGGTACAATCTTAGATATGCGTCTCATGACTTTCATCGTACCACGAAAACAGAACAAAAAGTCCGAGAGCTTGTTTTTTCTTTTATTAAACCAACAAGCAATTTCTTTGAATCTTTCTTAGGTGGGTTTTTCATTTTCAGAGATTCCCACTCGTTAATTTTTTAAGCTTTCCTAGGGTTTGGTGTTTCTTTGCAAGTGAAGGGTATTTTTCCGTTGCCTTGCGATTGAAGCAACCACAAGGCGGTTTCTTTGATACACAAGTGGAGTGTTTCTTTGATACACATACATTCAAAATTCGAACAACAATAGGACACACACACACATACCAGCAGCAATTGCTAACTGTCACCGGCAAAAGCCTTGCCAAAAGTGATTGGGCTTACGTTTAATAATGACTAATGTTTTCGTTTCTCAAAAACAACAAAACATAAATTTTAAAAAGCCCATATGTTTAAGGTTTCTTACAATGTGCTTTCATATAAAGGTAGTCTCATGTTTCCGAGATTGTAAGTTTGTAACTAAGGCCCTTTTGGTGAGATTTATCTAAAAACATATTAGCTCTTGAAGACAACACAAATCTGCTTCCTTTTCTTTCTAAAACCATACACGATTCAAACAGCAATAGTTTCACAAAAAAAAAAAAAAAAAGTTTCTTTATTCTCTCTTTGAAAGTGCTATTCCAAAACAAACAGAGTCTACAAGGTATGTTAAAATCTGAGGGTTTATTTCTCTATAGTTTTTACCAAGTTCTTTAACAAACTGAATAAGACTAACATCAAACCTCTCACTTATTCATGATCAAATGTTTTTACCAAGTTCGATCTTTTTCACCATCCTAACTGTGTTTTGAAATATCGAATCTAATATCCCCGCAACCTGAAATCAAACACAAGCAAAATCTTACTTTCACCATGCAATCAAGAAGATACTGAAACAAAGCTAGACCTTGAGAAAAAAAAAAGGGGGTTAATATACCGTGAAAACACCACCGATAATGGCGCAAACATTTGTGATGAAGTGTGAGAATGACTTTGGATTCTCGCTTATTAAGACCTGCAAAACAAATAAGTTGTAAGGCTTACAAGAAGTGAATATATATGCATTGAGATTGGTGAGAGATAAAAAAATCAGAAAGAAACCTGCATAGGAGAGAGCTCAAAGTGAAACTTAGCAGCAGGGTAATAATAACCATGAGCCACATTGCTATGAGCTGTATATTCATGTTCTTCAATCAACGAGTGTTCTTGACCATATCTTCTTGAAACAACCTCTGTTTTCACTATTTGAAGGTAGTGTTCAATCTGTATATTTAAAAGATCTTTCCATGGTTATTAAGAGAAACCTCGAGTAGGAAAGTATACTTAAAACATGGAATCTGTGGGACTGACTTACGGTAACATTAGCAGCAAACTGTCCTTGATTTACAAACCATTTCCCACTCAACTTGTCGTGGTTTCTTCCAAAATAAGGCAGTAATCGTTTCATATCAGTCAACAACCTTTCCGAAATATAATTACCAAACGAGAGATGCGTAACGAAATGCGACATGTTCATTTTAGATGCATCGAATGAATGAGCATCTGAATGCGCTGAGATTACAATTTCTCCCGGAACCTGAAGACAAATAAATATATATATAAGAAACAAAGAAAATCTCACAAAATTTTGATGTTCTTGACATTTTTTTGTTTACCTTCTTGGCACGCAAGTATCCTTCAACTCTACAACCTCCACTAACTGGTGCCTTTTTAATTCTTGAAGCTGAATGATCAGATTTAGCATCCAAAGCCAGTTTATGAATATCCTTTTTGATAGGTACGAGCAGTCCTTCTACCATCTGGAAGTAACACATCACGCACGCAAGTTTCTTATGTGAATACACAAACGTGTGTAAGGATGCATGTGGCTATGTTCAATCATATATTCATAGATTGCTCTACCTTGAGTAGGCTCTCTGTGTCTCTATCTCCATAGTAAGATTCATGTTCGTGGACCCTAGGATCGTTCCTTAACATGATAACATTGTAATTAAAAACTATTGATCACCATAAAAGGATGGAGACTCACGTACAAAAGAGGTTAATAAAATGGTTAGAGAAACGACAAGAAGCTAATCACTGAATTAAGGAACTAATGAGATAATTGACTCACTCATGATCACTGCCATTGCGAAAAATCCGAATAGATGGGTAGCCTTGTATATGATGCCTGAATATTTAACATTTGATAAATTAGGCTAAAATTTAACTTAGAAAAACTACATGAAACCAACAAGAAAATAGGTGGGAAAACATCAAGATTTGGTAAATTTACCTCTTGCATAGCTCAGTTTCTTGTGTACAATCAACACTTCCAAGAAGAATACGCCCATCAGTTTCAGGATCATAGCTACAACATATTTAACATGTTCCAAAAAGAAATCATGAGCTAATTAATGATGATGATGATTCTTCACGGTTTAGTAACAAATAAAAACGAAAAAAAAACAATGAAAACCTCTGTCTTGTTAACTCAGCTGCTTTCTCCCAAGATGGTTTCTGAATAAAACAAAAATCATGAACAGAGTTTATTGAGCTAAAAAAAACATCAGACCAATTAATAAAAAACTCTCACAACAATTTGATTCATCAACCAAAAATATATTGTCAGCTAGATTTTATAAAACACCACCTTACATTTGTTGGGATGAGAGCATCAATAATCTAGTAAATGAAAAAAAAAAAAAAAAAAAATTATGAAACTTTAAGAAATTTTGACAGGACATTACCAGGCGATTACTCCAGTAGCACCACGGTGCATTAAAATTAACAACCATTATTTGAAAACTGCATAATGAAAGTCCAGTTTCATTACATCATCTTAAAAACCATTGGACATATACTCATAGTTTTAGTATACAACAATATATATATATATATATATAAAGAAAGCTGGTACTTACTGATGTGAAAACCTCTCAAAAGTAGCAGCACTTAAATGTATAGCAGAATAAGTGTTATTCCCATGATCTTCATCATCTCCATGGTTGATTTCATGTAAATCAGGTGTGGAATGGAATTCCTCACCGGTGGCTACTAAATGTGAATCGATCGGAATTTTTATAATCGTTTTCGTTATATTCAACCTGTTCTGAAAGAAATTACTAACACAGTTTAAACATACAATCCAAGAACCATACCGAAAAACACTAAGAATTAAAAGCAGCTAAACTCACAGTTCCCAACACGTCACTGACATCAACCGATGCAAATTCACATGAGAGTGCAGGAAAGCTACAAGAAAATATTAAAAACAAAAAAACAAAATGTCAAATCATCAAGAAACGTAAACACATTAAGAAAAGAAGGATAGTGATAAAATTTGGAATGTTGGTACTGTTGTAACACACCTGACGTTGAAATCAATGCGTAAGAAGTCACCATCAGAGCTTTTGTCAACTATTACAGATGTGTGAGTGGTTACTGCCAAATAGTTATTTAGCTCCTGCAGCAAGTTAATAAAACCATCATCCGACCAAAAAATCATTGGACAATGCATAAGAAGCTTTTCTACTATTTTCTTAACAGAAACAGAGGAATAAGCAATTGATCCGAGAAAAGTGTGGTATTTTTTTTTTGTTACCATTCCAAACAAAAACACCATAGTGAGGGCAGCTACAATGGATAATCCAGCACCAGAGAGAGATGCTTCTGTCAAATCTCTTGGGATTTTCCTAAATTACAAAAATGGATCATAATCATAACCAGAAAGACACAATCACACTCAGCTCTAGAGACCAGACAACACAAGTATACATTTTCAAGAGTGATTATCCATAATCCGACGACTAATTTAATAATCAGGATGGAAAGCGAGAAGACAGGACCAGTTTCAATTCTAAAATCCAGTCTGGATAAATAAAAAAGGTACAAACTTTGTTCGTGTGCATCAGAGTCATGATCTAGATTTATCATCAAAATTGTAACACGAGATGAGGAAATGCAATACCTGTAGAAATCAACGGACTTGATCTTGGTGGAGGAAACCATGGCTACGGCGGAGAATCAAGATCTGGACGATGTGTTCTGTTCGTAAAAGTTATGATCCCACTTAGCTAATCTATGGGAGATTTCTCAGCAAAGCTCAAATGACAAATGCCATGTTTTTGGTAGGAAGATATTTTCATCATTTAAAAGTTGGCTTATTTTGGGTTTATTTTTCGTCCTAAGAAGGAATTAAATTAGAATACACTGTCGAGATCTTGAATAATTCATTGCTATCAAGATTAGAAAATCATGGTATCTAATCTTGAATGGAAGTGAAGTAATCACTTTTTTGTACTTTGACATTTGACCATCCAAATGTTAAAGAAGAAATGACTAAAATCCATACAAATGTCGTCTACTATGTTTATAAACGAAGCCGTTACATGGTTTTCACTTTTTAACAAGAATATTGTAACGGTGACGTTAACGGCTCCGTTTGCAATATCTTATAAACGGCGTCGTTTATGCCTCGACGACAGAAGTAGTTTACTAAACGGCGGCGTTTGCTCTGTTTCGTTTATTTCCTTTTCGAGAATTCCGAAATCTGAGGGAGAAGCCAATCAGAAGAAGATATGATGACGAGAGCTTTTCTACTCAGAGCTCTCACGAAGAAGACGAAGTTCGTGGCCTCTAATGCTCATCGATCCATCTCCATCACTAATCTCTCTCGATACGTATGCATCTTGTTCTTCAACCCTTTTTTTCAAGTTGGTCTTTTTTCGTTGTAATCGATTCAATCATTCTCGTGGTTCCGTGTCATTTTGTCTTGCCTGAATATCGATTTTGCAGCTGCAATTGATTACAAAATTATTTGCCTTTGAATTCCCAGTTTTAATTCGTATTGAAGTAGAATCGGAAGTGGTAAAGTATCAGTCTTTTTGTGATTTCGATTCAGTTGTTTCAGTAATGGAAGAAATGGGGGAAACTTAATCTTACTAAAATGGGAAACTTTGGCTTGAAATATTCAATTTGTGAAGCTTTTACATACTGAGAGAATCAATTTGTTGTTCTTATGCTGAGAATCTTTTCATTTTTGTTGTTGTTTCACATGTGTATAGATTAGCACTCTGATTCTAGCAGAGCATGAGAGTGGTTCTATCAAACCTCAGACAGTGAGTACAGTAGTTGCAGCGAATTCTTTGGGTGAAAGCTCTTCGATTTCTTTGTTATTGGCTGGTTCTGGCTCTTCTCTTCAAGAAGCTGCTTCTCAAGCTGCCTCTTGCCATCCTTCTGTTTCAGAGGTATCCATCTACATTCTCAAATCTCACTTCTTCATGTTCTCTCTTTTGCTTTTGACCTCAACGTTGGTGTACTTCTTTTTAGGTACTTGTTGTTGATTCAGACAAATTCGAGTATCCTCTAGCTGAACCTTGGGCTAAATTGGTTGACTTTGTTCGGCAAAAAGGAGACTACTCTCACATTCTTGCTTCCTCAAGTTCATTTGGCAAGAACATACTACCACGTGTCGCTGCTCTTTTAGATGTTTCTCCCATTACTGATGTTGTCAAGATCTTGGGATCCGATCAGTTTATCAGGTACATTTCATGGATTTGGTTAAAACGTGTTTGTGTAACTTCCGGAAATGTGAACTGAAACCGAGCTTGAATCTGTGTCAGGCCTATATATGCAGGAAACGCGTTGTGTACGGTTCGTTATACAGGTGCGGGTCCATGTATCTTGACTATTCGAACTACATCCTTTCCTGTCACTCCAATTACAGCCGACTCCGAGTCAAAGAAAGCTACTATCTCTCAGATTGATCTTTCAAACTTCAAAGAAGGTTTGTTTAGTGTTCTCTTGTGCATTCCTGTTTTAAGCTTTGTTTTCTCGTAAATGAGTTTGCTATTCTTCAATCACAGACTCTGCTAGTAGATCTAGATACGTGGGACAATCGACTCAGGATACAGAACGGCCTGATCTTGGAAGTGCACGTGTTGTGATAACTGGTGGAAGGGCGTTGAAGAGTGTTGAGAATTTCAAAATGATCGAGAAGCTTGCAGAAAAACTCGGTGGAGCAGGTTAGTAGATAAGCTTTTCCTAAATCTAATCTAATCACTAGTGAGTGTGGGAAATCTATTTTTAATCTCATTGGAAGGTTTATGTGCTTTGAAATGTTACAATAACTTTGTTCTTGGTACAGTTGGAGCTACTCGTGCTGCTGTTGATGCTGGATATGTTCCTAATGACCTTCAGGTAATATTCTTGGATCTTCTCTTGATTACAATTCTTTCCACTTCAACAGCTTTTAAGCTCCAATAAGAGTTTGTTTGTGTGGATCCTCAGGTGGGACAAACAGGGAAAATAGTAGCACCAGAGCTATACATGGCGTTTGGTGTTTCAGGAGCCATTCAACACTTAGCTGGAATTAAGGATTCTAAGGTGATTGTCGCGGTTAATAAAGACGCTGATGCACCTATCTTCCAGGTAATCAAACACTCTTGAAAGTTGAAACCCTTCTTCTCCATTACAAAGTTATGACCAAACTATAGTAAAACGATTGGCTATGAAATTGTAGGTAGCTGATTATGGACTAGTTGGAGATCTTTTCGAGGTGATACCTGAGTTGATGGAGAAGCTTCCTGAAAAGAAATGAGAACCTCGTCTCTGTTTATCATCTCTTAAGCTCTCTGTATTTTCAGGTGCAGACCATAGTAAGTAGTGTATGTATATAGCAACACTGTAATAAGAAAAAGGGGTCTGAAGAATCTTTGTCATAAGCTTTGTCTCACTTTTGATTCTATAAACATAAAAAAGTTACTCAATGGCAAAGTGGTTTACTTTCAATATGAATTCGAATTTTTATACATTTACTTGTCAATAATAGTAAAGAATTTACATCAAAGAATCAGAAGAATAAAAAAATAATGATCACAGTTAAATACTTAAGAAAAGAATCATCAAGCAATAAAGTTAGATAACATGGATAAAGGAACTACACAAAGTCCTCTCTTCTTCAATTCTGCAGAGAAGAATACTTCATGCACAACTTCACTGATCTTTGATCCTGTGTCTGTTATGCATCCTCTCTCCTATAAATTCAACAAAGATAAAAAAAAAATTATTGTTAGTTGAAAATCAAATTTAGTTTTGATGGAAAATATATCATTTGAAGTAGATTTTTATGCAACAAAATGTTTCTTAATTATTACCTCGGATGTAATAATATTGTCCATGAATTTTGCATGTTTTGTATCATCGTCCGCGACATCCAACACGCTAAAACCCTAAATAAACCCACAAACAAAATGTTAGAGAAGTAACTCAACAAAAAAAAACGAAATGATGAAGTCCACAAATTAAGATACACTCATATGTGTCTAACCTTGGTTTTATTAGAAGGAGAAGAGGCCGTGTCTTCTTCGTCTTCTTCTTCCTCTCCTTTTTGTTTTTCTTCTTCTTCTTTGTGTTGATGAATGAGTCGTCTCCTTTTAGGGTTTATATTAATGCTATTAGCCCTTCGAAGAACAGCATTATTAGTATTTCTGTTGTGGACAGGAGATGCAGCGTCTGAGATCATTGAGGAATCATTATCGTAGTAATGGCTCAATTCTTCTTCGGTTTCTATCATTTCATCTTCATGATCAATATCTTCAAAGTAGATTATCCAACTACTCTCTTCTTGATCATCTTCTTCGTGTATTGTTCTGATTTGGTGGTTAGAGAATACTCTCCCGCATTTGTTTACGGAGTTCTCCATTTGAAGTGTTGGGGGTATGTAAAAGAAAAGACGTGTAATGTAAGTTGAGACTTTTGTTGGCAAATGATTCTGTTATCAAATAGGCTCTCATTTATATAGTAAAAAGAAAGAAAAGACAGAGATAGATCATGGAAGTTGTAGGTGTGGCACATTTTGGTCCGTTTGTCCTTTTTGTTTTCTTTAATATTTTATTTCTTTTTAATTTGTATCAAGTATCAACTTTTATTTTATACCAAGTAGTGTTCGATTTTAGACATATGTCCTTTTTCCAATTCGGAGACAAAACGGATCACAAGATTCGAAACACCATCTACCTGAGGTAAAGAGATGTGTTTGTGTTTGTGTTTGCGTTTACATATGAAATATATGTGTTTATGCTTATAGATATCTGAGATAGTGTATGTTCACATTTTATTAAGTTTAAATGCATTATTTTGTCAAGTATTTGCCTTACAAATTAAAAATGTAAACACGGAAAATAATTACAATTAAAATACTTTTTAGTTTGAGTTTACAATTTTAACTAATCTAACGGAAAATGCTAACATAAAGTCTTATTTAAAAAAAAAAATTATATGCTATGATAACATTTAAACTTATGCATGCTAAAAATCCAAATAAGCTTATATCTAAATATTTAAACTGTTGCTTGGTTGCTTGATGCGCAAGAACAAGAAAAGGAGGGAGAGTGGTCGACCTTCTTGTGGGTTAGTGGATAATGTGATTGTGCACGTTTCACAATTCTCGTTTGCCTCTAAGTGGGTTTGCTAAATCTAATCCTTCTCAGATTATATAATATTATCATCACAAATTCACAATTCACAAATACATATTATTCACAATACTTCTAATAATGTTTGATTTTTTTTATTTATAAAGGAGATGCAAAATGCTAACCGGTTACATAGATAGTTAATCCACAATATGACATACCAATGGTTGAAAATCCATGATAAAACACCTGAGACATTATGTGTTAGCTATATCTATATCATCTTTGCAACAGTACGAATTTCCATATCTTAGGATCATCATTATAGTGGTAATTTATAGCTATAGTCACTGAACTGAGAGTTTGAAATTATTTACTTAAAGAAATATTTTCTCTGTAATTTATTAAGAAGAAGAAAAGAAAATATCAAAATGTGATTTGTTTAAAGATGTGTGTTGAAAATACACAATATTATTTGTAAAATAAAATTCAAGTGCTTAAACAACACTTATATAAAAGGGAAGGACTAATGTATATCAACGATAGCTACACTACTTATATAATATTTATTGATATATACAATTCTTTTGATATCTATCACACGATAAGTAGTTATGAATATTCGCTAGTGGCAACCACATATTATCATCAATCTTCTTTTCACCATGACGAAATCTAACATAGGTCAAATTTTCGACACCTTGCATACTTACGCATCGTCTAACGTCACACATTTTTGCGTCATTAAATTTACTAAAATGGGTAGTTCCACTGATAAGATCAAATTCGGTTCAACCATCATTTTTAACAAATTTATTCACACATTGCATTTTAATATTTTTGGGATAGTGATATTATGCAACTAACAACCAAAAATACAATAAGTGTTACATCAAACTATGCTATTTTAACCCCAAAATTTAAAAATGTCCTGGCGGACTCAAAAGGTTCAAGAATCGTGGACCAACTATGTATGGAAAGCATATATTAATTATATACGTCGCTTTTTGCTAATTGGCCCTAACCTCACTATTACCTTCATCACGTTTCGTTTTTTAGTGATATATTTAGTGTTTTAAAAATCAATGGCGACTATTTTCGCCTGCTTGCCACGTTACAAAACCGCATTCTCGTTGAATCTTTATTACCACTTCCCCACGAATTACATGTCTTGATCATTGACCAAATTTATTTATTTCAAGAAGTACGAACCAAGTACTCTCTCGAAACTGTTTATTTTTCTTTTTGTTTTGCCGTCTCTTAAAAATCATTTTGATTTCTAAATATGTTTTACACATGTCACCAATCTAGTCTCTAGTTCGTAGATCAAGCTAATAATTTGATTTCTCAGAGAAATAAATCTATAAAAACAAAATGCATAGCTATTTAAAAAAAATCTTAGTTAATATTTTTATACTTTGAAGCCTTGGCTAAACGGGGATTCAATTCAAACAATGTGGATCGAGTTCGAAAGAAACCAACATTTATTATAAGATTCCCATATTTTGTTTATCAAACAGATTATCTTAAATAATCTCCATGTCTAAAATTTATAAAATAATAACAGTTCTTCATTTGTCGACTGATGTAATTTAAAAATTTAAGTTCTCTCTTGTGGCAATATGCCTGCGCAATATCTTTCGTCACATTAGTGTGTGCTTACGCAATACCTTTGCGCACCAAAATTTATCTAAAACAGTCTTCTTAAGAATTTAAATACTTTACAGGTTACCGTTGATTATTGTAATAAAGAAACTTGAGAAACAATATTAAAATACACAAGTTTGTTATAGTTTAATATTCGTATAAGATTCAACTCTGCCTAAATTAATTAGTTTACGAATCTATTATCTGTGATAGTTAAAGTAAAGAGTCACTACGACATAAACACAATTTGTTATAGTTTCATTTATTTATCATTTGTAACATTATCATTAGAGATATTTTAATTCAATTATATTATAGATGATGATCAGTTGATCAAATTCAACCATCTACAGCATATACAATTACAATGAACAGTTCTACAAACCACAGTTCCACGATGCAACTCTTCTTACTACACACAAACCAACGATATATGGTTCTACTTCTACCTACACAACTACAAACAACTCTCGCATAACACAATTATTAGAACTTCATCGCAGTAGCCAGTAGGAATGTTAAAAAATGGGGTCATAATGCAATAAATATCTGGCCCACATATCTGTTTTGATTGCCCACTGGGCTTTTTAAAGAAACCCATGAAACATCTAAAACGGCGCCGTTTCTTTCCCAGAAATTGAAACAGAACCTGTGTTGCTTCCTTCGACGAATTCCAGTTCCAGAGCTCCGATACACTCGCCGCCGAGCCTTACCGTTAGAGCCTCTAGTCTGTTAATAACCTGAAGGTATTTAATACTGAGCTGCTAATTTCTGTTTTAATTTTGGTTTCTGGCTTTAATTGTTGGGAATTAAACTATCCATGTAGTGTTGTTGATTCACACTCATCTCTTCTGTAATATTTTTGTTTGTGCTTTGTTTCCATCTGATTAAATTGATTTTGGACTCTGGTTCGGGCTAGAAAATAGGGTTTAGTTCAAATTGTTTTGCTTTAGAGCCATACTGAGTTAGTTTTGTTCAGTTTCTTTTGAGTTTTAAGTTTTCTGCCATAAGTTCAGTTCCTGTTGATTTTGAAGAGGACACAAAAACCTTAACTTTCATCTTTGTCTTCTTCGATATATAGAAGTTTCGTTGAAATCCGGTAGAAGAATACTCCATGGACGACATAAAACCCAAAGCTCTAGAAGAGAAGCTGAAGAGCCAGCTTAGTCTGCTTGAATTTGAGCACGCGGTGTTCGAGCGAATGGTTTACAAGAACAAGAACCAGCATCGAAGATGCTCCTATTTTCAGTACCTTCTCAAGGTATATCTACATCCTCTTCTTATCCTCTTCGATTTGGATTCTGAATGCATTGTGTTTGTTTTAAGTCATTTGAGGGAATTTCTTTTAGCAAATTCGATTTTTTATTGCTCAGGTGAGAAGGGAATTGAGACTCTTACGAACAGCGAACATGGTGGAGATTCTGAGACCCTGCTTTTGTGTCATCTCTGGGAAAGGAAGTAAACTCCAAGTGTTGGAGAGGTAGGTTTAAATCTTTCCTATGTTGATTTACTGGTTTTGATAGTCGAACTTAGCTTTGTTATGCTTATGCAGCTTGAAGCTGAAAAAATCTGACACCGGGAAACCAAATATCTTGGAACGACTTCTTGGAGCTCTTCGTTTACTCTCGCAGGTAGGCTCTAATGTGTATATGAATGCTCTGATCAGACATATGAACAAGAAATCGAGTGTTCTGACTTCTCATTGTGTTTGTTGCAGATGACTGAACCCATCTTGAACGCTGCTAGGTATTTATTGATTTATGAATCAGAATGTTTGTGTAATTTCTTGAATCTAATCAAAATCAGTTCATAATTGTTTACTGGTTCGAATTTGTTCTACAGTGGGATATCTACTCTGCTAGCTTGTTCATTCTTCATACCATCTTCCTTGACGTTTCTGGCGCTGCTTGCCCGTCTCCGAGTGTTGATTCAACAAGTAAGTTGAATCCTTTATTTGCTCTGATTGTACTTTTTAGTGTGTTTACTGTGTGATTAATCAGTTAATCGTTTTGGCTCTTGTTCAGATATTAGTTGATGCTGTATCTGTTTTCAATTCAGTAGCCTCTACATCCCTGAAGAAACAATCTGTGAAGATAGCAGAGGACAGGGTTGAGGTTGGTGGTAGATTAGTTTACGTACACTGTTCAATGATCATGTCAGTAAACTCTGTTTCCTTTATTTTGAAACAATTCAGGTGTTCCGTGAGTTCTATCCAAAGGAGAAAGAGTGCATCACGTTATTGGAATGTGTATGGAAGACTGATAAATATGTCTTACTCGAGACATTGCAGAACAATGAGAGTAGTAAACCTATAGAGGATAATGTTTCAGAAGATGCTGCGACTAGGGGTTCGTTGGTACAGTATCAAACATCTGTTTCTTCTCTTGGGGGTAAGAATCTTCACAGAATTACTATTTACTGTTTATTTTGGAATCCCTAGTTATTGCTGGTTGTGTCCCTAGTACATAGATCAAGCTTATATGGCTCATACTTGTCTTAAAGTTATAAGGAAAGGCCAAAAGGTTTTAGAGTTTGGTTTTTAGATGGCTTTATTGATTTAGTTCTAATTGTTCCACTTGAAAGATTTGTGTTTTTGATTGAATTGCCCCACTTGCAGAAGATCTCTCTCCTGTAATTGAAGCAGACAACGGTGGTGTTACTGTGAGAGAAAGTTCAACTCCCGTTGCCGAAGCAGCTTCTTCCGTGACTAACGATGCGTTGCAACCTGAAGCTTCAGAAAATGCAGAAGATGCTACAATTAGGGGTTGTTCAATTCAGTATCAAACATCTATTTCTCCTCTAGGAGGTAAGAATCTAAAATGGAATTTATGTTTGGTTGTTTATGTCCTTAGCACCGTTCCATTAAGTAGGCTCATTCTTGTTTAGAACTTCATGGTTTTAGTGTTTCAAGGGCTCAAAGGTTAAAGCATTTGGGTTTTAGATTGGTTTATTGCTATTTTTGTTTTGTACTTCACTGAAAGATTTGTGCATCTGATTGAATTGTCCAAATGCAGAAGATCCTTCTCCTCTGCTTGAAGCAGAAAGAAACGATGGTGTTACTGCTACAGCGAGTTCGACTCTCATTGCCGAAGCAGATCCTTCCAAGACTAACGATGGATCACAAATAGAAGATACAGATAAACCAGAAGATGAATCTTCAAATCCTGTGACTGTGATCCCAGCAAAAACCAACACAGACAAAATAAAACCGAGTTTCAGAGCAACCAAGGTGGCGTTTCTACCATTGAAAAGACATTCCTCTGCAATAACACCAAACGCCATAGAAGAACCCCCAAGGAAGAAGCATGAAACAGGCGAGAAAGACAAGAAGGAAGAAGATGGATTTTATAATCTACTCATCCGGGGAACTCATAAAGACAGTTTGTTCTAGCACAACAACAAACATTTCCAAAGTCCAAGAACATATCTTCTTCGGCTCTTCTGTGTAAGATTCAAGCCTTTTGAGCGGTGTAGCCAAGGATCAAGTCACGGATCTCTTCGCTGTTGGCTCTATCAATCGCGGTTCTTCCATCAGCATCCTTGACCGAGTAATCAGCACCGGCTCTGAGCAGCTCCTCGATCTTAGGTTTGTCACCTTCTGTGGCGGCTAACAACAATAGGATATCGACAGGGTGAATGTTTAGGTTGAGAAGAGCCTCCATCTTTGAGTATGTACCTTCTACCGCAAGCATCCCCATGTAATTGAAATACTGCAAAACAAAGCATCAAGAACACATACATTTAGTCATACAATAACAGTGATATACTTTTATTTAATTTAGTGATTCACTGAAACTCTTTCTGCTTTTAAAGCTTTGTTCATATCTACAAATGGGAACCAAAGTGAAGAACTTGAAGATTTTGATTCATCAGAATCCATCTTGATTGAAATTGTTAAAATCAATGTAAAGATAATTTGAGTCCGGAAGAAGAAGAAGAAGAAGAAAGACCTGTTCAACGTCGTCTTTGTCGAAGTCATCACGAGACTGGCTGCCATAGATACCTGCACTTTCAGCATCGACGCCGTTCTTGCCGAACTTGAACCAGCAAGTGGTTCTTGACCCATTGGAGGGTCCGAGTTTGGCCGGTCGGATCCGAAGCAAGTTTCCGGTTCCGAGAAATCTAGAGGAGAGCCTCAGCGAAGAAGAAGAAGAGGAAGCATGGTTGATGGGTTTGGTGGAGGAGAGTGAGCTCGCTAAAGAAGGTGCGCTTGAGAAGATAGTAGAAGAAGCCATGGCTCTATCTCTTGATGCAAACAGAGTCAAATGGTTCTCTTTTATTATCCACTCATTTTCCTCACTTTATCTAAAAAGAAATTACAAATCAGTTTGATTGGTTAAATCCTAACCGTTAGATTTCAGATACTTTATGTGTGCCAACTAAAATAAACAGTTGCTAAAGCCTCATTATTTGTCTTTCTTAACTACTACTCCCTCTGTTTCAAATTATAGGGGGTTTAAGGTTTTTGCAAGCCATTTAATTATTGTACTTTTTGAAATAAAATATATTTTATCATCAATTTCAAAATATTTCAACTAATGAATAACATATATGCAGAATATAAATAATCTAAAGTAATAAAAACACATTTAATTCTACACTAAAACTCTAAAATCCCTTATATTTTGAAACAAAACTAAAAATCTAAAACCCCTTATATATTAAAACAGAGGGAGTAGTTGTCTAGTTCTTAAAGCAATCTACAAATTAATCATTATGTGGCATGGCAACAGCTTTTGTCTTTGTATTTGGTTTTTAGAATTCAAAAGTTGTCTTACTTTCTTAAATTCTTAAAAACTAGTGTTTGTCTTGAGTTTGAAGAGAATCTTAAAACTATTTGACTTTGTTTTGTTTTCAAAGAAAAACTAAAATAATCCAAAACTACCAAAATTCTCCATCAATTCAAAATTGTTCATAAATGTTTATCCTAAAATTGATTCAACAGAATATTTGCAGATAATTAATTGAAAACGTAAAAAGGAAATAAAACAACTAAGCATGACGTGGCAAAGACGTGGTCTCCACACTCGGAGAGAAACCAACAGAAAATTTTAAGCACTCTCGCCGGAAAAAAACCAGACGCCTTCTTCCTTCTCTGACCTTATTTCTCTCCACGATAACGATGATCGAAACTCAACATTATGTTTGATAGAATCTACCAGAAATCTCTCAAATTAGCCATTGAAATGGCTCACCAAGCTCTCTAACACTCACAACCATCTCCTTCATTTCTACCTTGTATTCGCGAATGGGCTCACCAAACGCTACGAAGCCTACAATGAAGCACTCGACTGCTTCTTCGTTCTCCGTCAGATCCTCCGTCGCTCTCTCCTCTCACTCGGCAATGGTGGAATTGAAGCAGAGGATACTAACCTCCCTCTCCAGAATCGGCGACCGCGACACTTACCAGATCGCAGTCGACGACCTCGAAAAAGTCGTCGTCTCCGTCTCCGACTCCCCCGAAACACTCCCGGTGCTTCTCCACTGCCTGTTCGATTCCTTCGCCGATCCCAAAGCCCCCGTCAAGAGAGAATCGATACGGCTCCTCTCCTTCCTCTGCCTCACTTACTCCGATCTCACCTCCTCACAGCTCGCCAAAATCATCTCCCACATCGTCAAGCGCCTCAAGGACGCCGATAACGGCGTGCGCGACGCTTGCCGCGACGCAATCGGCTCCCTCTCCGCGCAGTTTCTGAGCGAGACGGAGGAGGGAAATGGGTCTTCGCTTGTGGGGCTCTTTGCGAAGCCATTGTTCGAGGCCATGGCGGAGCAGAACAAAAGCTTACAATCCGGTGCTGCGATTTGTATGGGGAAGATGGTGGATTCTCCAACGGAGCCTCCCGTTGCAGCTTTTCAAAAACTCTGCCCTAGAATCTCCAAGCTTTTGAATAGCCCCAATTACATTACTAAAGGTTCTCTCTTGCCTGTAGTTGGAAGCTTATCTCAGGTTTGTGCAATGTTGTTAATCTCATTTTTATTTGTGCTTCGTCTTTAGACTGTCTAATTGAGCTATGAGATTCTTGCAGGTTGGAGCTATTGCACCTCAGAGCTTGGACTCATTGCTAAACAGCATCCATGAGTGCCTTGGATGTGCAGATTGGATCACTCGTAAGGCGGCTGCTGATGTTTTAATATCATTGGCCGTCCATTCTAGTAGTTTGGTTTCAGACAAAACAGATTCCACTCTTACAGCTCTCGAGGCCTGTCGTTTTGATAAGGTGCTGCTCCAATTTCATTTCTTTGCAGTAAAGCTTAGCTCTTTCCATTGTAACCTGTTCCCACTTTTTTTGTTTCCGACATCATTCAGAAAAGTGGCTATATTTGCTTTGTGTTTGTAGATAAAACCTGTTAGAGACAGCTTGTCTGAAGCACTAAACGCCTGGAAGAACATTGCTGGGACGTCTGATGACCAGAAGGACGTGTCATCTGAGCAGTGTATGCTGGAAAGGAATGGGGAAACCGATTCAATCGCAGGACTGGTGACGCAAGGGTCTTCTGATGGTTTGAGCAGTAATTCAGATTCCATATCGAGAGCAGTGCTCATGTTGAGGAAGAAAGCACCTCGCTTGACTGGCAAAGATCTTAACCCAGAGTTTTTCCATAAACTGGAGAAAGACGGTTCTGGTGATATGCCTGTTGAAGTTATTCTTCCCTGCAGGCAAAAGAACTCGTCGAACTCAAACACGGAGGATGATGAATCAGACGCCAATGCTTCAGTATCGATGAGTAGGTCCAAAGGTTTGTCCAGAACAGGTAGTGATCATTCCAAACAAAGACATTTTGGAGATTTTGCTAGAGAGGAATGGGTTGATGAAATACAGGCGGAAGCAGCTGAAAACAGAGGGAACTGGCCACCTTTACAGAGACAGTTATTGCAGTTGGAGAGACAACAAACTCATATAATGAACATGTTGCAGGTACTGTTCCGATTTCATATCAGTTATAGTGATTCATTTTGAACCAGATTCACTATTATAAGGTTACTTCCTTATCAATGCAGGGTTTCATGGGTGGTTCACATGATGGCATGACAAGTTTGGAGAACCGTGTTAGAGGTCTTGAGAGGATTGTACAAGAGATGTCAAGAGAAATGTCCATACAATCAGGCAAGTATAAAACTGTAACTTGTTGTATCCATTGAAGAAAGAAATTTATTGATTCTCGAAACTGAAATTGTTTAGGTGCGAGAGGAAAGGCGGCTGCATCGTGGAGGTCTGATGTAGATGGATGGGATAGTCCTACCTACGGAGCTTCTTCAAGAAACGCTCAGACCAGCACAAGAAGAATACGTGGCACTGTTGAGCACTCTGGTAACAGCAGAAGAGCGTGGGACAAAAGCTCTGTACCTATAAGACTAGGTGAAGGACCTTCCGCTAGAAGCGTGTGGCAAGCTTCGAAAGACGAAGCTACTCTTGAAGCAATACGTGTAGCTGGAGAAGAGCGTGGAGGAACGTCGAGAAAAAGGCGAGTATCTATCATCCCTCAAGCAGAAGCGATAATGGAGGAAGACGACGATGGCCGTGGAGGACAAGGGAGAGACCCTGTGTGGACTTGCTGGAGCAATGCGATGCACGCACTCCGAGTTGGTGATACTGATTCTGCATTTGCTGAGGTGTTATCAACGGGAGACGAGCTTTTGCTTGTCAAGTTAATGGACAAAACCGGTCCTGTTCTTGATCAACTCTCGAGTGATATTGGACATGAGGTTCTTCAGTCTATAACACAGTTTCTGCTGGATCATACTCTGTTTGATATCTGTCTCTCTTGGATTCAACAGGTAACACTATTTTCTTGGATCATACTCTGTTTCCTCTTTGGATTAAGATAACTCGATCGTAATGCTATCTTCTTTGTTTATGTATATAATCTACAGCTGCTAGAAGTAAGTGAAGAAAACGGAGAAGAGTTTATGGGGATACCAATGGAGCTAAAGAAGGAGCTTCTGTTGAATCTACATGAAGCTTCTTCAACAACGGATCCTCCTGAGGACTGGGAAGGTCTAGCTCCGGACCATCTTTTGGTTCAATTAGCATCGAACTGGACCATCGAGCTCCAACATTTCGACCAGTAAAAATGTTTGAAAAACATTACACTGTACAGATATGATTCTTTTTAGTATACATTTTATCAGAAAGAAGTGTTTCCTTGTGCGTTCATGTTTTGTAATTGTTTCCTTTTAAACCACAAGAACTTGAGGAATGATACAATTATGAAATTATTTCAATTGTAACAAAGACATGAGACTCTCGATGTGATTTGGGATGATACAGAGCGGAGACAGACGTTTGCTTCCAAGTCCATTCCTAAACCTAAACCCATCACTCACGATTTCTTTAAATTCGACTTTTCTCGAGATGTTTCTCTTGGGATCATAATATAAAACACAAAACGATTTAAGAATCATGGATGGTACAAAAATAAACTCACCAGCATCAGTGACACCCCTTAGTTTCCATTTAGTTCTCAAACTCCGACCAGAGTAAAGAAAAGATGGGGAAATGTGTGTACACGACCACTCGTGTTTCTTTGCATCTTCCAAGATCCACAATGCAATAACATAGTCGTTCATGATGGACTTACTAACACAAGCTAACTTTTCCTCATAAGGTATCAGCTTACCCCAAAAAACCACTCATTGTATTGTTGTTCATCATCGTCGGTATTAGGTAATTTTATTAGATCGAAATTTTCACTTCTGACATCAAAACTCATTAAAATGCCTAAATCGTCGCTAGTGGCTTCATAATACAGAACACCGTTGATGCATGTCCCATAACTGCCAATGTAAGTGCGATGCTTATGACTGGTTTTGATGCTTCTCCATGATTCTTGACCTGATCCCAAAGTTAAAACCCGACACTCAGCAGATTCTGCACCAAGAGGCATGCACACTACTTTGTGTTTACCTTCGATTGGATCGTATCCTAAAAAGCATATTATATATTCCCAGCTTTTTTCGGGTTTGGGTAAGGTCAAGAACTGTCTAATGCTAGGGTTCCAAATTATGGGTTTTGTCGAATGATCTCGAAAGCAGATCAAGCCGTGGACAGATTCTGTAAAGGCAAATAAACAACTTTTTGGGTAATTCATATGGTAACTATCCACATGATGAGAAGAATAAGACTCTTTCGAGTTCTCATTGTGCTGCGGAAACGAGAAAACAAACAACTTTCCCCTTTTTTTGAAGAACATTAGAAGATTTGGCCGTGTTGATGACTGAGTTGCGAATGTGTCGGTGAAATATGGATCGGTGGTGATTGATGACCATAATTTGGAAACATAGCGAGATCTCACGACAGATTCGGCATGTAGCCTTAAGAGTATATCTGAAGTTAGATGGAGAGGAAGGGACAATGCTGAATCTGACATCGATGACTCTATTCCTTCTTCCTTCTTGTTGCTCACTTTTTGGTCCAAACCCTAATTTGTTCCCATGTGTTGTTACTTAAACTCCACGTAACGAGAAATACGTTACTCTTAGGTATTCTGTTTTTTTTTTTTTTTTTTTTTTTTTTTTTTTTTAATCGAGAAATACGTTCTCTGATTTCTTCTTTTTTACTTGTAACAATTTTATAAAAAAATAGAAAATACTATGAATTAATTTCCATTTTTTTTTCTAATGAAAAGGGAAAGAAGAAACATATAACAGGTTTTGATGGTTATACTTCAACCTAGGATTTGGCCACTCGAATAGGTTCGGACTTTAAAGCTTTAAGTGTTGTTCAATTTATGCAGTATAGAAACCGGATACTCTCTACGGTTTTGTCGAACAACAAAGCAATGGATTTCTCCAGTTCTGTATCAAACTACTTTCATGTTCATTTTAGGCCAACGCTTATGGGAAATCTAATTACAAGATTTAGCTATGCTGTAACTTATCTTATCACTACAAAAGCACCAACCTTCTTCACGTTGTCTAGACATCACGTCTCTCTTAATATGTGTGTTGCTTGTGAGGCCAATTATAGTGGGAACACAAGAAGTTGCTGAGTTGGCACAAGACTAATGGCTTCACTTACATAGACTCATTTTACACTTCTTGAGAAACTTATTGAGAAATATAATTACTTTTGTATAGACTTAGCGTTGTGAGCTTTGTAACTGATCAAGATCAGAGATAAGATCGTCATGAGATCTTGATCATACATTTGTAATTCCTCTCTCAAATCATTCAGTCAAATAGTTCAACATTCTCAACCAATCATGAACATCATCTTCAATTTTTCAACGTTAAAAATGAGACTGAGACTGAGAAAACCATGAGGAAAAGAATCATACTGTAAGTTAATGAAGTGCCATAGTAAGGGAAAAGGTAAAAAAAAAAAAAAATCAACAAATTTGTAACAAAGACATGAGACTCTCTGTGTGATTCAACACAATATGGAATTTATAGAGACTTCTATTTCCAAATCCATGCTTGAGCCTAAACTCTTCGTCTGCGATTCCTTTATGCTCAACTACGTGGCTGCTCTTTCTCTTGGGATCATAATACATAACATAAAACGATTGACCAAGCCCAGCTGGTACGTAAACTAACTCACCAGCATCCGTGATACCAGTAAAATTGAGTTTTTTACCCAATCTCTGATCAAGAGAATCAATAGTTGATCCTGGAAACTGTATAGGCGACCAATCATGTTTCTCTGCATCCTCCAAGGTCCACAATGTTAAACCATGTCTTAAATGAAAAGCTAACCTTCCGTTATATGTTCTGAGTGTACCATCACCAGTAATATTCTCCAGTTGTAGTTTTATCATATGGAACTTTTCAGATCTGACATCAAAACTCATTATTATAACGGTCTGATTATGAATAAGATAGGCTTGATAATACAGAACTCCGTTGATGCATTCATAACTGTCTCTGTTGTTGTAAAGATGATGTTCATGGTAGGTTTTGACCACTCTCCATGATTCTTGAGCTGATCCCAATGTTAAAACCCAACACTCATCACAAGCTACAATCCAACGCATGCACACGACTTTGTGTTTACGTCCGATTGGATCGTATCCTAAAAAGAATTTTATATGGTTCCAGGTCCAACTCTTTTGGGGTTTGGTTAGGGTTAAGAGGTGTTTCGCTCTAGGGTTCCAAATTATGGCTTTTGTTTTTTTCTTAGAGCAGATCAAGCCGTGGACAGATTTGTTAGGGTAGAAGGGAGAGTTTTTGGGGCATGTCGTATGGTAAGTAGCAACAGGCTGGGAAGAAACTGAAAAAGGCTCGTTTGAATGATCTTGAGGAATCGAGAAAGCAAACAAATTCTCGCCTCTTCTGAAGCAGAGTAGAAGACTTTTTCTTTGGGGCCGAGTTTCGAAGGAGGTGATGAAATAAGCATCGGTGGTGATTGATGACCAGAGCCTCGAAACGCAACCAAATCTCTTAACAGATTTTGCAGGTAGCCTCAAGAGTATCTCGGAGATTAGGTCGTGAGGAAAGGATGATGTTAATTTTGAGACTGATGAATCTTTTCTTCTTCTTTTGATCTGAGTTTCTTCTTCCTGTTGCTCCATCGTTCTTTTGATTTGATTTGATTTGATAAATCAGATGAGAGTAAAGAACACAAATTGTTTAGTAAGAATTATAAAAGATTCTCAAAAAAATAATGTTATAATATGCATAAACTTATATTGGATGAAACAAACTTTATTTACTAAAGTAATTTATTGAATAGGCTTATTTATGATAATGTTAATTTTCCTAACCTAAGATATTGACAAATATTCATAATCTTCTAGATCTTTCTTGATTTCCATAATTTTGATGTGGTCGATCTCTCAACATGAGCTTCTTCTAGTTGCTCCATCGTTCGCTAAAACCCTAATTTGATCCGGCCTTTGGATCGTATGCTCTCTGTTTAAGAATACAATAAGGAGTTTGTTACGTTTCCGTTTCTTGGTTTTTCTTAAATTTTTTTTTTTGATAAATGGTTGTTCTTAAATATAAGGGAGATTTGTGAATATACCCCCAAAAGAGAGAACTATTGTCCCCTTACACTTTTTTTGAAATTTATCAAATCTGGACTCTAATACCCTTACATATGCTAGAAATATGATATAAATATATTTAAAAGTTTTAAAAAATTAAATAAATTAAGTAAAATGATTCTAAGGTTTAGAGAATATTTTCACAATTTGTTTTTGAAATTTGAACCTCAGAAAAATAAATAAAATTTGCATCTACCAAATTCATTATTCAAAGTAGAATTTGTCTTCTACTAGAGACTCTCACATCTATCCCTCGTAGAACATAAAATCTACCAACTGTTCAGCCATCTACCATCGTAGAATTTGCTTTCTACTAAATACTCTATACTCTACGAGTTGGTAGAGTTGTAGAACATTTGTTCTACGTTGTATACGGTTTTCTACCGTTGGTAGAACCTATATTCTAACCTACACATTGTTTTCTACCATCTCTAGAATCTATATTCTATCATAAACAATTTCTTCCACTATTTGGAGAATTCGTGTTCTACACAAAATACTATCTTCTACTATTTGTAGACTTTGTGTTCTCCTGAAAACAATGTCTTCTACTGTTTGTAGAAACTATAATCTACATTAAACACATTTTTCTACGAAATGATAGAATTCAACTTCTACGAGAATCTAAAAAATATAGTAAAAATGGTAACTAAATATTAGAAAATATCTTCAAAAACTATATTTCCTTAATCTACTTTGCCAGAAGAAAAAAAAGAATTCTCATCACGTTCTTCTTCTTCTTTTTTGCTTTTTCTTATCATTTATATAATTTTCTTTTAGATTATTTGTTTTAATCTATTTTTCTCAGGTTATTCTGTTGCATATCTATATAACATATGGAGACTGAGTGCAATCAAATGGTGGAATTTCGTTGTTGGTGAGGCAAAAGGAACTAGATTACTTGCTTTGAAATATATTTTTCTTTTCTTAAATAATTAATTATTTATTTGTTTATTACACTAATCATTTAATTTCATTTATTAATTATTTATTTATTTGAAAAAATCATGAAAACGTAATTTGAGGGTTAAAATTGGATTTAAAATTTAATTAAGGGTAAGTGGACAAGATTTGGCAAAAAAAGAGTAGATGGACAACTCTTCTCTTTTTCTGGAGTATTTTGCCAAATTTCCCATTTTTTAATGCATCGACATTTTAAAATTGTGTGTGTCTGATCAATACATGATGTTTTCCTTTGAAAGAACGTGTACAAACTACACGCTGTTTCTAAAGAAATTTAGATCTTAGAAAACAAGAGTGGAGCTGGCCTGGTAACTTTTTTTTTGTTACAATTTTTTTTTTAAAGAAAACAAAATTAGATATTAACCGATATCTTTTGTTTCACTGAGATATTTTCCATTGAACAAAAAAAAAATAGTGATCAATGTCGTGACTTGATCAATAAAGAAAACAAAAGTAAAACCTAGTAGATTATGTCTTGAGAAACTTATTCAATTGAACTCTGACTCCTGGTTGATTTCGGAGAAACTGTAATTGCGGCTAGCCTGACCTTGTAACTTATCACAACAAAGGAGTTTCTTTTATGAATATGAAAAATATTTCATCTTAGTTTATTAATTTGTTATTATAGTGTAGACTGTGTAGTAGTGTGATTAATATACAATTAACATTGGTGAAAAATGCCACAAAATCCTTAATTTTAAAAATTTGTTCAAAAAGAGCACGAATTATTGAGAAATCATAATAAACAACAATATTGTGTTGGTTTTTTATATAATCATAAACTTTGTGTTGTGGTATGATAATATGATTTAATACCGTTAATTTCCCTTTCTTAAATTCGGTTAGATTAATACGACATCATTTTACTTTCTCATAAATTTCAAAATTTGACCTCACAAATCCTAAATTTCAAATCAATTTTGCATATGAAGACTGAAGTTGAATATGCTGTTGCGAAAAAATGATTATGATGAAGATGAATATTTGGTTGAGAGAGAAATTAAAGAAATCAAGAGTTTACAAAATCGATTTAGGAATTTTGCTCAAAGAAACCAAGAGAATAAAAGAGAAAAATCGATTCAGCATTTAAAAATTTTCTGAAATTGATTTGAGAATTTAGGAGAAAACGTTTCAGAGGACAAAAAAAAAATTTCAATCAAGTATTAGATCAACAGAAGTTTATGATGAAATATAAAAGTATTAATATGATTTGACAAGAGTTTTATGGGCCACAATTTGAAATTCAAGATTTTCAAGGCATTTTCCCCAATAAAAATTACGATAAATTAAAAAAATAAATAATAATTAGAAAGGGTTTAAGGCCGGCACTGCGTCTTCAAGCGATGGCCACAATCTTCTGTGCCTTTCCTTCTCAGGCAGACCCACTTGCTTCACACAGCTCGCTGCGATAACGACAAAATCCGCCACCATAAACCCTATTTTATCTTCGCGGGTGCAGCGGAGAGTCACTCTCTTCAAGCTGGGTAAATTAACTTCGCTTATAGCCATGGGGGTTTCTCTTACCTCCCACAATAACCCTCTTCTTCGCCACTTATCTCCTCCCTCTTACTGGGTCTCGCGTTCTTCGCGTTTTTCTTCTTCTCTACCTTCCTTCCTCGTCCCTTGCCGTAAAACCCTCCAAAGGTTTGCACTTTGCTCCATCGCTTTCTTCTCCATGTCTCTGTTCAAGGTTTAGGATTGTTGAGACTTCAACTTAATAATCAGCTAATTAACTCTCTCCCGTAGTGTTTCTTAGGGGTTTTAGGCTCAATTTGTTCTCATGTGCTTGAATTTCAAGCTCGCTCATGAATTTGATTAGGAAATGTAAATTTCGTAGCTTTATCGAAGTTTTAGCCAGTTGATGAGTTCGTTCGTCGGGAATAGTCTACTCTGTTTCATAAAGTTTTGGGGGTTTAAGCTCAATTTGTTATTGTGAATTTCATTTTCCAGGAAATTAGCTTCGACAGAAGGAAACGTCACAGTTTGTCATGGATTCCAGCAGCATTCGGGTCATCAACGGTCGTCTTCTGCTGTGTTTAACGGAGAGTGGATACTTCAATCGGAATCCAACAAGGCAAGGATGGTTCCGAAGATAAACAAAGTGGGGAATCAGACGCAGGTTGGTGAAACAGTTCATGGGAGTGTAAGTAACTGGGGGGAGAAAGCAAAGAGAATTAGAGAGAAAGGTCAAAACTTGGATGAGGAGGCCAACGACGGTTGTCATTTCAATGAATATATCCCAGTTGTACCTAAGTCTCCTCCTTCCTATGGAACCTCTGAGAAGATTGATTATGGATTCAAGCCTAGAGGTATCAGTACTGCTACACTCCATAAAGAACCGGTTGCGCAATCTGCACCTGTTGTGACAGTACCAATCAAGAATCTGGAGGTTGAGAGAGATGTGGATGTGAGTCTTAAAGGAGATAGCAAACCGAAGACTCTTAAAGCCGGGAAGTCGTCTTCTGGTGGTAAAGTAAGCAATGAGGATGAAGTTGCCTTTGGCAAAGTGGAGAAGAACACTGAATCTTCGAAAGTAAGGGAGAACCTGAAGAAAATATATGAAAAGGTTCTCATTGTTGATGATGTCTCCGCTGCGAAGGATGTTGTGGCCAAGCTCTCGAGCCAATACAGAAATATTGTGCATGCTTGCGATACAGAGGTGAGATGTGCTGCATTTTTGATATCTAAGTCTCAGAAACACTTGTACAATTTTGGCAAATTTGGATTTAGTTGTTACTTGCTGATTTTTTTTCCAATGGTTATTAGGTGTCTGGGATTGAGGTGAAGGAAGAGACACCTGTTGATCATGGTGAGTTGATATGTTTCAGTATCTATTGCGGGTCAGAAACAGATTTTGGTAACGGAAAGACGTGCGTCTGGGTTGATGTTCTTGGTGAAAATGGTAGGGAGGTGTTGGCTGAGTTCAAGCCCTATTTTGAAGACTCATCCATCAAAAAGGTGAGTTTCAAACCATCTTTCTCGTTTTGCAACTGTAAATCATATCCCACTTTCTTGTAGTGTGTTTTGGTGTGAAGATAGGTTTGGCTTTCTTGATTTCAGGTGTGGCATAACTACAGTTTCGATAGCCACATTATAAGGAACCATGGGATTGAGATTTCTGGTTTTCATGCTGACACAATGCACATGGCACGGTTATGGGATTCTGGGAGACGGACAAAAGGTGGCTATTCACTTGAAGCGCTTACAAGTGACCCAAAAGTTCTTGGAGCCACACAGACAAAGGAGGAAGCAGAGTTCCTTGGTAAAATTTCAATGAAGACTATCTTTGGCAAGAGAAAGCTGAAAAAAGATGGAACGGAAGGGAAAATTGTCGTCATTCCCCCTGTGGAAGAGCTTCAACGAGAAGATCGAGAGGCTTGGATTTCATACTCTGCCTTGGATGCGATAAGCACGCTAAAGCTATACGACAGTATGGCAGAGAAGCTGCAGTTGAAAACATGGCTTCTTGATGGAAAGCTACTTTCAGGAAGGACAATGTTGGACTTTTACCGTGATTTCTGGCGACCCTTTGGTGAACTTCTTGTGAAAATGGAAGCAGAAGGGATACTTGTGAATAGGGAATATCTTGCTGAGATAGAGAAAGTAGCCAAAGCAGAACAGCTAGTTGCTGTTAGTAGGTTTAGAAATTGGGCCTCTAAGTATTGCCCCGATGCAAAGTATATGAATGTTGGCAGTGACACACAATTGCGTCAGCTCTTTTTTGGTGGCATTTCTAACAGGTATCCGTCTCCTATGTTTTGACTTGCACTGCCTTAAATATATTTGCTAAGTATAAGTTTAAATGAAGATGACTTGTTATTTCAGAGGTTCTTTGGTTAAACCAAAATGACACTGAGAATAAATTTATTTCCCATCAGGATAGTAACACTAGTTACATGATTAGTCTCTCAGTGCTTGGTTTTATGGATGCTAAGTTTTGTTTATTTTCTTTGACAGTCAGAATGACGAGGAGCTTCCAGTTGAAAAACTCTTCAAAGTTCCCAATGTTGATAAGATTATTGAAGAAGGCAAAAAAGCAGCGACGAAGTTCCGTAACATCAAACTGCACAGGATAAGCAAGGCCCCACTGTCAACTGAAAATTTTACTGCCACTGGTTGGCCCTCTGTTAGTGGTGATACTTTGAAAACCTTAGCTGGGAAAGTTTCTGCTGAATACGACTTTATGGAGGAATATTCAGATATTTCTCTAGAAGAAATTGCTGATGATGATGATGATTCTGCTGCTACTCAGCTACTAGATCAAGCTTCAGAAACACGAAAGTCCAAGACAGATGTTGAAACCGACACATCTGCTTATGGAACAGCATTTGCTGCGTTTGGAGGGGGTGAAAAGGGAAAAGAGGCATGTCATGCCATTGCCTCTTTATGTGAAGTCTGCTCTATAGATTCTTTGATCTCAAATTTCATTCTTCCCTTACAGGTAATTCACTTAACTCCTTCTTCCTAAACTGTGAACTGCTTATCTTTTTCTCTTCGGGCTGATGTTTATGAAATTGTTTCTCCTGTCTGACAGGGAAGTAATGTATCAGGCAAAGATGGTCGCGTTCACTGCTCCCTGAATATCAATACAGAAACTGGGCGCTTATCAGCTAGAAGACCAAATTTGCAGGTATTTATTGAGAAGCTTTTTGATACTGTTAAAATCAACATTGATTGAACCTAATTTGAGGCAACAACTCGAGAGCTGAGGCCATTATTCAGCTTAGTTTTAAAATGTTGAAAGTGAGTCAGTTTGATTCAAAATTATGTGCTGTGCTACGAAGATCTAGTAAAGATTATCACTGGAATCTTTCATTTTCGTCAACTGTATATATACTGCTTCTGGTCATGTGATTTTATCTACACATGTCACTAAAGTTCTCCTTCTCTCTCTCTAGAACCAACCTGCTTTGGAGAAGGATCGGTACAAGATACGTAAAGCGTTCGTAGCAGCGCCAGGAAATTCTCTCATAGTCGCTGATTATGGGCAGGTGAGATATAGAACTCTATAGTTGTAGAGACTTCTACAAGGTTATAAAGGTGGTTCACTCGTTGACTGTGATTCTTCATCTCTTTTTCAGCTGGAACTTAGAATCCTGGCACATCTTGCTCGTTGCAAAAGCATGATGGAAGCTTTCAAAGCAGGCGGTGATTTCCACTCGAGGACAGCCATGAATATGTATCCACATATTCGTAAAGCTGTAGAAAATGGGGAAGTGCTCCTTGAGTGGCATCCACAACCTGGAGAAGACAAGCCACCAGTGCCATTATTAAAGGTAGATTCTTGTCAAACTAGTACTAAATTTTTCAAAAGAGTCATAGATCTTGGAATTGGAGAGAAGTGGCTAGAATAGCTAGAAAGCAGCTAAAATTTATGCACGGCATCTAAAAGCCTATCGTTAACAGACTAAGATAAGATTAAACTTAAATTTGCTCCAAAATTCGTCTAACAGTTTGCATATATGTTTAATACTCAGGACAAGTATGCTTCAGAGAGAAGAAAAGCCAAGATGCTCAACTTTTCAATTGCTTATGGTAAAACCGCAATGGGGCTTTCTAGAGATTGGAAGGTAGTACAACATTACTATTGGAACTAAATAGGTTGATATAACAAACATTATTTGATGTGTGATGAAGCTACAAACAATGCCTTTTTTTTTTTATCTTGTCATCTAAAGGTCTCAAGGGAAGAAGCTCAAGAAACAGTCAATCTCTGGTACAATGACAGACAAGAAGTAAGGAAATGGCAAGAACTGCGTAAGGAAGAAGCAATAAGAGATGGTTACGTACTCACTTTGCTAGGAAGGGCTCGTAGATTCCCGGCATATCTGTCAAAGGCTCATAAGAACCATATCCAAAGAGCAGCCATCAACACCCCAGTGCAGGTATGACGTTTGATTTATCATCATATACTAATTTCATTTGCTATTTGCCAATCTCAAACTCTGAGCATCGATGTTCTCTACACTACCAGGGAAGTGCAGCTGATGTCGCAATGTGTGCCATGTTGGAAATATCAGTAAATCAACGATTGAAAGATCTTGGTTGGAAGTTACTTCTACAGGTAACAACACAAAGATCCTGGATGCAATCTATAACCAATATAAGCTCAATTCTGTTTCACTTTTGGCCTCTTACTCGAGTGACTGAAAAAGGACTTTATATTGGAAACAGATTCATGATGAAGTAATCTTGGAAGGACCAATGGAGTCAGCGGAAGTCGCCAAGGATATAGTTGTGGAGTGCATGTCGAAGCCCTTTAACGGAAGGAACATCCTCTCGGTTGATCTATCGGTTGATGCAAAATGTGCTCAAAACTGGTATGCTGCTAAATAGGCTTAAAAAGAGGGTCAAGTCTTAACAAGAACACTTGAAGGAGAAACAAGATATTTTTTTGGCTATTGCTCTTCAACTGCAGTTTCTGAATGAACATTAACGCAGTGTTTTGAGTAGTAGATTTGTCTTGTCGGTTTTTTTTTTGGTTTTGTAAATGTTAGAAAGCCTCTTTTATACAGTGGCTTGTGTAAATCGATTTCTCTACTCTAAAAACCATCTCTAACTTGACGATGTTTTGAATGAAAACTGGTTTTTATCAATTTTCTTCAGAACAAGCTCCTTTTAACTCCAACGATAAAGAAAGAGTGTAAAATCCGGTTTCCTTAATTTGAACCGAAGAGAAAGTAAACCGATTTCTTAATTTGATCTAAGCAAACCGTAAGCATATGTGTATCTAAGAAAAACCAAACTTAGGGCTACGTTTTCTTTTCCTTGAGCTTATGATCACATTAGGGTTGAAGAAAACGATCAATGGAGCAACAAGAAGAAGAAAATCAGATCAAAACGATGAAGCAACAGGAAGAAGAAACTCAGATCAAAAAAAGGAGACAATCTTCATCAGTCTCATCGTCCTTTCCTCACGATCTCATCTCGGAGATACTCTTGAGGCTGCCTTTGAAAACTGTCGGGAGATTTCGTTGTGTTTCGAAGCTCTGGTCATCAGTCACCACAGATCGTTACTTCATCAACTCGTTCGTAACTCGGCCCCAAAGCAAAAGTCCAAGACTTCTACTCTGCTTCAGAAGAGCCAACAAGGTGTTTGCTTTCTCGATTCCTCAAGATCATCCAAAAGAGGCTTATTCAGTTTCTTCCCAGCCTGTTGATAGACTTCATATGACGACATACCACAAAAACGGTGTCTTCTCCCCCAGGAAATCTGTGCAAGGCTTGATCTGCTTTCCAAGAAGAGCAAAAACCCTAATTTGGAACCCTACAACAAGACATATCTCAACCATACATAAACCGGAAAAGAGTTGGAAGGATAGAACAGTGTTTTTAGGATACGATCCAATCGGATGTAAACACAAACTCGTGTCCATGCCTTGGGATAAAACCAGCGACGAGTGTAGGGTTTTAACATTGGGATCAGATCAAGAATCATGGAGAATGGTCAAAACCAACCATAATCATCGTCCTTCCACCAACTATATTAGTTACGAATGCATCAACGGAGTTCTGTATTATCACGCATGTATTGGAGAGGATGAGAACGTTCTTATGAGTTTTGATGTCAGATCTGAGAAGTTCCATGCGATAAAACCACAATGGAATAACAGCTTTGGTTTACTCACAAGATATAAGGGAAAGTTAGCTTGTGCTACGGTTAGCTATCCAGATTCTTGTCTAATAGTGTGGACTCTGAAGGATCCAGAGAAGCATTATTGGTCGCCTATAAACTTTCCAGGAGCACCTTTACATCCCTATGCTCCGAGATTGAAAACAAATTTCCGGTTAACTGGTATCACGGATGCTGGTGAGTTTGTTTACGTACCATATGAGTTTCGTCAATCGTTTTATGTTATGTATTATGATCCCAAAAGAAAGAGCATCCACGTAGTTGAGTTTAAAGGAATCGCAGACGACGAGTTTAGGCTCAAGCATGGACTTGGAAATAGACGTCTGTCTACTATCTTTACTGTTCCGAATCACATAGAGAGTCTCGTGTCTTTGTAAAACTTGGAACAAGTTGTGTTTTTTTTTTTTTTTTTTTCGTTTGAATAACCTTTTTTCGTTTTTTTTACCAATTCACCATCGATAATATTAGTAGTAGTGATGTGACGATACGTTATGATGGGAAGTTGACTTTACCATGAAAGGTGGTAAAATACTACGTACATTGTTGGTTTTAGACACGAGTGGTCGAGTAAAGACGTTCTTGTACCTTTTGTTCACGTTGACCCGAGTTCGAGAAACCTTTCCATACTACCAAAATGATGTTTTGAATGCAAACTGGTTTTTAAGTATCTTCACTACTCAGAAAAATGGTTTCCTTTTAAGTCCAACGATAAAACACGAGTGTGTTAAATCCGATTTAAATATTTAGTTAGTGTGAACCAAAGAGAAAACTTAACAAACAGATTTCTTAAACTCGTCTGAGCAAACCGTAAAGCATATTATATTTAGGGAAATTTGGCAAAATACTCCAGAAAAAGAGAAGAGTTGTCCATCTACTCTTTTTTTGCCAAATCTTGTCCACTTACCCTTAATTAAATTTTAAATCCAATTTAAACCCTCAAATTACGTTTTCATGATTTTTTCAAATGAATAAATAATTAATAAATGAAATTAAATGATTAGTGTAATAAACAAATAAATAATTAATTATTTAAGAAAAGAAAAATATATTTCAAAGCAAGTAATCTAGTTCCTTTTGCCTCACCAACAACGAAATTCCACCATTTGATTGCACTCAGTCTCCATATGTTATATAGATATGCAACAGAATAACCTGAGAAAAATAGATTAAAACAAATAATCTAAAAGAAAATTATATAAATGATAAGAAAAAGCAAAAAAGAAGAAGAAGAACGTGAGGAGAATTCTTTTTTTTCTTCTGGCAAAGTAGATTAAGGAAATATAGTTTTTGAAGATATTTTCTAATATTTAGTTACCATTTTTACTATATTTTTTAGATTCTCGTAGAAGTTGAATTCTATCATTTCGTAGAAAAATGTGTTTAATGTAGATTATAGTTTCTACAAACAGTAGAAGACATTGTTTTCAGGAGAACACAAAGTCTACAAATAGTAGAAGATAGTATTTTGTGTAGAACACGAATTCTCCAAATAGTGGAAGAAATTGTTTATGATAGAATATAGATTCTAGAGATGGTAGAAAACAATGTGTAGGTTAGAATATAGGTTCTACCAACGGTAGAAAACCGTATACAACGTAGAACAAATGTTCTACAACTCTACCAACTCGTAGAGTATAGAGTATTTAGTAGAAAGCAAATTCTACGATGGTAGATGGCTGAACAGTTGGTAGATTTTATGTTCTACGAGGGATAGATGTGAGAGTCTCTAGTAGAAGACAAATTCTACTTTGAATAATGAATTTGGTAGATGCAAATTTTATTTATTTTTCTGAGGTTCAAATTTCAAAAACAAATTGTGAAAATATTCTCTAAACCTTAGAATCATTTTACTTAATTTATTTAATTTTTTAAAACTTTTAAATATATTTATATCATATTTCTAGCATATGTAAGGGTATTAGAGTCCAGATTTGATAAATTTCAAAAAAAGTGTAAGGGGACAATAGTTCTCTCTTTTGGGGGTATATTCACAAATCTCCCTTAAAAAATCAATCATGCATACCATTCCCAACTTTTTTTTGACGGTTACATTTTTTCAATAATGTAATCTCCATTATTGGTTATCAATTTAATTTATGTGTAGATTTTTCATATGTAACTAGATCAATGCCTACGTATACGCGCAGGTTTTTCTATTGTTATAGTTTAAAAAATATTATAAAATAAATTATGAATGACGTCAAAAAAAACAAATTATGAATTTGTGACTTGTATTTTGATATGATATGTAATATTATAATTCGAAATAAACAAACCCCACAATTTGATTTCATCTTATTTGTTTAGCAATTGACTTTGAAATATATATATATTTGCATCATACTAGATGTCCCCTTAACTCTATGTGTTTACTCATCGTTATATAGAATAGATTCTAGCTTCTGTCATCGCTTTTCGCTGGATCGGTTTCTCTGTATATTAGGATAATTTATACACTCTTGAAATCACATCCAGATACATCCACTTTTTTTTCAGATATATTTTTCCTAACTGCTTATAATATGAGACCAAAAAATTATTAAATAATAACATTAAATTGAAGCCGAAGAGTAATAATGTTGGAATAACTAAGTAGTTTCCGTTATAACAAGAGGTATCTCGAAAAGTGACTTATTACCTTCACACATAATGAGTTTGTACTTTGTATAACTTATTACCTTGTAAACTGGAGAAGACAATGAAAAGTCAATTTTGAATTTTTAAATTGAAAATTCTTATTGGCACATGTCATCTTCTCATGTGTCCATATATCCAAATATGGAGATGATTGTTTTTTCATATATATATATGATTTAATAGTGATTTAAGATAAAATTAAAATATAATTGTTTTAAAGTAATAAAATGGTTATAATTATAATAAACTAATATATTTAGTAAATAAATCAAATTTAATGTTATTAATTGATAGGAAAATGAAAAGTCATGCCATCTTCAATCATAAAAGTGTCCACATGTCACAAATATGGAGATAGTTGGCGTCTTTTCATATATATGATGTGTGTTATAATAAATGACGTTTTGGAGTATAATACAATTATGTTATAAAAAATGGCAAAGATTAATCTTAAAATTACTAAAAGAAAATGACAAACATCAAAATAATGAGTTGTCAATTGTACATTGTAACTTGTAAGAATAAGTAAAAAAAAATCAGTCAACTTTTTTGCATTAAAAGGATAAAACATCACTTGTAGTCATTGTTTATGATTTACTCTCCCTCTCTCTCTATCTGACTGATATTCCAATTTTTTGTTTTATCAAAAACCAATTTCTAATATATTTTTTGTATTACTTAATGTTAATTAGTTGTAATCTTCAAAACAATTACTGAATTACTATTGGTTTAAGACATTGATTTGTGAGAAAGCTTAAAAAAAAACAAGATTCAATCTTGTAGAACCTTAGTGTAAAAATGAAATGATGTTTAACCTTAATCTTTTCGTTAATCGCAACTTCAAAAACTAATAAAAATAATAGTAGTATTAAATTATAAAATTTATATTGTTTTAAAGCGACGGTTTTAGTTCAGTTTCGGACTCTCTATCGTGTGTGACCTTCAAAACAAAGACTGCGTCGTCCATTACTGTTCCAAGCAAAATTTCCGGCAAGTCTCCTCCACTACACTCTTCTCTGTTCTCTCCACCGTAACTTTCAAACTCTCTAACGTTCATACCAAAAAAGACTTTCAAACTCTCTACTTTCCAAAACAAAAACAGACTTTTAATTATTTTGTGTAACCGCTGAAAATAAGTAGTGACTTGATTGTTTCCTTTCCTTATATGGAGGACGAATCTTCATCACTCGATATGGATCTCATGGAAGAGAGAGAAGAACCAATGGTGTTTCCTTCCGAGAAAGATCGTACTTTGATAAAAACCCCTTTTCTAAAACCCTTTGTAACCTCCATCGATGGTTCAATAGCAGAGCTTCCTCATCGTCGTCGACGTCTCTCTGTTTCTGCATCGTCACACCTAAAGCACACCTTCTCGGCGATTTCCTTCACTGGTTTTTGGTTTGCCGGTGATCGTTTCAAATCATGGGCTGCAAAAATGGAAGCTTTGCACGAACCCACTTGGAGAAAAGCTGGGATTTTTGAAGCGATCAAGGCATCAACACACAAAATCCTCAAAAACCAGTCTTTGCTTCTTGCTCTTGTTGAGAAATGGTGTCCTGAAACAAAATCTTTCGTCTTCCCTTGGGGTGAAGCAACCATAACGCTAGAAGATGTGATGGTGATTCTAGGGTTTTCTGTTTTGGGAACTCCGGTTGTTGCCTCTTTAGAGAGCGCAGAGACGAGAGACTCCGTGGAGAAACTGGAGAAAGCAAGGCAAGAAATTATGAACTCAGCTGGTCGTGCGGGCCAGGAAAAATGGTTCTCGAGTTTCAGAAACAGAGATGATCAAACGGAGCATGAAGCTTTCCTTGCGCTGTGGCTTTCACATTACGTTTTTCCAGATAAGTCTCATCGTTCTGTTTTGAGAAATGTTCTTCCGTTTGCTGTTCGTTTATCTAGAGGTGAAAGGATTGCTCTTGCGGTTCCTGTTCTCGCAAGTGTATACAGAGATTTAGGTCAAATCCGGTCCTTTGCTAGAGATGATGATTCTACTAAAAGTCTTGTTCTCACATCGCTGTTTAAGTTAGTCCAAGTTTGGGCCTGGGAGAGGTTTAAGAACGTTAGACCAGAAGCTAAAGAGATACCTAGAGGCGAACCAAGAATCTCTCGGTGGGGCGGTTTGCAAAAGAAACTACTTAAGGATGTGAGATTGAGTCTTGATGGTTTCGATTGGCGTCCGTACACGAAACCTTTAAAGAATTGGAACCCTCTTCGGGTTTACGTCGAAGAAGCTATGTGGATAACTATTAATAACAACGTTGATGACGAGTTTGTTGTGTTTGCTCGGTGTGTGAGGAGTTCTCAGCTTGTTGGGAATGGTTTTGTTGAGGATTACAATCCAAACCGAGTGGCAATGCAATTCGGTTTATCTCAAGATCTTCCTGGTTTGGTTAGTGATCATCATCATAGAGAGTTGACAATAAAGGAAGCATGGGAGTATTACAATCAATCTCTTGATGGGTTAAAGCTGTACATGCCTTCTCGTCTTGCTACAACTTCTGTTACCGCAAGATATAGAGAATGGTGGTTAAAATCAGTTTCAAAGTATCTTGCATTTGAAGAATCATCTGAAACTTGTAATGCAAGTAATACAGATGATGATGCATCTCTTAAGGTACTACCGTTGGATCAACTGCTTCGGAACATGAAGGAAGGGTTTCCTGCAAAGCTCAGACGACGTAGGACGCGTAGATTAACAAGAAAATTGAGATATGAGATAAAGAAAGGCAAGATAAGTGATTTTGGTGGATCAGCTTCAATAGGAGTGCCACTTGGTCGTTTGTTTCAGAAGGAGTTAGTGAAGAGGACAAGTGACAAACTGAGAAACAAGAGAGGCAAGCGAGGTCGTGAGGAAATTTCAATGGATTACAAAGACGATGGTGGAGATGATGATAACATGCCCATTGCTCAGTTGATAAAATCTAGAGAGAAAAGTGGAGGAAATGCTTTTGAATCACTTGGAAAAAGAAGAAGACTTGAGGTGGATATTAACAATGATCCATGGATTTGTGAAAATATTGCTTCTGGTCATGATGACGATGGTGACGAAGATGATTACATGACCATTGCTCAGTTGATAAAATCTAGAGAAAAAAAGTGGAGGAAATGCTTCTGAATCACTTGGAAAAAGAAGTAGACTTGAGGTGGATATTAACAATGATCCATGGATTTGTGAAAAGCTTGTTTCTGGTCATGATGAAGAAGGAACTATAAGCAAAGCGGAGAAGGTTAGTGTTCTGGTTTTATCTGATGATGAAAACAACTCATTAGATTCTCCTCTTGTTGCTTCTAATAGAGTATTTGATGAGAAGAAAGATGGTGGTGATGATGATTATGAGGGGTGGAAGCAGAGAGCGCTTGCAATAGATGAGCTAACATTGAAGCTAGATGCTGGTATTATGGAAGCGGAGAGGAGATTAGCAAAGATTAGAACAAGGAAAATGAGAAGAAACCAAATGCTAATTAGCTAGGCTGTTTTGTGTAAGAAGAAGCTTTTTCTGTCTGTCTATTGGGGTTTGAACAAAGCTTTAGTTATGGTGTTTGTGTTTTCTGGGAGTTAGTATTCAAAAGTTGTATCAAATGGGAAGAAATCAGGTTTTCTTTATCTTTGAATTAGGGGCTGAGAAACGTGGAGGATAGTGGTCTTCTACTGGTTAATAGATCACATATTGTCTCAATTTTCAATTCAATCAACGTTTATCTTTGTATAACATGTCCATCATAATTGCTTTTGTTAGCGGTTGATTTGGATTGACGTGTTTGACGTGTTTTCCTTAGCTCTCGTAACTCTGCCATGAAATTTAAATAAAAAACAATTAGTAGTATGTAATCTTATTATATATAAATGTATTATTGTCTTTCAAAAATCTTTTATAATAAATCAATAATAATTCAATAAATTTTATTATAGAGTTAAACTGAAAAAAACAAAAAATGATGATTACAAGTTACTATGCAATATTAATTAATTTTTTTACTTATTGTTGTGACTCTTTGAATTATGTAGAAAAGTAAATTTTTGCATTGAAAATATAAGACATGGATTAAAGTACTTTTGTATGTGATATGATGTTTTGTCTTTTTTTTTTTTTTTTTTTTTTTTCACGAACTCTTCTATCCACTCACTTCATTATTATTATTTTTTTTTCATCTGATACTAAACCTTCGTCAATTACACGGGTGAATTGCATTCTAGGCCAGAGGTAAACAGACAAACTCTGGAATCTAAAGCTCAAAAGAGAGAGACTATAGCCCAAACAAGGGAGACATTTGAGATACTAAACAAAGTATAAGCAAATCCAAACATTAGAACCCCAACCTTGCAACACAATCGAAACCTGGGAACCCAAAGCCGAGAAAATCGAGAAACACCTCCGGCCATTCTTTGAGAGCGGACTTCCTCTTGAAAACGATGTTAGACACTTCTCAACACCAAAGAAAACAGAACTTCATAACCCAGCACAAAGGCAGGAAGGAAACCAAACAAGGATCCTACAATAACTTCAACCGGAAAAGGCGACGTCGATCGACAGTGAACACCTAGAAAGAAGACTGCGGTAACCACCAGAACGGAATACGAACTGGACAAAATAGACAAGAGCGAAGTCCAACCACGACAAACCAAGCTCACAAACGATACAGCAGAGGAGCCAATAGGAAGGCAGGCGACAAAAGGCAGAACCAGAGAGACAAAACGCTTGCAAGTACGAGGAAATAACATCATCAAAGGGAAAAGCAAATACCTTAAGCAGAAACGGGATCGATCCAAGTGGACCGAAAAGAGCAGAACACCAAAGGCTGACCGAAGTAGACAGAAGCCCACCACGAGCCAAAACCAACAGCAGTCGAGGAGACAAGCTCCGCCGGAGAGATCTAACGGAAGATCTGCAGAAAAGGAGGCGTTCGCGGTAGATCCGCACCGAAGATCCAAAGATCCGGCGTCAATCCTCACATTAAGACCAAAGATCCATCCGTGGCTGAAGCTTTCCAACCAATCCCGAGCCCGCCAAGAGACGAAACTCTATGCTCCAATCGAAAAACCAGGACCATGCCCCAAGAAACACTAATAAACAGAGACTGAAAGCAAAGCTAAGAGAAAAGGGGACCGACGCCGGCTCTAAAAGAGCAGCCCAACGCCGGTCAAAACCCAGGAGAGCGGCGGCGGCTGTTTTTGTGTAGAGAGAGGCGAGAGCTTTTTATCTCTCTAGGACGAACTCTTTTTGGATGCGAGATGATGTTTTGTCTTCTCAATGTAAAATTTAATATAACTTAAAATTGTTTCATAAATATATATACTTAATCATTTTACATTTTCTTTACAAATAGACTTTTTTTTTTTTCAAATTAGAGAGAAATTCCAAGAGGCTATGACTAAGATCAAATGTTTCCACAAGTATATTAGCAAAAAGTATCAAATCACCAAGGGCTCTTGCATGGAAGATGAGATATTAAAGAATGTAATACCTTTTTGACAGAACTACAATAGCACTTTTTGATATGTATTTTATAACTTAGTACATTTCTGTTATTGTGTGTCATATTTAGCTTCAAAAATTTACGTGATTTATCCTTCATTACACTCGTCTGAAGACAGAAAGTCCAAAACCAAAGGTTGCAAATAAGGGTACGAAGATTGGAAATATTGAGTGATACATGGTGTTTTTTGCCAATTTACAATTTCAAACGTGATAGTACTGAGTTGGTCTAATCTTATTATTTGGCACGAGGAAAATAAAGATCGTGATTTTCAATTGATTTTTTTAATATAACTTGTGATAATATCTTAGCAAACTCATATTATTTGTTCCAATATTATAATTTAGAGTTATAGAAAATAGTTTAGTATTTATAAATAATGCATTTATGATTAAGCATTACATGCTTTCTCATTTCTCAATATGTACCAATTTTTTTTCTTTCAAAGCATTGTTTAACGTGGAAGGAAAATCCTATAGCAGCAATTGTTATTGGTACAGTCAACATAAAAGAAGAGGAAACTGGCTTTGTCCGTCTGCCAAATAAAGCATCTCTTCTGTTCAGTCTCTCTGCCCATACCTTCAACGAAAAATTGCTCCTTTCTTTAACCATTCTTACCAAACTGATCCGTCCAAATCTCCACTTTTGACTTTCAAAATCCCTAATTTTTCTTGAGAACTTTGCTTCTTCTTCTCCATCCTCTTGAGAGATGGATAATGCATCGTCATCATCATCACAACCCACTGAGAATAGTCTCATTGAAGAGAGAGAAGAAGTTATGCTGACTGATAAAGGTCCCACCTTGAGAAAAACCCATTTCTTAAAACCCTTTGTCACCTCCATCGATTGCTCCGGTGTAGCGGAGCTTCCTCACCAACGTCTCTCTGTTTCATCTACGGAACTAAATCGCTTGTCTAAGCGAAATTCCTTCTCTGGGTTTTGGGTTGCAGAGCGTCATTTTGTATCTTGGCTCGGAAAAATGGAAGCTTTACACGGACCCATTTGGAGAAAAGCTGGGATCTTTGAAGCAATCAAGGCATCGACTTACAGTATCAACAAGAACTTGTCTCTAATTTTCTCTGTTGCTGAGAAATGGTGTCCCAAAACCAAATCTTTCGTGTTCCCTTGGGGCGAAGCAACGATAACGTTAGAGGATGTTACGGTGCTTTTAGGGTTTTCCGTTTTGGGGTCTTCTGCTTTTGCTCCTCTTGAAATGTCGGAGATGAGAAATTCCGTGGAGAAACTGGAGAAAGAGTGGAAAAGGATGATGAATGTAGCCAGCAAAGGTAGTGGAGTGACACAACCATCATGGATTACGAGTTTCTTGGGTAGAGGTGATGATACGGAGCATGAAGCTTTCCTTGTCTTGTGGCTGTCGTTCTTCGTTTTTCCTTATCGATCTCGTCGTTTTGTTTCCAGAGATGTAATCTCAATAGCTGTTCGTTTAGCTAGAGGTGAAAGGATCGCTCTTGCCCCTGCTGTTCTCGCTAGTGTATACAGAGATTTGGATCGAATCAGTGGTTTGGGTGGAGAGAAAAGTGATAAGAAAGTTACTCTCAGGTCTCTGTTTAAGCTAGTCCAAGTGTGGACATGGGAGAGGTTCAAGAAGACGAGACCAAACGCAAGAGAGATACCAAAAGGCGAGCCAAGAATAGCTCAGTGGGACAGTCTACAACAAAGGTCCAATCTGAGATTCAGTTTTGATGCAGAGGATTTCGATTGGCGTCCTTACACTAAACCTTTGAAGAACTGGAACCCGCTTCGGTTCTATGTTGAGGAAGCTATGTGGGTGACTGTTGATGACAGTACTGATGATGAGTTTGCTAGTTTTGCCCGGTTTGTGACGGCTTCTCAGCTTGCAGGAGATGGCTTTGTTGAGGATTACTATCCTAATAGAGTGGCGATGCAGTTCGGCTTGGCTCAAGATGTTCCTGGTTCGGCTTCTCATCATCACAGAAGCTTCACAGTAAAGGAGGCTTGGGATAGTTACAACCGGTCTCTTGTTGGTGTAAAGCTCTACATGCCTTCTCGCCTTGACCGACGTTGTGTTACTGAAAGATACAGAGACTGGTGGGTGAAACCGGTTTCAGAGTTTCTTGGTTCCGTAAAGATGGAGAAAGAATCAACTGAGACTTTTGATGCAAGGAAGACATTTGACGATAGTGATGATGATGATGATGAAGATCTTAATGCATCTACAAAGGTAATGCCTTTGTGTGAAGTGGTTCAGAAGTTGGAGGAAGGGTTTCTTGCAAAACGCAAGAGATCTAGTAAGATCAACAGTCTTGTGTCCTCGGGTTGGAGAAGCAGTTACCAATCTGTGCAGATGAAGCGAGGTCGTGAGGAGGATGGTGAGAGTTCTACGGATGATGAAGATGATAACATGACCGTTGCTGAAAGGATGAGATCTAGGAAGAAGTATTGCGAGGCAGAGGAAAGTAGAGGAGATGCTTCTATATCACTTGGAAAAAGAAGAAGAAAGTTTCAGGTTGTGGATAGTGATGATGATGATGATGATTCACGGCCTTGTCAGAAGCTTGCTTCAGGAAACATAGAGCAAAAGAGTGATGAAACGGCAAGCAAAGCAGAAAAGACAAGGACAGTTTGTGATGATGTAAATGGGAACACGGAAGAGAAGGAGAGTGTGATCGATGATGGAACCAAGGAATCAGAGTTTTGGCTCCGTGAAGATGGAGAAAAGCAGAGATGCAGGGAAGTAAAGAAAGAAGAAGGTATTGATGAAAGTTTTGAACAGAGCAAGCTTGTAGCAAGAGACATAGAGTTGAAGCTGGAGGAACGTATTTTGAAAGTGAAGAAGACTTTGGCAATGATCAGAGAATGGAAAACGAGAGGAGCCAAGATCAAAGTCGAAGTTTCTCCTTAGCTAACTTGTGTCTAACCAATTTGATGTGTGAAGCATTTTCAAGAGGATCTCATCGAAACAGAACAACAGTCAAATCTTTTATTGGTTTGATATCTTTTGCATATGTAGAGAACTAAATTAGACACAAAGCTTTACTGTGTTAATATATGAGAGAAGAAGTATCTTTATGGAGGGAATCAATACTTTTACTTTTGCAGAGAAACTTTGAGAGTTACACTACACTGTCTTGATAGTTTTTATGTGGTTAGGTTCGGTTTAATTAATTTTCGCTGAAGTCCGGTCAACAAAGTCCATTAGGTTCGATTTGGTTACAGTACAAACTTGTATATAGAAGTAGAAGCACAGTTCAAGTGGATTATGCTTGCTTAAATATGTAAGTTATCCTTTTAGGAAAAGGAAATAGTTTCTACTTCTCTCTATATAAGAAGATGTTTTGAGTTAATTCTTTATCAATCTTTGTGTTCTTAAGCATATTTAGATTCTATAGAAATCGTTTTCAGAAAAGCACTCTCTACAGCTGCCAATGACGACGGAGATGTTGGGAGATGATCTTCCAAGGGATTTGGTAGAGGATGAGATACTGACCCGTGTCCCGGCTACGTATCTGAAAGGATTGGGATCTACTTGTAAACGATGGAACCTTATGTTTGACGGTAGCCGGAGATTCGCTAGAAAGCACAGTGACGAAGCGGCAAAGCAGTTTATGGTTCTCTTCCTGAGGAGGACCTTGAGGATTTGTTCGGTAGTCGTCGAGGGTTGTTGATCATATCGTGCCTCCTGGCTGGATACTATACTCTACTGTCACCGTGTCTTTGAATGGAAGTATCTACTGGTTCGCTCGAGACGAAACAAAACCGAAATCCACCATCGTGTCCTTGGTCAGATTTGATTTCTCAACAGAGAAATCTGTGCCTGTGCCTCTTCCCTATCAGCAGCGTAGTTATATTGATGTTACGGGTCTTTCCGTTGTTAAAGACGAGAAACTTGCGGTCTTGTTACAGCAGAAACATGATTCCGAGACTGAGATATGGGTGACAAATAAGATGGAGACCACCCAAGAAGTGGTGTCGTGGAGCAAGGTCTTCGCATTTCATATGAGCCCTGGTTTTCAACTTTTTGACCATACAAAGTTCTTGCTCGACGAGGAGAAGAAAGTCGTCATGCTTGCTCTGTGTCATCTTGACTTTGACGACGAGGACAATATCAGAGACATGATATACATTGTTGGGGAGGACAATGAAGCCACACAAGTTGATTTTGGACCAGCGAAAGAGGATAAATATCAGCCAGATATTCTTTACTATTTTCCGAGTTTGGTTCAAATCGAGCGAGCTGGAGGCAAAAGGAAAAGAGCTGAGATGTAATCTCTTCTCTTGTTGTTGTATCATTATATACTCAATAATGCCTGCATCATGGCGCCTGGCGCCTACAGGTAATCTCTTTTTTTTTTTGTATTTCTCTTTATTTATCTCCAATGATGCCTGCGTCGCGGATCACTTTTTTTTTTTTTTTTTTTTTTTTTTTTTTTTTTTTCTGTATTTCTCATTATTTATCACTAGATTAGGCCCCGCGTATACGCGGGTTTATTTTAATTTCCTTTTATAAAAATCATGAAGAATATTAAACAAAATTTGATCACTTTTAAAAATAAGTAAAATAATATTAAAAACCCGATAATAAATCTCTAAATAAACTAAGATATGTAATATTTTTACATTTTAATTTTGAATTCATGATATGAAATAGAAAAGCTTACATGTGTCTAAATCTAATGGACTCGTTAATTTATGAAACTTTGATTATTCCATTGCTGAAACCTTTATTCTAAATATTGATGAATTTTTTTAATATTGTTTTATCTAACAAAAAATGGAAAATTTAACTATTTAATATTAGAAGATTGGTCCATTATAAAACTTTCTTTTTAATATTATTTAGTTCCTTGATAATTATTTTGTTAGTTTTCTATTTATATTGTTTCTTTTTCAATTTTGTGTTTGCCTCTTACCATTATAAATTTTCATTTTCATTATTAATTAGTTGTTTTACAATTATTTTGTTAGTTTATTTATTTATGTTACTACATTTTTCCAATTTTATTGTGTTGACATATGTCATCACCAGATCAAATATTAGACACATGTAGCGATCTAAAGTTAATTATTCTTCATTGATATCTTGAACTTTTAAAACATGATTTTTTATTTCTTAATGAGAAAGAAACTTAAAAAAATATAGCTTGTTATATTTTCCTTTTCGTATTTGGAATATGTTTTTTTATTCCTTATCTTATTGGATGTAACAATTTTTTAATTATTTCTTCATAATTTTCTGATTTTTCGTTTTTTTTTCCTTTTCGTAATAGGATTATGTTTCTTCTTTACTTTTCCTAATGGATGTAATATTTTTTCTTTTTAATTGTTTATTTCTTTTTTTTCTGATTTTTCCTAATGTACAAATAGGATTTTATTTATTACATTATTTTGAATTTTAATATGTGTTTGGACAATATAAATTTGATGAATGAGAAAATTTTCTATTATGATATGAAAAATATGATTTTTCTTCTTTTTACTCTAATAGATATTTTTTAATTTTCCTTTTTCTAACATTTTTTAATTATTTGTTTTTTTTTCCAAGACACGTGTCATGATCTTAACGGACGTAACATTAAAAAGTGACATATGTCGCGATCCTGTAAATTATAAAAATCCTACATGTCGCAACCATCTAGCTTTATATAATAAGATATGTGTTTGGATAATATAAATTTGATAGAATGGGAAAACCTTTTTCTGTTAGGATATGACAAATATTAATTTTTTTTTTTAATATAATAGATTAAATTTCGTTTTTTTTAATTATCTTTTTCTAGTATTTTTAAAAATATTTTTTCCCCTAATACATGTGTCACGATCTTAACGGACATAATCTTAAAAGTGACACATGTCATAATCCTATATTTTATAAAAATCATATGTGTCGCAACCACGTCGAGCGCATCCTTATATAAAATGGTCATGTTCTTTGAATAATCGTTTGAACTGATATTTTATCAAGATGTGCTATTTTATCAAATGTTTTAATCCTTGATGCTTTTGAGCTAAGATAATAAAATCTTGTCATCATGCCCAAAGTTTCAAGCTTTTACCAATTCTGTGACGAAAGTGATTGGTAGAACATGTACAAAGCTTTCTTCCTTTTCGATTGCTCGTCATCATCACAACCCACTGAGAATAGTCTCATTGAAGCTATGCTGACTGATGAAGCCTAAAGGTCACACCTTGAGAAAAACCCATTTCTTAATACCCTTTGTCACCTCCATCAATTGCTCTGATGTAGCAGACCTTCCTCACCAACGTCTCTCTGTTTTGTATGATGAGCTTACTCTCTTGAAAAGACGCATGAAAGATTTCAAGGAGGCAAGGACAACCGACACAATCGATCTGTGTTCCTTGTTTAAGCTGGTCCAAGTTTGGACATGGGAGAGATTCAAGGAACTACAGACAAAGCCTAATCGTTTGCTAAAGGGTGATGAGCCAAGAATGGCTCGTTGGGATGACCTGAAACAAGAGAGAGAGAGCATTGTGAGGCAGATTCTGGACAAGTCCAACAGTTTTGAGTGGCGTAGTTTTACCCTGAAGAAGCTATGTGGGTATCTGTTTCTCCCAATCTTGATGATGAGTTTGTCTCCTTTGCTCGATGCATCAAGGTTTGTGAGCTTGTTGGAATTGATCTTGTGGAACATTACTTTCCAAATCGGGTGGCTTTACAGCTCCTGTTAACCGGTACAGACTCTCACAGAAGGAATTAAGCTTGGAAAGAGTATGATAAGCCTATTGATTGATGATTTAGCATTATACATTCCTTCTCGTTCTGAAACACCAATGTTCTGCGAGTGGCGGAGAAACTCGTTTAGAGTTCTTTGGAGGAGAATCTGGTTGTTGAGTCAGCTGAAACATTGAGATCAAGAAACGTAATTGGTGGTGGTGATACTAGTTTTGTTCCTTCAGGTTCTAAGATGAAGAGAACAAGCTGTGATAGGATGAAGCGAGGTCGTGACAAGAGACGGAAGTACATGAAGCTGGAAATCACTGCACAAACTTCTCAACTGATCTCTGATTTTCTCTAGGCATGCCACCATCTTCTTGTAACGAACACTTTGGTTCCTTTCTGCCATCATTGATCATATATGCATTTGCCTCCATACACATTAAGCTCATCGTCACAGATTTGCCTTGTCTCAAGTGGTGACACAACAATGTCTACTCCTCCGCCATTAGCACCAAGAGGAAGCCCCAAATCAGTGTTGTCTGCCACAAGTCTACTTATTTTACCAAGCGCTTCAGGCGCATCTCTTCCACTATTCTTAACATCACTCTCCTTGTGATCATGCCGCATTATTTGAGCAACAGTGAGACTATCATCGACAGTTCATGAAGAAACTATGAAATCCAACGATGCTGGTGATGATTCCGATGCAAAGAGTTTCCAAGAGCTGAAGGCGTTGGCATTGTCGATTGAGTCACGTATTCTTAAGGCTGAAAGAAAGGAGAGCCATTAAACAGAGGAAAATAGCAGCAGCTCGTTTGATCTAGGTGTTGTTCTGGGCTGATAAAGAAAGGAGCAGTCAAAATGCAAGGAGAATATTCTCACCCTTGTGATCTTTTGGTTAATTTGATTTTTATGCTTAGCATCTTTTGAGGACTGGTTTGCGGCTAAACCTTTTGATGCAAACAACCTGATTCGAGCAACCAAGCTAGCCGGCATAACCTTTTGAGTCAACCATTGTCCCATGACTATGGTTCTTAGAGAACAGGATGCACAATTACAAATTTGTGCTTGCTTCGGTAAAAGCAGATATGCAGGGAAAAGTTATGCAGTGAAGAAACAAGAAGAAATTGATGAATTATTATTGAAGCTTAGAAAATGCATGGAAACGAGATCAAAGTTTAACAAAATGCCTAGCCATTTGATCTGAAGCTTTTCAAGAGGATCTTATGGAACTGGAAACAAAACAACAATGTCACACATTATCAATTTGCATAAATTAGACACAAAGGTTTGTGGTGTTGGTATTTGAAAGATATCTAATGGAGGGAAACAATAAATTGGCATTCGAATTTGGGGTCACAACTTGACCTTCAATCTTTAAACTGGCATTCAATCTTTAAACAAGTAACGTGACTTCTCATATAATATTTAGTTTTATAGTTTGGTTTAGTTTGATTCATAAGTTTCGTTTAAGACCGATTTTTATTTGGTCAATAAAGAAACTGTAAATGCAATTACCTATCAGTTTTTGCCTTTGTTCGAAAAATCGCCGGATTTTGCAAAGCAAAACATCGGTCCCAAAATCGTTCAACGAGCAATTTAATGAAAATCAGAGGTTATTTCCAGTAAGTCAAACGTTGATTGAGGTCAATGATTTTTGTGTGTAATTGGTTGGGTTTAAGTGCCAATTTTCGTTTAATTTGGACCCAGTTTTCATTTGATTCAAAACTAAGCAAAAACCACATGAAAAGTAAGCAGAAACCAGAAAAATCGGAGAAGAAAAACTGAAGGCGGAGATAATTTAGGGTTAAAAAAGTTGCAGACACGAGGTGGAAGACGGGGTATTATTGTACTTACACCAATTCATTAAAAAAAAAATGAAAACATAATTGTTTAACACTCTTTGAGGTTTGAACACATGACGCTGAGAGCCATTAGACCACGACATACAGTATTCACATGTTTACATCGAGTATTTAGTATATATATATACATACATATATTTAATAAAGTTAGAGAAACAAAATCCCCACTTAATCACCCGAACGTCTGTTTTATTTTATTATTTATTTTTTTTTAGGAAAGGCTTTCATATTAAAAATGCAAGAAGAAAAACAAGGTTTCAAGCCCGTGGGCTATAGTTAATTGGAGCAAGCCCAATACCCAATAAATTACAGAAAGGATTCTAATGTTAACCAGTCCAAGGGAAGCCAAACAGCTTCGAGATCATCGGATGGATTCCGATCAGTCAGAAGAAGCAATTGCCAAGGTCGGGTCCGTTGAGAGCCACATTTGCAAGAGAGTTGATGCATGGAGAAGGTTCTTGTCTCGGAAGCTAACGATGCGGTTCCGAATTTGTCTGTCAATTGAGGAAGTGATGGAACATTCCGAGGAAAAGACTCCTCGATGTAGTCGGCCATTCCTCTCTGCCCAGATCCAGTAGATTGAAGCCTGCCAAGTGATTAGTGCCAGTTTCTTCCATAGTCTTCCTAGTGGGAGAGACTGCAGTTGTTGTAGAGGGTGTTCCAAGATCTGGAGGGTTGAAGATTGCATCTCCTCGCCATAGGACTCCAAATCCTCCAGCTGACCTCACAATCGAAGAGCAAATGGTCTCTACTCTCTGGTTCAATGTTGCAGAGAAGACAAACAGGATCTGTTTGCAAGCCCCATCCCAAGATCCTATCCCGTGTCGGACACCTATTGAGGGTAAACAGCCAAGCCAAAAGGCTGTGTTTTGGGATTCCTCCTCCGCACCACACTACCTTAGCCCACGGTACTGTTATCATCTCTCCCCTTAGTTGTCTATAAACATCTCCGGTCCCATATTTCTTAGAGACATGCCCCTCAATCTCCCATTCATAGTAATCCTCCTGATTAGTAATGGAGATAGTAGTTAGATGTGTTTGGAGACTCACCAGATTGTCTGATCTTGCAGGAGGCAATCGCCACTGATCTCTTCGGTGGAGACTTGCGAGAGTCGCTGCCATTGGGATGCCCAGTCGTGATCCTTCGTTTCCAAGAAGATAGTTTTGAATGTTGCCAAAAGGCGACCAGTTATCAGTCCAGAATCGACAATTTCTTCCATTCCCAACTCTCAGTTTTATCCACGGGTACACCACTTCTCTCATCCTGAGTAACTTGTTGATTAGCCATGAGTTCCTCTGATTTGGTTTGACTATCCAGAAGTTACTCAGGCTGCCTTGTAAGATTTCTGCTCTAAACCAAGCTACCCAAACCGAACCTGATTGGAAAAAGATTAGCCAGATCAATTTCAAGCAGCACGCTTTGTTCCAAGTGATCAGGTCACGAATTCCCAACCCTCCTGCTTCTTTAGTTTTTGTTACTGTTTACCACGAAACTCTTGCCGAGTGATGAGCTTCAGGTTTCCTTGCCACAGGAAAACACTACAGAGTGAGTTAATCCTTTTGATGCATGCTTTTGGCAGGACAAAAGAGGAACACCAGAACGTTGATATTCCTGCTATCATTGTTTTTATCAACAAGAGCCTTCCCGCAAAAGACAAAGACTTTGAGCTCCAAGAGGTAAGTCGAGTCTTAACTTGCTGAATTAGCATTTCACAATTGGCGATGCTCAGTTTCTTACTGCACAAGGGGACTCCTAGGTACCTGACTGGGAGCGTTCCTTGAGGCATTCCTGTTGAGAATTTAATCAAGTCACACTCGGCCTCCGAGACACCTGCGGCGAAGAAGCTTGATTTCTGTACACTCACTGCCAGGCCCGAGCGTTTTTGGAATTCAAGGAGGACTTGCAACACATTTTGGACCGAGTTCAATGTCCCTTCGACAAATATAAGGAGGTCGTCAGCAAAACAAAGATGTGTCAGCTTGGAGCCGGCGCAACCTTTGTGATAGGTAAACTTCTTTTCCTCCGCCGCCTTATTTAGCATTAGTGATAAGCAGTTCATGGCGATAACGAACAGATAGGGAGAGAGTGGGTCGCCCTGCCTGAGTCCTCTTTTCCCTTTGAAGTAGCCTTGTACCATTCCGTTGTAGCCCACCGTGAAGTTAGTCGTGCAGATACAAGCTTTAAGCCACTTCCTGTACTCCTCCGGGAGCTCTAGCCCTTCTAGACAGTTAAGTAAGAAGTCCCAAGAAACACTATCAAACGCCTTTGCAATGTCTACCTTGATAGTGATTCTCTTAGGTCCCTTAGTTTTGTGTTAGCCATTTACTATTTCAGCTGCAAGCACAGTATTTTCAACTAACAGTCTATCCTTGACAAAAGCAGTTTGGTTAGGGAGAATGAGCGCAGGCAAGATTGGCTTCAGGCGGCGGACAAGAAGTCTAGAGACGACTTTGTAGAGGGTGTTGAGACACGAGATGGGTTTGTAGTCAGTTATCATCGAGGCTCCTGGTTTTTTGGGGATTAGGGTTAAGATGGTTGCATTTGTGGAAGCAGGCATGAACGAGTTGGTGAAGAAGTCTGAGATAGAGGCGGTGACTTCCGGACCCAAAATATTAGATTAGAATCCTTAATATGAGACTCTATAATAGAGCCAAATAGGGGCTGATGGCTATTAAGCCAGTCACAAAAGGGTTTATGCTTGTCCGGATCGTTTATACCCCGGACATTCCAAAAAAAGAGTTTTGAATCCATTAAGATGGAGGGGATGGCTCCTCTGGGTTAGAGGAACCATGAAATAGGTTAACTTTAGTAGAGAGGGATGCGAAAGAGTTTTTTAGGGGGACAAAAACAGGGACTGCCAAAGTGGCTTTGAAGGGGTTAAGGGAAGAGGATCCAAGAGGAAGGTACGAGTTTAAGGTTGGATGAGAACGGGATCTTTTTAGTGAGGATTTCTCTTCAGGGGCAGGGGGGCTGTGCGGGTAGAATTCCCCTGAAGGAGTTATAGAGGCAGGGAGGACTAGAATCACAGGTAGACTTTTTGAGGGTAAGAGAGGAACTGGTGGTTTTAGGTTTAGGGCAGAGGAGGGGGGGATGGCTTGGGGTAGGGATTGGAGAGGCAGAGGGGTTGAGGGAGGGATATTGGTTGTGGGGGCAGAGGGATTTTCTGGAGGGTTTGATGGGTTAGGGATCTTAGGGGTTAAAACCAGGTCAGGCTTGGTAGAAGTTTGAGAGGCAGTTTCAGGGAGGTTTTCTGGCTTGGTCTTGGGTTTCTTGGAAGATTGAAGTTTGCTTTCTTGTCCCTTTGAAGGGGACGGCGGGACAGCTTTACTCGGGGGAGGGAGGAGCAGGCAATTCTTAGCGATATGTCCTAGCTCATGACAGTGAGAACATTTCGGTGGCAGCCATGGGTACTCCACTTGTACCTCAACAACTTCTCCACTTTCACGCTCAAATTCAACCACATCTGGAAGCTCTTTCGTCATATTCACTTCTACTTTGACATGAGCTAGAGTGAGACTAACCAAGTTTTTAGTGAAGTCATCTGTTTCTTTTGGTTCTTCTATGAGTCCTGCAATTAGACTTAGGCCTTTCTGATGACGCAGGTCCAAGGGTACACCAGTCAGATGAGCCCAGAGTTGTATTGTTACTGAGGCGGAGGAAGCTTCTGTATGGCCGGCGGTCCATTTTGCCGTATGGAACATAGAGTCTCCAACATACCAGGCTCCTTTTTCCAAGATTTTTGACCTAAGGTATTCACTAGGAATCCTTACTATCATCGATCTAGTAAGAGGATTGTTGTGTATCTCCAGTTTTTTTCCTTTTCCCCACATATGATTTAGGACGCTCTGAATTTGACTGTAAGGAGGAGCCCTTCCGTTGAAGTAGCAGACAATGAAGTCTTTATGTAATTCAGCTCCTTCCTGGAAAACAGCATCCGGAATGAGGACCCTAGGCGTGCCTTTGTCCGAGAAAGAGATCGGAGCAAGCCGTTTTAGGGATTTATCGGCAAAGTGCCTTAGTTTTTCTGCAAGGTTGGGGGTTGAAGCTTCGGGTTTAGCTCCAGTTTGAGGGGGAGGGGGTTTCGTGGGTTGGGTGGTCTTATTTGTGGGTATGGATGGTGGTTTGGTAGTATTAGGCAAGGCTTTGGAAGAGGCCTTGTTAGCCTGGAATAGGAATGGCTTTTTGAGGGTTAGTTTGGTTAGGTTTTCGTTGTTGGAGAGGGTTTTTGGAGCAGTATCTGAGGTGATCAATTGCTCCAAGTTTGATGTTTGGGGCATTTCAACATCATCAGATGCAGGTAGCTTCTCTGGGACACGCTTATTTAAAGTAACAATTTTCTTCACTCCATTGAAAGGGATAGTTGATTTCGAATGAACAGTAGTTCCAGATCCAGTTTTTTCAGGTTTAGATCTAGTTTGAACAGGGACAGTAGGGTTTGTCTGTGCCATGGCGACATCAGTAGTTGGTGGTTGGGGTTTAATAGAGCTTCCTTCTACTGGCTCCGATGCCGGAGCAGTTGGTAGCGGAGATCTATTAGTTCGGGCAACAGGGGAAGAGAGGGGCGGAAAATGGGAGAAAGATAGGGGAGTTGAGGGATCAGGAGGGTCGGGAGGGAGGAGGGGTGGGTGAGGACGATCTTCACCAGCGGCAAGAGGCGGTAGATTCCGGGCGGAAGCACGGCCATTCGAGAACCAGCGGTTCTGCATTGGGAACCGGTCCTGAGAGAAAATGTTTAAAACTACAAAAAAATCCGAACGTCTGTTTTGAACACATGTTTTTGCATATTGCATTATTGTACTTTCCTATCAATCTTATCTAAAATTTGTCACTATCAAAATACTTTTAAAATCATATATATGAAAAGGGGCAACTCTCTTCATATTTTGGACATGTGGACACACTAGGAATTGACATGTGTCATGATTTTTCATATTTTTTTCAATTAACAATTTTTCATTTTCTTTTCTTTTCAATTAACAACTTTTCATTTTCCTTTCAATTAATAATTTTAAATATTTTAATTTATTGTAATAAAACCACTATCTTACTTTAAAACTATGATTCTTCAGCTTTCATTTTGAATCACTATTAAAAATCTAAATTCTCCTAATATACGGAAAAACGGATCCAACAAAGAACAATGACGGGAAACATAGTCCATTTCATATATCAGTAAGTAAACAAAGAATTTGATGGCATAAAGACATGTGCTATAATGCAAAAATAGATATTTGAAAGCACTTGCTAATTATACAAGTTGGAATTAAAATGTCCGTGTTATTTGGGTAATATTTTATAATATTAAACACAAATTATAATTGTTTTCCAATATTTTTTAAAAGTTATAACAAGAAATTTTTTATTATATATTTTGAGAAGATATAAATATTTATCTGATGTTTATTGATGAGACCTTATATTAAAATAAAATAAATTACTCTTTGACTTGACTCTCAAAAAAACAAAACTTTCAATTCTTTTTCAATTTCCATGAAGGATCTAACATCAAATCAAATGAAGATCCTTTTGAAGACAGAGAAATCCTCATTTGTTTTACCCTCTCAGAACAGTCGACCTAGCAGCGAAAAATCCCATCTTTTTCTAAAACCCTATTCCACCATCTCCATTGATAGATGTGAAGCTGTTCTTCCTCCTCAAAAGTGAATCTACAAAAGCAAAGATCTGGTTCTAGGTATTGTAGAGAAATTGTGTCCTGAGACCAACAATTTCGTTTTACCGTTGGGAGGAAATAACCATTACACTTGAAGATGTCATGGTGCTTTTAGGCAGAGCCATCCCTGAGATATGAGTGGCCGCAAGCTAGGAAAAGAAAAATATTGTTTAGTTTATTAAGAAAAAATGTTTGATAATAAAAAATTTGAGGAAAATTAAAGTTGATAGTACTATGCAACCACTAAACTACGAGTCAATTTTAGGAAAAATTGGTCGAATAATTGGATATAAAAAGAAGGGCCGCACGCACGTGCTTGTTTCCAAAGCCGGCTCTGCTTTTAGGTTTTTCTGTTTGGGGTTTAGGGTTTAAAGTTTTGTGCATAACTAGTACAATAACACAAACTTTATTATTTTGCATTAAGTTTAGGATGAAACTTAAATCAATAATTAATAGTTTCTTGAAGAAACCAAATGATAAAAGTATTATTAGTTTGAAGAAACCAATCTGAGAGTCTATCATAATAAATGGGGATAGCTTAAAAGCATCAAGGCCTATAAGCTCAGTTGGTTAGATTTGCTTGCTAATAACGCGAATGTCACAGTTTCGATCCCTGTATAGGATATTTTTTCTATTTTGGGGTCTTTTTATTTTTGTCTTTGGTTTTTAGAATTCTATGGCATATGTTTTGCAATGTTATTTGAATGTGCTCTAGTAAATAAATTGTAGTTATGTCACATCAAACTTTTATGAATTGCATGTACAACATGTTAATGAAAACTGTATTTCCTGTGAATGTGTATTTATAATATTTGAAAAAACTATTAAATGTTACCAACAAGAACTTTTCATTTGTACGTTTTTTTCCCCGTTTAATGTTACTTGAAAGATCTACTACAAATGAAATTCTAATGATAAAAATTCTAATGCAGAAATTAAATGAAAGGAGTTTATATCAATAAATTTCCATATGATATACTTTGGAGAGAAAAACTTGAACAAAAGCAAAATTAAAAGCAAAACTTAAGAGTTAAAGATCATTAGTGGAGCACATAGTTTAATCGGAATCTTCATCTTCTTCTTCAACTTGGAGCGACTTGAAAAGCAACGATGGAACCACAGAATTCGCTACCAAAATACATGGAGATCATTGCTCCACTGCCATAAACAAAAATAACCATTTTAATGTTTCCATATTACTAATAAATCTCCATAAACTTAGAGTTTTCTTTCTTAAGCTAAAAAAAAAATGGAATAATTTGGAGAGTAGAGAGACTACCTTACGATGAGGAAGGTATCGGTATCACCAGATTCGGAAGGAGGCACCACACTAGCTTTTAGTTTTAACCTAAGCCCAATTTTGGGATAAGTTCTGATTTGCCATTGATGTTGTCTTAAGCTTAAAGGAGATGACGATAAGAACCAAAACACTTGTTTTCTTCTCAGACTCTCTTTTTGCTTCGTTTGTCGATTCAAGACGACAGGTGATGGCTGATGATCACGAGCGCACCACATTTTCTGTTGCTGGATTCACACTTCCTTCAATTTTGACAAACCAAAGTTCTCGTTGAGTTATCTATGTTTCATGTCCAAATATGGTGAAGATATATTCTTTGGCCAATCCTGTCTAGCCACGTCACCATGTGAAGGATTATTTTTGTTGCGCTAAGATAAGGTTTTCCCGGAATATTCTCATCTTCTTATTTTTGTGGCTTATGACAAGAAGCATAGATATATTCATGCATGATAGTTGGTCGTACTTTGACAATTTTAAGATTTTATCTAACATTCCATAGCTCAATTGGTTACCTCCAGAATTCATACCAAAACCAAATGATACAATCGCTAAAAGTTGCGTTGCTTATTCGTGAGTGCAAAAATCTGAATGTTACGATAAATCTGAATGGCAATATGAAATTATTATATATGTACAAACATGGCTAAGAAGCAAAGTAATGACAATTCGAATAGAAACATTGTACTTCTCTTTACGGTTTCGTGTACAACAAGTCAAATGGAAATTTGCTGAACTGTAGTTATCAACTTGATTTGGATCTTCTCCATGATCAACACAATCTCACAGGGATGCAAGAAGAATATACAAATATCACAACTTAAGTGATTTCTTAGTCGATTCGAGGTACCTGTCCTTGGCTCCCAAACACCCTCTTGCGATTTCGAACAGTCTCAAGCAAAGTTGTGAGACTTTCTCATTCATCTGCACATCATCAAAAACATCAAACATGTCACCAACCCAGTTATTACTGTATATAATAATTTTGAATTTTCAGGAATGACTATAAACAGTACATTTAGTGCTGATGATACGCAATTGCAAGCTTCAAGCGCCATGTTCCCACGAGCAATCTGCAATCATATAAAACCTCAAGAATTAGCAAGAGAACAGAACAATATATATTGTAATTCGTTTTCTTAAACTTTACCTGTGAAGATTCTTGCTCTATAGAGTCTACAAGTTCACCTAGAACTAGCTGAGTGCAAGAAACAAGCTCGTTCTTGTAAGATGGATCGCCAAAGAACAGCAAATCATTTCCAATTATCTGCAGAAAAAAAGATTAAGAAAACCGAAAATGTTGTTTAACATAAGTTTCACACACCGAGTTTCGGCAATGCAACAAATCTTTACATGTAATAAGATGATGAGAGCTTTTGAAAGGCACAGTAATACCTCAGGATTCGCAGAACGGTAAGGCAGATTATCCTGAAAAAGTGTGGACGACAGTGTAATTATAGCGCAGAATATCTTCACCTTCAGTCTCGGCATTGCCCTATAAGGGACGGTAAAGCGTAATTGCCCTATAAGGGACGGTATAGCTTATGTTTTTCAATATTTCATATCCAATATGTGTCTCTAAAGTTAACTATAGTCCTTCTGATAAGCATACCATGAACTAGAGCTGTAGGACTTTGAACTCTCAAAGTTGTTTAAGGATCGGACAACACAGATGTTACTCTGTTTTGTCTCACGCTCTGTTTTGTGTTTAAACTCTCGATGCTTTTACTCAATAGAGAATCACGAAAACCACATGACTTTTATTAAGTGTGTAAAGAGTATTTATAAGTTTACATGACACACTTGGACTAAGGGACATGTCTCTAGAAGACAACCCTTTGTGGAGACACATACAAACATTGTAACTGTTTTTCAGTTATTGATTTCATTCGCATCTCTACAAGTGATGCAAATATAATTTACATAAACAAGGTACTAAACTATGTAATATACGACTCTAACTTAACTATGAAGACTTGATCACTTCCAACAAGAGCAAGTAGCATAAAAGATGCTCTTGAGCATGTGGCTTTCCTTGTGTTATGGCTCAGCTACTTTGTGTTTCCATCATGCTATTATCATATCCCTAGAACCATTATACCAATCGCTGTTCACCTCTCAAGAGGTACTAGGTTAGCTCTTGCCCCTGCTGTTCTTGCTCACTTGTATGAAGACCTCTCTCTCTTGAAAAACCACATTAGAGATTTCAAGGAAGCAAGGACAACCGACACAATCGACCTGAGCTCATTGTTTAATTAGCTGGTCCAAGTTTGGACATGGGAGAGATTCAAGGAACTACAGCCAAAGCCTAAGCGTTTGGTAAAGGGTGAGCCAAGAATGGCTCGTTGGGATGACCTGAAACAGAGCAAATGAATGAATTAACTGATGAAACGGGAAGCAAAGCAGGGAAGCGTATGGTTCTGAGTCCTAAAGATGAAACCAACTCTTCGGATCCTCGTGTAGGTTATGATGGAGCAATTGGCATTGTTGTGTCACCACCAGAGACAAGGAAATCCCGTGATAATGAGCTTGATGTATATGGAAACAATGCAGAGAAAATGACTTTGATCGATGATGGCAGTAAGGAGGCAGAGTGTTGTCTCCATGAAGATGTTGCCATAGCTGAAGAAAAGGCGAGCTCAGATGAGAAAGAAGATGATGATGGCTTGATGGTCGAGAAAAGGCTTGCAGTAGATGAGCAAGCATCAAAGGAAGACAACAATGAATCTAGCCCTTGTCAAAACCTTGCTGTGGGAGATGGAACTCAGGGACAGAATTGTTCAGTTCATGATGATGGACTCGGAAATGAAGAAATTATGAAATCAAATGAGCAGTTGGAGGATTCAGAAAAGAGAAACGATGATTTTGGTGAAGGTGATGCTGCTGGTGATGATGACTCATACGAGAAGAATCTCCACCAGCTGAAGGTGCTTACATCGTCCATACAAGAGAGTGTTAGTAGGGCATTAAGAAATGTGGCATGGTTGAAAGCAAGGAAAGCCATGAAACAGACTACAATGGAAGCAGCTCGTTTAAGCAAATAAAGAAAGAGGAGAAGTCAAATGCAAGTAGAATATCAAAGATTAATCTCACCTTTGTGATCTTTTTTGGTTTAGCATCTTTTGATATACCTGCTTAATGAGTTTTGAGGACATGTTTGCTTTAAGTGTTTCTTTTGTAACTTTTGAACTAAGTTATGACTTATGAGCTTCTAGCTTATTGGTGTGTCACAGATCATAGTTTTGTTACAGATATGAGCTTAATCCTCAGATAAAAGTGTAAATGAAACTCATGTGAAATCAAATCATATATAAAACAAGAAAGTAGATGTATTAAAGAGATTCAATGGTTACATTAGGACTTCAAAATCTCAGATACAGAAAAACCATGTTCTCCTAGGGATCAAGATAAACAAAACTCTCAAGGCGTAATCAGAACAGCATTTGTTTACTCCTTACATATATTTCAAAATCGACAAATTTCATATACCTTATTTCAACAACGGAAGAGATAAACCAGAGTGCATCATAACCAACCATGAACCATCACTCAGCTTTTGGTGGTATGTGGTTGCCTCCGGTGGCGATCTTGTATACATAGAAACAGGTCATGAGAGCACTGCAACACATAGAAAAAATGGTTTCTCGGGTTAAAAACTAACAAAGATAATCTCTCGGCCAATGTTGCACACTGTAGGAAAAGAAAGAACAGAGCATTTATAGCAATTTACCTGACTCCAGCAACAAAACCAGCAGGCATAATCTTCTGAGTTTGCAAGTACCGTTGTCCCATTACAAATGTGAGAGCTGCTGCAATGACTGTATTATACAAGACATTCAAAATGAGTTTCAGCCACCGCAAATTCTTCAAATAGAATAAATGCTACAGACACTGATAGATCTTGTTTCAGCTAATGGCAACAGACCCACAAATTCACATTCAAACTATAGTTGAGAGCAATATAATATACTCAGCTACATAGTCTTATATAGCACATTTCAGGTATTATAGTCAGTTTTCAACTTTTCATCCATCTTTGAGATCATAGCAACACACAAACTCTGATTATCATAACAGCCAAGACCCTGAAAGATTTGATACCTATTTAACATAGCTTATCTAACTCTTTTAAGCTAGATCCGACCATGAAAAAACGAATTCTTGATTCGAATACACAAGTCTATCAAAGTGTTCTAAATCCACCATTTCCTTCTGAAAGAAAAAAATCATACTTGCTTATATAATTTTTAGCGTTGAAAATCATCCCTTTTGGCAGTAAATAATCAACAAATACAAACGCAAGTAGGATCTCAAAATCCAATGACAACCAAAATCACAGATCAATTGAAATCTAATTTCTGTTTACGCATCGAATCGAATCGAATCAACAGAGTTTAAAAACAAAAAACAAACCTGTCTCGAGAACGGTAGCGAGAGGCGAGGTCTTCTTCTTCTCGAAAGCTTTGAGGCTGATGAAACCAGCGAGAACGACAAGGAATCCAGTGCCTGCACCTCCGGCGAGAGACATGATGCTTCCTTTCTTAAAATATCCCATAGATCCTCCGACGATCAGAAGGATCCCGTACGGGATAGTGAAGCAGAAATCGTGCATTTTTTTTTAATTTGTCTCTCTCTCTCTCTCTTTCTCGAGCTGGGTTTGAGTTTTCCGGGAAATGTAGAATCTGGGTTTGATTTTCCGGGAAATCGGAATCGATTTGCAGAAATGGTTTCGTAATTTCGATTGAATAATGAATCGGAATTTATAAGGCGGAGTGTGGTTAACGCGTGGAAGAAGTCCGCTTCGGCGATTCTCCGTCAACGGTCTCAAAAAGGATAATTAAACTGCTCCCACTGAGATCCCAATCCCATGAGCGAATGTAAATTACCGTTATATCCTCATCTCATAATGAATTAGCGTACCTAATTAATACTTTAATGTAATAAGGAATGACTGGAATGTTACTCTTTATACGAGTGTGTAACCAAATGATATTACCTTGTAGAAACCAATCTGAGATTTTATCATAATAGGATGGGTGAAGATTAAGTACATGAAGGCCTATTAGCTCAGTTGGTTAGAGCGTCGTGCTAATAACGCGAAGGTCACAGGTTCGATCCCTGTATAGGCCATTTTTTAATTTTGGGGCCTTTTATTTTTTTTTCTTTAGTTTTTAGAATTCTATGGCATATGTCTTGCAAACTGATAAATGTTACGTACATCTAGATGTGCTCTAGTAATTAAATTTTAGTTATGTCACATCGGACTTTTATGAATTGCATGTACAACATGTTAATGAAAACAGTATTTCCAATTTTCCATATTTGAAAAAACTAGAAAATGTTACCTAACAGGAAATTTTCATTTGTACTTTTTTTTCCTCTTTTTATATGGTACTTGAAGATTTATTACTAGTGATGTATTATGTATAAATAGTTAGATGATACAAAATCTAATTCAGATTAAATTGGAATCTACCCAATGATTGGCAAGATTCCACATTAAGATGATGACCAAATTGAAAGTAACAAACAGATGATAGATATTACATTGACTGCATAAAAAAATTTCAGGTCGGACAATTGAATAATTTGCACCACCAGTGGTTCTGCTACGTAGCTCCGGCACCGTTAAGAGCAAAACCAGAGTGCATAACCAGTACAATAACACAAGCTTCATTGTTTTGCAGAAACTGGAAAATATGTAGTGGACAATCCATCAAGTAGATGTGGATTGTAAAGATCTATTACTATTGGTGTATAAGTAGTTAGATGAAAAATCTAATGCATAAATTAAATGAAAGGAGTTTATATCAATAAATTTCCATAGGATGTACTTAATTAGGAGAGAAAAACTTAAACTAAAGCAAAATTTAAGAGTTAAGACCAGTGGAGCACATAGCTTAATCGGAGTCATCATCTTCTTCTTCTTCAACTTGGAGCGACTTGAAAAGCAACGATGGAACTATAAAATTTGCTACCAAATACATGGAGATCATTGCTCCACTGCAATAAGTAAATAAAACAACAAAAAACAACTATTTTAATTTCTCCATATTACTAATAAATTTCCATAAACTTAATTAGAGTTTTCTTTCTTAAGCTAAAAAAAATGGAATAATTTGGAGAGTAGAGAGACTACCTTACAATGAGGAAGGTACCGATATCACCAGATTCAGAAGGAGGCACCATACTAGCTTTTGTTTTTAACCTTAGCCCAATTTTGGGATAAGTTCTGATTTGCCATTGATGTTCTCTTAAGCTTAAAGGAGATGACGATAAGAAGCACACCATTTGTTTTCTTTTCAGACTCTCTTTTTGCTTCGTTTGTCGATTCAAGACGACGGAACTGGCAGGTAATGGCTGATGATAACGTGCGCACAACATTTTTTGTTGCTGGATTCACACTTCCCGTTCTCTTCACAATTATGACAAAACAAAGTTCTCGTTGAGTTATCTATGTTTCATGTCCAAATATGGTGAAGATATATTCTTTGGCCAATCCTGTCTAGCCACGTCACCATGTTATGTAAGGATTATTTTTGTTGCGTTAAGATAAGGTTTTCATGGCATATTCTCATCTTCTTATTTTTGTGGCTTATGACAAGAAGCATAAATATTCACGCATGATACTTGGTACTAGTTTGACAATTTTATGATTTTATCTAACATTGTATAGCTCAATTGGTTACCTCCAGAATTCATACCAAAACCAAATGAATCAATCGCTAAAAGTAGCGCTTGCTTATTCCTGAATGCAAAAATCTGAATATCACCATACATCTGAATGCAATATGAAGTTATCATATATGTACAAACATGGCTAAGAACCAAAGCAATGACAATTCGGAAAGCCCATCACTCTTTAGCAATCATCGTACTTCTCTCTTTACGGTTTCGTGTACAACAAGTCAAAGTGAAATTTGTTGAATCGTAGTTATCAACTTGATTTGGATCTTCTCCATGATCAATAGGGATGCAAGAAGAACATACAAATATCACAACTTGAGTGATTTCTTAGTCGATTCGATGTATCTGTCCTTGGCACCCAAACACCCTCTTGCGATTTCGAACAGTCTCAAGCAAAGTTGTGAGACTTTCTCATTCATCTGCACACATCAAAAACATCAAACATGTCACCAACCCAGTTTACTGTATATGATACTTTTGATTTTTTCAGGAATGACTGGAAACAGTACAATTAGTGCTGATGATATGCAATTGCAAGCTTCAAGCGCCATGTTCCCACGAGCAATCTGCAATCATATATAACCTCAAGAGTTAGTTAGAGAACATAACTATATATATTGGAATTCGTTTTCTTAAACTTAACCTGTGAAGAAGATTCTTGCTCAATAGCGTCTACAAGTTCACCTAGAACTAGCTGAGTACACGAGACGAGCTCTTTCTTGTATGATGGATCACCAAAGAACAGCAAATCATTTCCAATTATCTGCAGAAAAAAAAGATTAAGAAAACCGAAAATGTTGCTTAACATAAGCTTCACACACCGAGTTTCGGCAATTCAACAAATCTCTGCATGTATTAAGATGATAAGAGCTTTTGAAAGGCACGGTTATACCTCAGGATTCGCAGAACGGTAAGGCAGATTATCCTGAAAAAGTGTGGACGACAGTTTAATTATAGCGCACAATATCTTCACCTTCAGTCTCGGCATTGCCCTACAACATCACAAAATGTCACACAAACCACAAGGCAATAATATGGCTAACGTTTTTCAATATTTCATATCCAGTATGTGCATCTAAGTTAACTATAGTCCTTCTGATAAGCATACCATGAACTAGAGCAAGTAGCAGAAACGATGCTCTTAAGGATCTCCACCACGCCTTTCTCCGGATTACCTTTCCAGTTTAAGATACAAAAGAAAAATCTCAGTTATGACTTATGAGTCTCTGAAGAAATAAAGACAGATGAAAGCAATTTGGTGAAAGAATCATATCTATATAGTTGAGCAAAAGTAATACAAGATATTCAATAATTTTACCTGGGACCATTACCAAGAGACTGCACAATTTGCATACCACCGAGGCCATACTATCCACATCCATTGATTTTGGACCTGATAGAGACAAATGAACAAGATATTACTATACCATCAAAATATACATATACCTAGAAAAGAAAAAGGAAAAAAAAAAGCCCTATTAAACACCCGAAATTGGAAAAATAATTAAACTCACCATCTCTCAGCGATTCATTTTCTAGACACTCAACAGCTGACATGACCAGTCCATCTGAATGAGAAATCAAACCACCTAAAAGTGCAACCTATAAAACATATTCAGTACGCATATACTTTTTCTTTTGTGTGCAATCTAGTAAAAATAAGGCAAAGACATCAAACCTCAGCAGTTTCGAGATAAAGATTCAAGTGTTTCATCGGAGTTGAAACAGATGGAATGGTCACTTCGCTGAATGCTAGGCAAGATTTTACAAAGTTGATATGCTTCTTTCCTGCTTTTAGTGCTTTTACTGCTAAGGTGTTGCTTGAGCGGACAAGTGTCTCCTGCAGCCAGTGAACATAACACATTAGAAATAATCACAACAATGAGCCATAAGACTGAGACTACACAGAGTCCTCCACATGTATAGCAGTATCAAAAGTTAAAACTGATACCAAAGAACAATAAACTTTTGACTGACCTTAAGTTCAGGTATTCCATTAAAGGCCTCACGACACTCTGCCAAAAACATCAAATGGCGTTCCATTTCTGCCCCATAATCAACCTAAGCATCAAAATTGAAGTCAAAATCAACTAGTCTGACACAAAATAAGAAGAACTCATTGGTTTCGTAATGACGGAAGTGGAACTTAGGTACCATCTCAACAAAACGAGAAATTAAATGTGCTGTCTGGCGGTTGTCATCATCCTTTACGTTAATGAAATCTGTAGCATCGTATAGAGCCTGAGAAACTTCAAAAAGCAATTGCACTGTTGTTGAATCACATATGCAGCCATTCCTGTTCCAAGGAGAAAGAAACGTGTATACTCAAACCAAGAAAGAAAAAGGAATATGAATACATAAACTTGAAGAGATTTTGGTGAGTGTATGTATTTAAATATGCAGTTTCAGCCAAACTCTTTTCCGATTGAATATTAACGTTCATGACGGTTTACAAGTCTATGTGCCCCAACCAGAATGTGTGAAATTTTTATTCACATTCAGAACGATGGAAAACAAACAAGCCTTACCTGGTACCCATGTCAAGAAGATGCATATTCACACTGCTCTTTGAAGTCCCGGACATAAGATCCAAAATCTCGATGAAATGATTCTAGAAAGGAACCAAATAAGTCGTTAAAGGAGACTACATAATGATATCATCCAAAGGTTTAGACAACGGGTCTATCTGGATGCTGCGTGTTGTTTCCTGAAAGTTTGGAAGAAAGTATTACCAGAGGGAGTACTTCTTGCAAGTCCTCGAAATGAGAGAGCAGCTTCAAAATTATGGATTGCAAACTTGCTTGTTCTTCTTCAGAAAGAAACTTGTCGCGAGCTAGAGTCACAATATCATCCAAGAGAGCATCCAGATGATGTTCCTGAATCCATTAAAACTGATTACTAAAATCTAGAGAAACTAGAACAGAGGATTCTCATGTACAAAAGAAAACCACTTCAGCCTCACCATTTTGTTCTGCAACAACAGATCCACATATGCGTCCATAATTCTTAAGTAGTCATATAGCGTCTGGTACAGAGAAGCAGCCTGTCGCAGTAGTCAAACCTAAATGTCAGACTGTTGCAGTAGTCACACCACCTTTCTCTTTACCACAGCTTTTGTGACATATTATTATGCATATAATTATCCAGGAAGGACTAGTCAGAATCTTCTGGTATATGAAGTACATATATGTCACCCAAACAATAGGCACATAAAGATTGAAAACTTATCTATGAAAATGGACTCCTAATTCGGTTGAAAGAAGAAGAAAACGTCAAACCTGAAAAACTTCACTGATGAGTGAACTGAGAAAACCTGCTTGAGAACTCCCTTCACACAACCTATTCCCAAGTAATCTGTAATTCAAAATCTGCTCGACAAAGCAGTACAACATAACAGAAGGGTTAGACTCAATGGATGACATAGCTAATTAAATCTGAATTGAAGAAATAACCTGACTAAAGGAACAATCATTGCTGCATTTGATCATATGCAGGATCTCCATGGCTTGTGAACTAACTAATTCAGATGGAAGTTCCTTGAGTAGATAATGAAGTAAAATGGACACATGTGAAGAGCTGGTGGACGACTGAGAGTTATTCTTTCCGAATCCAAGCTCCTCAAGGATGCCCAAGACATTGTTCTCCTGCACATTAACCAAATTTTTAGGAGAACAATCAATTCATCAGAAATCAAGGAAAGGATTAACAAGAACAAAAACATTAGGAGCAAATGCTTTCAGTCACTAATTAAGAACAGTTACTAACCTGACGTCCAACCAGCAGTAAGCATTTTGTGATATACTCAATGGGTGGTTCCATCAAGCTAAAAAGCAACTTCTTGTCGTCTGAAATATAGGAATACCCGTCCTTGTCCACTATAACAGGCGCCAATACATCTTCAATATCCTTGATGCATTTGACTAGATATCCTGTTATGTCATTGTCAAACTTATGACATTAAGTGTTTTACTCAAGTAAGAAAAAACAGCTCACATTAATCTAACCATTGGCATGTAGAAGGCTACATTCAAGATTTTACATCAACATACTAAAAGCAAAATGATAATAGACACTTCTCCCTGTACTACATTTCAAGTCAAACAGCCAAACCTACTCTCTTCAAACATCATTCACTCATGACAAGGAAACTAATGACTTATCAAAACGGGATACTTTTCCATAATGGCTACCAAGTGTGAATAGGTTGAAATTTTGTATCCATTTCGATTAAGAACGCCAAGTTTGTTCAGCATATTTCAAACCATAATGATTCTTTCACTATTCGTCTGTCTAGCAATTTTTTTCTGAAAAGAAAGAGCGTATAATAAGGGTACCTGAGTTGCAGAAACCCAACTTCTGCATACGATGCACCATATAAAGACGACAATACAAAGATGCCAGAGTATCTGCAACACCTCTCACCATCATGACTAAACGATCCACAACTTCCAAGGGTTGATTAACGAGGAAACGCCAGCAAGGTAAAATTGCAAGCTCCAGGTAACTATGAACAGACAACAAAGGCAAAAAGTAAGAAAAAAGTTGAAGGTAAAGTAAAGAAACAAGAAAATTAAGGTAAGGAGGGTTTACATGCGAGGGAGAAGTTCTCGAACAGAACCAACTTTGCAAAACCAGTTATAGCAAGTCTCTCTCGCTTCGAGGCAGATATCACTTGCTTGAAAATCATCTATCTTTAGCACAGGTTCAAAAAAATATTATAAGCTTGAACTAGAAGACTGCATGTTGCTACAAACTTATGTGTCTAATTGTGATCATGAACAGACTCCCATATCACTATGCTCACGTAATGAATAAAAGTCATTGATAATATAAAGACAGTATAAGAATAGAGATGCATACTCAGTAAGGTGCAGATCAGTGTTCCATCTACATCATGTTCTGCTTTCTCTTTGATCCGCTCCCACACCATATCCCCAAGCATATCTAGCATGTCAGTGACTATGACAAAGACTGTAGGATAAAATTGCAAAACTGTCGTGTCCATCAGAAGTTTTGTCACCTGCAGAACGGAACATATAATTACAATCTTAAAACTACCAATCTGGTAATGATAGAGGAACAGAACAAAAAAAAACATTTTAGAATTTTTTTTGCATACGAAATTTCCAGCTTTTTGTAGCAAACCAGATTTGATCAGTTAGGAAATGAACCTTTATCGATAACTTCAAGGACGTTACTCGATCTCCACCCTGCCAAGCTGAAGTAATTCCATCTCTTAGCTCGTGTACTTTGGCTATATAGTCCTGTTGGTTGATCATTTTGGCAGTTTCTTCCACACAAGTTTGTTCGCTGCCTGTTTCTTCCAAATGCGGAAGAGTGGAAGGGTTCTCAACTGCTTATTGACAATAGCACAGTAAGAGCTGTTATGATATGCATCCACGAGGTCGGATAACAATATCAACAAAATTATATTACTAAGCCATATGGAACACATACCTTTGGAACCTTTCATTATTATATTTGATACCTGTAGAAGATGGATAAAGAAATCACCAAATGATCTTTCTAGCTATTTGATCACTACAGAGCTATCTTTTAAGACTTTATGCAAAGAAGATACGTAACTGGAGAAAATGAAATCACTTTGGAGACAGGAAACCGCTGCGTCAAGATTCTTTTAAGAGATTTCCACTCCTTCATTAGATCCTGAGTTACAGATTCGATGGATACAGAAGCATCTTCAACCTTTTCTTCTTCTTCTGAAGCATTCACATCCAACCTCATCAACGGATCAAAGAAGTCAAGATCGCTACCTCTGACAGTTTTAGCCTACAATTTAAATAGGTAGATATTTGTCAAGTGTAATAATGCATCCATCTGCTTTAATCACTTTAACGCAAAAGAAAAATCATTCCTATATCAAGAACAAATGCAATAGACTAAACCAAACAACAGAAGTACACTAGAGAGAAAACTAAAACTAGTCAAGATAAGTAGAATAAAAATTAAATAATAAAGCATTAATATTCACTAACTTTTACTGATCGAAGAGAGAATCACAGAAATGGAAAACAGCACTTGATTGGGAATAAGCACGTCAATCAAACAAACAGCAATGTGTGGAAGTTGTCGAACACGTCTAAAGTCAAACCTTAAATTCTCTCTCTCTCTCTGAGCTCTAGGGAATTCGAATGAATTGGAGAGTGGAACAAAATGTGGGAATGAAATAACTAGTGACGAAGTAAGGAGCGTATCGCAGACCTGTTGTTGACGAGAAGCAAGTGTAGAGGAAAGAGGGTGCTTGAGAGTTCGTGAACGAGGAAGGAGTTGAGATTCATGCTCAGCTCTATAGTCGCGACGCCGGAATTCGAACTCCATGGTTTTGTGATTGTCTTGGTCGTCTCAGAGACGATCTGCGATTCGGCCTTGGAAATGAGAAGCTCAAAGACGGTGCCGTTTCGTTAACAGTCAAATTGATATAAACTGTTACAGTGTTACCCAACAAAGAATCGAACCGAACCAGATCAAAACCAAACCGAATAATATGATTTGGTTGGTCCAAAAATATTTCAATCCGAGTCCCCCACACGGCAATATCTTTAATTATTGATCTTAGGGGGAGTTATTGGTGGATGAATGTGTAACAATCTTATAAAATTTATAAATCTTTGTTATTGATTTATGAATTCTAACAATCTTATTAAGATCTTTGGTTATTGGTTTGGTGATTTTAAAGTTTATACAAAATCAATTATTATTCAAAAAGTTTGTGTTTTGATGATTTAATGAATCTATTAAAATCCTTATTATTGGGACATGAATTTTAAACAATTTAACTCATGAAACAAGATTTCCAATATACTATATCTATAAGTCTATAACCCTTAGATTTTCAGAATCCATTATAACAAAATATTTTGATTGATTTTATGAATATAAGAACTCTCTCCAAATTTAGTATAAACTCTTTATAAATTTAGCAAATCTCTTAACTTTTAGCTAACATAAAAGAAGAAGTACTCGTTGATTTCATTATAATGTAAGTGGAACTTAGGTGCCATCTCAACAAAACGAGAAAGTAATTGTGTTGTTTGTCGATTGTCATCATCCTTTACGTTAACGCAATGTGCAAGGAAACTCCAAAAAGCAAATTCCAAAATATTAAGTAGAAAAGCTAAGTCCTAAGTTAAAGTTTCAAAGAAAATATATAGAAAAACAAGGCTCGACTTGATCAAAAATCTTACATTATGATGAGATGAATTCTTCCCTTTCTTTCCTCCTACATTAGAATTGTAAAAAGTAGAGGAGAGATTCCAACAAAGAAAAGATGATGCCTTACATGATCTATTTATTTATGGTTTAGCTGGATAAATATCGCAGACAAAGAATTCCTCTGAAAGGTAGCGAACTCGAGCGTGAAAAGGTTTCACCTCAGAAGCATCCTTAGCCTCGAATGAGATGCAAAAGGTAAATCCCGCCGAAGGATGGAAATTAGCCCTCAGAGCTCTCGCAAATTCAAGATTTGTTCCCTACGGACAACGAACCAAAACGTAGTATTAAGACTTGAGAAACAACAACAACAAAAGGACATAAGCTAGTAGATAATTTATCAACAAACAAAATTACCTTATCATGATTGTATTTCTTAAGAGCGGCCTTGCACATGTGCCCGACAAAGTCTTCGTCGGTTTCTGGTTCTTCAGCGAAGGTAGAATCATTGAAGTTAACAGGATTGAAATCCTTATATCGTCCTATTCTCGTGAAGTCAAAATCGTAGTCCTTCAAAATAAGAATATCTATAAATATATATAACTTTAAGCAAAGATTTTCGAAACAAAACTCACAAAAGAATAAAAATCATTATTACGTACCCCACTTCTTTCGTATTCAGCATCCCACATTCGAACATCATTCTCGTCGTAATCTTCGCTTGACGACGACGAGTTGTCATCTTCGAATATCTCATCTCCCTCCAACTTCTGACGCTTTGAGTCAGAAACCTGAGGTATTCTTTCTACGACCGGCGAATCCATAATGGAATGCAGAGAACTCCGTATCAATGGAACGCAAACCCTAATTTGTTTTCTTTTCCTTTACTCAAAAACGTTAAAATAACTGTCTTTTGACACACACACACACACACAATTTTAAGTTTTAACAATTTCATTAGCCAAATAAATCATCAACTAATTTATAATTTTACGTTGGGCTGGCCGAATTTATATAGATTTGGACAAACTTAACATTTTATAACGAAATATCGAGTTTGACTATCATTATGTCTAATTTAGCCCATTCAAAAACATTGATTTTACCTAAACGAAAAACTTGTACCCACATCAGTAATATGTGTAACTTAGAGATCAAGAACTAACAATTAGAACACTAGTGAGTTTATGCTAATCATCAAAGTAAATAATATGTGATGGATATGAACGGAAAGCATGTACAGTCATTTAAAAGTATGTTAACTAACAACATTTATAAGCGATAAGCTAGGTTTTGATCAATATTGAACCCTGCTTTCTTAACATGTTCTTTGTTCTGATAATATAATGCGTTTAATTATACGCAAATAAAATGTTAAAAGCTTAAAGAAAAATATGGTCTCTTATTTATGATTTCACTAAATTTAAGAGTTATTTTAGCAAATATTTTTCAGTAGGAAAATGATGAACAGTCTTCTCCGTTAACTTTTAACGATTTTCCTTTTTGAAGGAAAAAAAAAAAGAGTAAGAAAAAGTTTAGTGAAATTTCGAGATCGAGCGCCGGAGAGTATTTTTGAACTAACTGTCGCGGCAAGGTGAGATCGAAGCAGATCTATCGCCGGAAACATCCACACCGTTTCGCATTGAGGTAGTTATCGCCGCCGTATTAATCTCGGCGGAAGGACTGTGCATCCAATGGTGAAGGCACTGCAAGGCGCGGCTCAGAATCTGCCGGCGGATGTCAACCAATTGATCGATCAGTTAGAGCGTCATTGCTTGGCTCCCGATGGATCTCTTGTTACTAAATCAGCTTACTACGATCTTCAACTCGTAATCTCTCTCTCTCTCAGTCTCTCTTTATCTCTTACGAGGATTGGGCTCAGATTCGTATCCTCAATTCTCTGATTCTCTTTGGTGTCTGAGGCTCGAGTTATTGTTTCAACATTGCAGGCGAGAGAGGAAATGTCTCGGGAGAGATTACGGTATCTGGAAGCTATGGTGAGTTATCTCTTCTTCGTCACCTTCATTTTCAGAATTTTTTTTTCAATCGTTTATGTAAGTTGGAAGGTGATTACTCCAAATTAGGGTTCTGGATTTTGTATTTCATGCTCAATTAGCTTCGGATGTGTACATTCATCAATGAGTTTCGCAGTGACAGTTTTTGTATGGACTAAAGGACACACTTTTCTTTTGTGCGTTTTTACAAATGTCAGGCTATCTATTGTGAAGCTGTGGCTATGGTGGAAGAATATCAGCAAGCTATTTCAGTGGCTAACCATGGAGGAATTCGGGATGTTCAGGGTCTTTATCCTCAACTTGGCTTGAAGAATTCTCCTCAGGTTCCCAATCTCAAAAACGTGCTTTTCTGGAATTCGATTTACGCGAGTTTTGATATCTCGAGATTGATTTATGAGAAATATTTTCAGGTGTACGAGACTCTAGAGCATAGGTTGGTGGTTGCTGAGGCAGCTCAAAAACTGAGGCTACCTCTTATTTCAGACGATGGTGAAATTCATGAGGAAGAGATTGAAAAGTGGAGTATACTGTCAAGAAGCTCGCTTGATAGTGCGAGCACGAGTTTTACAATAAGCTCCACTTCTAACTCGGTGAACTATGCGAATAGCTCTGCAAACAGCGTTGCTGGTGGAGCTAGTCTTAGTGCTGCTGATACTGACGGAGTTGGTGGTGTGCCGAATCGCTTTCTTGGAATAACACCTGCTTATTTATCATATGTCCAGCATCAAAACACTATGTCCATGGTACTGTGAGATCATCATTTTGTGCATGCATTTGTTGATTTTGTACCAATTCGTATGTTCTTATGAAAGATTGGGGGTATGTATATATGTGGCTCAGTGATTCTTTTTTTCTTGGTGGTAAATCTGCTTAGGATATGGCCGACTACCAGATGTTTCTTGCCCGTGAGATAGAAGGTCGATTGAAGGACAAGTGTGATAAGTTGGCTGATGCCATTGTTGATGACACTGGTAAGATCTTCATTACCAGCATACTCTGAGGGAGAGGTCTTTTGTTCCTGTCTAATGTAATACTGGCTTTAATATCAAGTTGCAGTGACACGTAATGACCATATGTTCATTCTTGTCTACATTATATGACAGATTCATCTACTGGAAATCAACATTCAAGTGCTAGGCTCCCAGAAAGGTAGCTTTATCACGTTTGTTTAACTATGGCTAAAAACTTGACTTCCTTATACCTGTTTAATTTGCTCACTGTAAAACCAAATTAATCTGATTTATGATTATATTGAAAACTGTTAGCAGCTCTTCTTTCTAGGGGAATATCATATAGATGTAGGTAATGTGTCGTACATGTATACACATGGTAGTTAAAGGCCAAGAAAGAAAAACCTTACTTAAGATATCAAAACAAGTGAGAAATAATCATGTTGGTCAGTCGTATTTTGCTTCTCTAAAATGTTTTCTTGAAGGTGCAGATGACTTTCTCACACTTACCCGTCCTCAATAACAATGTATTCTTGCATTTCCAGGGTTAAGTTTATAATCGAGGAGATTGAAAGAGAAGAGGCAGCTCTACGAGAGGACCTCTACTCAGCTGACAGGAAGTTTGCAGAATATTACAATGTAGGTGAAAAGGCATATCATAATGTGTTATTCAAAACCTGGTTATTGCAGGATATGAACTTTATAGATAGTATATCAATGTTAATGCCTATGAATTATCTTTGTAATCCTTAGTGCCAGTAAGTTCTGATGTCTTTTCATTTTTATACTGAACAAGGTCCTGGAACAAATTCTCGGGGTGCTTATAAAGCTTGTGAAGGATCTGAAGTTAGAACACCAGCACAAATATGTAAGCGGTTTCAGAGTTTCCCAATGAATTTAATTGCTGCCCTTGTTCACATTTTATTTACTATATATATCGTTACAGGACGAGATGCAGAAGACTTGGTTGTGTAAAAGGTGTGAGACCATGAACGCAAAATTAAGGTATCATCATCTCATCCCATAGTGTTTCTAGGATCTCAATGTTTTTAGAAGCTAATTCAGTAGTTAACATTTCTCTTTTTCTCTGCTTGAAGGGTTTTAGAACATGTTCTCCTCCTTGAGACATACACCCGTGAATCCATCCCAGCCCTGCACAGCATCAGGTGCGGAAATCAACTTCCAACACTGATTTCCATGCCATTTGTTTGATAAACTCTTGAATCTGTCTCTGGCTTATAATCCTTGTTGTATTTTTCCAGGAATTATCTAGTAGAGGCTACCGAGGAAGCTTCAGCTGCATACAACAAAGCGGTTTGTGTCTTATCCTCTCTTTCATTGCTCTTACTTAGCTTTGACCCCCTTTTTTCCTTTTCTTCATTTGATTATATATCATATAAATTAACTGAGCCTGTGAAAAAATTGACCAGGTTACGCGGCTCAGAGAATACCAAGGAGTAGATCCGCATTTCGATACAATTGCGAGACAGTACCATGACATTGTTAAGGTACACTATACTATTACTGAAATGAACAAAACACTGGTTATATCATTTTACCATGTGGATATGTGATTTGCTTTTACTTTGTGCGAATACAACAACACAAGGATAATAATGAGAGAGCTTCATTGTTTTGCAGAAACTGGAAAATATGCAATGGACAATCCATCAAGTAGAGATGGACCTTAAAGCGCATGCTTGATCACATATTTGTTTGTGTGAGCGGTTTTAGTTTTGTGAACATTCCCAATGTAAGCGGTTTTAGTTTTGTGACTACTATAAAACTTGTGAATACAGCTGAAATAGAGGAACTCATATCAAAAATTCAGAATGTTCCTTTTAATCATGGAGAAGGAACAATGTAGTCAACTTGTAGCGTCTTCAAAGGCTCTTTAATGCAAACAAATACTCCTTAAGGATATATATATATATATATAGGGTCAATAACAAATGACGACCAGTGACGTTTCCATGTCTTTCCTCCTATTTAGAGAAGTGTAAACAGAATGGGACCAAGATTGCAAATCATAATCATGTTTTAGGCTTGACATCGTAGACCCTTGTATCCAGTGGAATCCATCCAACCTTAGCGTGAAAAGGTATGGTGTCACTGGAAGAAGAAGGATCCTTAGCCTCAAATGTAATGGAGAAAATGTGTCCCCCTCCAAGACTCCAATTAGCCTTGACAGCTCTCACAAACTCAAGTTTTTTGTTCTGTACGTACATAAGTGAGACATTTGTGTGTATATACTATCATATAAGTATATAACAACAATCAAAATTAACAGGCATATATATACAATTACAAACCTCAGCATTATTGTATTTCTCAAGAGCAGCTCTTGATAATCGTGCCATCAACTCTCCGTCGGTTTCTGGTTCTGTGGCATAGTAGCTCTCCTCGAAGACAACAAGGTGAAACACCACTATGGCTCCTACTCTCGAGGCGTCAAAGTCGTAACTCTTTTTTTTTTTTTAGTCAAATTAAATTAAAAGATCACAAAAACATATTTAAGAGCAAGAAAGAGATAAATTGTAGATATTCGTTACCCCACTTCTCTTGTGTTCTTCTTCGAATAAACGAGAATCCTCCGAAGTGTAACCTAGCGAGTCTTCACTTGAGGAATAACCATTGCAAGAGGACGATGACGATGACGACGACGACATAGCATCGCAATTCTCCTCACCGATCTCCGACTTCTGACATTTTGGATCAGATTTCTTAACGACGACCACCTCCGGATCCATAACCAAATTAAGGAAAGGAAGATACTTTCGCCTTGAATGCGAAACCCTAATTTATTTGTTTTTTCTTCGCTCGTTATAGTGTTGTATATTTGGGCTTTGCGTAAAAACCCTAATACTTCTGGATTTTTCTATGTAAAACGTACACGTACCAAATAAAATGTTGTGTAATAATAAAAAAAAAAACATGTTAAATTGTTTTTTTGACCGCATTTATGATCGAAGATTTTCTATTGCCATTCTGGATTATTTGGATGCTTTGGAAATCACGGAATGAGATGATATTTCAGCAGAAAATTAGTCACCCCAATGATGATGCGGTTAAAGGGTTTACATGCAGTTTCAGAATGGATTGAAGCAAATCCATTGAAACAAGCGGAAAGATTGCAGCGTTCAGTTTCATCTCAATGGGAACCTCCACCTGACGATTTTATCAAATGTAATTTTGATTGTAGTTTTTCGCAGGAATCGAATGTCATGAAGGTTGGTTGGATTGTTAGAGACTCTCAGGGTTCCTTTTTGGAAGCGGGATGGGCAACATTACCACAGGTTAGCTCTCCACTCCAGGCAGAAGCAATGGCTTTCATCTATGTGGTTCAACGAATGTGGGTTTTGGGAAGGAGGAAAGTTTGGTTTGAAGGGGACAATTTGGTGCTCACAACGACTATAAATCAAGGCAAACAAAATGTGGAGTTGGGGAACTTACTATGGGACATTCGTCACTGGATAAGCAAACTGCCTCTTAGTTCATTGGGTTATGTCAACAGAGAGAAGAACCAAGCTGCTGATGCCTTAGCAAAACACAATCTCCATAATTGTTTAAACATTTATAAGGTTTACGTTTCACCACCTATTTGGTTGGTTAACTTCTTGTATTCTCCTTTCACAGTTTAAGCTAATATAAGCCGATGTTACAAAAAAAAAAAAGATTTTCTATTTTCTTACCCACCTATATGGAAACAGGTGGGAAAACCCTTATTTCGTATATATGTCAATAAATTAAGTTTACATAAAAATTGTTAAGTTTCTTTTGTCTAGAACAGAACCAAAAATGTCAAAAAAACTATTTCAGTTTAAGCCAATCAAGAAAACGAGAAACAAATAAGCAAAAGAAAAACAATTAACATAAGCAACCCTAAGTAGGTTACTTGACATTTTTCCCAGCTGTCTTAATTTCGCTTGTTTCCTTTTTTAATTACAATTGAATATATCAAGTAATTAATGAAAACGTTTGACCAAAATGTAAAAGAATGAATCCTCGTTACCAAAAAAGGAAATTTTGAAAAAAGGAAATTTTGAAACTAAATATCTTCCAACGGTGACTTATAGAAGTAACAAAAAATGAGAAAAGGAAAATGATTACTTGATAAATACTCATGCAACACAAACAACAACAACATTAAGAAACAAACATTGATTCTCTCCCACGATTTCCTCCTTCATATATATCTCTTTTGTTTCCTCTAATTTCGCCAATTGTATTTTTTTTCTTGCTTCCTACTTCCTCTTCAATCTCTATCTCTAATCACATGATGAATTCCTCTGTTGTTTTGCCAACACACATGGACGACACAAAATCTGATGAGACTTCAAGCTCAAGCGACTCTCTCTTACCTCTCAAGAAACGCATGAGGACTCTTGACGACTCATCCGAAGATGACCTAGTTGCTGTTCCTACAAAGAAGGTTGCGTTTCCAGGCAAAGCAAAATACAAAGGTGTGGTTCAACAACAGAATGGTCATTGGGGTGCTCAGATATACGCAGACCAAAGAGGATTTGGCTCGGCACTTTCAAATCCGATGCTGAAGCCGCCGCCGCTTACGATAGCGCCTCCATCAAGCTACGAAGATTTGACGCTAACTCGCACCGGAACTTCCCTTTGTCTGCGTACACAGTCCACGAACCTGACTTTCAAGAACGACTCACGACAGAAGCTGTGTTGACCATGATCAGAGACGGTTCTTACCAACACAAGTTCAGAGATTTTCTGAGGATCCGGTCTGAGATGGTCGCCAACATCAACATGGTGGGCTCAAACCAGAGCCGTGGGTATGAAGAATCTTCGAACAAGTTTTTCTCTCGCACGCAGCTTTTTCAGAAAAAACTGACACCAAGCGATGTAGGGAAACTCAACAGGCTTGTGATACATAAGAAGGACGCAGTGAAGTATTTACCTTTAAGAAGCGATGAACAAAACGAGAGAGAAGAAGGCGAGATAGGAGGAGCTGGGGAAGATGTTGAGATTGTGTTGTACGACAGAACAATGAGACAATGGAAGTTTAGGTATTGTTACTGGAGAAGTAGCCAGAGCTTTGTCTTCACCAGAGGATGGAATGGTTTCGTCAAGGAGAAGAATCTCAAGGAAAACGATGTTATTGTCTTTTACGCTTGCAGTGTTCCCAGCAATGTCAAGACATTAGAGGGTCAAAGCAATAACTTTTTGATGATTGATGTTCATTGCTTTTCAGACAACGGTTTTGTGGTCCCTGAGGAAGTAAACGAGACTGTTCTTCATAACAATTGTGTGGAAGAAATAAAAACAGAAAATTTCTTTAAAACCAAGTTAGAAGATGAAGAAACCAAAGTAGCTGAGAAGAAAGGTGGGTTTATGCTGTTTGGTGTAAGAATCCAATAGCTACTTTTGTTCTTAGGGATTAGTATTTTTTGAAAGCTCGATTGGAGTTTAAATTTTTGTTTTGATTTCATATTTGTATTGTTTTGAATTGCAGTAACTAATATATAATTATCAATACCACACTGATTCGGTTGGAACACTCTTTAAATCAAACCATTAGTGTTTTTAACCTCATAGCTAATTTTTGTTTTTAATAATAAAACAAAACACAAAGAGAGATAAACTTCTCCAACCATCAACCAAATCTCAACTCTTAAACTCTGTTTAAGTCTATCTTTGTAAACGGATTGTTTTTGGCAATTTGATAAAACGAGGAAGGTCTTTCTTGGGAGGTAAGGCTGGCTCCACCGAGACCACATTGCTTGATTTATGTATAAAAATCAGTATGTGTATTTGTGCTTGCGCATATGCATAATTGTATATCAATCAGTTTATGTATTTGCGGAGCCAACATCATGGAAAAGAAACTGACTAGAAAATAAACGTGACATGAAATGATTAGATGATTAGGTTAGTCATTCATCATCACTAGCCTCATAATTATAGCGTCCACGAATCCAATTATAGCGTTACACATAGAGATCTCTGGCGGGCCGGCTCAAGCCCAAATAGAACTTTGGTTATCCAAGCCCGACCCGTCAAACGTTTTTTTACAGAAGAAATTCTCTTGTTTCTTGCGTCACATTTTCATCTCTTAGATAATCAGTAAGTGATGATGACTTGGCCGTTCTTCGACATTGTGTATAGAATCTTGAAATTGCAAAAATCAAACATGTCGTTGACCTCTCTGCAATCACTTAAATGTTTAACGACATGTTATATTATTTGATTTTTGCAATAGGTAAACCATCCCATCAAAAACATTGAAGTTCTGGTACATATATGTACCACAACTTATATGTTTTTGGTGGGATTGGTTACCTATTCTTTACTTGAGGCGCAAGTTGAAAATCTTGACACAGAAAAATAGAAGAGACAAGGAAAATCCCGACTCTTAACTGAATCCGGAACACTAGCTACGAGATTCGCGTTTTCCGCCACTTGAGAGAGTTGAGAATCTATTTTTAGACAAATTTGTACACTTATTTTTTGTTCTGACCATTCAAGTCATCAAGTGGATTACATTTTTTAAGTTTTCTTCTTTTTCTTAAAGAGTTTGGCCGATTGTTTAGTTTTCTTATAAATATTTCTGTTAGCTTACGTTTATAGAGTGCACATACAGTAAAATCTCATGAATGTTCAATCCTGATAATGGAAATAGGTTGAGATACTAATAAAATGGAAGGAATCATTGTGAGAAGAGTTATACCATCAGACAACAGTTGTCTCTTCAATGCAATCGGGTAATCAAGCTTCTGAATCAAGAACAAGTTTTTAGTTAAAAAATGTTGATTGAGGGAGGCTTGGTGTTTAAAAGGTTTCTCTTTTACAGTTATGTCATGGACAAGGACCAAAAGAAAGCTCCTGAGCTTAGACAGGTTTCTTCATCTATCTTTCACCTCTAGATTCCATTCAAATGTTTAGCTTCTCCAGCTTCTTGAGGTATACAAGACATTAGCTTTGTGTTGTTGTTGTTGTTATGGTAAGGTGATAGCTGCAGCAGTTGCAAGCAACAAGGAGAAATATAACGAAGCGTTTCTAGGGAAAGAAAATGAAGAATACTGTGCTTGGATTCTCAATCCGGATAAATGGGGAGGTATATATATATTTGACATGAACTTAGTTATAATTGAATGGTTCATCATTTTGTAATGATTAAGTGTCTTTTTGATATGGAATAGGTGCGATTGAGCTTTCGATATTAGCAGATTACTATGGTCGAGAAATCGGTGCGTACGATATTCAAACTAGTCGGTGTGACTTGTATGGACAGGTAATCGTAAAACTTTGAAGCATTCAAATTATGAAAGGAAACAAGAACTCTTAAAAAGTAATTGAATTCGCAGACGAAGAACTACAACGAGAGAGTTATGTTGATCTATGACGGTCTTCACTATGATGCTCTTGCTGTAAGTTCTTGAATTCTCTCTCCATTGGAAAGAAAAGTTAACTTGATAACGAAAACTGATTGCTTGATTGTTATTTCTTTTCTTCAGCTGTCTCCATTTGAAGGAGCTGAGGAAGACTTTGATATGACTATATTTCCGGTTGGGAAAGATAGATCCATTGGTGCAATCGAAGGGCTTGTTTTGAATCTAGTGAAGGACCAACAAAGGTTAATATGATATTCAAGTGTTTGCCGTAGTTTTGTTGAAGTGTGGATTAAGGAAACAAGAATAAGCGTTGTGATTTTGGTTTCTCTCTTTTCAGGAAAAGGAGTTATACAGATACTGCAAACTTCACTCTGCGTTGCGGTGTATGCCAAATTGGAGTTATTGGACAAAAGGTCATTTGCTTTGTCCCTTTCTGAATTCTTGATTAGGTGCTTCATTTTGATCATAGAGCTTGATTGTGAAATGTATAATATATTTGACATTGAAACAGGAAGCTGTGGAACATGCTCAAGCAACTGGTCATGTTAACTTTCAAGAATACAAATAAGAGAGAATGATTGTTTTGATGATTCTTTGATACGGTTCCAAGAAAAGAGAAAGTTAAAATACAAATTCTGTGATGTTCTTTAATTTTATTTTCTCTTGTCAACAAACTCAAAATCACTCTGTTGTACAATTATCTTTTGTTGTTGTTGTCTCACCAATAATGGCATGAAAAATTTGAACCTCTTTTGTCTTCGTTATTTCTATGTAAAATCAAAATTCGACTATATAGGAGGAACATAATATTAGTGCTTTCTTTATCATGTTGTAATTGTCTAACCAAAACAAGCTCTTGTGGTATCAAAATATCACAGAGCCAACAATAACCAAAATGGCTCTGGAAGCTAATAAGTAATAACTATATGATGATTATTATATAAATTGATGAATAAGTTTCTAAGGAACAACATCTCTCTTACTCTGCTAAAGGTTTTTGCTTTCTTCCATAATGATGAGAACACAATATTAGAGTACACATTGCTAATGACCAAATGGCATAACATAATCTAAGCTCCTCTCTGGCTCCGACTGCTTCACCGGAACATTATTACTTCATACAGAATCACAGTCCGGTGAGAGTTGAAGACAACATAATGCAGTGACCTGGGTTTTTTCCATATCTGGTTCAGCTGTGACCGGAACCGGTTTGGCTCCTAAATCTTCTGCTTCAGGACATGCTTCAACTGAACTTTTTGGCTTTCGATTCTTGCTTCGATGAGTTTCGCCTTCAAGCTATGCTTCTGTGCACCTCTAGGCCATTCTATGCATCCTTTCATTCCTCCTCTGTTCACGTGAGAGTGATTCGCCGAATCCGGCGACGAGCTCCATTGTCCGACCAAATCCATCATCGGGCTGAAACCGCCTTTGCTCGAGCCTCTCTCCGGCGAAACCATCCCCACGCTTGATTTCCTTCCGTTTGAAACCCTTCCTCCTTCCATTGATATTACTTTGAAGCTGTTGTCTCTATCCCCATTATTGTTTGTGGCACCTGATGATCTCCATAGCTTTGCTATTGATGAAACCTTTTTCGATGACCGTCTTGGAACCGAACACACTTCGCTTATCTCTGTAGTTGGAGTCATCGTCTCTTCCCAGCCTTTGCCTAAGAACTCTGTACCACCACTCGAGGCGTTGCTGTCTCGTTGGTGGTGATTGTTGTTGTTCACAGAAGGAATGCTTCCATCTGGTGAGTAACTAGATCCTTGTTCTTCGAGGTGGCTCACTGTTTCCCAACCGCTGTCGTCTTCTTCGATGTCTCCGTTCTGGTGAGTGTAAGCATCTGAATGTCTCCCTTTCTTGTTGTTCAGATTCACGTCTGGAGTCACGGTGTGAAGTTTAGAACCGTGGCTGATTGGACTGTAGGCAACAGATTTCTCCATTTCTCTATCGTGTCCTTCACCGAGATTCATTTCTTCGAACACCGAGAAGATATCATCCGGATTCGCAGGCTCGTATGTAAATTCCTTGATTTCTTGGATGTTAACTGATGCAGCGCTCTCTCTTAACAACTCTGCTTCTCTCACTTCTTTGACATCTGTGACGATATCTCTTGACCTAAGAAAAGATTCCAAATCTGCTAAAAGCTTGTTCATTTGTGAGTACCTTTCCTCTAGTGCTACTTTGGCGTCAATAAGCTTCATCTGAACACGTTCCTCACGCCAGACCTCAGCCATCTGCAGCATTCTTCTTTCATCGTCTACTTCTTCCCTGAGGCTCATGGAGTCTCTCTTCATTGCTTCAATCTCAGCTTTGTCTTCTCCTATTTCCTTGGCAAGTTCATCGCAAACCTCCTCGATCAATTCTCTTGCCTTCCTTTCCTTTTCAAAGTCCTGCATGTAACGCTTCACGGCCAACTTCGAATCTGCAAGCTCGTTGACTAATTTATGGTTGACGATTTCTAATCTCTGACGGGTTTTCTTCTCCCTGTTCATATCAGCTTTCATGTCATCAATGATTGCTCGGACCTTCTCATGCTCTCTGCTCCGCCAAGCAGCCCTCTCTTCACTAACTTTCCTCAAGAACTGCTCCAGCTTCTTCTTGTGAGATCGCTTCTCACTCTCCAGCTCTTCAATGCGAGCATGTGCTTCCTCCAGCTCTGCTTCAAGGGAAGAAACCAATGACACAGCATTCACTTTTTCATCAATACGCTTCATGTTGCTATAAATCTGGTGTACTTCATCCATTGTATCCATGCAGACAGGATCCCATTTTGTCGCTCCCTCCATCGCAGAGTGGGGAAATGGCATTGAAGGCTCAATCTAACAAGAAAACAATGAAAGACTTGAGGTCAAGAAACCATAACGAATTTTTATAGCCCAAAAGAAGAAATGTACAGTTTGTCCATGCGTTACAGTATCCAAATCAACAGTTATATTAAGACTTTGCACGTTATATCATACTCATTGCCTAAAAAGGTATGACTGACAAAGGGCCTCACAAACTTAGCTAAGAATCAACTAGAGCTCTCAGATTCACAATCTCAATCTCATTTAAGTTCTTCCTTTATGCAGCCTGAACTAAAGATATAAGGAACAAAAATTCCGAAACTCTTCAATAATACTTCATTCAAGTATCTTATACCTAGCTCTAAGTCTTTAGAAGAGTAGATTAGATAACGGATTCATGATTTCCGAAACAGTTCTGTCAAATGTTACATACATCTATATGTTTAGCTAACATCACATACACCAAGAAGATTGAGAAGAACCAACACACCTTACACAAAAATCCATTCTTTGTAGTAGCAATAGTGCTAGGGTTCTGCCTTGTCTTATTGCTTTGACCGCCAGCAGGTTTGTCACTGTGGTGATACAGAAATGGAACACCCATGTAACCAGCACCTCCCTGCAGGAGAAAAAAAACAACAAGATAGCTTCAAACAGAGAGCTAATGAACATAAATTTCTTTCTTCATCAGATCTTCACTAAGCATTAGGAAACACTCAAAGAGTCTTCTGATTGCATTAATGTTGATCATTATGAATCTGAACAAAATATGCGAAATGGCTGTTAATCATTGTTACATATGTAGGCTTAATGATGATCATCATGATATGAAAAAGAAATTGATAATGCAAGCAAAGAGGAAAAGATTTCATAAACTTGAACTTCAAAGTTAAGCAATCACCAAACTGAGTAATAAGCTGAGATGATTTAATACTTAACAACCTCATTATCACAATGCAAATCCTAGATATGTAGATGAGAGCATCGTTTTCAATTCCTTAGATAAAATCCAACCAATTGGATCTGAAAATCGGAAAATTCCAAAAATAAAATTGTACCTGAAACCCTAACCCCTCTTTCCCCTTTCTCTCTCCGCCGCTGGAAGCTGCGTCCGGAACTTGCAACCTCCATAGCCCGGCGGCAAGTTTCCTAACAGAGACAGGTCGCGATGGTTTCCTCCGATCCTTGCGGCGCGGAGTCTCTCTCTCAACCTGGTTATTACATCCAGCATCCTCGTAATCATCGTCCTCTGCGACGCCGCTTCTATCCTTATTCCGATCCTCGACCTTCCATTTCAGAAGAGGAGTCTCCGGCCGGCTTCTCCTCCCGCCAGGAGCGCCGGATCTTCGCTGACGAGTCAAACTCGGGTTCCGTGCTCTACGTTTAGTGACTGTGGTAGCTCTTTGTATAGCCCTGAGATCTGGACCGTTAGTGAACAGATTCGCCTCCGACTCCGAGGCCGGTAATGTCGCCGTCGGATACGGCTTTCCGGTGACCTTCATCTGTTCTCCCACTTAATCACCGCCATAAACAAGGTTTTTCCGACGTGAAGAACCAACCAAAATCTCGGAGAAGGAGAAACGAAAAAGCTCGAGAATCACTGACGAAAATGCGTGACACGATAAAGAGAGAGAGAGAGAGCTTGAGTTCGTGAATAAGCAAAATCGCTTTGTTGGGTGAGTCTTGTGACTGAAACGAGAGAGAGAGAGAGAGAGAGAGAGAGAGACGTATATTTTGCAAAACCCATGCGTATTGGTCAACGGTTTAAGACTTAAACGACGTCGTATCTTCTGATATAGTGGTATATACGCGCGTTGTAGCGCGTGTGGAGCGTCTCCCTAAATTACATGGTGGTGCGTGTTGCAGAGAGACGTTGGGAATATATGATTAAAACAAATATTTGTTTTTTTTTCTAAACAATAAATTATGGATGTACGTATTTGTAATAGAAAAAAACCGTATGTATAAATATTTCAGTGTAGTTTATTGTAAAATGTTAACTTATCTTGTTAAAAAATCTATATAAAAAACACATTTCTTGAACATGAACATGCAATGCATAAGCACAAGTGCTCAAGTCAATTAGATCTGAATTACTTTGATGAAGGTAGCTACTATATAAAAAGCTTGTGACTAGGAAACAAAAAAAGAGACGACGAAGACATCAAAGGGTATCCTAAGTGAAAATGTCGGCTCATCGGATTCATCAGCCTCCACATGATCTATAAACAACACGACGGTTGTTTCTTTTGAATTTGTTTAAACGTTAAATCTAAATAACACGCAGTAGATATCATGCATCACCTTATGTGGAATCTTTTAGACATATTTGTCAAAATAATGTATTTTTCATAGGGAAAATTGGAAATTAGATTTTCGTAATTGAAAACTTTGGTCAATAAGTACAAATTGAGACTCAAAATAGTGTTTAGTGAGCTTAGAAAATGGGTTGAAAGAAATAGAGGTTTTCATCAAAGCGAGAATATTCAATGAAACGGAATAAGACCAAAAAAAGCTATGCACGTTCGATTGCCCACCGAATTTTTAACTAAAGATTATACTATGCCTTTCGTATCTATTAGTAGTACTATGATAATGAATTTTTATATGAACATGGAAAAATTAGTAGATTAGTGGGTCAGCCTCGTTAAACGTGCCATTTTTGTGGTCTTCCCATGCTATTCCTTGTTCTTGATGTTTCGTTAATTTTTATAATTGTTTCATTATTTCTTGTTTTGTTTTTCTTTCAACCCTATCCATGTTGTAGAATATAGGTAGGAGAGATTCGTCCATTGAGAAACGAACCTGTTTTACGATTTGGAAAATTGTTCGGCTTAGACTTTTTGTCATGGGTATCGCTGATCGGTTTATTGGACCTTAACAACTTGGTATGATAAAGATGATTTCCAGACTTCAGAGAGACAAAAGAGACCATTTTCCTTATAATTCTTCAATTTGTTCCTCAATGTCATTACAGATCAAAATCATTTGTCAGTTCATTCGCAAACAGTACCATTGACTTGTCACAATCTGAATAAGCATACAAGTTACATATTAAATGTTTACCACCTAATTATGTATCACATTAAATCCACTGTTTGGTCAATTTTAAACCGATAACAGCTAACTAAATTAGTTGATTATTCCATCAAGTCTCGAATCAGTTAACTTGGCAAAACAATTTACTTCTTTCTTTTAAATCTTGTCACGAGTCTATTCACAGAATGAACAAGAAAATACTTCCCAATTCCTATCTACCCATCTCAGAAACAAGCCTTTTACGCTACGGGCCTTGTGGCCCAATTATAGTTTACTTCAATGCAGCCACACTCTTTGAGTCTTTTCTATCATCATCATCTATCAATTATTAGGGACTCATTTCTGTTTATTATCGTTTTTTTTTTTTAATTTGATATAAACATATATGTGGTCACATCATATGCCATCATTTAGGACAGACCAAAGTAGAAAGAAAAAAAAATTTACCCCAAATATTTTCTTAACAACTTTTGTAACCCCCAAAGAAAATAAACCTTAGCAAAATTCATGTGGGTTTTGTAAACCCACTTTTGTTTTTCCAACTACGTTGCCATGTGATACCCTTTTCTTTTCGTCACACAAATTATTGTAAATGTACTCCTCGCGGTCCAAAACATAAAATTGATTATAGAAATAACAAAACTAAAAGAGTAGTTGCATAAAAAGAGATGAACGTAACATGCATTATAAAACATCAATCATCATCCATGCAAGAAAAACATGAGCACTCCCTTAATCTTTCTCTCTCTTCATACCTATATAAATCGTTCATTAATTACACATCTCAATCAGTGATCCAACTAATCAATCCCATCACAATATGATCATCATCACCAAGTTATCAATTTATGTCTTGTTCTTCGTCCTCGTAAACTCTCTTCTTCTTCTTCAAGTTATTGGTCACAGCTATGACCAGCTGAACACAACTTCTTCATGGCTCAAGAACCACACCAAATCGCCTACAATGTCAAATTGGGGTAGGTCAAAGCCACCGATGTGTAAACCGCGGGTTTGCAAAGAGGGCGGACCACCAATGGCTCGAATGAGATGTTGTCGCAACCAATGCGTTGATGTCTTGTCCGATCCAAACCATTGCCGGTTCTGTTTCAAGAAATGTCGGTTCGCATTGTCTTGCTGCGACGGAGATTGCGTTGACACGAATAACGATCCGTCTAATTGCGGACAGTGCGGGAACAAGTGTGATTCCGGCGCGCCTTGTGAGTTTGGTATGTGTGGCTATGCAGATCCGTCGTCAAAACCCCGAAAACGTAAACGCCATCCTAAGTTCCACCGGCCACGTCCTCCTCCTTCTCCTGATAGTAAACATTAGAGAATGATGATCGTGATGATGAATAAAAAACGTAATGTGGTGAGATACTGAGGTCGAGTGTTTGAGTTTATCTATAATTGTTCTTCTTCGTTGTTTCATCTTCGTGTGTTTTCAGAGTTCATTTTTTCGATGAATTTTATTTTGTAATAACGTTAAATTTGGTTTATTTGAGTATATGCATGAGTCGTTTGTACGTGTTTAGGGTTAATCGTGTTATGTATGCATGGTGTCCTTTGTAATGTTATATGGTCGCTGTATAAGTGCGATATCAATTAGATCAAAGTGTTTGATCTGAATCTTTGGTATGGTTAGATTTAATTTGTCTTTTTGTTTTTGGTTTTTTTTTCTTCTGATTTGATAAAAACAATAACCCATATGCATTCAATCTTTATTATATTATTAATTGAGAAGTACATTAATGTTTGGATACAAGAATTAGATAAACATCTATTTGATAGAAGAATAAATGGAAAAAAAGTTTTGGATATAAGAATAAGAGAAAAATCTATTTGGATAGAAGAATAAATGGAAAAAAATTGTTTGGATACAAGAATAATAACTTAAAACAAACCAATGGTTTAGAAAACTTCCATTTTCCAGCTATTAAATCTGCAAAAAAAGAAAAATTAACATAAATCTATCAATAATACCAAATAAGTAGAATATGATCGAATGATATTTGCAAAATTTCCAATAGTGAAATAGAAATACGTCTAATTTAAGTCAATTGTGGATTTCTGTTCGGGTTTTATTGAAAATTTATGTTCGGTTTGGGTTCGAGTTTTTTTTTTGTTTAATTCAAGGTTTTCGGGTTTAGACATATTAAAAAAGTTTAGGTATATTAAAATTTTTATTAGGGTTTTAAGGTCAGGTTGGGGTGAAAACGTTTTGAGTTGTTTTTTTATTCGGTTCAGGGTTTCGGGATTTTTTGGATTTCGCGTTTTCGGGTTTAAACATATTAAAAAGGTTTGAGTTTTTTAAAATTTTGAATAAGGTTTTTGGGTCGGGCTCGAGTTCAAGATTTAGATTTTCTTCACAAAACCGCAACGTTACACCGCGCGTTTGCGCGGGTCCTCTACTAGTTATTATGTATTCGGTATAATTTATGCTTTTCGATTAAATATAATTTATCAATTTACTAAAGAATTTAAATTTCATTTTCAGATTTTTCGATTTGGTTTTCTTTTTGGATTTGTAAAACGTAAAACCACTTTAACTAACATTGTTTACAATCTATACTATATAAAAGTTGAGGCTATAAGCCTCTGAGAGCGTCCACATAGGATTAAAAGACGCGATTTTATTGGTCCACATAAGCATCTCCAAAATTAAGTAATTTTCAATTTTATACAACCAATAGTTTCATTCCACATCATCATATAATTTTAATTATAGTATTTGTAAAATTAATTGATTTCCTTTTTATATTTTCAGAAAATTTCCTAATTTAAGGGCATTATTTATTTTCGTATTAACTAATTTATTAAATAAGGAAATTATATTTTCAAATACCAATGAAAAGAAACTAATATATAAACAATTTTTAAATTTGTAATATTATTTTTTTAATAATCTAATATATAACTGATTTTAAATTAAGAAACCTCACAGTTCCAAAATAATTAAACAAAGTGCTTCGATTTTTGTTAAAACTTAAATTCGATTTAGTAATATATTTGAAAGATTTATACAAAAATATTTTAAGAGAATATAAAAGTTGAGGCTATAAGCCTCTAAAAGTGTCCACATAAGATTTAAAGACGCGATTTAATTGGTCCACATTAACATCTCCAAAATTAAGTAATTTTTCCAATTTTAAACAATCAATAGTTTCATTCCACATCATCATATAAATTTAATTACAGTCTTTGTAAAATTAATTGATTTCCTTTTTATATTTTCAGATAATTTCCGAATTTAAGGGAATTATTTATTTTCGTATTAAATAATTTATTAAATAAAGAAATTATATTTTCTAAACCAATAAAAAGAAACTAATATATAAACGATTTTGTAAATTTGTAATATTAATTTTTTAGTAACTCTAATATATAACCGATTTTAAATTATTAAACTTCAAAATTCCAAAATAATTAAATAAAGTGCTTCAATTTTTGTTAAAATAGTAACTATATTTGAAAGATTTATACAAAAATATTTTAAGGGAACTACTATATTAATCATGAAAAATTATATGGTGAGTTTTCTTTTTTAGCTAACTTAAAAAAAAAAAAACAAAAAGAGAAAGTTACACCCTAATAAGTAATAACTGAAAGATTTGTTCAAAGTAAATATAGCCAACTTTGCAAGTGAGTGGATATTAACATTACATAATCTAGATATGAAATAATAAAAAAAGATAAAAAATAATAATAATAAAGACGGCTAATGTCATGAAGAAGACATTTAAATTCATGTGTAGTTCCTTTGAGATGATAAGAGAGATCAAGTTTTGCGAGATCCAACTTACATTGGGAAAAGAAAAATATGCATATAGCCCACTAAATTACACTTTATTTATCACAAGAATTTCAACAATATTGGTCAAACAAGTAAAGACTAGACTTGCATTGCAAAGGAGAGTTCTTGGGAGATTTGATAATCCATCTCATACTACATTTGTCCAAGGAAACATTCCAAGTTGCATTATCACAACAAGATTTTCCATTTCAGATTATTATGCATGCCAAATAGAGAGGGTAAAGAGAGTCTGCTTTCTTAGCTGAACTTCAGGCATCACTCATTCATGGGCAATTGGGCATTATTCACAACTTTAAAGAGGATTTTATCTTTATGTAAATCACAATATTCAAATAGGAAAAGTTTATGGGCATTCTACAAATGCAAAAAAATCCAAAGGTAGAGAGGAGTAGATAATAAAACTATTGGAGACAGAGTAGTCATCTTTTTTGCACCTTGAAGAAGTTTCAATGAAAGGTGTTCGCTTGCCGCAACTTCGTTGAAAAAAAGACTGAATCACAAATTCATATTATAAAATACCATATGAAGAAGATATGGAATAAGAACAATAAGAAGATAAAAATAAAGAACATCGAAGACGAAGATACCAAAATAGAAAGACAAAAAAAAAAAAACCAAAGAAGAATAAAGTAGAAGATGGAAACACCGAATCTGAAACCACGTAGATGAAATTGATATATAAGGAATCAAATAAGAACAGAGGAGAATAAACCAAACAAGAACGAAAAAGAAGAAGCAAGACGAGCAAATACGAAGAAGATCAAAGTAGATGATGAGTGTAGATGAGTGAATATAAGTGAAGATGAAGAAAAAACGAAGTAATTAGTATACTTACACTTCTACGGAGAAGATTTGATAATCCATCTCATACCACATTTGTCTAAAGAAGAAGCAAGACGAGCAAATACGAAGAAGATCAAAGTAGATGATGAGTGTGGATGAGTGAATATAAGTGAAGAGGAAGAAAAAACGAAGTAATTAGTATACTTGCACTTCTACGGAGCAGATGAGAGTTCAAGGGAGATTTGATAATCCATATCATACCACATTTTTCTAAGAAAATATTCCAAGTTGCATTACAAAAACAATATACCACATTTTTATCGAAGACGAAGATACCAAAGTAGAAAGAAAAAAAAAGACCCAAAAAATAACAAAGTTGAAGATGGAAACACCGAATAAGAAACCACGAAGATGAAACTGAAAATTAAGAATTAATCAAAGAAGAAAGGAGGAGAAGAAACCAAAAGAGGAAGCAAGACGAGCGAAGACGAAGAATAGCAAAGAAGATGAGTGAAGAAGACCAAAAAAACGAATAAGAATAAATAAAAAGAAAAAGAAGCTACCAATTTAGAACAAAGACGACAAGCCAAATTATAAGGTTTTTTTTTTCACAAGTTTCTAATACGGTTCATTTAAAAACAATGTTGGTTCAGGCTGATTATGTTGTCATAATATTGAAAAAGAAAAGTTTGGGATCTATTCTTATGTCGAATTTTATGAAGCAATTGACAAAACATATAAATATTAAGAAAGGTGAGAATAGAGCTATTGTATGTTTTTTACAGAACATACGTTTTTAAAAAGTACCTTATTTATTATGATTAATTATAAAATAATTAAATTGGTAAAGTAAAAAAATAATTAAAAAGTATATTACAAAGATAAGTTTATAAAAAAACAGCAAAAAATAAAAATTTGTGAAGCTTTGGAAGAAAATAAATTTAAATATAACAATTTAAAAAATCATTAGAATAGATCCGTGCGTGCGCGGGTTAAAAACCTAGTTATATATATGGACTCGGTCGTTTGTAATGTTACATGGTCTGATGGTCGGTCCAAAATTGTTTTGGTTTGATTTCAATTGAATTTTGGTTTTTCTTTGGTTGATTTACATTTACTAAGTATAGTAACCATTCTACAACCGAAACTGTTACGTCTTCATCTAGGCTCCATAACACAGCTATGAGTCTAATTAACCAGCTGCATTTTAGATGGGGGAATATTAAACTAAATTCAAGTCCAGTAAAATTTATATGGATCAACGACAAGGAAACAACGAAAATTAATCTTGAACTGATTATCACATTCCCATCCCTCGAAAGTTTATTGTACGTCACGCATAAAGCTTTCGCAAACGCCATTCTTTGGAAACAAATGAAGACCTCGAATGTAAGAAACTTTATGTGTTTCTTTAAAATTTTGGACACCTAATTTTTTTTTTCTTTCTCTTACACAACATTGGACACCTAGAATTTAGATGGGAGGATTTAGTTCAAATAGGATAGCAGGCAATGGAGTGTTATGCGAACAAATCTCATTGAAATTATATAAAATTATATATATTGTAACTCATCTTCCATTGAGATAATTGATTCTTTCTTTGTGTGTTTTAACTTTTAACTTTGAAAAAACAAAAAAAAATCTGTTTGACCACTTTAAGAGTCCCTTTCATGAACTACTAAGTTTGATGTGTGTATGAGCACATTATCTTTCAATGTTTTAATTTTACTAACTAGACTTTAGTTTGGTGGTGTATCCACAGTCTAGCTTATAGCATGTGACAAATTTTAATAGGTTTTTGTTTATAAATGTTTTAAAACAGTCCATAGATTTTGATGGTTATGGATAAAATCCAAAGGAATACTATAAGTTTTCTGCTTCATATTAGAAAAAATGATTTTCTCAACACATATTTATCTATGGGTGAGTGTGGGCTTAGAAGATAAACATGTGTTTAAAGATGTTTTTGGTTTAAACGAAAAAGTGAGTGTTTTCTTTTTTAACAATTGACCAAAGATTTGCGGTCTTCGTTCTTGATCAAGATAACTACTGATATATAATACATGTAGCGGTTTTGCGACAAGTTTTTGTTCCTAACGATAATGCTAATGCGGATCCAACATTACTAACATAATAGTGTTTTTTCGTTTAGTTTCTAACTGGTTGTGCAATAACTGCATTATACAGTAGTTTTGACTGGGGAAAACAATATATATACAGTATACACACAAAGTTTGCATAAACATGTTGTTCTTTGTTCTTTTGTGTTTGGCTCTTCGAGTTGAATTGTCTCGGGTCTCCTTGATATATGAGTTTTCTTTGAAGTTAATGTATTGAAATTGTTTATTATATTAGAGATGGGAAATAAAAGTTGAGGAGGAGATGTCATTAGGCGAGAATGAAAAAGCGTGGAAGGAGCAAACTGAATCAAAAAAACTGTGTCCCACTTTTTCACCACTCGTTAACGCGTCTCGTCTCAACAATCAACAATTTTATTATTAGCTTTTTAAAAAATGAAGTCACGTAACAAAAACAGATAAATATCCTAGAGACAGAATCGAATCATTTACGTTTAGTTAACAACAAATTAAGTATTGTTAATAAATTTTTTAGGATGACGGAATGATTTCACGACTGATTAATAATGTAAATATTAATTTATGTTCACTGATTCGGTCACTAAATGACAACAAAATCCGGAAAATTCTAATTTGTTTCATTCTTTTTTACCATTTCATTTCACAATAATTTTTTTCTCCAATTCAATTCCCTGATTCTACAAACTACTAATCAAAACCTTTATTTGATTGCAAAATGTAAAATAGGATTGAATACTATAATTAGTTGCTTACAAATTGAAATTTTGTAAAATGTATGATTAGTATAAAGTTAGACTATTATGAAACAATTGTTGATTTTTTTTTTCATTAGGTGGCGTATAAAGAAAGAAGAGAAGAAATAAAATAGTGTATAAAAAAGATGGAGGAGAAGGTGGAGCAGTGAAGAGAGTGCAGAGAAGCAAGTGCCAATCTCTTTCCCTTGTCTCCTCCTCTTACCACACCTATCGAGACACCTCTCTCTCTCTCTCTATATAATCCTTTTTCTTTTCTCGAAAAATAAAATATACTGTATTAACTATTCTCCTTTTTTTCTTTCTAATCGATGCGTTTCGAATTTGAATTGCTAATTTGTTCTAACGAATTTGTACCAAAAAGTGTTCAAGGTGCACAAAGAAGATGAAACGTAGGACCTCTAATGTTTTACAACAAAAAATTAGAGTGGATGATCACATAGATAAACTAATCATTTTATTTTAGGATATCATATGTTGAATTTTCAAAATTGATTACGCGTAGGTTATAAAGAACCAAAAATAACTCAGTTTCTAATGTGATAGCTTATGTTTACGTATTAATTTCGTTACGAAATTTGAAAACTTAGTTATCAATGTTAAAAATTTAAGACTAAAAGCAAAAATTGGTTTTGAACTGGAACTCCATCAAAATTTTACAAATTCTTGCATTTTCAAACAATAACCTATTACAAGATTCGTATCCACAATTCGAGAAAACATGTATTTGGAGCTGACTTCAACGGTTCTATAATAATGCAAACTAATTCGTACAATTTACTCCTAGTTACTTCACAGTGTTCACACGCTAGGTTCGATAGCTATTGAGATTTTCACATTACATGTCTACTGATGGAGTTAGGTAAGGATATAGAGACTTCCTAAAGTATAAGTGAAAATTTTGAGTAGGTAAAAACAAAGCTTAGTCATGAATGTAGCACGAGAGACATTATAAATGCCCGAGAAGAAACATAATTAGACAAACAAAAAGCTAACCAATATGGTGCAAAAGAGAGGTCATAAGCCTACCTGGAACGCCTAACAAAATAAACCAAACTAGCACCACCACTTTGAGCAACTAACCAATTCATGAATCTCTCTCTCTCTACCGTTAAGATACAAAATCACACGTTTTAGAAATGCTTTATCCGTGCTAATGCTTCATAAAATCATACAAATTTCAAAACGGAACAAACAAAGAAAAAAACGAGGCAAAATGATAAGAAACCGAGTTTGGTCGGTCTTGTGGGGCGGGCGTGAAGGTAGAGAGAAAAAGGCAAAACAAAACCAAAACTATTCCAACCATTTTTTTTCTTACATTAACAAAATGAAAAACAAATATCAGAAAAACCAGTAATTTGAAAAAAAATATAAAAAATTTGAATTTAATAATAACAAGAAGAAAAAAGCTTTGTGTTGAAGAGAGAGTTCCCTATCCCCATTGCCCACCATCTCCTCTCATCTTCATCTTCTTCATCTTCTTCCTCCATCTTCCTTCATCTCTCAAAAACTCTCAAGATCCTTTCTCCATTAACATTTTCTTCTGGTCTTCTTCTACTTTTTTTAATCTCGGTATGAGGAGAGGTAGAGGCTCTTCCGCCGCCGCCGCCGGTGGACCGACCGCGGTTGCCGTCATCGCGAATCACAACGGATCTATCAAGGAGACGCGATTCAGAGGCGTGAGGAAGAGGCCTTGGGGTCGATTCGCAGCGGAGATCCGTGATCCTTGGAAGAAATCTCGTGTTTGGCTTGGTACTTTCGATTCCGCCGAGGAAGCCGCCCGCGCCTACGACGCCGCCGCCAGAAACCTCCGTGGACCCAAGGCCAAAACCAATTTCCCGATCGATTGCTCTCCTTCTTCTCCCCAACAACTCAACTACCAACAACAACAGAATCTGCGATTCTCCTCTTTCGCAGCGAACCAAAATCAAAATCAGGTCGATCCGTATATGGACCATCGGTTATACGCCGGAGCTTCACACCTCCCGGAGCAGCAGTATCCGATTGTTAGCCGGCCGACCAGCAGCAGCATGAGCAGCACCGTTGAATCGTTCAGCGGACCGAGACCTACGGCGACTAACTCCGTCGCGAGAACGCCGTCGACGGCGACGGCGAAGAGATATCCTAGAACGCCGCCTGTAGTTCCGGAGGATTGTCACAGCGATTGCGATTCGTCGTCTTCCGTTATCGACGACGGAGACGACGACATAGCATCGTCTTCCCGTCGTCGGAATCCGCCGTTTCAGTTCGATCTTAATTTCCCACCGTTGGATGATGCTGATTTCTTCAACGGCTCAGATGATCTTCACTGCACCGATCTTCGTCTCTAATGAAACCACACAGATCCGTGATTCGATGAGACTCGATGAAAAACCAAAATCCCATTTTTTTTTTTCCTTTTACAAACAGAATTTTTTTTTTGTTTCTTTGATCTCATAATATTTTTACTATGCGGGAGAAATAGAAAGAAAAGAAGAAGACGACGACGACGACGACTAAGAAAGGTGTAGAAGAAAGAGCTGTTTCTTCTCTGATGATATTGTAAGAGTATATCGATATGATTAATATTATTATTACAGCCTTCAATCAAGAAGAGGAAGACGAACGATGATGATGATGATCTGTGTTTGTCTGTTTGTTTACTGTAAGAAAAAGCAGATCTGGGTTTTTCGTTTTTGTTTTTCCATGTCTGTGTCTTGAAAAAGATCCAACTCTCTTTGTAACATATACATTTGGAACTGATGATTCTTAATAATCAAAAATCTTAGAATCTTCTCTTAGATTTCGTTTACTTCTTTGTCTGAATCTGGCTTAGATTCGAGTCAGTATTTGATGGGTTTTGTTCAAAGATCATATCTTGCTCAGAGATTGTGATGAAGAAGAACTTTAATGTTTTCACCTTGTGATTAATCAAAGCTAGAAGAAAGACTAGGGAAGCTTGTTTCTAAACTGGTTCTGGTATTGAAATTAAACAAGTGCTCGTAAAAATGCTAACATCGAGATATAGATTTTTGAGCAATTCGTAAAAATGCTTACATTTTAAACATAGATTTTATGTTTAGCAAGGATTTTAAATGTTCTAAATCGTGGTACTTTCGGAACTAATATTTTGTTTTGTTAAAAGGTAATTTAGAAAGATTATTCAATTTTTAGATTTGTTAATGGAGGAATTTAGGTAAATTGTTTTGGTTGAGTTTGGTGGGCAAAATGATGTTTTCGACTCTATTTTTTTTAATTTTGAAGAGGTATTCGGTGGCAGGCAGATTCGTTTCGTGTTTGACTCATTTAGATTAGATTTTGTGTTCGGCGTTACCCTCAAATTCGGGCATCTGCTTTGCTTTTTTCCAGTTGTTCTCTGCCACGATTCAGACACGGTTTAAGTTTAACTAACACCTTTGGGTCTGAAACTAAACCCACAAGTTTGTTACTGTTCTCAAGCAACTATTTGCTGTAAGGAAAAATATGCAACTTTTTGCTACACACACACATTTTTCTTTTCTCTGGTGCTGGTTAATGTCTTTCCTACTCTCTAATTAAACTACATTTCCTCTAATCCTTAGTTTTTTTAACACATTTTCTACCATATAAATAAAATAAAAACCAAATAAAACTCCAAACCCATTATTTAGGATCAAGGAAACTGTAAATCACCCAAGCAAATATTTACAGAAAATAAAATAAAAGAGAAAGTGTGGCCTCTTTATTCGTTTTTAATAAGAGACTATGAAGAAATATTAGGCTTTTTGTTTTTGTTGAGCACATAAAGGCAAAAATACATGCAAAGGAAAATAGGCATAAAAGGAGATAACATAAAAACAGGACAGATTTATTCTTGAAGACTCTTAATTAATGGAGAGACTCTAATTAGTTTTCTCTTGCTTAGGTAATACTAGAGGAGCGTGATGGCTTCTTACCATTATTGCTTGTGGTTGTGGATTCACCGCTACCAAATGTCTGGCTTTCATCAAACGCCAGTTCCTTGAATTTCTCCAAGTCTTGTCTGTACTGCGTTGAGCAATAATCGGAGCCCTCGTCTAAGCTGTAACTAGTAGTAGCGATGTCTCCTGAAGCAGCTCCTTGGGTAAGGTCATCTAGAGATATGCTGCCTTCAAGAACTCGAACAATCTGCAACAATGACACCTCTGTCAAGTCACGATCCAAAGTTCGAGGTGGTCATGAGGTAAAAATCTGATTAGTAGTACCTGGCTCATTGTTGGGCGGCGTTTCGCTGAGTGTTGGACGCTAGCAGCAGCGCAAGCAACCATTCTCGTCATTTCGCTGACATCAAAGTCATCCTCTAGTCTCGGGTCAACAAGACCCTCAAAGTTGCCATCGTTTAGAGCTTTAGCCATCAGAGGTTTCGCCTTGAGGAGGGAGCATTTTGGAGAAGAAAAAAAATGGGAGGATTAGTGAATGAGTGGCTAAGGCAAAACAAGATATGTAAATGCATCTCACCCAATCAACGATGCTATCATTATAATCCGAAAAAGGCTGTGTTTTGTCTACAGGTTCGCGTCCGGTTAGCAATTCGAGAAGCACTACTCCGTAAGAGAAAACATCGGATTTTTCAGTGAGTTTCCCTGAAGCAGCATATTCAGGGGCCAAGTAACTGCAATCCAGATTATCAAAAGAAGGAGAAACAAGTTTAAAAGATTGCTTTTCTGTTTAGTTCATAGACTCATTTGCGTATAGAGAGAGCATTCTTACCCGCATGTTCCCATAACTCGAGTGGAGACATGAGTCTCATTGTCTGAACAAGACTTGGCGAGCCCAAAATCCGCCAACTGATGTTCAAGTTCAACAGTTTATTAGTTGCCTAGTTGAAAGTTTGAACACAAAGATACAAGTTCTGGGACGTACCTTTGCCTCATACCCATGGTCAATTAGAATGTTTGAAGATTTAACGTCCCGGTGTATGGTTTTGGGATTACCTTATTGAAACAAGAAGCCCAAAATAATAAGAATGTAAGCAAAAAAAGAGTTGGAAAACAAAATGTTCAAGAGACGTACGGAAGATTGTTTTACTCACAATCGTCATGTAGATAACAGAGTCCCTTAGCTGAACCTAGAGCAATCTTCATCCTATTCTCCCACTCCATTACCGGTCCCATACTCTCTACAAAACATCAAACCATAATTTCAAACAGACCACAAAACCCTAATTAATCTCGTATCAAGGAAGTGACCTAACTCACCGTGCAAATGAAACTCGAGAGTCTTATTAGGCACGAACTCGTAGACAAGGAATCTTTGAGATCCGGTTGAGCAAGAACCAAGGAGGGAAATGAGATGCCTGTGATGCACTCTACTGATGGTCTCTATCTCAACCCGGAACTCGCCTTCTCCTTGTCTGCTTCCCGTCTTTAGCTGCTTAACCGCAACCTCCGTTCCATCAGCAAGTGTTCCTTTGTGAACATAACCAAACCCACCTTGTCCAATGAGGTTGTCGCTGGAGAAGTTACTAGTTGCTCGAGCTAAGTCTTGGAATGTGAACATGTTGTTTGCATTTTCTGGGGAGCTACTTTGCTGGAGATTAATACCATCTAATAAAATCGTAATTAAGAGATTACATGTTGCGGAAGATTGCTTGCAATGTCAAAAGTTAACTTCATATGACTCAAGCATGTATAAGGGAAGTACCTGAACTGGGATGACGAACAAGCTTGGCACTCCTCTTCCTCTTCCTCCTGAGGATCACGAAAGTTGCGCCAGCAATGGCTAAGATTAAAATGACTGATGATACTACAGATGCAACAATTGTGATCGTCTTATGCTTGTTGGTCTTGTTTGGGGCTTTTGGGGCGCATGAAGCATGAGAACACAGCCTTGGATTTCCATCGATGCTAGATTTTTAACATAAGACAAAATTTTGGTTAGAAACGAAAAAGGAAAGAAAAAGATTTAGGTGTTTTTGCTTTAAACGCACATAAACATAACCAAAAATGTTGTTACCTCAATGAAACTAATCCTCTCTTCATTTTATCAAGGAGTCTTGGAGGGATTGAGCCATTCAGCTTATTGCTTGAAAGATTTCTGTGCGATATGCAGAGTTAAAAAACAGAGGTTACAAGAAGAAGTTACTTTTTTTTTTTTTTAAAAGGTTATATTTCTTGTTCGAATGGCGTCTGAAACTTACATGAATTTCAAACTCTCCATGTTCGTTATATACTCCGGGACCGAACCAATCAACATGTTGCTAGACAAATCACTGAAAATGTTATTAAACCCTAAACCCATTAGAATAAAGTATCGTGTGTGTTGATTATATAGATTTAAGCATGGAGAGAGAATATACTTACAGAGATTGTAAACTGGTAAGGTTTGAAATGGAGTCAAGTATCTCCCCGGTTAAGCCATGGGCAGTCAAGTTCCTGTTTCAAGATGGATTAGGCACTTTTTTGGGAACTCTGAAAATAATCTGAAGAGAAAGGTAAAATGAACTTACAAAGAGATGATCTCAGGTGGGAGATTGCTGATATAGCTGCAGTTGATACCACTCCACCTGTATCTCTCAGGCGCGCAAGGATCTCCTACCCAGTTGGTCTTGTTAAGACCATACCTCAACTTGATCTCCAGCATTGCATCAACTGATATATCGAGAATAAACAGTTAGTGAAAAAATTTGTATTGCTCAGAAATAGTAAGTCCAAAGTAGTAGTTTTGTTTCTTTACCTTCTTTTGTACCCGTTTCTTGCTGCGGAAGCTTCTTTACCAAAAACACCTCTATCGCGTTTAGGAGTGGAGGGAGCGTTGAATTTTTCGTCTTTTCCAGGGAAAAAATGTATTCTCCATTTGCATTAAGACCGTATTCCTCGTCAAAATAATAGGACATAGCGATGAGACTTGGCGGTCTAAATGGAGGCCGTATCAGCCGTCCGTTGTACTTGATGGCGAACTCTCTCGTTTCGTTCTTGCGGAGCTGTTGGATCTCAGAGAAATGCATGACAAGGTATAAAGCTGAGGGCGAATGGTCTTCGCTGCCTAGCCGAATTGTCATCGGACTGTCTGGGTCTGTTGGAAACGATGCCGTGATCATAGCCATCTCTGCGGGCCAAAATGGATTATTGATACGGACGCTGCGGTTGGTAGAAATACTCGTCCAATTATCGGGTGTATATGGCCGCCATATGCGATCATAGACGTCTCCTCTGTACCTAAAACGAAAAAATCAGAACATGTTAATTAGTTCGTTTCATAGTTTTCAGTAAGTCCAAAACGCATACCTTGAGGATTGGTTAGACGACAGCGAGCCAACGTCTGCTCTAATGACAGTATGCAAGGATCCCCTCCTATCCTTGTAGGCTTTGCTATTGAGTTTACGAAGCTCTAGGGTTGTGATGAATGGCGTCGAATCACCTGTCTTGACCAGGCAGACTTGTAACCTGTCGCTGGTCAACTGATGACTTATCTCCACAGATTTATAATCCGTCTCATTTTACGTTGTTATGTTAGTCCAATGGTTCGCGCCAATGTGGAGCTGGAAGTGCGTTTTGGCATTAGCGTCATAGCCCCCATGCAAAAAACCAGCTCTCACCAAGTAACGCTCGCTATATTTCAGCATGAAAGTATAGCAATTTCTGGAACCTTTTGGAAAACTCCGAAGTTCCCTTGCGAAACAAGTTAATGTTATTAGCTCTCTTACTTGGACGAAGAAAGATAAAAGTCAAAATGATGATTGAAAAAAATAATTTACCATTGTTTTTCGTCTACTTTACTCTGGTAAATTGGTTTGATTTGCCTGCCATCACCGGTATCTATGTACGGAGCATCTGAGACGTATTTGATACCAGTAACTTTATCTGTATACCGAGTAGACGCCGTCGATCCACATGACAAGCTTGTGAAATCTTCCCCGACTAGGAAACAAAAAGGAACATCTCATATAATATTTTCAATTTATCTATTGTACGTGTTCATTTTTATGATTAAACTCTGGTCGAAAAACCGTTGGTTTTGTTTCCTTACCTGACAAAACTCGTGGCAGAGCAAAGAGGAGAAATAAAATAGCGAGTCTGATCACTGGCCAAGTCTTGTTCACTTTCAGAATACGTTCCTCCAGCTTCAATCCTATCTCTTTTGCTGCAAGCTTGCTCTCTTCAGATCTTTCATCAATATCTTCTTCCTTGTTAACTTGCCTGCATCTCTGCTTTTCACCATCTCCGTGGAGCCAAAACTCTGATTCCTTGGTTCCAGCATCGATCACACTCTCCTTCTCTTCCGTGTTTCCATTTACATCATCACAAACTGTCCTTGTCTTTTGTGCCTTGCTTGCCGTTTGCATCACTCTTGAAGCAAGCTTCGGACAAGGCCGTGAATCATCATCATCATCACTATCCACCACCTGAAATTTTCTTCTTCTTTCACCAAGTGACATAGAAGCATCTCCTCTACTTTTCTCTGCATCGCTATACTTCTTCCTTGATCTGATCCTTTCAGCAACGGTCATGTTATCATCTTCATCATCCGTACAACTCTCATCATCATCATCCTCCTCACGAGCTCCCTTCTTCAAAGGTTTAGTGTAAGGACGCCAATCGAAATCCTCAGCATCAAAACTGAATCTCAGATTGGATCTTTGTTGCAGAGTGTCCCACTGAGCTATTCTTGGCTCGCCTTTGGGTATCTCTCTAGCGTTTGGTCTCGTCTTCTTGAACCTCTCCCATGTCCACACTTGGACTAGCTTAAACAGAGACTTGAGAGTAACTTTCTTCTCACATTTCTCTCCACCCAAACCACTGATTAGATCCAAATCTCTGTATACACTAGCGAGAACAGCAGGGGCAAGAGCGATCCTTTCACCTCTAGCTAGACGAACAGCTAATGAGATTACATCTCTGGAAACAAAACGACGAGGCCGATAAGGAAAAACGAACAAGGACAGCCACAATACAAGGAAAGCTTCGTGCTCCGTATCATCACCTCTGCCCAAGAAACTCGAAATCCACGATGCTTGGGTCACTCCACTACCTTTGCTGCTCATATTCATCATCCTTCTCCACTCTTTCTCCAGATTCTCCACGGAATCTCTCATCTCCGACATTTCAAGAGGAGCAAAAGCAGAAGACCCCAAAACGGAAAACCCTAGCGTAATCGTTGCTTCACCCCAAGGGAACACGAAAGATTTGGTTTTGGGACACCATTTCTCAGCAACAGAGAGAATCAGAGACAAGTTTTTAGTGATACTGTAAGTGGAGGCCTTGATTGCTTCAAAGATCCCAGCTTTCTTCCAAATGGGTCCGTGCAAAGCTTCCATTTTTCCAAGCCAAGATACGAAATGACGCTCTGCAACCCAAAACCCAGAGAAGGAATGAGGCGAGCTCAAGCGATTCAGTTCCGTAGATGAAACAGAGAGACATTGATGAGGAAGCTCTGCTACACCAGAGCAATCGATGGAGGTGACAAAGGGTTTTAAGAAATGGGTTTTTCTCAAGCTCGGACCTTTATCAGTCAGCATAACTTCTTCTCTCTCTTCAATGAGACTACTCTCAGTGGGTTGTGATGATGCATCATCCATCTCTCAAGAGGATGGAGAAGAAGAAGCAAAGCTCTCAAGAAAAACTAGGGATTTTGAAAGTCAAAAATGGAGAATTGGACGGATCAGTTTGGTAAGAATGGTTAAAGAAAGGAGCAATTTTTCGTTTAAGGTATGGGGAGAGAAGACTGAACAGAAGAGATGCTTTATTTGGCAGACGGACAAACAAAGCCAGTTTCTTAATGTTGACTGTACTGTACTAATCACAATTGCTACTATAGGATTTTCCTTCCACGTTAAACAATGTTTTGAAAAAAAAAACAAATTGGTACATACTGAGAAATGAGATAACATGTAATGCTTAACATGTAATGCATTAACTATAAGTAACTCTAAATAATACTAGTAATTTAAAAAATTTCTCATAAATCTAAAGTCTAAACCAATAGTAAGTCAGTAAAAATTAAAATTGATCAATATTTCTTGAAGTTCACATACGGTTTAAGAAGTGATCAATATGGTATTATAACAAAATTTAAGAAGTGATCACAATAAAGAAATAAGAATAAAATATTTACGTACGCATATGCAATATGTGCGTGTGTGTGTGTGTTAAATTGATGAAAAATTATATCGTCACGAATTTGAAATCTTGGGGGGAAAAAAGGTTTGAAAAACGTCTCAGAACTCAATAGTGCATGAAGATAATTCCAACCTAACCGCAAAGAACAGTATCACAAGTTATATTTGAAATCAAATGAAAATATTAAGATTGGGCCAAATATAACACGTTTAAAGTTGTAAATTGGCAAAAACACCATGGTGAAGCTTAATGATAAAGCAAGTAAATTTTTGAAGCTAAATATGACACACAATAACAGAAATGTACTATTAAGTTAAAACATACATATCAAAAAGTGTTATTTTAGTTCTGTTTAAAAGCTATTGCATTCTTTCATATCTTATCTTCCGTCGTAAATCATAATCCCTATAAAGCAGCATTACCTCCACATATCGAAACAAAAATAACAATGACACGTAGAAGTAGAAGCAAGAGCCTTGGTGATTTGATATTTTTTGATAGTATATACTTGTGGGAACATTTTATCTTCGTCGTCATAGCCCACCTCTCGATATTTCTCACTCATTATATATACTAGAGAATACCCCGAGTTATGCCCGGATAAATTTTTATAGAAATTTGTTAAGAAGATAATATCATTATTAAAAAAATTATTATCAATGATATAACTTGTTTTAAACTCATATTTGACATTATCACTATAATTTTACTGATTGAAAATGTAATTACATATGTTTATTGAGTACAAAATGGTTTTTGTAAGTAAGAGTTAATTTGACTTGTTTAATATACTGAAATTTTCCTGTGAAAAAATTAAACATATATATTATTTTTTTATCACTATTTACTCTCAGTTATCTTTCATCTAGTACCAATTATATAAGAAACGAAGATGAACAAAAAAAATCATCACAAACTTTAATAAGTCACTTGAAATATATTGTTTTTTAATTTTTTAAACATTGTCATGTTTTGCCATATTTGGTGGACCTAGTACGTCATCTATTATGTCTTCTGATCTCGTGTGCAATCCCTTGTTTTTTTGGTCGTATCTCTTTTTCTTTTTCGGAGAAGTTTTGCATATTTTTTTTTATCTGTTTTAAATCTTTGTCGAGAAATAACTTTGTTGGATTTCCAGTTTTCCTGAAATGTGGGAATCATGTTTTTCTGCTAGTTGGGTACAATATATTTGGTGTAGGTATATAAATCAGAAATACGTTGGTTTATGTACCTACATACAAATTATTCTTTGTAGAGTATATAACTTGGCTGATTTTATATGTACTTATACATGGTTGAATAGATTTTTATTTAAAGTAATTTTATAAATCTTCAAAATATGTTAATATGTCTACAATATATAGATAAGTGTTTAGATGAGTAGCTTGCAAAAACACATAAACAATGAGACCATCTGTTTATTAGAGATTAAGCTCTCCCAAAAGAAATTCTAAACATGTTCCTAAGGCATCCAAAGAAATTCTAAACCCATCTTAGATGAACACTTTGCTAAAGAGAACCTATTTTAGGAACATCTCTTTGAAACAGTCATGGATATAAAATACTATAAACAAAAGAGTGACTATAAGCCAAATCAGGAAAGCAACAGAAGAAGAGAGAACACTCCCAACAAAGGAGCTAGAGCTCGCATTATATCACCTGCGAGTTTCAACCACCTCCTAAGTAAACTTTCCAAGTTGTGACTCCCTCTGTATTGACGCGAGCTGAACCGATTCCGTAATGTTCAATCGATGATCTGACCCAGATGGGTAGGTGTAGTCCAAGGGTGAGAGTGGCGTCGAGCATTTCGTTATCTCAAAATTGTAGCTTGAAACACCAGCCGCAGGAGAGTAAAGTCCATTAGTCTGTGAATTCCTGCAGTGAGAAACCACAGTAATACCTCTCCTACATTAATCTCAGACCTGCCTCCGCAAACTCGTTTCCTTCCCATTCCTCTCCTACATTGCTTGCTTTGTTTGATGGCAGTGAACAATTGTGATTGGCTGGACTCTGTTTCCCATCTTTGGCAACTGTGCTGGCTGCTCTACTCTCTCTCTATTCTGGTAATGATTGATATTTTGGTTCACTTTGATTCCTTCAAATGTATTTACTTTAAATTTAATCAGGTCAGGGAAGCATTTAACAAAATAAAAGAAGCTGAAATCAAATTTTAATCGCTTGAAAGTTGAAACTTATCATGAAAGCCATTCTTTTGAATTCGCGGGAGGAAAAAAACTCTCACTCCTGCCACTTGAATGGTAAGGACCATCGTTCATTTCTGAAACCTAAAAGAATTTTAGAAGTGTTAATAACAACTGAAAAATGACTAAATTGCCAATGGAAATTAGCACAGGCTGAACAGAGAAGACATTGTAAAAGATAAGTAAGAAATCAGAATAATATCTAAAATATCAACCAAATATTCCAAGGTAGAGCTATCGTATTTAAAAGGAACTTGTTCTCACAACATATGTAAGGCATGGCGAAAGAGAAGAAATTTGCCAGATTAGTGAGAGAAATTACTGCACAAATCATAACCTGTCATCTAAAGTATACACCTTACTGTGATGATAAGATTGAGGGCCAATGTCGGATATTCTGGAAATGGGTAAGAAAAGAAGGAGTTTAGATAGATAATAATAGGAACGAATCGTACTAAGCCGAAAAAGGCTTAGACTATAGACCACATCATTACAAAAAATTATCTTTATTAGTAGATACGATTAGCAAATAAGAGAGAAGTGGATGAAGAAAAAAGTGTCCTTGCCCCTTAGTATGAGTATGAAAAACTGTGAAACTTTCACTCCAGAGGACATGTATAACCACAAAATGAAATCCCATTACTCATTTAGTAAGAGGATGTACCTGACATAAAACCAAAGCAGGCGCCAAAACCAATCAGCGGAGACGAAATGAGTAATGTATATAATGAGTAATGACTACAAACCTGAAACGAAAATAATGTTTACCTCTTGACTAATCACTGTTCTGCTTCATGTTTGGAGTGTGCGGATTTCCTGTTGACGCCACCTGAATCTTACAAAGCTTGTTCATGTCCTATTTTTTTCCTCCCAAAAAAAGAAAAGGAAGTTTGAGTCAGTCATTTTAATGAACACATGGCATGCACCCTAATAGCGATGAGTCAATACATCTTGAGAGATTCAGATTTACTTCATTGTTACTCTGAACAAATCAAAAGAATAGAGAAGATAAATCCAAAACTCAAATCACATCACAAGGCCTCTTGATAAATTCGATTTCAGAAAGAAAACAAATCAAAATCGTAGAAACGCATTCAGCGATTTACGAATCAAAGCAACTTTTCTCGAGAAAACAGAGAAATATGTTCGAGGAATCAATGGAAGGTGATTACCTGGATTTGAGAACAGCCAGAGAATAACGGCGCAGAGAATGAGGAGGAGAGGAATGAAATGGATAGCGTTCTCGGCGGATCTAAGTCGCGATTTGGCCTTCTTCCGGGGGTGAGAGTTGGGGTCGTACCGAGGCAGAAGAAGCTTGAGATCCTCCGAATCTGTGGCGCTCTGAATTCGCGGCGGAGACGGTGATGGTGAAGGAGTATTCGCTGATAGTTGGTCGGAAATTATGGAGGCGCTCGCGAGAATCGACGCATCTCTTTCTTGTTTCGACGCCATCGTTATATTTGGGTGGGTTTCGGAATATTTGGGTATGTAATGGGATGAAGAGGGTTGGGTTTTACAGGAATAGATGAGAGGATTACGGGAACGGAATTCAGTTGCTATAAAATTGAAGGAAAGAAATAAATATGGAAGAACTGTTTACTGTGGGAGAGGAAGTGGCTAATGAAAATGAATAAGCGCTTGAGGTGGGAGACGAATCGATCTCTTTAGTTTTTTTACGCAGCTGACGTGGCAACGTGGGAAGCATTGACGTGGAAGCGATGATTTTTTTTTACCTGTTATTTTAAGATGCCATGTGGCATCCAGTGGGAGAATCTCTGAGGTGCTCTGAGAGGCCCCAAACAATTGTTTTAAATTAGTAAAAATATTTTAAAATATATTTATCAAGAAAATGTAAAATAATTATATATATATATTTTTTTTTGAAACAATTTAAATTACATTAATTTTTTTACACTGAGAAGACAATTTAAATCTCATACCAAAGTACTTTAAATGATGTTTTTTATTTTCGATGCAAAAAAATTATTTTCTTTGAATAGTTCAAAAAGTCAAATCAATAAAAAAAATCAATTAATACTGCATTAGAAACTTATTGAAGCTTTAATTAATAATCCATCAAGAGACTTATTGTAATCCTCCCACGCTTCCTTTACTGTCAAGTCACTATGATGATGAATAGCCAAACCAGGAATATCTTTGACTCTTGAGATAAACCGAGTTGCATTGCCACCCGATCTCTGTCCTCCTCTTCATGTAGTGTTTGCTCTTTCTTTGTTTTCATAGCCAAAGATAAATTCTTGACACTAGTAAACTAATCCGCCTGTCTAGTACCATTGCCATCCTAGGATCTAGTTACGCGAGTTTAGCTTTACTACATCTATGCTACCTTTTAGTTTGGTTTCTATTTAGGAGGTGGACAAGTATTTTTCAATGAAGAAATGTATAAATTTCGGATTTTTTTTTTTTTTTTTTAACTAGGTAATGAGATATATAAAACTATTATTTGGAATACGAAATATTTTTTGAAATTTTAGTAAAAAAAGTTGTTAATGAAATAATGTGATTAATAGTAAACATGATAAATAAGTGACTAGACACACACTATTTTTGTGGTTGGTGTCTTTAAAAAATAGCCATCAAGGCACAGACAATATCACATGTGGGTGGGGGTTTAGAAACGAACTGCATTAAACGATTTGTCAAGTGGAAAAAATTTGGTAACGAAGTCTTTACCTCGAGATTGTTTGTTTGGACTGAACTAATCGTCCAAGGATCGAAACCTGGGAGCGACAAGATTTACGGCAACACTCACCAACCACGAAAGGCTATTCGTCGACAAAGATATATAAGAAGAATCTCGTCGATGGGAAGAAGAAGATTCCAACAGTTCCTGGGCTCTCCTTTTTTTGGGATTAAATAATCTTTGCTTCAAGTTCGTGCTCATTAGTCAATTATTACTAGAATGCTAAGTTTAGTTAGGACTTATTGTAAAACATGAGTGGCTGTTTTCGCTCTAAATTTAATTTTAATGGATTTTTTCTTTATCAATCGATGGGCCTATTTATGATAGCCAAGAAAATGTAGATAAATTCATAATCCGTGGCAACAAAATTCAAAATCTCACGGATTTGGCCAACCCAAATTCAGTCACGAGGGTAAAACTTTTTGAAATAAAAAACAACAGAAAATGATTCTCCGACAAAGATTAGATGGGAAGACGAAAAATGTCGTTTGCTCACATTGTTTAATTCATAGATACATCTCAATTTTGGAAATTGACCAGTACAAATATTAACTTAGTACATGTATCTCTATTTATTTAGACTTATTAAATATTATAATTAGAAAATCTTACGTAAAATAGATTTCATTTAATTATTTGATTGTTTGGCAACTCAACTTGGTGTTTCAAACTTAACTTAATTGGTGTTCACCATCTAATTTGGCTTTTTAGGGGCATGTGCGACTGTTATAGTAGCAGTGGCATATTGGATTTTTTGTAATCGGATCTGGCTTGCAAATACCAACACCGCCTCTCCTCTGCGTCGTACATTGTGAGGGACAAACGGATTTAGCAGTAGCACAAGGAGACATCGATAAAAAACCGCTGTCTTTACAATCCTTCTGCTGCGCTTTTGGTTTCAGATTACATCCTTCTGGGTCATATTTCGTGATGTAAGTTATTATTTCATCACATTGTTTTTGTCCTTGTGTTTCTTTCACCATCACCCCTATGAAAGTAATTATTTTAAACATAAAAAAATATCAGTTTCTAGTTTTAATGATGATAAATTAATAAGCATGTGCTACGTGGGATAGTAGTTGAAAACCGCTAAAACTTCTAATAGATGAATACAAATATCGACACAATTAATTTTCACAAATACATGGATACAAATATAGACACAAATTATTTTATCTAGTGGTATACAGCATAAATATCCTTAAAGATTAGCATTTTCTTGAAAATTTGTGAAAAGTTAGAAACAAATAATTTATTTATATTCATATCCTATGATGATATCTCACAAAACCTTTATTATTAAACCGTTAGTCTAACCAAAAAATGATATATATTTGAAATAACATGTACAATTGAATTTACGAGCAATCAGCTTATTTTCGGATAATTATTTATAAAAACATTTAAACGGTTATAAATATAAATACAAACCTATTTGGAAAATAGTGAAGATAGTTAACATGGTGACCAAGAGTTAGAAAGGATTTAGGTTTCCTCATCTCATACGCCAACGGAAGATCTATTGGACTGCGTTTGTTTTTCTTATCAGTTTTTTTATCTCTGTAGAATCAACTTTGTTTTGCGTTTGAAAGAATTGATAAAAAAAAAATGAATACTACTATATATAGTTGTATTTCACTATTCGGTAAATCTAATTTAAGTTATTGATCTCCTTAAAAATTGGTTTCAATTATGAAGATATGGTTGTCCATCGATTCCTCTATTTCGTTTTTCTCATTTATTATGTGTAAAATAATTAGAATCACACACAACTTTTTTTTTTTGTCAGCCATACAATTAATTTAATTTTTAATTTTTTATTGGTGAATGAATTCAAACAGCTTTGGACCGAAAGAGTCATAATTGAATGGAACCAGTAATATTGATCCGATTTGATGAGATGAATCAATGTCAAAATCTCAAACATCGTTTAACAGCTTATGGTTCCGTGGCGTCTTTAAAAAATAGCCATCGAGGCACAGACAATATCACAAAGTAATCAACCAGATACAAACAAACGGATTTATTTCAAATAATTGACAATTATTAGCTTTCCAGTTACATATTCGATTCATCATATGCATTAACGTAGTTAGACATATAGTTGTCTTTTAAAATATTCTTTCAGCAGACTTAAGACAGCTCCGATCGGTGGTTAACTGGTTATAAACAGTTTTCTAACATTTTTGTATAAGATAATTTGTCCCATCTTTTTTTTGTCCCCATTTGTGTCCCCATTATTTTATTATTTCAATTTTTTATATTTGATTTATCAAAAAACTACTCAGTTCATTTTTATTATATCTTATTTAACAGTGTATTACATCTTAATCACAAAAATTATCTCAAAAATATTTGATTTGTAATTGTACTAAATAAGTACTCCTTTCATTTTATTATATATAATAAGAGGTTTTAGAATAAATCTCTAACTGTATGTAAATGATAAATATATTTAATGTATTGATATATATATATATATAATGATTGGTTGACTTGTTTTTCATTAGCAATTAAAATATTTTTCTGGATCAAAATAGTTCTCTAAATATAATATCTGTGTTTTGAGCTGGGAAAAAAAAATTCTATGTAAAAAAACGAGTGATTTTTCATCAAATCATATAAATAGTTACATAAATTTTGTCTATATAAACACTAAAACTCTATCGCTTTTATTTGTATAAACACCAAAAGTTACCTCAAAAAATAATCGGGAAAATTACATTTTAAACCATGAAAGTGGCAAATGATAGCACTTTAAACCTCAGAAGTATAACCCTAACACTTTAAACCTTCAAATTAATTATGTTAACACATAAAACCTTCAAACTAACTTTTAGGGTTGTGCCGTCAAAAAAATGACCGAAATTGTATAATTTTCGGTAAAAAAGGATGACGTGTCTGTAATTTATTTTATTTTTTATTTTAATTTGAATTATGATTTTAGTTATTTACTTTAATTAATAACTAAAAATAGTAAAAAAAAAATTGAAACTATAAAAATCCGATTTTTTTTCTCACGTCTGTAAATTTTTAGTTTAAAAAAAATATATATATATATTTAACATTTAAGTTTAACTAAAAAAAGAGAATAAAAAAAAATATCTCTTCTTCTTCCTTTCTTTCTTCTCCCACGACAATGGTTCATCCCACTTTAAATCCTCAAACATATGTTTAATTAGAGGATGAGATAAAGGAGGTGATGCTTTATGGTATTATCCATGTGATCTAGATGAGAGGATGAGGATGAAGGTGAGAGAGATAACAAAATTGAATTTTAAAAATTGAGATTTCTATGCAAAATTGAATTGTTAAGGTAAAGAAATATGAAATAAATTCTTTATGTACTTATAGAACAGCAAAAGCAGAGCAGTCAAAACCCAAAATTGAAGATTGGATAAAGAAAAACAAAATTTGAGTCCCAACTAATTTGTAAGATTATAGGTTTATATGAATTTTAACCATGAAATTGAAGCTTGGGTTATGGCTCTATCTCTTTCAATTTCGATTTTGCTTCAATAATCTCCCTTAATGATGCTCGATTTATTGATACCCATTCAATCAAGTGAAGAAACTTGACACAGAGAAGAGAAGAAGAAGAAGACCGAGAAGAAGAAGAGAAAGATAAAAAAAAATTTCTCTTTTAATTATTAATTAATAATTAAAATAAATTAATTAAATAAAATAAAATTATAAACCGACAAGTCATTATATTTTACTGAAAAATTAATAGTTCCGGTCATTTTTTTTACGGCGCAACCCTAAAAGTTAATTTGAAGATTTTATGTGTTAACATAATTAGTTTGAAGGTTTGAAGTGATAAGGCTATACCTCTAAGATTTAAAGTGCTATCATTTGCCACTTTCATAGTTTAAAATAATCCACCTTGCACGCCACAAACAAACAAGAAAAAAAACGTATAAATGGCGTTACCTATCGCGCTTCTGATCAATTGATCGCGTCACCAATCGCATAAAAACGGGAATTCAAAATTCCAAAAACAGCAAACGCGATCTCTCTCTCTCTCTCTCTCTCTAAACTCTGATTCTCGCAGCGATTGTCAATGGCGGACATAGACATCGGCGGCGGAAAGGAGCCGCTGATTAACGGGGAGAAGAACAAGGCCTTCAATCGCAGCGTTTCGCACCAGCAAGACGAGCTACACAGCTTCCGGAAATACCTAAGATGGATGTGCGTCGACCACTCGAGCCCATGGACGGCGATTCTCTCTTGGACCATGTTCGTCGTCTTCACGCTCGTCGTTCCGGCGATTTCTCACTTCCTCCTCGCTTGCGCCGACTGCGACAGTTACCACTCCAGGCCTTACGACTCCGTCGTCCAGCTATCTCTTAGCAGCGTCGCCGCCGTCTCCTTCCTCTGCCTCACCAGATTCGTAAGCAAGTACGGTCTCCGACGATTCCTCTTCTTCGATAAACTCTGGGACGAGAGCGAAACCGTTCGCCGAAACTACACCATTCAACTCAATGTCAGTTTCTCTCTTCCCACTCCTCACTTCTTCCAAATTTTCGATTTCGCTTATCTAATCCGAGTTTCCTTCTTCCCCTGTTTATTAATTATTATCCTCATTTTGATTCAAAATTACTGAAAAATGATTTAAATTTTTGATTCCAAATTACTGAAAAATTATTTAAATTTTTGATTGAAATGGTTGGGTTTTTCCATTTCCTCGATTCGTAGATCTAAAAAAAAATCTCTTGTTTGCATTATTTTCAAGTTAAGAAAACAACTCATCATCTCTGTCGCAAAACTTTAAGTTGAAAAGTAAAGTAGCAATTATTGTAAAGAAGTAATATTCTATTCTTATGGCAAATAATTTGTACAAAGAATATTAGTCAAGAAGATAGAAAGAAGAATAAACCAGAACAAAGGAGAAGATAGATAGAGAGACGGCACGGAATCATGAATATTATAAAGTTAGGAAACTCCTCTACGTTGCAAAGACAAAAATATAATAATTTATTTATGTCATTGCTACTTTCTTCTGTAACATTTCTACAACTTTGGTGAATTCTTTCTAGTAAAATCTGGATTTTGCCATATTACTTGTTCCACAAGCATGACAAGAGTTTTGATTTCAAGTGCAGACTTCGCTTCGTATTGTCTCCTACTTCGTGATCCCTAGTTTCATAGCAATGAGTGCATACAAAACGTGGTGGTACGCTTCAGGTGGATCTCAAATACCTTTTCTAGGAAACGTCATCCTAAGCGACACGGTTGCTTGTGTAATGGAACTCTGTTCTTGGCTTTACCGTACAACCGTCATCTTCCTTGTCTGTGTTCTCTTCCGTCTCATTTGCCATCTTCAAATCCTTCGCCTTCACGACTTTGCTCAGCTCTTTCAGATTGATTCGGATGTTGGTTCTATCTTGTCTGAACACCTTCGTATCAGACGCCATCTCAGAATCATCAGCCATAGATATCGTTCCTTCATTCTATGCTTATTGGTTCTTGTCACTGGAAGCCAGTTCTCTTCTCTGCTTATTACCACCAAAGCTTACACGCAAGTGAATATCTACAGAGCTGGAGAGCTCGCTGTAAGTTTAGTTTCTTTCACTCACAACTCACAAAAAGATTATTATAGAGAAATACCCTAAAATGGACTCTTTTTTTTTAAATATCTCAGCTTTGTTCCATGACATTAGTCACTGCACTGCTCATACTATTACGAAGTGCATCAAAGATCACACACAAGGCTCAAGCTGTGACATGTTTAGCTGCGAAATGGCATGTATGCGCAACGTTAGAATCCTTTGAGACAGCTGATGGAGAGACTCCAACTTTGGTTCCTAGAAACAAAGGCCGTGATGTTATTACGTTAACAGAATCGGACAGCGAGGATTATGGTGACGAAGAAGATGATCTAGACAACAATAACATCATTCCTGCTTATGCTTTCAGTACCATCTCATTCCAAAAGCGACAAGCTCTAGGTAAACACAAATGTCTTCTGTGATGCTTTTTTTTTTTTTTTTTTTTTTATCTTGATGGTCTCTTAACGTAACTCTGTCTGGTTGGATTTATTCGTAGTGAGTTATTTCGAGAATAACAGAGCAGGAATCACAGTGTATGGGTTTACACTTGACAGAGGTACACTCCATACAATTTTCGGACTCGAACTGTCTCTTGTTCTCTGGCTTCTCGGCAAAACCATTGGCATTTCCTGAATCTCTTCTCGCATCATCAAGAAACCTCTCAATGTTACTTTTACCACTGATCCACTTTCATAATCTACCATCTTTTCTCTCCTTCACTGTAAATCAATTTATTCCTGTAAGACGTTGATGTATATAGTTGTTATTGTTATTTGTAAATTAGATTCGAAATAAAAGCCTTTTTTCCTTTTCTATATATGATTGTACCTTTTCAGCAAACGGAATATAATTGTAATGTTACTAGTTGATGTAAGATTCTATTACAGTGAATTTATAAAATTATTTCACAAGGTATCTCAAGTTTAAAAATTGTTCAAGCTAAACTACAAAACTAAAACTGAATCAATCACTAATTTAGCTCAGGAAATTAAAACAGACGACGCCTCAGATAACAAAGATTCAGTGATCCTAACCCAGCCCAGAGGTTTAGATTAGAGACATCATCACTTACCATTACTTATTCCATATGCTTGAGGACCAAAGACTGAATCTTCTGTACTTTTGTCTGAACCATTTAACAGCTTTTGTCTTCTTGTGGATCTTCTGTGACATTATTCTCTATAGCCTCTTCGACATTCGGTGCTGTGTTCTGCTGTTGGGAATGATCTGTGTTGGATTCCGAAGGAGGCTGGGATGGTAAGTTGTCAGTCTGAGAAACTGAATTCTCCTCTTGTAATGATGGTTCCGCGACGATCTCCGAGTCTTGTTTCTCTTCGCAATTTGCGGAAACAGATCTCTCGGTAGCATCTTTGCTCGGCTCTTCTTTCTTCTCAATTTTTGGAGGATTAAGAGTCTCTGAGTGAGACAGTGTTTCTGAAGGTTCATCACACTCAGCGTCGTTTCCTATTGGACCTTGTGACTCATTGTTACTAGCATCAACTGCTTCACTCCTAGCTGCATCTTCAACCGTTTGACTTATTGCTGATGATGCATCTTCAGCTTTAACTGTTTGACTATCAGCTGATGCAACCGTTTGACTTATAGCTGCTGCTGCTGCTGCATCTTCAGCTTCCACTGTTTGACTTATGGCTGCTGCATCTTCAGCTTCCACTGTTTGACTTATGGCTGCTGCTGCTGCATCTTCAGCTTCAACCGTTTGGCTTTTAGCTGCTGCTGCGGCATCTTCAGCTTCAACTGTTTGAGTGTTAGCTGCTGCAGCATCTTCAGCTTCAATTGTAAGACTTATAGGTGCTTTGCCTTGAGGTGCTTGTGGAGTCTCAGAGCGTGACACTGCCTCTTGACTACTAGCACCAACCTTTAGAACAACTTTGCCAACTTTCTTCTCTGGTGGGAACTGAACTTCGGGGTTAGTAGAAGACATTTTAGCTGTAGTGGCGCTTCTCATGACACGGCCATATTTAGGAGGAAAAGACTTGCCATTGTACAACTGCACGCACCTCGGGCAGTGCCACTCAGATTTCGGAACCCCTTTCATGTTGTTAACCTGTAGGCACTTCAAGTGATATCCTTTCTCACAGGCATCGCAGATTAGCACCGTCTCTACTTCGCTGATGCTTCCCTGGCACATCTGGCATGTCATTGCTTTGCTCATGTACTCTCTCGAAGGTGGATTCCACATGACGTTTTGCTTAGCACGCGGTTGCAGAACTTTGTGGATTATCTTGGCGATCTCAGCATGGTTGTGGTTGTTGTTGTTTCCAAAAGGTGAAGGTGCAGAAGAAGAGGAAGAGGCCTGTCCACCATAAGTCACTCCTTTCATGCCTGGGAATGTACCTGGTGGAGCCTGAGACATGAATGGTCTAAAGCTCGGATCTGTGACTCTTGAACAGCTCTGAACAGGAGCTTTGCTATCTGACGCAGTGCCAAATGATATGGTTGTGGAGCTGCTGGAATGAGGCTGAGCAGACCAAGACGTAGCAGCAGCAGCATTCCCAAAATAACCCCCACCTGCCCTCAGAGTAACAAGTAAAAACATTTAGAGATCAAAGATACATTAGCAAAAGTCACCCAGTAAGAGAGAACTTCTAGGTGATTCTTACTCTTACCCGGTCCCTGAGAAGCAACGGGATGCATATCCGCCTTAAACTGTGGCCTCTCCAGTCTGGATTGTGTTGCATCCCTAACGAAATGGCTCCCAGTTGCATTAACAGAGCTAGTGGACGGCTTCAATTCGCTATTAGGCCACTGATGTGCCACTGAAGTTGAATGACCTGGGGGTGTATAGGTAGTGGATACAATTGGATGCTTTTTCGATTCTTCCATCTGAAGAGAAACATCAGAGCAACACACACATTACATCATCATCTTCCAATTAACACTCAGATCAGATCAAGGGAGCAAATTTTTTTGTAGCAATTAAACAACGAAGATGAAATTGTAGCGAGATTGAAAGAATTAGCACAAACCTTTCTTTTCCCAAGAGATAGCTTCTCGGAGATGGTTAATTTAGGAGCTCGAAAGCCTAATCTCTGGTCCTTGAGCTTGCCATTCAAACCCAGATCTTCAATCACAGCTCCGATTGCATCCCTGCCGATGATATCCTTTGGAGTAAACTCTTGACACATGTCCACCAATTTGGACTTGGCTTCCACCATGAGCTCGAGCTCCAAATCCGTCGGGCTTTTCCCTCCTCGGATCCTCCGCAATGACGATAGCACAAGCACGATCTCCGCCACTCTATTCACTTCCTCGTCAAAACGCGGCCTCTTCGACGGTGGTAGAGCCGCCGCCGCGGATTCATTCCCTCCTTCGTCTCCATCTCTCTTTTCTTCTTCATTCATTGCGACAGATCCGAGATTCGCCGGTACGTCACAAGCCGCCGCAACATCCATTCCTCTGCACTTGAAAGAGAGAGCCGCGAGCGAGAAAGAAACCCTAGAAGAGAAAAGAGAGGGAGATGAGATCTGAGTCTGAGGTGGGTTTTTAAAATAAAATTGAAAGAAATTAAATGATTGAAATCTCACAAAACCTTATTTTCGCGGGTAAAATTTGGGGGAAGTTTTTGAGAGCACGCACGAGTTCGATTACCGAATTTAACAAAAGAGTTTTTGCAGCAGAAGAAAGGATTTTAGAGAGAGAGAGAGAGATGAGGGAAGCGACTGCTATTTTCTAGAGAGATGATTTTTATTAAAGGAAATATAAATCTGTAAAGAGCTATCCAACTTTTTCTTGGGTTTGAAAATGGGCCTGTATTTACTAAGGCTTTATTATACAGCAGGCCCATAAACTTTTTCCAACACTTGAGAAATTTTTGAGGATGATAATTTTAGTTGCAAAATCGGGGATTCAGTAGATAATTCAGTTTAATTGCATTGCTAAAAAAAAAATAGTGTTGATACTGTAACGAAGTTGCAAGAAATCATTATTTTTCGAATTTTCTTTTGTTTCCATGGGTATTTTGGTGTAATTAATTTACGAAACATTATTAACATTGTAATTGTAAGTATGATTTCTACAATGAAAAGGACATGGACATTGGTTTACATATTGCTTAAATGAGAGGGTTGGTTTTTTACCTTTTTTTGGGGGAACATGTACGTACGTAATCTCTCTCATAGACAATTGTCAAAACCTAACCTCATGAGAGAAAGAAACTGTAGGACCAAAAAAGCAAGCATTGAAGCTGATATAGTGATCTATAATATAAAAAGGTTACTTAAACTAACAAACACGACGATAATGAGATATAAAGAATGCAAAAAAAAAACACAAATTGTTCGTTTGGGATTAAGACCTAAAGCTGATGACGATGGTGATTTACAGATACATAAATATATACATGTTTTTTAGTCCATTGATTGCTCATACATATCTTCTTATCTGCATTTCCCATAACAAAAAAATGAAGAAAAACCCATCACATGTTCTTCATTCTTCTCTCCGGTGAAGCTACGGCCGCCGGAATATTCACCCTCTTTTTATACCTTTTTTTCAAATATTCCTAAAAATAATCGAAAAACTCATCATCGATTCATCGAGAAACCAAAGTCATCATCGTCCAACAACATGGAAGAATATAAATTATTACTTCCTCGATCCATTGAACCCAAGTCATCATCAAACTCTCCTTCTCTCAACGTCTCAATCATCTCCAATGCTTCACTCATCTCTATCCTCCTCTCTTCTTCCTCTTCGCAGCATCTCAACCCAATTTTCAACAAATTAATCATCTCCGCTTTACAATTTTTCTTCCCTTTCATTTCCTTGTCGAACACGTCACCTGTTTTCTTCTCCTTGACCATATCATTAACCCAAGTCACAAGACTCATGTTCGGATCATACCCTTGTGTCAAGTAATTCTCTGGGAATCTCCCTGTCAAAAGCTCCAAAATCAACACACCAAGACACCAAACATCTGTCTTCTTCGTTATGACTTGTCCTTTCGCGGGCCTATACTCTGGCGATTTGTATGTAGTCATGAAGTTATGTGCGTGCTCTGAGCTCATCACCGGTCTTAGAGCATAATCTGTCAACAATGGCTCGAATGATTCGTCTAAAACCACGTTCGATGACTTTAGATGACCGTGAGGGATCGTTAGCGTCGGTAACTCGTCGAACAAGTAACCTAAACCCTTTGCTACTCCTTTTATGATCTTCAGACGTGTAATCCAATCCAACCCAGGCTGATCCAGAGAACGATTCGCTGAAAAAGAATAATGTTAGTAATCTCGTATAAAATGAAAAATGTGATGTAACGTTGAAAAAAAACATACCATGAAGATGGCTTGCCAAGCTACTTTGAGACATAAACTGAGTAACCAAAAGCTTCTCTTCTCTCCGGTAATAGTAAGCGACGAGAGGCAACAGATTGGGATGGTTTAACCTCCCTAACCGTCTCATATGCTCATGAAACTCATCTCTTCCCACATTGTTCATATGTTTATACCTCTTCACGACCAATGTCTGTCCACTAGATATCGCTGCTTTGTATGAAGCACCAAACGTTCCGCTGCCAAGAACCTCAGCTGAAGCTCTCAGAAGATCTTGAAGACCGAATCTTTCAATGTCGTCCCGCACAAACAGAAGCCTGCCTGCTGGATCAGGCATGGATCCTCTCCTTTTGTGATTCACAACAGATTCAGCTGGTCTTGTGTTCCTTTTCACGGGCTGGTGATGATAAGTGTAGCTCTCTACCCTTTCCTTGCCCGCGGAAGGATAATCTGACAAGCAGTTTCGTCTTCTTGACTGAATGAAACAGATCACTAACGCGATGATCACTAGTATTATGCCAATAACGATCAAAATGATCGCTAAAGTGTTAAATGACCCGGTCTTGTTCCCCGTGGGAGGAGGACTAGGAGGAGATCTCGGATCATTAGGGCTTAAAGGAGAGGTTTTAACAGAACATGGACTCAATGGAGGATCACATAAACCTTTGTTACCTACATTTTACAAAACACAATTCATTTTAGTATTTTATTTTTTGAAACAATTCATTTTAATCTAATAAAGAAGAATGAAAAAAGTACCAGCAAAAGAGCCAGGATCCATGTTTCGGAGGCTTTCAGGTATGGGTCCATCGAGGTCATTGTTTTCAAAGCTAGCTAGTTTAAGATCCTTCTGTTTAAAATATGGTATCTGCCCTTGAAACTGGTTACCATTAAGCCTCACCTCTATAAGCATTGGCAAAGAAGCAACAGAAGAAGGAATTGTTCCACGAAACGCGTTGTTTGCAAGCAAGATCTTCTTCAAAACGGGCATATCTTGAAACACATTCGCGGGTATCTCCCCCGAGAACCGGTTGTTAGACAGATATAAAGATTTCAAAGAGGTAAGCCTGTTAACCTGAGGCATTGGGCCGTTGAAGTCGTTGTTCATGAAGCTTAGGGTTCGTAAATTCTTCATGGGAGCCAATGGTTCGAGGTTTAGTCTCCCGGTTAAGCCCATTCCCTCGAGTTGTAACCCCCAAACGTAGTTGCTACAAAGAACACCAAACCAATTCGCGTCGTTTCCTAGACATGGTGAGGTTGATGGCTCCCAACTGTTAAACACCGAGGCGTTTGCTAATGTGTCTTTGAATCTCAAGAGACAATCTGCGTCTGAATTTGGCACAACCATTTGAGACGTTACCACCGGACATAACACGGTGATAAAGATGATGATGGTGAGAAAAATGCAAGAAGCTGGATTTTTCTTCGAGGCCGTGTTACACGCAAGCATAACCGGGCTCTCCCAAATTCGCATTGCGGTTACACGCGCAATGGAATCGATTTGATCCCTGTGAAGTCTTTTTTCTTTTTTTTTTTTTGTGTTTTTGTTTTTGTTTTGTTGTTGTCTTCTTCCTTGAAAGCCAAGAAATTGTATGAACGGAAGAGAGAAGAACAAAACCTACCAAGAATAGACAAAGCAGAGTATGTAAATTGGCAAAGTTTTGAATTTTTGTATTTCTTTCTATTTTTCTTTTTTGGTATTGTGTCGTCTTAAGATTATTATTAGGTGAGAGAGATCCTTGGATAACCGTTCAATAATATTGTTTTAAGTGTTATATATGTAATCCTTGTTGTTCTGATTTGTCATTTGCTTTTGTTTCAACCAAAAATTTCTTGTTGTCTCTAGATAATTTAATTCGGTATAACCAATTTCAAGAATTAGGCATTTATTGATGGATTGTTCTATATATGATGATATCTGAACCAACTAAACAGTGTTCTATAACCAATTAAGTTCAAGACTTATGCATGGACTTATGCATGGACTTATGCATGCATGAATTAACTTGGTTCGATCATATTATCTCAATATGTCACATGAACTGAATTTTTTTTTTTTCTCAACATAGTAAAAGTTAGTAGTTGTCCTATAGAAATGTACTTAATACAGTATTAGTACGGACTTATTTTTTTTTTCTTTTTCAAAAGTCTTATAAAGAAATTATTAATGATGACTTTGTAATTCCTCTTTTTGAAATTCTGTGACTCTGCACGGTTTGTTGTAACTTGGAAGAGTTGATTTTCTCCGACAGTGTTAGTCGTGAGAAGACAAACTAACTTAAAAGGCAAAGACATGGATTCGACCAAGAGATAAAATGTTAAATTAAATATTTTTATGGGTATAGGAAAATCAAAGTAACAAAAAATTGAGAGGCCAAATTAGCTGTGAATGTTCTCAAAATCTTCAAAAGAACGCGGAATTGGTCAAAACGCTTTTAAAGCGAAGGTGGGTCCAACTCGAAACTGGTCGGCATTTGCTTAAAACGTAACGTGTGAACTTGATTTCGAAGCTACACTGCTGCTCCTGCAGCGTCCATACCAGTTTGTTCGTGCTAGAAATTTTAGATTGTTTAGTTCGATTTTATCTTTTCTTCTTATTGATCAAAGTAGATTTTTTTATGAATTTTTTATTTTTATATATTCTGTTTTTCCGCTGCATGCAAAATACACGGTTTAAACAGCTGTTATTTCCTTTACAGTGAATTTTGAACAAGAAACATAATTTGTGGATAAAACATATACTGAACTGTGGAGTAAATGATAACTATGATATGAATGATTATAAGATGGATGGATCATGGATGTGTACATATTATTCGTTCACACTCATCTTAGGTATACTGGACAAGTGTGCTACAGTGGTTTCATATGATAAACATTAACGTACGAGCATCATCGTCACTAGTGAAATTTTATAACCTGGTGCTCATATGAAAAAGGTAAATAATTAAAGAAATTTAGGTTTTAATGTTGGCTAGTAAATAGAAAATGAGAGGATCAAAAGGCAGGGAATAATCACAAACTTTTAGACGTAAAAGTAAGAAGTGTTGGACCAACCCCTTGCTTGCACGTTTGGTGTCATCTCATCACTTGTCTTTTCGATCTCTGCGCCTGTACGGACTATTTTGCCCTTACATCTTTTTTTTTTATCCCTATAAAAGGATTAAAAAACCGATTTATGAAAAGATAATCTGAATTCTAAAACGGCATTTAGACAGGAGGTGTACATTTTAGTCATGATCAAATTATATTTGCTATGCGTTATAAATCACTCACTATGGTTAGTTTGGTAGTGGAAACATTGATTGTGTATAGTACTTTGATTGTTAATTGCGGACTCGACTCGAGATAGATTTACCAAAAAAGGAAACAAAAAGATGTTCATTGCTTTCATACATTCGTCCACACATAGAATATATATCACCATCATGATTTATTTTCTTAGGTCATCGCAATTACTCGGTTCGTACGTTTTTCATTTTATTCAAAGGACTTTAAAATTAACATTATTAAATTGAAAGGACCATGTGCTAATTTTCTCTTATTATTATATATACTCGATTGATTAATTAACTACCCATTGTTTTTGCTTTTGCTCGTGTTTCTTTCATTACGAGGAATTGGTGTTAATGTTATATATAAACAAATCAATACAAATTTAGATAACACAATCGATATATTATATGATTGATTGACCTTGGTTCCATGAAATTTCTAGGTAAAAGAAAAATGTTTCGATTAACAGAAAAAAAAAACAGAAAACTGTTACATGTTGAATGACGCAACGAAAACAATATTGACTCTGGTAAAACATGGTAAAGCTCATGACACTTCAACCACTCTCATTAACTTCATAATTCAATATCTCATAGTCATATTCCACCATTTATTAGATGAAAATCACCATATCATATCATGTGTGTGCATGTACATATATGTTCCATCTGAAAATAACTAAAAGTATACAAACTAAAATAGTGGAATTATCAACCAAAAACTAGAAAAACTAGTGCAAAGTCAAACTATGGAACCGAATTAATCATGCTGACTTCAAAAGAAAAATGCGATTGTTGGTAGATCAATAATAATTTAATATTTTTCAGAAATGGTATAAACAACACGACAAGAAATTTGATTTTCAAACAAAACATTATCAACAGAAATTTAATCATATAAGTATATTAGCACCTGTATAAATGATATAATTAGTCGTGAATCGTCATAATAATGTTGACTGTCTGAAATAAAAAAAAGGCTCTTTTTTTTACGCGCTGCATAATATCAACAGTGGCAAACATGTAAAAAAGAAGAGTCAAAGGGGTATTTAATGAAGAAAGAGATGAGGATAAAAATGAGGTGAGCGTTTATTATTCCCCCTGGTGGAAAGTAGGCAGCAAGTGGTAGCAACAAAGCACTTCTCTTTTGATTCCAATCTTTTGCCTTCGAATCAAATTCATCATCAAAATCAACAAATCTTTTGCTCTAACCTCAACAATCTATCTCTCTCCGCAACACCCCAACCTGGTAAGATTCTTGATTTCAAAGTTTCCATCTTTTTCTTCTTCTGTCGGTTGCTTCTGCTGAATTTCTGTTTCTTCAAGTTTCTAGTGATTATTCTTACTTAAAACTTCAATCTTTTTGCAAAAGAACTTAACTTTTGTTGTTTCTGTTGATTAAACTGTGTTGAAATTGAGTTATCAAGCTTTAGGGATATGTAACAGTTGTCTTGCGGTTAAAATCTCTGAACTTTGTCTTCCTTCTGATCTTTATAGCCATGTCTCAATCTTGTTTATCTACTGGGTCGATCTTCAATTGAATCTTTCTAAATAAAGATTCAACCTTTATGATTTTTTTCTCTCTCATTTCAATTGTCTCTAACGAATTAGGGTTCGTGTCCTAAGAGATCTAAGAAACTGTTTGTTTGTTGTTGTTGTTGCTGCTGGCAGATAGTTTCAACATGGAAGCTACACAGAAACATATCATTCAAGAAGGATCTTCAATGTTTTATCATCACCAACCATCTTCAGTCCAACAACAAATGGACCTCTCTGTTCAAACATTTGATTCTTACTGCACACTTGAATCCTCTTCAGGCACCAAGTCTCATCCTTGCCCTAACACCAACAACAACAACAACAAGACTTCTTCAACCACAAGCTTCTCCTCTAACGGAAGTCCCATCTCTCAATCCAACAACAACAACAAGTTCTCCGAGTTTAACCATTCCCCTGACGACAACAACACCAACAACAACAACTCTCCTCTCAGCGGATCTTCAGCGACGAACAACAACGAGACAGAGCTCAGTCTCATGCTCAAAGACTTGGAAACCGCAATGATGGAGCCTGACTTAGACACTTATGACGACGACCACCAATCCGGGTTTGTCGGACAGCAGCAGCAACACAGAGTCCTTTCCTCAGCTATGTACAGATCCATGGAGATGATCTCCAGAGGAGACTTAAAAGGAACTCTCTACGAATGCGCTAAAGCTGTCGAGAACTACGACCTGACAATGACAGATTGGTTGATCTCTCAGTTGCAGCAAATGGTTTCTGTCTCCGGCGAGCCTGTTCAACGCTTAGGAGCTTACATGCTCGAAGGTCTCATCGCTCGGCTAGCTTCTTCCGGCAGCTCAATCTACAAAGCTCTGAGATGCAAAGACCCTACAGGTCCTGAGCTTCTTACTTACATGCACATCTTGTACGAAGCTTGCCCTTACTTCAAATTCGGTTACGAGTCTGCTAACGGAGCTATAGCTGAAGCTGTCAAGAACGAGAGCTTTGTCCACATCATCGATTTTCAAATCTCTCAGGGAGGTCAGTGGGTGAGTTTGATCCGTGCTCTCGGTGCTCGTCCTGGTGGACCACCGAGAGTTCGGATAACCGGGATCGATGATCCGAGATCTTCGTTTGCTCGGCAGGGAGGGCTTGAGTTGGTTGGACAACGGCTCGGGAAGCTAGCGGAGATGTGCGGTGTGCCGTTTGAGTTTCACGGAGCTGCCTTGTGTTGCACGGAAGTTGAGATCGAGAAGCTTGGAGTTAGGAACGGCGAAGCGCTCGCGGTTAACTTCCCGTTAGTGCTTCACCACATGCCTGACGAGAGCGTGACGGTGGAGAATCACAGGGACAGGCTGTTGAGGCTGGTGAAGCGTTTGTCGCCGAGCGTTGTGACGCTCGTGGAGCAGGAAGCGAACACGAACACGGCGCCGTTTCTTCCGAGGTTCGTGGAGACGATGAACCATTACCTGGCGGTTTTCGAGTCGATCGATGTGAAGCTGGCGAGGGATCACAAGGAGAGGATCAATGTGGAGCAGCATTGTTTGGCTAGAGAGGTTGTGAATCTTATAGCCTGCGAAGGGGTCGAGAGAGAAGAGAGGCATGAGCCGTTGGGGAAGTGGCGGTCGAGGTTTCACATGGCCGGGTTTAAACCGTATCCGTTGAGCTCTTATGTGAACGCAACGATCAAAGGGTTGCTTGAGAGTTATTCGGAGAAGTATACGCTTGAAGAGAGAGATGGAGCTTTGTATTTAGGGTGGAAGAATCAGCCTCTCATCACTTCTTGTGCTTGGAGGTAACCTAAAACATAAACAAAACAGAAACTTTGGCTTGTTTTGAGAAAGGGAGAGAGAGGTTAGAATCTTTTTTTTTACAGTTTGCAGAATCTGTTTGTAAAAGTAAAAAAACCGAAGAAACAGTTGTCAATTGTTGTAGTAGTAAGTAGTAAGTGTTATTGATGACCTCAGACGTTTTAAAGTTTTTATGTTTGTATTTTCACAAGAAACTATGATTATGACACTAGAATTTATATAACTCTCTGCTCTCCCTTGATGTGAAAAATTTATGGTTTTTTTTTATAGAAGGGATCAATTTTTTTCTTGTCGATATTAAGCACAGGATCAAGAAGAGATTGCAGATTTTGTGTGTATGAAAATGGTAAATACTAATCGGCCGTTTTAAATGTGAGCACTTTATGTACCATTTTGGTAAATTACAAGTTCGACTAACTTGTTTGATTTGCAACTCTAAAGTCTAAAACAAATTAATTGATTTGTAACCATCGGTGTAACAGAATTGGTATGAGTCTTGTTTAGAAGTTAGAGAGAAAGTAGTTAGAGACGTTGAGAGAAAATATGGTTTGGTTAAAATGGATGATAAACGGTTGCAATCATCATAAACGTGTAGACGACTGTCTAATCAATCGGTCAAACAGTAACACTACTCATCTTTGTAAAAGGTATAAATGATGACTATTTGATGAGACGAGGATGACATGAGAAAATCCAATTCTACATTACATGTTTTAGATTTTCAAAGCTTTAGATTCTTTGAAATCTCTTCTTGGTTGAAAGGTTTGCTTGACAACTTTTTCGATACGGTCAATTTTGTTACATTTATTGATTCAGGAGTACAGATGCTTAGACTCCCTGATAACGTCATGATTATGTAATGATTCGTCAGACAAAACCTAAGGTTTCTAGAAGTTGTGTTCCAAACTCATATTTGTCGTTGTTGTTCTTTCGTGTACTCAGTTAGTTATAAACAACATTCAAAGACTTGAGTTTGTGTCTTTGACCATTCAATAGAAAGAATGATAAATGATCTAAACGTCATCCATACGTCATGCTTCCGCAAGCCATTTGTGTCACGTGATCCGCTCGCTGATAAACCTCATAAACGTGTGCGCTCAGAGCCTGATTGGTTCTCCCGCTACCACCCGCAAACGCAGCGTTTGCGGTTCGTAGCGGTTTTCGGCGGTTTATAACAATCACGACAACCGCTTTGAATCGCTCTATACCACTCTGTACCGCTCTATATCGCTGAAAATCAAAAGCTCCTTTCCGCAAGCGTTTGCGGTTGCGGGCGGTTGCGGGTGGATAATTAAAAAAAAAAAAAAACACAAACTTATATAAAATCCGAAAATAAATAATAATATTTATTAAAAAATAAGATTTGGATAATAAAATCACAATATAAATAAAAAATTAGTACTTTTAGTCAATATTCATTAAAATCATATAATACTTATATATTTATAAGTTCTACAAATCAAAATTCTCTTCATAAATATTCTTTTCATACTAATACATATATATCTAATAAATAAAATTGTAAAATAAATTTAATTTTCACATTAAATATATATTTTGAAAATAAAATCACATTTTTTATTTAAATTATAGAAATTAAAAAATAGACGTAAGTATTATACACATATTATTCTTTATAAAAAAATATTTTTAATTATGTTGAACCATAAATTTAAAATTTTCATTATAATATAGTTTTGATATTTTTATAATTATATAATGTGTTTATATTATTAATTTATTGTTTAACCGCTATTGCATCCGCAAGTGAACCAGTCATAAGTATCCCGCAAACGCATCCATTTTCAATTGTTATGCCAGTCGTACAAACCGCTTAATAACGCTACTAATCACAACCGCCCGCTTCCGCAAACTCCCGCACCCGCAACCGCAACCGCAGCGGTTAAACCAGTCAGACCCAAAATACGTGGGCAACCAAACAACTAAATTTTTCGTTAGTTTTCTTTGTAAATGACTAATGAGACATATGCCAAATAAGATATTATTTAAAATCGAATCGTGCACATTTTTTTTTTTGGTTTTAGAATCATGCAAAAGCTAAAGTAGCTGCTCGTAGATACACTCGGCATTTCTAGGAAAAAAAAACATACAAAAGAAAGATTACGATGAAAACAAATAAACTAACTAAATGTTGGCTTTGATTAAACGGATGTTGTCATAGCATTGCCGGATTCGAAGCAGGAAATTTGGTTCTTTCCGAATGTTAAAAAGTGGAGGGACCAAACTGTTTCAAAAGCTGTGGATACAAAAGAGAATCAAGAAAAATATAAATATTACGGATGCAATAATTGGGATATATCCACGGGGTCCATTAGCGATACAAGAGATGATCGACTCACTTTTGCCTTTCGACGTAACATTTCGAATTGAAACATCTCTATTCGCTAGTTATTACGAAGATAGAAGATGATGGACTGATGACGTAACTAACACAAACCATAGACATTTTTATCTAAATCTTTCTTGCAAACAAATAAGCTGAATTATTCCTCTGTTTCCTTATAATTGTTTTAACATAAACTTTTCCAAAAGTTTTAATACATTATAGAGCTAATCTTCTTTAGCAAAAAGAAAAAAGAACTAACTTATTTGTACTGTATAATTAAAAATCAGTTAAATCTTGTAAAGAAAATAAAAATGGCGTCCTCAAAACCCAAATAACACCCTTGTAAAAAAAATTGACTTATACATTACCATCATCGTCTTAATTTGGCCAACTGTCCATACAACAACTCTTTCCTTAGTATAAATACATCTTCACCAGAGAGATTCAACCAATAAACTAGATTCTTCACTAGATCTCTTTAGAGTTTCTTGTTACAAAAAAAGTTTCCCTTTAGAGTTTCAAGATGCCAACCTCAGAGAAATCTTCTTGTAAGAGTAGTAATAATAGTAATAATAATAATAATAAGAGGTTAGTTGTTAAGAAGCTTTTCGCAAGACAGCAACATGAAGGATTTGGAGCTGTTGTAAGAAGAAGCATCGGGCGGTAAGATAGCAGCTGAAAAAGTATTCTTCAATTATGATTGTAAATGAAAATAGATGTTTTAAAAATCTTGTTAAATATTTTCAGGTTTGAGTTAAGATACTTCGATCCATTTCTTGTTTTGGATGAATTCTCAGGTAGGATTTGTTTTGTTTCTTTTATACCTCTGTTTCTGTTTTGTTCTTTTAAATCCAATTTGTCAGAGATTAATAATGGAAAATCTTTGAAACTTTCAGTTTCGTCTCCTGCAGCAGGATTCCCAGATCATCCACACAGAGGTTGGTTTAGTCATGGATTGTTTTAAACGTAGTTTACGCGTTTGAGTTTGCGTTTACTTAACAAAATTATACACTACATATTCTTGAAGTAAGTTAGTCCACAAAAAAGAAAATTATAATTAAGTTTTCATAAATATTTTTGAAAACACCATCCTTTTACGTTTGACGTTTATGTTTATAAATTGACAATTACTGTTCTTTAAATACTTAAATTTGTGGGTTCATTTGAAAAAAAGATACATTAAATTTAAACGCAAACGTAAGTGTACACGCTAATAAAAGCAATCAAGGTACTAACTACTAACTAATCTTAACCGTCTGATAAAAAACAGAGTATGAGTATGAGTATGACCACTAACACTAACCTATCTCACTATTGTTCTTCTTGTTTACTATTTTTTTTTTTCTTTCCAAAAACAGGATTTGAGACAGTCACTTACATGTTAGAGGTATTGATTAATCTCTCTTCTCTTCATTTCCTTACCCGATTACACTAGAATCGCCATGCGTAATCTTGTTGTATTTGTAAATATCACATAGGGAGAAATTCTGCATGAAGACTGTGAAGGACACAAAGGAGTAATAAGAGAAGGAGGATTACAATGGATGACTGCAGGAAAAGGCATTGTTCACTCTGAAATGCCTTCTTCTAATGCTAATGGCATCACTCACAACAAGGGCTTGCAGCTTTGGATCAATCTCTCCTCAAAACACAAACTGTAAGCTTCTTCCATGTACTCTGTTCACAAGTTACTGAATTGACAGTGAGTGAAGTGATCCATGTTTCTTTGTATACTAAGATTATGTCTCTTCTTGTTTTCAAAATCTTTTTAAGAGTTGAGCCGAGTTATCAAGAAATAGAGAGCAAGGATATAGCGGAAGCAGAGAAAGATGGTGTGAGAGTGAGAATCATAGCAGGAGAATGGAATGGTGTTAAGTCAAAGATTTGCACAAGAACACCAACAATGTATCTAGACTTTACTCTCTCGCCGGGTTCTCGAGTCTCTCAGCCCATTCCACTTCACTGGAATGCGTTTGTATATGTTCTTCAAGGTCAGGGCCATTTTGGAGATGCCAGATCACAACATTCAACCGCTGCCACACATCACTTGCTGATTCTAGGCCTAGGTGGTGACCGGTTAGAGGCATGGAACAGCTCTGATTCCGGTTTGCCACTTCGGTTTATCCTTGTGGGTGGTGAGCCTATAGGTGAACCAATGGTTCAGTATGGTCCTTTTGTTATGAACACACAAGAAGAGATTGATCAGACCATTGATGATTTTGAGAACTTCACAAATGGTTTTGAGAAAGCTAGACACTGGAAGTCTCAAGCTGCTTCTACATTGGGTTTGTTCTAAAATCTTTTTGTTTTTGTTTTGGTCTCTATTTATAATCTGTCTGAGTAAGTACCTTGTAATTGTTTATTTTTCATTCTTCTTCCCTTTTTCATATTCAATATTTTATTTCCCCTTATATTTGAGGGAGTGTGAGTTATCTATATATGATTCAACCACATAAGCTAGAGATATGATTCAACGGCACATAAGCTTGGGAGAGGCATTGTGTACTACTACTACTAAGTAAGACTATGTAATTGATAAATTTTATTTGAAAAATGATTTAAAATTTGATTTGGAGGTAAACATTAAAAATGTAAATAAAGGTCTTTAAAAACATTTCAATACGGAAGAAACATTATTTTAGAAGTTGCAAAAGTACTCCATTCAAGACGACTTTGTGTTGTTGACTTCACTCTCCAATGCTTCGACAAAGTTATCAGCATAACCACTCAACAATCCAGGACTAATCAAAGTCTCTTTCAATTTCTTATGATTCCTGTTCACTAGATTCCCAATCTCACTATCTTTATCCATCACAGATTTAACAGCATCTCTCAAGTTCTCTTTAGAAAACCATCCAGAGTCTTCTCTTTGCACCTTCACAGAGACCTCCAGCTCCTCAACCAACAATCTGGTGGCCAGAACTTCATCAGCCAATTGCGGAATATTGACAATCTGACAGTCACTAACCAAAGATTCCCACATTAAACTGGATCCACAATGGTTCACGAAGCAACCTACTGATCCATGGGACAATATTAAAGGTTGTTGTTCCACCCATCCTCCCCAAACGATTCCACGCCCTTTGACCCTCTCTTCGAACCCTTCTGGTAATGCTTCTTGAGTCGTTGATGAGCCTCTCGGCGGCTTAACCGCTACTATGAACGGAAAACCCGTTAGCTCCATTCCTAAACAGAGTTCTTGGAATTGGTCCTTCTCTAAAAAGGTTTGGCTTCCCAACGCACAAAACACTACCGAGCCTGGTTCAAATCCATTCAGCCAATGATTCCATCGATCTTCTAGTTGTTTGACACTCTTTTCTTGCGGCTCAGGGAACATTGGACCGGTTAAGAGAACTTTTCTCTCACATTGTCTTTCGATGAAACTGCAATATTTACCCTCGATTTCCGCGCATGTCCTTATGGCAACGACGTCGCAGTTCTTAAGACCTGTGGTGACCCGGCCCATTAGCCTCTTGGATGAATTCGTGAAGATAGAATAAAGTTTAGCGTCGTGTCCACGTAACGCCACTTTCGAGGAAGGATAACCCAACGGTTGAGGGAACCCTAGCTCAACACCAGGTGCAAGAGCCATAGCTAGACAAGCTGCGGATACGATCTGATAACTCACACTCTTGACTCCAAACTCTTTCGCCATTTCTGGAACCCAATAAACAAAATCGAAGAAGATAAGGTCTGGTTTCAAAGCACGAACCTTTGATTCGATATGACCGCGTAAGAGATCCATGGCATCGGATATGACTTTCCCAGAAGTGTTTGGCAGATCTGAGTTTGTCTCTGCGCCAATAGGGAGACCATCGACATAAGGAAGAGTAAGAGGCTCGAAAAGAATGCTCTCTGGGAACAGGTTGAGAGGTTCAAGTTGGTTCTTAGCTTTCGTGGGAAGCAAGAAAGTTACCCTATGACCTTTCTCAGCTAATTTGTTGGCTAGATGAAGATATGGAATCGTATGACCAAAAGCAAAATATGGGTACATAAAAGCATGAAACTTTGATCCCATTTCTTCAAAAGAGAAAAAAGAAGAAAAAGTCTTGAGTTTTATTCCCCCTCAAAGGCTCAAATTATAGAAGAAACTAAGAAAGATTGTCTCTTTTGATTCAGATGCCGCTTCTCTGTATATATCCATAGCTTAAAGAACGTGTATTAGTTTAAGTGCCATTATTCTTAATTGTTAACTGGGATGGGTCTAAATGAGTTGTATGTCAGCAATGAATTAGGATTTACGTGACACAAGATTCGCCTGTGTTTTTGTCTTTTGGTGTTAGTGTGAAATTCACAAGCTACCCTTTCAGACAACTTTAGCCAATGAGAAGCTAGCTATTCAGATCTGATAGTGTAAATAGTGTAAAAAGTCTTTAAATGACTAAATTTAAAGCCTATCCTATGATGAAGTTGTACATGAATCCTCTTCTCTAATAGATCTCGTTATTTATTTAATTGTTAATCATAATCTCTTACATGCATCTCTCTCTACTTTGATAACTAACCATCTTTGATTAATAAGTTTGGATATAGAAGCCCTTTAAATATGAAAGCCCTTTTTTTTTATAAAAAAGTTTGCATATAGAATCACCATGTTGTAAGGTTTTTTGAAGGTTATATATACGTTAACTTTTGTTTTTTTGTACATGTAAATTTTCAACTTTTATAATAAGACAATAAATTGAAAGTATACACACAATGTAAAACAACTGGAATATAAATTTTTCGAGAACAATTATTTTAGGACAGAGGAAACATTATACTAAAATTTATAGTATTCAAATTTCAACACAATTTTGTATTGTGGACTTCATTCTCCAGTACTTCAACAAACTTATCAGCATAGCCACTCAACAATCCAGGACTAACCAAAGTCTCTTTCAATGTCCTATGATTCCTCCTCACTAATTTCCCAATCTCACCGTCTTTATCCATCACAGATATAACCGCATCTCTCAAACTCTCCTTAGAAAACCATCCAGAATCTTCTCTTTGCACCTTCACAGAGACCTCGAGTTCCTCAGCCAACAATCTTGTGGTCAGAACTTGATCAGCCAATTGCGGAATATCACAATCTGACAATCACTAACCAAAGACTCCCACATTGTACCAAATCCACATGGTTCACAAAGCAACCTACTGATCGATGGGACAATATCAAAGGTTGCTCCACCCATCCTTCCAAACGATCCCACGCCCTTTGACCCGCTCTTCGAACCCTTCTGGTAAGGCTTCTTGAGTCGTTGATGAGCCTTTTGGCGGCTTAACCGCTACCAAAAACGGTAAACCTGTAAGCTCCATTCCTAAACAGAGTTCTTGGAATTGCTCCTTCTCTAAAAAGAATTGGGTGCCAAACGCACAAAACACTACCGAGCCTGGTTCGAATCCATTCAACCAATGATTCCATCGATCTTCTAGTGGCTTACCTCTTTTCTCTTGCAGCTCAGGGAGCATTGGACCGGTTAAGTGAACTTTTCTCTGGCATTCTCTTTCGATGAAACCAATATATTACTTTCGAGTTCTGCGCATGTTCTTATGGAAATTACGTCGCAGTTCTTTAGACCCGTGGTGATCCGACAAGAAGCCTTTGGCGGGAATTGGCGAAGAGAGAATAGAGGGTAGCGTCGTGTCCACGTAACATCATTTTCGAGGAGGATAACCCGGTGGTTGGTGAAGCCCTAGTTCAGCGCCAGGTGCAAGAGCCATAGCAACAAAAACTGCGGACACGATCTGGTAACTCACACTCTTGACTCCAAACTCTTTCGCCATTTCTGGAACCCAGTCAACAAAATCGAAGAGAATTAGGTCTGGTTTCAAAGCACGAACCTTTGCTTCGATCTGACCTCGCAAGAGATGCATCGCATAGGATATGACTTTCCCAGACGTGTTTGGTAGATCCGAGGTTGTCTCTGCGCCAGCAGGGAGACCATCCACATGAGGAAGAGTAAGAGGGTCTAAGACAATGCTGTCCGGGAAACAGATTGAGAGGTTCGAGTTGTTTCTTAGCTTTCTTGGGAAGCAAGAAAGTTATCTGGTGACCTTTCTCAGCTAGTTTGTTGGCTAGATGAAGATATGGAATCATATGACCAAAACCAAACGTTGGGTACATAAAAGCATGAAACTTTGACCTCATTTCCTCAATTTAGAGAAGAAAGGTTGCTGCTTTCGCTTAAGAGGTTCTTTTGTTTTGTTTGGGTTAAAAACGTGTTTTTAGTACAAGTGCTATTATTATTTATAACATGGGATTAGTTGGGTTAGGTGGTCGTAGTTAGTGAATTGCACGTGCCAAGTCTGCCATGTGTAATTTCATTGTGATCCAGATTCTCGCATGTGGTTTTTGTCATTTGGTGTTACTGTGAAATTTCAAAGCTGTCCCTTTGATAAAACTTGCTATGATATTTAGAAACCGGCTCTCAGTAAAATTTTCAACGATGTGCTTGAGGTTTTTTAGGTTATGTGAGCTGTTATTTATTCTCAATATTTTTTCCTTGTGATATATATCACACTTGTTTAAAAAAAAAAAAAGCATGAAATTTTATTTGAAAGTACACAACGTTATATATGGAGGAAACATATATAAGAGTATTTGAATTCAAGACGATTTTGTGTTGTTGACTTCATTCTCCAATGCTTCAACAAACTTATCAGCATAACCACTCAACAATCCAGGACTAACCAAAGTCTCTTTCAATGTCTTATGATTCCTCTTCACTAGATTCCCAATCTCACTGTCTTTATCCATCACAGATTTAACAGCATCTCTTAAACTCTCTTTCGAGAACGATCCAGAGTCTTCTCTTTGCACGGTTACAGAGACTTGAAGCTCATCACTCAACAATCTTGTGGTGAGAACACAATCAGCCGCTTGCGGAATAAACACAATCTGACAATCACTAAACAAAGATTCCCACAATGAACCGGATCCACAGTGGTTCACAAAGCAACCTACTGATTGATGGGACAATATCAAAGGTTGGTCCACCCATTCTCCCCAAACGACTCCACGCCCTCTAACCCGCTCTTCGAACCCTTCTGGTAATGCTTCTTGAATCGTTGATGAGCCTTTTGGCGGCTTAACCGCTACTAAAAACGGTAAACCGGTTTGCTCCATTCCTAAACAGAGTTCTTGGAATTGCTCCTTGTCGAAATAGAATTGGGTGCCAAACGTACAAAACACAACCGAGCCACGTTCAAATCTGTCCAACCATTGATACCATTGATCTTCTAGTTGTTTAGCACTCTTTTCTTGCGGCTCAGGGAACATTGGACCGGTTAGGTAAACTTTTCTCTGACATTTTCTCTCGACGAAACTGCAATACTTACCCTCGACTTCCGCGCATGTCCGTACCGAAATGACGTCGCAGTTCTTAAGACCTGTGTTGATCCGACGCAAAAACGTTTTGTGGGAGTTTATGGTTTTAGAATAAATGTTAGCGTCGTATCCACGTAACGCCACTTTCGAGGAAGGATAATCCGACGGCGTAGGGGACTCAAGTTCAGCACCAGGTGCAAGAGCCATAGCTAGACAAGCTGCGGACACGATCTGGTAACTCACACTCTTGACTCCCAACTCTCTTGCCATCTCTGGAACCCAATCAGTAAAATCGAAGAAGATGAGGTCTGGTTTCAAAGATCGAACCTTTGCTTCGATGTCACCGCGTAAGAGATCCATGGCATCGGAAATGACATTCCCAGTAGGGGTTTTGATATCCGCGGTTGTCTCTGCGCCATCAGGGAGACCGTCAACAGGAGGAAGAGTAAGAGGGTCGAAGACAATTCTGTCCGGGGACAGGTTGAGAGGTTCGAGTTGTTTCTTAGCTTTCTTGGGAAGCAAGAAAGTTACCCGGTGACCTTTCTCGGCTAGTTTGTTGGCTAGATGAATAAATGGAATTATATGCCCAAAAGCAAATAATGGGTACATAAAAGCATGAAATTTCGACGCCATTAGAAAAAAAAAGAAGAAGAACAAGTTCTGTGTTTTCTGTATTCTTAATTTACAGAAGAAAGGTAAGCTTCTTGTGGTTTAGATGTTGTATGGTTGAGATGCTCCTTTCTCATGTATATATCTATGGACTATGGCTTAAAGAACGTGTTTTAATTGAATTGTTGGTGAACCTTGCTTGTCGCTTTGTATGGTAGGTCCAATATATGTGTTGGCAATGAATTGGGATTGGTTAAGATAAAGCTTCGCATTTCGCTTTTTATGTGTGGTTGAGTTGTATATATCTTGGGAATGAATTGGGATTGGTTGTTGAAGATTCGCATGTTTTTATCTGTTGGTGACGTGTTAGTGTGAAATTCACAAGCTTTTAGTAAAAGGATTTATTCTCTTAAGTTCTGATGATCATGCGTAGTAGAGAATCATAAAGGATTTTGATGTTGGGTTCCTCATGGAGTTTCAGAATATCATGAAGACACAATTACACCAAGCTCGCAAGCTCTTTCTAACGATTGTCAGTTGTGAACTTACAAATAAAAAAGTTTTGTTTCGTTTGGTTTGATATCTTTGTATTCTGTGTATGTATATTGAGCCAATGAGAAGCAATTTAGATTTTGATTGTGTAACGAGTTGGATGAAAAAATTTTGTGGTGTTAAAATTCTTCAATGATTAAAGGGTGAATTGCAAAAAACTAGTGTTTTTGACCAAAGTTTTTAGCTAAATAGCCTTTTACCAAAAGTTGTTGAGTAAATAGCATTTCCGGACGATTTTACTCTTACGGCGAAAAAGACTAATCCACTATTATATTATATTGTTCATAATTTGATTGTTTTGGGGAACGTTAATTTTGCATGATAATAAAATTTCTTGCTGAGTAATATATAAACCCTAACATCTAAACCATAAATCCTAAAATCTAACTCTATATCATGAAATCTAAACCCTAGTCAATGATTAATTAACAAAACTCATTAGTATTTGTTAGCCTTACAAAAATTTTAAAAACTTTTTGAAACGTTTACAAGATTTTGGAAACTTTTCTATATATGTTAATATAACTTTCATGTAGCCTATTAATTATGTAAAACACAGCTCATCTTCTTCATTTGACTTGTCGATTAATGTTCATCGATAGAATATAGATTGATCCATCAACCCAGAAATGTATAAAGTTAGAAGCACTTGGTTCAAATATTTTTTGGTGGAGAGAGAGAGGGACCAGATAAAGGAAATGGGGTCAGAAAAATAGTTAGGGAGAGAGGGAGAGAGGGAGAGAGAGACGAGATAAAAGTGTGTGTGAGAATAATAATGTTCAAACAAATGCATGCATTAAGAAATATTTTCACGGATTAAAGGTAAATGACAATGAATTTGGAAACTAACCATCTTTTGAGCCAGAATTGCTTTAATTAAGAAATAGGAAATATAAAACCAATGGAATAAAAATTCTTTCAAAAAATTGCTTTAAGACATAGGAAACATTATACTAATTAAAATTTTAAGTATACTACACGAACATCAAAAGATGCGGCTAGGGTTTTGGCGACTAGAGTTTAGGCGATTCCAAAGGCGATCACCAATTTTTTAGATCTGCACACTGAACAAGGACGAGAGAAGTTCATCATCACGATATCATCGCTCCATACCAAGGTTTGTTAGAATCTTATCTCTGTGGAACGGTGCTAGTGGTGCTTAGTCTTGTCTCTGCGGTTGCTTTTGTGTTGGTGTTGTTGTGGATCCTAGATCTCTAGCTTTTGCTACGCTTGCTTCTGGTTCTTATTCTAGCAGTGTGCTACGACCGGTGTTACGTAGATCTCTCCGTCAGGCTGTTATCGTCCCTACAATCAGCGAAACAGTAGTGACCTAACTTTTCCGGATTCTTTCCGAGCGATACTATTCTTCTCTATCTGCTAGATCGGGAGTAGGGAGAAACTGTATCAACCTGATAATATGAGTAATCTGACCGGCAACATGCAACGCGGAGGTTCTTCCAACATGACACGGAGGAGGCTAGATCTTGAGGAGGAGATTATCCAACTCCCTGCGTGTGACCTAACGTCGGCTGCCGTGAAGTTCAAAAATACAGTCATAGGACGAATGTTCAACAAGGATGGAACGAATATGGATGCAGTCATTGGAATGCTCCCAAAGCAAAAGATTTGGGATGTAGAAGGAAGAGCCCGAGGAATCAGTCTAGGCAATGGTCAATTTCAATTTGATTTCGATACTGAAGAGGATATGCTGAAGGTGTTGCGAAAACGCCCATGGCACTTCAATAGGTGGAGCTTCTCATTAGAGAAATGGGAACCCTTCACCAGCGAACTCTTTCCAAATACAATGCTCTTTTGGGTGAAGACTACGGGTGTCCCTATGCATTTCTGGAACGACGACAACTTTAATGAGATTGGTAAAGCCCTCGGTACGGTGGTTGCCATAGATGCTGTCCGAGCGCGATTCCAAGTCTCTGTTAACGCGGATGCTCCTTTACAGTTTGAAAGAAAGGTTGGCTTCCCCAATGGAGATGTTGGTACAGTTACCTTTGAATATGTGGGGTTGCACCGCTATTGCTTCACGTGTAAGTTACTGTCACATGAAGAAGGGATGTGCCCACAACTTACGGAGAAACAAAAGGAAAGGAACAAAGAACTGAGAGCGGAGCAGAAGGACCCTAAAGGACCTGTGGCCTCGTCCTACCCTAACGAGAATCGACGTACTCCGCTACAGGGGTCCCAACAGTATGGAAAGAACGACAGAGGTGTGAAGGCGGATACACGAGATTATGTGAGGAGCTCCTACAGGGATAATCGCTATGGTATGCTTACTAATCAAGCCCGAGAGACAGTGTCTAGAGACCTAAGGTACGAACTGAAGGATAAGCGGGAATCTCGGGGGAAGGATGTCTGGAAACGTATTGAAAGGCCGGTATACAGCAGAGACTACAATAAGTCCGACCGCTACCACCCTTATACCAGGGCCCGTGACTATAAAACCTCCCTAGTGGATAGGAGATACGATTCCCACGATGTGTGGAGACCAAGGCAGTACAATAGCCGTGATAATAGTCAACATCTGGACACCCCTCAATCCAGAGCCTCTGCCCACTTTAATAATACTCGAGGAACACCTATGGACTCGCAACGCACCGTCTCTGAGCTCCGACACGATCCGGTTATAAATAGAAAAGGATCAGGTCTTTTAGTGGTGCATCCAAAAGAATCTGATGCTGAGAGAGCACGAAAGATGAAAGGTAAGACACACATTACAGATGACTCAGAGGAAGTGGCCAGAAAGAAGAGAGATATATTACTTGGCAAGAGCATCAGAACCTTGGCAATAAGGGAACCACAGACGACTAATGGACAATCTGTGATAGCCAAACCTGTCCTCGCAGATAGTGGAAAACATATAAACGGAATCGAAACCGGAGATACAGGGGAAAAAGATTCTACTCTGCCTAATGCAGAAGATGGAGAGTTCTTTGACGACGATGAAGACCAGTTCCTCGAGGATCTAGAGGAACCACAGCTGGATGATACTATGATGGAGAATGACGATCTCCTTGGGGAAGAGATGGAGGCGGAAGCAGAACTTTTAGAAGCCATATCGCAGCTATCTCCACCACCAAATCCAGAACCAATCCAAGAGGACATACAACAGCTGCCCGTGAACTCAAAACCTGCAATAAAAGAAACTACGCGGACAAAAACAAGCTCGGGACCAAGAAGACGTGTTCACAACCCTCTGGAACGAAAAGGAACGTCTGCGTCCAGGAAACTACAACCGCTGCGGGCTATTGCTTCGCCAAAGAAGAAGCAGAGAGGCGGAATCCAAACAACTACAACGGCCTCTTCTCTCACTGTCCCTCGTCATGAGGTGTTTCCCTCTGCTACAAGCAAGAGATCTACGACCAAATCCGGTTCGGTGGTGTCCCAGAAACCACCCATTAAGAAGATATGAAGACCATAGCATGGAATTGTCAAGGTGCAGGAGCTGAACTCACAAAATATCACCTCCAAGAGCTGCACCGTTTTTTTGCGCCTGCTTTTCTTTTTCTTTCCGAGACTAAAAACAATTTCTCTTTTATGCAATCTTTACAAACTTCTTTTGGTTATGATAAGCTGTTCACTGTGGAACCAGAGGGGCGAAGCGGTGGACTAGCCCTTTTTTATTTTGACTCTTTTGACGTTACTGTTTTATTCTCCTCAAATCGTATGATTGACATTGAAGCTAGGATTGAGGGGAAAAAGGTGTCCATGACCTTTGTCTACGGCGATCCGGTTACTGAGAACCGAGGGAAAGTATGGGACGATCTTGTCCAAATGAGTATGACGAGGAATGAAAATTGGTTGATGGTTGGGGACTTCAACGAGATCATAAGCAACCGAGAGAAACGTGGAGGACGATGACGAGCTGAATCATCCTTTTTGGATTTCCGTCGAATGCTAGAGTGCTGCGGTATGATTGATTTTCCGTATACAGGGAACCCTCTCTCATGGGTGGGATACAGAGCCTCTGGTAAAGTCCAGTGTCGGCTAGATAGAGCTATTGGAAACGAGGAATGGCATCAATCTTTCTCCCACACTAATGTGGAGTACTTAAAGCTTTGGGGATCAGATCATCGACCGGTGCTAGTAAATATTCTATCTAAAGAAGCTAACATCCATCGAAACTTCAAGTTTGATAAACGATGGCTTGGAAAAGATGGCTTTAAAGAAACGATTAATGAAGGATGGAATATGAGCACAGAAGCACGAGTGGGTGACCTTCATTGCAAAGTAAACTCTTGTAGAAAAGCCATCTCAGTCTGGAAACGCACGAACAAGTCCAACTCTGCCAAGAAGATTGAAACTATCAAGGACCAACTGGAGAAGGCCCAAACAGATGACAATGTTCCAAATGAAGAAGTCCTCAATCTGAAATGGAGCTTATGCTCAGCACATAGAGAAGAGGAACTTTATTGGAGACAAAAAAGCAGAGTCACATGGTTAAAAGAGGGAGACCGTAACACCAAATTCTTCCATGCATCAACGAAGCAGCGCCGAGCCCGTAATCGGATCACAAAGATTAAACGCTCAGATGGAACGTGGGCGGAGACTGATGATGGGATAGAACGTACGGCTACAAGTTACTTCCAAACTCTGTTTTCCTCATCGTGTCCACAAGAAAGTGATGAAGCCCTCCGGTATGTTACCGAGAAAGTTACTCCAGAGATGAACCGATCCCTCACCAAACTGCCAACGAACGAGGAAATTAAGAAAGCAATCTCTGAGATGAATCCAGATAAAGCTCCAGGCCCGGATGGAATGACTAGTCTCTTTTACCAAAGGTTCTGGGAAACTATGGCGACAGATGTTATCCAAATGGTAAAAGACTTCTTCACAACAAATAGTTTGGATACACGCCTCAACCAAACAAATATTTGTTTGATCCCAAAAACTGAACGACCAAGAGACATGTCTGAATTCCGACCAATCAGCCTCTGCAATGTGAGTTATAAGATTATCTCTAAGATAATGAGTAATCGTTTGAAGAGATGGCTCCCAAAGCTTATATCGGAGACACAATCAGCCTTTGTGGCTAGACGACTTATTACTGACAACATCCTAATAGCACAAGAAGCCTTCCACGCACTTCGCACAAATCCTATGTGTAAGGCGAAATTTGTAGCTATAAAAACCGATATGAGCAAAGCATATGACCGAGTTGAATGGGGCTTTCTTCAGACTCTCATGCTCAAGCTTGGTTTCGATGCTATGTGGGTCAGATGGATAATGATGTGCATTAGCTCTGTGTCATACCAAGTCTTAATAAATGGGGAAGCTAAAGGACATATAACCCCTTCAAGAGGTCTACGACAAGGTGACCCTCTCTCCCCTTTCTCTTTATTATACTGACGGAAGCTCTCATTTCACAACTGAGAGGAGCGGAGGAGGCAGGGAAAATAACCGGACTCAAGATAGCAAGAGCATGTCCAGCAGTGTCTCACTTGCTGTTTGCAGACGATAGTCTCTTCTTCTGCAAAGCCGATGTCCTACAATGTGCAGAGTTGATGAAAATAATCGAGTGCTATGGCCTGGCCTCGGGACAGCAACTGAATACTACCAAATCGTCTATATTCTTTGGCAGTAAAGTGCCACCAGACTTACGAGTAGCCATTAAAAATACGATTGGTATTCGTCAAGAAGGAGGCATGGGGATGTATCTTGGATTACCGGAGACGATAAATGGATCAAAGAGACAAGTCTTTGCCTTTGTCCAGGATCGGCTCAATAAACGGATCAATTCATGGTCGGCTAAACTGTAATCTAAAGGAGGGAAAGAGGTTCTTCTCAAATTAGTGGCACAAGCTCTCCCTACCTATGTTATGTCCTGTTTTTTACTCCCACAAGAAATCATTAGGAAGCTCCACAGCGCAATATCGAACTTTTGGTGGAGCAATAAGCAAAATAGCAGAGGTATTCATTGGATAGCTTGGGAGAAGATCTGTCTTCCTTTTGACAAAGGAGGGTTAGGCTTTAGAGATCTCAAGCTTTTTAATCTCGCGTTACTTGCGAAGCAATTGTGGAGAATTATATACCATCCGTCATCCCTACTGGCGAGGATTCTAAAAGGGAGATATTTCCGCAACTCAACGATTCTTGAGGTAGAGAAATCAAATATGCCATCGTATGGCTGGAGGAGTATGTTAGCGGCTAAAGATCTTCTTAAAGCTGGTCTTAGACGTACCATTGGCACAGGAGAGAAGACATTAGTATGGAGAGACTCATGGATCCCAGATGAGCCACCTCGACCTCCACAAGATATTGGTCTCCCAAGAGATCCTCTCTTACTTGTCTCTGCTCTCATTGACCCTGTTACAAAGGAATGGCGGCTTGACAAGCTCACGGATATCCTGAGCACAGAAGAGATCAATCTCGTGCTCAGCCTAAAGCCTAGCCGTACCAACCGAGAAGATGGCTTTTGCTGGACTCTTACAAAATCAGGCATATACTCCGTCAAAACAGGCTATCTTTTGGCCACGCAGAGGAAGGAAAAGCCTGAGAGTATGCAAGTCAATCAACCTAGCGTCGACGGCTTAAAAAGCAGAATCTGGTCCCTTAAAACAACGAAGAAACTAAAACACTTCGTTTGGAGTGCTATTGCTGGATGCACTCCCGTGTGCAGTAAGTTAGTGGAGAGGCACTGTGATATAAGTCGTGCCTGTCCTAGATGCGATGTGGAAAACGAAACCATAAACCACTTGCTTTTCGAATGTCCTTGGGCTGTACAGACGTGGTCCTTGTCGGAGATAACGACCAGTCCGGGGATCTTCCCGTGTAATGCTCTGTTTAATAATCTTGATCATCTCCTGTGGCGAGCTCGCGAAGGTGGGGACACAGAAAAAGCACTAGCCAGTTTCCCTTGGATCGTGTGGTTCATATGGAAAGCACGAAATGAGAAAGTCTTCGAAGGCAAAGATATCATGCCTCTCGATACGTTGCAGCAAGCGATGGCGGAAACAGAGGCATGGAATGTCGCACTGATTGTTGCTGAAGCTTTGGATGAGACACAAAAGAAGGATCCCCCAATCCTCCCAAATCAAAACGTCGTATATCCTAGATGCCAGGTAGATGCATCATGGGTATATGAGACGAATCTCTTTGGAGGGGCTCTTGTTATGGACCTCGAAGCTGACTCACGGGTCACAGGTTCTTTTTCGAATCCGCTGGTGTTGTCACCTCTACACGCGGAATTTCACACCTTGATATGGGCTATGAAGATGGTTAGGCAAATGGGATATACCTCAATGAGGTTTGAATCTGATTGCCTCCAACTAGTTACCCTTATTGAAGACGGCGAAATATGGCCATCATTGGTCTCGGAGTTTGATGATTTTTCTGTTATTCATTCCCTTTTCCAAACTTTTTCACTTGTTTTTATCCCTCGTTCTGTAAACCTCCATGCCGATGCTCTTGCGAAAGAGGCTCGTACACGAGGATGTTCTTTTTCCCATGTAAACACTGTCGACCCGATTAGTATGGTCCCGGCGACCAACCAAATCGGTACGGCTTAATCAATACATGGAGCTTTCGACGTCAAAAAAAAAAAAAAAAAAAAAATTAAAATTTTAAGTATTCAAATTCAAGATGATTTTGAGTTGTTGACTTCATTCTCCAATGCTTCAACAAACTTATCAACATAACCACTCAACAATCCAGGACTAACCAAAGTCTCTTTCAATTTCTTATGATTCTTCGTCACTAGATTCCCAATCTCACTATCTTTATCCATCACAGACTTAACAGCATCTCTTAAACTCTCTTTTGAGAACCATCCAGAGTCTTCTCTTTGCACTTTCACAGACACTTGAAGTTCATCAGTTAACAATCTTGTGGTGAGAACTGAGTCAGCCGCTTGCGGAATAAAAACAATCTGGCAATCACTAAACAAAGATTCCCACAAAGAACCGGAACCACAATGGTTCACAAAGCAACCTATCGATTGATGAGACAATATCAAAGGTTGGTCCACCCATCCTCCCCAAACGATTCCACGCCCTTTGACTCGCTCTTCGAACCCTTCAGGTAATGCTTCTTGAATCGTTGATGAGCCTTTTGGCGGCTTAACCGCTACCAGAAACGGCAAACCCGTAAGCTCCATTCCTAAACAGAGTTCTTGGAATTGCTCCTTCTCCAAGAATGATTGGCTGCCCAACGCAAAAAACACAACCGAGCCAGGTTCAAATCTGTACAACCATTGATACCATCGATCTTCTAGTTGTTTAGCACTCTTTTCTTGCGGCTCAGGGAACATTGGACCGGTTAGGTAAACTTTTCTCTGACATTTTCTCTCGACGAAACTGCAATACTTACCCTCGACCTCCGCGCATGTCCGTATGGAAACGACGTCACATTTCTGAAGGCCTTTGTTGATCCGACGCAAAAACGTTTTGTGGGAATTTATGGCGGCAGAATAAAGGTTAGCGTCGTGTCCACGTAACGCCACTTTCGAGGAAGGATAACCCGACGGCGTAGGGGACTCAAGTTCAGCACCAGGTGCAAGAGCCATAGCTACACAAGCTGCGGATACGATCTGGAAACTCACACTCTTGACTCCAAACTCTTTCGCCATCTCTGGAACCCAATCAATGAAATCGAAGAAGATGAGGTCTGGTTTCAAAGATCGAACCTTTGCTTCGATCTGACCGCGTAAGAGATCCATGGCATCGGAAATGACATTCCCGGCAGGGTTTTTGATATCCGCGGTTGTCTCTGCGCCATCAGGGAGACCATCAACATAAGGAAGAGTAAGAGGGTCTAAGACAATGCTGTCCGGGAACAGGTTGAGAGATTCGAGTTGTTCCTTGGCTCTCTTGGGAAGCAAGAAAGTTATCCGGTGACCTTTCTCAGCTAGTTTGTTGGCTAGATGAAGATATGGAATAAAATGTCCATAAGCAAAAAATGGGTACATAAAAGCATGAAATTTTGACGCCATTGGAAAAAAAAAGAAGAGAAGGTTTTGAGTTTTCTTTCTTCTCAATTTACAGAAGGTTGCTTCTTATGGTTTAGATGTTGTGTGATTGAGTTGCTCCTTTCTCCTGTATATATATGGCTTAAAGCACGTGCTTTAATTGAATTAGCATTATCCTTGCTTGTCGCTTTGTATGTTGGTCCTAAATTGGTGCGGTGTATATATATCGGCAATGACTCGAATTGGATAAGTTTAAGATTCGATGTCGCTTTGTATATTGGTGTGTTGTTAGATATCTCGGGAATGAATTGGGATTGGTTGTTTAAGATTCGCATGGTTTTATCTGTTGGTGACGTGTTAGTGTGAAATTCACAAGCTACCCCCTTTGAGAAAACTGTCAACGATACACCTTTTCGTTTGATGATTTATATTCCCTGAAGTAACTGAGAATAATCATGCGTAGTGGAGAATCAGAAAGGGTTCCTCATGGAGTTTCAGAATATCCCCAAGACACAATTACACCAAAGCTCGCAAGCTCTTTCTCAAGATTGTCAATTGTGAACTTACAAATATAACAAGTTTTGTTTCGTTTGGTTTGATAACTTTTTATTCTGTATAATGTTGAGCCAGTGAGAAGATTGTGTAAGGATTTAATTAGATGAAAAAATTGTGGTGTAAAAATTCTCAAATGATTAAAGGGTGAATTGCAAAACTAGTGTTTTTGATTAAAAAAAAATTAGCTAAATAATATATGACCAAAAGTAGTTGAGTAAATAGAATTTTCGGATGATTTTACCCTTATGGAAAGGGACTAGTGAAGCACCCTGGTCTGATTTTCCTGATAAATTTAACTTAGTCAAATTTTAGGTCCGGTTTTTACTTAGCATTTCCAGTTGCATGAGGTTCCCACACTTAGTCATTTATGCACAAACGAATATACAGAAACTTGAAGTACTTAGATTAAATCATCTTGTTTAAACGAACAATGCAGAAACTTGAAATACAAATTCGGTTCTAGCAACAATGTGAGTTCGCTATAGGCTATTACATCATTAAACTAGTCCGTCTACCCAGACCTATCCATCCCTTCCTTCCCGGCCTTGTCTCGCGTCCAGATCAGTCAGTCCGGCCATCACCTATGGTCGGATCAGTTCCTGCCACATTAAAATGAGGCATAAGCAAACAAGTTTGCTTAGTGAATGCGGTCATCCCGCCCACTAAGCCACAGTACAGAGAATCGCAATCAGAACACACAGTTCAATAATCAGTCATGCCGTTAACCACAGTCGCTTATCGCGAACGGTCGGCTATCTAACCCGGCCGAGTAACCCTCGCCAATAGACCGACCATTCCGACCAAGCCATCAGAATCAGTACGACAAGCAATCAGACACATTAACAAGCAATCATCAACCATTGAATCTATCTATGCCGTGAGAACGACCATACACTATGACTACACGGTCACGCACTCACCTTAGTCAGTCAGTCGGGAATCGGATTCCCTTCGGTAAACAGAACAGTCGCGTACGGAGGTTCGTACGGTTACAGAACGGTCGCTCGGACGGATCGTCGAACGTTCGGCTCTCGGATCTTCGGTACGGTCGGCTCTCGGTCAGACCACCGATCGGAAACAGGCGCTCTCGGTCGGAACAGACGATCGATACGGTCGATATCGATCGGAACAGACGAAAACTCTCGGAAACCGCTTTCTCTCTCGATAACCGTTTCTCTCTGGACACTTAGAAATATTTCTGAGTCTGAATGAATGAGAAATCCCTTCTCCCCGAGTCTTTTAACCCGTGATCCCGTCCATAACCGTCGGATTAATGAAACGCACGCGTTTTGGCTCTCGGCCATAACCGTTCCCGCCTATTTCATTATCCGCGCTCGCGAACAAGGGAAATAACCGTTCCCGCGCATTTCCCTTCTGCGCGTCCCGGCCAAACCCATAACCGTTCCCGCGCTCAGACACTTAGCCGTATTATTCCCGGATGGAATAATATTCTCTCGGCCAAAGTCATTTCCGTCCCGACAGGAATAACCGTCCTGTCCGAACAAGACAAGACTTGTCCGAATTTTCACCAATCCGTTCGGACAAGTTCAGCTAGCTCGGCCACTCAGCTCACTACCTCGGCCAGCTGACTGATCCAGCTCAGTTCCTTCGACACTTAGTCGTTCCAGCTCAAATTTCTCAGTACATTCGGATTCTTCCATTTTCCTCGGCCAAAACTATCTTCCCGGACCAGTTCCTTCGGCCATTTTCTAGATTTCTGGTCCGCGGATGTTATAACTAGCCTCTACAATCATATTACTGTTCATAATTTACTGTTTCTGAAAACGTTAATTAATAAAATAATTGAATTCCTATAGTGTAAAACATGTTACAATTACGAGAAATATGATAAAATTTATAGAGATATACATTTTTGGACAAAATTTAAATTTTAACTTCTTGAACCCTAAGCCCAAACATCTAAAGAGTCTAAAGTTATAAACCATAAATCCTAAAACCTAAGTCTATATCTAAACCAGTGCTGGTTTTTAACTTGTGCTAAGTGGGATACAACATCTTTAATCATTTTTTCTTAACTGTTATAAGGCTTAATTTTTTTTAATTTTTTTTTTGTAAACTATGACCTAATTTTCAAAATAACACCATAATTTGGAGGAGAAAAAATAGATATCACATATCCCAAAATTCTACAAGTAGGTAGGGGCGTAGGGCCTGATTCTCCATTTGCGTTGTCAAAATCAATACTGTTAATCTCCTTTACAAAAAAAACGAATATATTTTGGTGGTGAAAACTAGATATTGAGAGAGAAATGGGAGTGGAGGAGAGGGAGAGAGGCGAGAGATAAGGGAAAGGAAGAGAGAGGAGACAAAGTGCCAGAAAAATAAAGTTCATCAAACAAATGCCACTAAGAAATATTTTCAGGGATAGAAGCCAGAAGGTAAATAAACATACTACTTTGCTGTTTGGCAGGGGTTATCTATTAACTTTCTCTTTTTTTTTTTTTGTAACAAAGATTGACAAGTTTTATAAATATCATGTAATAACTAACTATAGTCTTACTATTGTATAATAAAATTTTAGAAACATGAATTAACTTTTCATATTACATGTTAAAAAAAATATATATATATATATCAAACAAAAGCTCCCAACCTGAATTGAAACTTGAAAGTATACACTACAAATATAAAACAATTGGAATACAAATTCTTTGAAACAATTAGTTTAAGACACAGGAAACATTATACTAAAATTAAGTATTCAATTCAAGACGTTTTTGTGTTCTTGACTTCATTCTCCAATGCTTCTACAAACTTATCAGCATAACCCCTCAACAATCCAGGACTAACCAAAGTTTCTTTCAACTTCTTATGATTCCTCTTCACTAAATTCCCAATCTCACTATCTTTATCCATCACCGAGTTAACCGCATCTCTCAAGCTCTCCTTTGAGAACCATCCAGAGTCTTCCCTTTGCACTTTCACGGAGACTTGGAATTCTTCAGTCATCAGTCTCGTGGTGAGAGCTTGATCAGCCAACAGTGGAATAAACACAATCTGACAATCACTAACCAAAGACTCCCACATCGAACCAAACCCACATTGGTTCACAAAGCAACCTACTGATTGATGGGACAAGATCAAAGGTTGTTCCACCCATCCTCCCCAAACGATCCCACGCCCTTTGACCCGCTCTTCGAACCCTTCTGGTAATGCTTCTTGAGTCGTTGATGAGCCTCTCGGCGGCATAGCCCTAACTAAAAAGGGCAAACCCGTCAGCTCCATTCCTAAACAGAGTTCTTGAAACTGATCTTTCTCGAGAAAGCAATGAGTTCCCAACGCACAAAACACGACCGAGCCTGGTTCGAATCCGTTCAACCAGTGATTCCATCGATCTTCTAGTGGTTTGACTCTCTTTTCTTGCGGCGCAGGGAACATTGGACCGGTTAAGAGAACTTTTTTCTGGCATTGTCTTTCGATGAAACCGCATAACTTACCTTCAATTTCTGCGCATGTTCGGATGGAGATGATGTCACAGCTCTTAAGGCCTGTCGTGACCCGATCAAAGAAACTTTGCCGGGTTCTCGCGAAGAAAGAATAGAGGTTAGCGTCATGTCCACGTAATGCAACTTTCGAAGATGGATAACCCGGTGGAGGAAACCCTAACTCAGCGCCAGGTGCAAGAAACATAGCTACAAAAGCTGCAGACACGATCTGGTAACAAACACTCTTGACTCCAAACTTTTTTGCCATTTCTGGAATCCAATCAACAAGATCGAAGAAGATAAGGTCTGGTTTCGAAGCACGAACCTTTGCTTCGATCTGATCGCGTAGAAGATCCATGGCATCGTATAAGATTAACTTAGACTCGCTTTGCAGATCCGAGGTTGTCTCTGCGCCAACAGGGAGACCATCGACATAAGGAAGAGTAAGAGGCTCGAAAAGAATGCTGTCGGGGAACAAATTGAGAGGTTCAAGTTGTTTCTGAGCTTTCTTGGGAAGCAAGAAAGTGACCGTATGACCTTTCTCAGCTAGTTTGTTGGCTAGATGAAGATATGGAATCATATGCCCAAAACCAAACCATGGATACATAAAGGCATGAAACTTTGACCCCATTTTTTCGAGAAAGCAAAAAGAAGAAAACGTATTGAGCTTAAATTATGTAAGAGATGTTTTTTTTTTGGGAGCTTTTGATGTTCTATGATTAAGATGCTCATTTGTTCATCTATATGCTATACATCAATAGCTTAAAGAACGTGATTTTGTTTAAGTACCATTATTAATTGGGATTAGCTGGTTAATCAGATGTTAATTTTTGGACTACATACATGTGCCATGTGTTAATTGTCCATAATCCAGATTCGCCTGTGGCTTTGTCTTCTGTTCTGTTGTTAGTGTGCAATTCTCAACCTACCCTTTTGATTAAACTTGCAACAACAACGTCTAATTGAATTTAACATAAACCTCTGTAAATCCCAGCCAATGAAAATTTTAAGAAGAGCCACGTGTAACATTCTTATTAGTTGATAACAATAACAATTGTTAGTCTTTATTTCCCGAAGACAGGCGAAAGATGAAAATCTCTAAGCTTTGGAGTGGTGAACAGAGACGAAATCTCAGATAAAAATTGAGACTTTAAGTCTGTAAAGATATAGAATTGACGCAGATTGAGCGAGCCCGAGTTTGTCTCGCTCCTCAATTTCTTCTCTGAAGAAACCGAGAATCGTGCGTAGTACAGAGAGCATCAGAAAAATGGGGGTTTCGATTTTGGGTACCTCATGGAGTTTCCGATTATCCCCAAAGACACAAACACCAAAACTCGCAAGTTCTTTGTCAGAAAGAGATCCAATTTCTCTGAATATGAGGCTTGGTCATCCTATAAAGGCACACACAGCTCGAGCTCTGAAATGCAGGTCTGTGTCTGAGGATTTCGTTGAGAGAAAGAGCCCACTTGAGGTAACACAAATCACAAAAATCTCAGCTTTGAATTCTTCAGAGTTTGCTGGAATTTCATTGTGTCCATCAAACTGTTTAGATTTTTAGTCTTCCAATACAATTTCATAGGAGAAAAGAGTGAAACTTTTCATCTGTATTGGTCTTACAGATTTGCTTAGTCCCTTAATGAATTAGAAATGAGCAAAGTTACATGACAAAATCAAGCTTAAATTCTGATAACTCCTGTTAAAGTTTGACCTTTCTTTTGTTATAAGGTTAAGAAAGAGTTAGAGATTTGCTTCGACCTCATACATAGGCTTGGGAGAGGGATTGTGTACTTAGGCTCTGCTAGAATCCCACCGAGCCATTCACATTACCTGCAAGCACAAGAGCTGAGCAGAGAAGTAAGTAAAGACCTGTCAAATCCCACAAGAACTTAGCTTATCATTTTGCAATATAGATTTTTTTACAGAGGTGTGTTAATTGATCAGGCTGCAAATCTTTTGGACTGTACCACATGGTCTGGAGCTGGACCAGGACTTATGGATGCTGTGACCAAAGGTGCTTTGGAAGCTGAGAAACCAGTTGGTGGCATCAAGATAGAGAAAGAAGCCGGTGAATGGACCGCATCCAAGTTTCATCCTTACCTCCCTCCTCAGAATTACCACACTTGCAGGTAAACTCCTTACTCTCATTTTGACAAAGCATTAGAGAGTGTGATCCTAAAATGTGGAATCCATGTTTTCAGGTTTTTCTCGGCGAGAAAGCATGGATTGGTGGACGCAGTGATTAGAAATAATGTTTCTGATAAGACGGCGGTGATTGCATTGCCAGGAGGCATTGGCACGCTTGATGAGATGTTTGAGATTTTGGCATTGATTCAGCTCAAAAGGATTGGATCTTCATTGCGGGTTCCATTCATTTTGATGAACTATGATTCTTTCTATTCAAAGCTGTTGGAATTCATGGAGAGTTGTGAAAACTTGGGAACTGTTGCTAAAGGAGAAGTTTCTGCATTGTGGAAGGTATGCAACAGCAACTCTGAAGCTTTGGCATACTTGGCTGAATTTTATGGATTGTCTTACAGTTGTACAAAACCCGAAACTAATCTTAGAAGGACACGACCGGTCTCTTAACTCATTTTCTCTTTTAGAATATAGATGTGTGTCTCTAGTATTTATACTGATCAGATTTTACATTGCTGTGAAACTTGTATCTTCTCTTAGCTTCTCATTGTATTCTTGTTTAGATATTTGAAGAAAGCATCAATTTTTAGTGACAATTTTTTTTTTTTTGTAGAAATAGTACTATTACAAACCATTTTAACTTGTTGTAGCCAGGTAAGTATCAAGTAAACCTTAATTAGCAACTTGAAGCAAGATCTTACTCTGATATTTAAGAAAAAAAGAAGTCTTACTTATACAAAGACAATTTTGCAAAATTTGATAACTACAAAGTGTCAAAATTTAAGATCACAGCCAGCTTTTTAAAGCCGTTGTGGGTATATAAACTGAATACAAACAAAAGTAAAAGTCTTCAAAAAAAGAGGCGTCTATGATCCGTTGATCGTGCCTACCTAGAAAAGTCTATTTCACACTCGTTTCTCGATAAATATTAAAAGAAAAAACAACAACGCAATTATTGTTTTTCCTCTTCACTTTCTTCTAGTTCCACCTTCCTTTTCTCCGTTGCAGAGCTCAAGAAAGAAATATCTAAGTGGGTTTTTTCTTGCATAAACCTCAGCGCAAATTTCAAGAAGAAGAAAGCTTTCTTCTTTTTGACCTTTCTTCCCCCGCAAGATTAAAGGTTTAACCAGAGCCTTAATTTCGTCTTTATTGAAATGAAAGTTTTCGTCTTTTTTACTTTAACTTTATCCTTAATTCAGGAACATTTGTTCTCGTCCCTTGGTTTATGGGCGTTTTATTTGTCTCCTCGAGAAAGTTGATTGCTTTCTTGGAATATCCATCTATTGCCTCTCTCTTTTGTTGTTTTAAAGGATGCGTCTGCGTTATTTGTTTCAGTAACTTAGTGGATTGATTAAGTCACTCTTGATCATAATTAAGTTTGTAGCTTTGCTTCAGATCAGGTAAGAAATTTATAAAACCAAATTGTTTCTTCTTGTTAGTCATAGAGTTCTTTGATTTGCCAGAGATTCGATTCACTTCTATGTCGGTAAATTTTGTTTCTTGTTATGACATGTTTTGAGTTAGTGTCTTTTTTGTTAGTCATGGTTTGTTTTCCTTATGTGGGATAATCCTAGCTGAGCTGTGGCCTTCTATTGTTTGCAGGTTTTGTAATGGAGTCTCCACAATCTGTGGCATCAACCTTGGATGGTATCCATTTGAATGACAGTGTTGAAAACAGAACAAAGAAACCTGTCATGCCGTCTAATTCAGACAGTTTCGTCGGCTTGCTTGAGGTTTTTATTCACCAAGCTAGGGACATCCACAACATCTGCATCTATCATAAGCAAGATGTGTATGCTAAGCTTTGTCTCACAAGCGATCCTGAGAGCTCTTTATCCACCAAGATCATCAACGGTGGAGGGAGGAACCCTGTCTTCGACGATACTCTTCGGTTCGATGTGAAGACTCTCGATTGTTCGCTCAAGTGTGAGATATATATGATGAGTAGGGTGAAGAATTATCTTGAGGATCAGCTACTTGGATTCACTCTTGTACCTTTGTCTCAAGTGATTGTGAGGAGCGGGAAACTGGAGAAAGAGTTCTCTCTTTCTTCAACCGATTTGTATCACTCTCCTGCAGGTTTTGTTGAGTTGTCTCTCTCGTACGCAGGAGATTCGCCTGAGTTGATGCACATTCCTGCTGCGGTTCCAATAGTGGATCATGAGACAGAGTTGGCTTCTATTGAGTTTGATGAGAGTGACTTTTTGGATCCAAAGATCGTCTGTGAAAACAATCAAATGGTGTCCAAGTATTTGGCCGATTCTGATGAACTTGTAAGCTCTGAAGCCGGCTTTGTGGAAGTAAACAGCGTCCAGTCTGCAGCTGTTGAAGAAGAAGCTCCAAAGAATACTGTCTCAACGAATGAAGTCTCTTCTCCATCTATTGCAGTTAGCTCTGGTTCCTCGGACACTCATGTTGATTCAAAGCTATCAAACAACTCAGGTTCAGATGAAGAAGCAAAGAAGCCGAAAGATATCAAGACAGATAAGAAGGATGATGATGAAGCTGTTGTGAAATCTGTTCTGACAGTGAACATTGAACAACCAGAGCAAAAGGTGGTGCAGCAAGATATCATTGACATGTACACAAAAAGCTTGCAGCAATTCACTGAATCGCTAGCTAAGATGAAACTCCCTTTGGACATCGACAGCCCGACTCAATCAGAGAACTCGAGCTCCTCCCAGCAGACGCCAAAGAGCGCAGGCTCTCGTGTTTTCTATGGCAGTAGAGCCTTCTTCTGAAGCTCCGGAATCATCACAACTCACAAGTTTGGCATCAGAAGTAGCAAGTAGTGAAGTGTAATAAGTTTAAAGTAGACTATCTATTATTACGTGTAATCTTCCTTAGGTGCCTTTTAGCTTTTCTTGTCATTTGCAACTTTTCCAATTTAGTACTAAACTTTCGCAATCTCATCCCTTATCTATGAGATGTCTCAGACACAAAGACAACAAGTTCTGCTACCAGTTTCGGACATATGTAGACACATTAAACTCAAACTCAAACTCACCAAAGATCTGCAGATTCAAAGCTAGCTAACGGGTCAATTCGAGCAACCGGAGTGCATTTAAGTGGATGAGCCATGCTCAGGGTCATATCTCCAGTCTCTTCCATGTTAACCTTATCTCCATTAATACTCCAGTCGAAACACTGTACCATTGTTCCAATGGCTACTCCAACGAAGATGTAACCTAAGTTTGTTCCAGGACATCCTCTTCTTCCGCTCCCGAAAGGAATGTAGTTCAAAGCTAACTGCTCTCTTATCTCTTCTTTCCCCTTTGAAGGAGAAACCATGAACCTCTCAGGCTGAAACTTGTCTGGGTCTTCCCATGAATTTGGATCTCTCATCACCGCGTAAGAATTAATGATCATCGTAGTGTTCTGTGGAATGTAAAACCCTCCGATCCTGCATCCTTCCGTTGCGTTTCTCACCAAGATTGGTGAATGTGGGTGTAGTCTTAGCCCTTCTTTCAACACAGCTTGCATATACGGCAGGTCTGAGAGATCTGTTTCTTGAATCAACCTCGTTTTCCCGACAACAGATTCTATCTCTTCTCTCAATCTTGCAAGAACCTCACGATGGTTAATGAGTTCCGCCATTATCCATTGTGTTGTTTGTGCTGAAGTATCAGTGCCCGCAAGCAAAAGTTCCTACAACCAATGCACAATGTTAAAACGACAAGAGACTTTGCAATATCCCTATGTGGCAGCCATTGCAGAACATGCAGAAAACCCCAAAGACATTACCACAAAAAGCGCTTTGATTTGGTTCCTGGTTATCTTGTACTCAGCACTGTCGTCTGTATAAACTTCCAACAGAACATCAATCATGTCTCTATCCTCTTTCTTGTTCGGATTCTCTTCGTGTTCCTTGATAATCTTCTCGAGCAATTCATCATACCTCTGTGAGACCTCCATGATTTCCTTCTCAAAGAGCGAGATCCCGAGCTTCTTGAGAAGTCGACCAACAGTGCTAGCTATAAGGAACTTCCTCACCAAACTAAGTGATTTGGTCACCAAGCCTCTGATTTTCTCTGCTTCACCGTTCTCCTCAGAACACTCCCTCCCCATTATCATCCTGCAAATGCTGTTATTCGTCAGCTTCATCATCTCTTTACCAACATCAACAGCCACATTCTTTGCTGCCTTGTCAAACAACATAGCACGGAAAGTCTTAAGTTCTTCCCCACGGATGAGCCGTGTCCGCTCGAGAGAATGAGACCCGAGAAGCTTTGTGACTAATAGTTTTTTCATGAACCTCCAGTAATTTCCATAAGGAGCTGAGACAAAGCCAAATGATCCAAAAAGTAATGATTTTTCCATTATAGGAATCTCGCGGTCACGGGTAGCAAAGTTCAGGTCTTGAGTCCTCAAAACTTCGTTGGCCATGGAGCCCGACGAGACTAGAACGATTGGGATATTGAAGGCGCGGAGGTGAAGGAGAGGACCAAACTTGGAAGAGAGTTTCTGAAAGGATTTGTGACTTGGAACAGAGAGGAGAAGGTGAAGATGACCAGTGACCGGAAAAGACGGTGGGCTCGGAGGTAGCTCACAGTCTTGAAGCTGTGGCTCTTTTGGTTTCTTGAAGAAGAAAGCAGAGAGGCAGAACATTGAGAAGAGCCATAGGAGGATGAAGATGAAGCAGAGCTGAAAGTCAACTGTGATTGCTGCCATTGTTGTCCAAAAACTGCAGAGAGAATTAGATGAAGCAAAATAGTTTTATATAAGTATCTACTCTCTAGATCAGATCTTTCCTTGAGACTCTCTGTGATATAAAATTAATAAATCAATAGTTTAATCTTTAGGGGACGTTAAGCATAGAGACATGATATATATATATATATTTTTATTAATATAGCATGTGGAAATATGTTAAAAGAGTTTCTTGGCTAAAAAAAAACAAAATCTTTGATAAGCAGCATTACAACACTCGAGAACTACCAATCCAACACATCTTTGATCTATCCTATCTCATGAACCTGAATCTGAGAGCTTGAGCTTGAGAGTGAGACTGATAAGGAAGCTCACATCAACTGAGAAAGGGCTACTGCAATCTGAGAACCTATAAGGGCATTGTTTTTCACAAGCGCAATGTCTGAAACTGTGTCAAGAAAATCAAGATTTGCAATTCTGAGACATTGCCGCTTTAAAGCCACTGTAAATGGTTTGAATTTTGGATAGAGATATAACTTTCTGAACTATTTAAAAGGTAAAAGTGATCAAACATTGAAAGATTTTTGTGAACATATAGAAAAAGGATACTCGCTGCAAGTGACGTGCCTGCAGTTAACTCATTTACCCGTGCAAGTAAAAATGGAGTCTCTGCGCTTCCAGTAATGCTTTGTTCCCTGGCCAAAACCAAATTCAGATTTCAGACGATAAAATAAGAAAAAGAGGCCAAGCCCTTAAAGTATTCTGATGCAAGAATTTATAAAGATATTAGCTTCTTCTTTTGACCTTGCTTCTGTAAGAGCACGCTGCGTTGCTGATTCAATAAGATTTCCGGCGGCTGAATGCTGTTTCGGAATCGGAACTGAAAATAGAATCCCTGCCTGACGGTTTAGCTTCATGTTTGCATCTGGCAAATAGCGGTTTTCTCAAAGTGGTAAGGGATCAAAGTGCATAAAATACATTTTATAAACAGAGGGAATTTTTTTTGAGACAAAGTCTACACTTGCCTATTACTCGAGCACAGTCTTCAGGACTGTCTACACGGGAAGGAGCCTAGAGAAGTGAAGCAATCCACATCAGAACTAAATGTCTAAGCAGAAGCAAGTGTTTGAGTTTAGTATTAATGAAAAATTTTGCACCTTACAACCGCTTTTTTCTGTGAAGAAGGCCGGAAACTCGTCACTCTTGTAAGCAGCAACATAAACTTCTTGAGTTTCCTGTATTGTCAACAAAAAAAGCTCTTATAAAAACTTAAACTCTTCGTTGTTGACTATTAAAAATGCCATGAAAAAAAGTAAATACCAAATACTCAAGAGTCTTTGGAATATCAAGTATTGATTTAACGCCTGCTGATATCACTGCTATAGGAGTCCTTCCAAGTGCAGTTAGATCAGATGAAATGTCCATAGCTGCATCACAAACACAAATTAGCAGCGCATATTGGCTTCAAAGGTACTCAACACCATCATCTAAACACCGTTTCTAACCATGAAACAAGAGAAACTGAAAATAAAGTACAAGATGGACATGAAACTTACTATGGTTGGCATGTCTATGCACACCTCCTATCCCGCCTGTCACAAAAACTTTGATGCCAACCTATAACAACCAAAATCCTCAGAAATGCAACGGATATGAAATTTCGCCGAACTACTAAATAAAGAATACGAACAAAGCCAGTTATACCATTGAAGCGAAAAACAACGTTGCAGAGACTGTGGTTGCACCATTTCCTCTTCTAGCCACCTGAAGGGAAACATATAGGTAATCAATATGGAAGAACAAATCAGTCTGCACTGATAGATATTAAATAAAGGGTTTATCTATAAACTTTGGAGTGAGGAAGATTAAAGAGTTAGGCTTAATTGAATTGATGCAAATGGAATTCAATTTTATGAACTGAGTATACTTTTCTTTCTACATGACTCAAGCTAACTATGAAAACAAATCTTAAACTTAAGAATAAACAAGTTATGTGTTCTCCGTTCTCGCTTGTACAGATGAACATTATAATGGTGAAATAAGATGTGAGGATCATAGAGTTTCAAGATTATGACTCACAACATGTGCTATATCCCTGCCTGCAGTCTTTTGCACACTTTTTCCCAGAGATGCAAGACGTTCTAGCTCTTCCTCATTCAGACCTGTTAACTACGTATTAGCATCCATCGATCCTTAACAAAAAGAGGTCTACATATTAATGATTCTCACCTATGCAAGGTACTCCATTCAAGATAGCTATTGTTGCAGGGACTGCTCCATTCTCTCTCACAATTGACTCAACCTCTTTTGCGGTTTGCAGATTTTGAGGGTAAGGCATCCCTTAAAATGCACCATTAAGGATATAAACCATATTCAAATCAGACAAAGATCTAAGATTCCACAGGAACCAGCAAATAACGATAGCGATCGGTTGGGAAAACAAACCATGGGAGATTATGGTTGACTCAAGAGCGACCACAGCTCCTCCATTGGATATAGCTTCGGATACTTCTGGAGATATCTTGACCAGACTCCTGAGCTGTCATAAACCAAACTGTAAGAGAAATGAAATCAAGCAAGAACACTTGGAGAGAAATGAAACTGAAAAAAAAAGGTTGGATCTTTTTATACACAAAACCTTGTTGTTTGCTTCAAGAGGTGAAAGATGATTCTGGAGAGTCGAGATTCTAGAATGAGCAGCAGAAGAAGAAGAAGAAGCCATTTCTCTCTTGACTGACTCTAAACCCTCTCTTTTGCTTATCTGATCAAATTGCTCGTCAAATAGAAAATTGCCCAAATCCGATTTTTGGTAAGTTCGCAAACAGAATCTGAAAGAGATCTTATAGGTACGAAATGAAGAAGATGAAGAGAAAGACTGAAGCACTACTATGGCAGCTCTCTCGCCATTGTAGACGAAACAAAACCGAAACAAACCGAGCTCAAATTATATATCCTTGTATTGCTAAACCGGTTAGGTTCGGTTGATTTCGGTATTGTATAACAAACGTTGGAGAGAAAAGAGATCTAATTTTATCCGAGTGTTTGGGTCCGTTGGGAGCATACACAAAGGACCGACGATCCGATCTCTGTCGCCGGCATTTCCTCGCCGCCGTTGTCTGTTCTTCATCTCTGTTCTGCGTAGCGTTCTCTCTCTCTCTCTCTCTCCTTCAAACTCCGTAAGCTTTTTTGAATTTGGCTCTTAGATTATTGATCATTCTAATTGCTCCCGATCTATTGTAGAACTTTTTTCCAGCTAAATTGGTTTGGACTCGGATCTAATGGTTGCATCGACTTGATCACTGTGACGTAGATACTCTAGTTTCTGGGGGTCCTGTGCTCAGTCGCAATAATAAATGTCCCTGATCTTTGTTTTGCAGATCCTCCATTTCGAGTGATTTTGGTTTTGATCATACAAATTACAAGCCATGGATAAGTCGAGTGCTCTAGAGTATATCAACCAGATGTTCCCAACAGGTGAATTTTTCTTCATGAGGCAGTAGCAGAATCAGTCATATATCTTTGTACATCAATTATGGTTTAGAACTGATGATTTCTGCATTTGCGACTGCGTCGAAATGAGTTTCTAATGGGTATTTTCCTTTACAGAAGCATCGCTATCTGGCGTTGAGCCGCTTATGCAAAAGATTCATGGTGAGATTCGGCGGGTTGATGCTAGCATACTATCTGCTGTTCGTCAACAGGTGAGCTTTTTTTTTATTATTATTCTAATGCTTTAGGTATGTTTTGACTTCACTAAGGTTTGTAACAACGTTAGGTACAAAGAACAAAAAAGTATTGTATTTGTGAGTCTCGTTCTGGATTTTTGTGGATGCGTACATTGAGTCAAAAGTTAGATTGTATGCACTAGGAAGAGCAGTAATTTTTGCTTCTATATTGGAAGAATAATCTATGCTTCTGAATCTCATTCTTGGGCGGGCAATTGTACTCCAGAGTAACTCGGGAACTAAAGCTAAAGAAGATCTTGCTGATGCTACACGTGCTGTAGAGGTTAGTTTCTCATAGGCTGATATTTGTTGTATGCATTCTGTCAATAGATCATTTCCTTTTTCGTTTCTCTTATCAGTCTCCTTTCATTTCGTTTGTAACTCGTAAGGGAATTTGGTATTGGTATTGATTTACACAGGAACTCTCATATAAGATTCTAGAGATAAAATCCAAAGCCGAGCAAAGTGAAGCAATGGTCCAAGAAATATGTCGTGACATTAAGAAGTTGGATTTTGCAAAGAAGAACATAACCACGACGATAACTGCCCTTCATCGCCTCACAATGTTAGGTCGGTTAGAAATAATTTACTCTGTTAAACTAGCTCATTATTTTCACCATTTGTGGTCATGGTTTCCTGAAATCCGAATGATAGCCCAAGTGTAATGAAGCCTAGGTAGGCAACATCAAACAAGTTACATGATGTTGCTGCTTAGTCTATTCGTGGATCTATTTTAATCTTTATATAGTAAACAGATATATGCCGAGAACGTAGTTTATGTTGACCAAAAAATCTATTCATAAGCTCAGTAATGAAATTCCCTTCCTTGCTATGGCAGTCTCTGCTGTTGAACAGCTTCAGGTGATGGCGTCAAAAAGGCAATACAAGGAGGCAGCTGCACAGCTGGAGGTACCTATTTTTCAATTCAACAATCTTTTGCGTTTGTTACTTCTGTTAAGTTATAGTACACTTGCTTTAGGTTTATGTTCACCATGGGAACCTAAGGAACCTCTGTCATTTTGAAATCAGTTTTAACATTTAACTCTAGGCTACCTAGCTGAAATCAATAGTAGGTGACCCTTCTCATTATCTAATTGTATTCTTAAGTTTCTGATTCTATTATATGTTTCAGGCCGTAAACCAATTATGTAATCACTTCGAAGCATACAGGGATGTTCCTAAAATTACAGAGCTCAGGGAAAAGCTTCATAATATAAAGCAAATCCTTAAGTCCCATGTATTTTCTGATTTTTCCAGGTAATGCCTTGGTGATTCTACCATATTTTACATTATAAAAAAATTCACAGAAGTGGCCATAGAGGTCTGTTGTTGTGCTAGTGGTTGATCTTGATTGTCTTTCTTCATTTCTTTATCTTCAATCTCAAGAAGACTACAGCTAGAAAGTATATTTTGTCGAATTTGAGTTTATCATGTGATAAAATTTGCAATTTTGGTGACATGATTGAGGTTGGCTGGCATGCCCTCTTGTTAGAATAGTACTGATTTGCTGCTTCTTTTTGGTACTAAACCGCAAATTGTTTTAGAATTTTCTTTTCCCCTTGCATCCTCCACATTCCTCATTTGATTTGTTAGATGCCTAAAAGCAATTTCCCAAAAATGGCTACTGTTGTGATCTCAGTTTAGGTACTGGAAAAGAGACAGAGGAAACAAATTTGCTACAGCAGTTATCTGATTCGTGTTTGGTTGTTGATGCTCTGGAGCCATCTGTGAGGGAAGAGTTGGTAAATAACTTTTGCAGCAGGGAGCTAACCTCATATGAACAAATATTTGAAGGAGCTGGTATATTGGACTTGATGCCCTAAGTATAACATGCATGTATATGTTTTCTTGGGTTTAATTTCTAAAGAGGGTTATTGTTGGTAGAATTGGCAAAGTTGGATAAAACAGAGCGGAGATATGCTTGGATTAAGCGTCGAATCCGAACGAATGAAGAAATTTGGAAGATTTTTCCTGCTTCTTGGCATGTGCCTTACAGACTATGCATCCAGTTCTGCAAGCAAACAAGGTATTGCCTCTTTAGTTGATACCTTATAACATCTGTTTCATGTATAGATGTTAATTTCTAGCATCTGTTTCATGTATAGATGATACCTTCTATTTTGGTGTGTATCTTTCGCTGTTCTGTAGTCACTTTGCTGTGAAATCTGAAGTCGCAGTAGTAGCTATTATCTTAATCTAACAATAACATTAAGCATTCTTCCATCCTGTTTTCCCATCAATTTTTCAGGAAGCAAGTTGAATCTATTCTGGTCAACATGAAAGAGAAGCCAGTTGTAGCAATATTGCTTCTGGTCAGGCACGCTCTCTCTGATCAATAGTTTCATACGCATGCTTGTCCTAACTTGAAAATTTCATTAGATATATCAGATTGATATAAGAGCACTGTGTCACCTTTGAAGGAAATATCTAATGATTATAAATTATCTTATACTGTTCCTCCTTTTTGCTTTCATCAAATCATGTTACCTTTGATATTTTGTGGAATATTTCAGGCCTCTATTAAAGTTTGATGTCATTGAATTATTAGGCACTACAAAGGACAGTAGAGTTTGAAAAGGACCTTGAAGAGAAATTTGGTGGAGGTGTTCCTGCTAGGGATATCGGAGATGACATTGAAAAAATTGGTACATGGGAAAACAATAGTCAGAATATATCCAAAATTCGCAAGAAGTATGAAAAGAAGTTTGCTGCTAGTCAAGAACCTGGGGAAGATGTATGTTCTATGTTCGTAATCAAACACTCTACTAACTTAATATTAATGCTTACAATTTGTTCTAATAGTGTTTTCTGCCTCTGCTTCAACAGGTAAAGACCGGAGACAAAGATTTATCTGTTACCGGAGCTGGGGTATATTCCCTACTTTTAGTTGTCTCTCCCTTAATTAGCTATAAGCACAAAATTGCATTCATAATATACGGTAAAAGTATCTTGCATGGCATTCCGATTTTCGGGTATACTGATCTTATGAGACTTCCATCATCTCATTTGGCCTTTCATAGCTGGAAAACTGAAATCACATGTAATCCACTTGTCCAATTCTATCATTTGAAGAATTTATTTTACTCAAGTTACCCGATCTTGCAGTTTAACTTCCGTGGGATGATCTCTTCTTGCTTCGAACCTCATTTAACCCCATATATTGAGTTGGAAGAGAAGACACTTATGGACGAATTGGAGAAAGTTGTTCAGGTTCGCTTCACGAAATGGTTTTTGTTTCCAAGGTTGTCAACTGTCAAGTTTTACTAATTTTATTTTCTTCCTGCCAGGAGGAAACATGGGATATTGAGGATGGAAGCCAAAATAATGTTTTATCTAGCAGCACTCAGGTGAGTACCTAGGGAAGCTTCTTTAAAAACAGTTAACAGTTTCAACTTTCACAGATATTTACATCGTTATTCAATGTATTCACTGATTCACGGCTTCCACTAGGTATTAATTGGCAATAGTTAGATTCTATGTGTAGATGTGTAGAATTACTCTCTACTTGAAACATCGAGCCTACAACTCGGTCATTACCCACTGAGCTGGATAAAAATTTATGATCATGTCCAAGGATGTTTGTTGTAGTAGTAGGAAAAGTATTCTGTGTGAAACTGGATATTATACTCAAGATGAACTTCAAAAAGTATTTTCTGTGCATAGTGACTGTCTGTCACTAGATTAGTCAGTGAGAACTTGACAGCATTCGTATACAGACTATATCTATCACATTATATCTTATCATTAATAATCATTCAGAATGAATTTTTCTTAAGTAGTTTATTGTTGCCTTGTTTTGCAGTTGTTTACTAACATAAAGAAGAGCTTGAAACGGTGTAGTGCTCTCACTAAGAACCAGACATTATTCAATTTGTTCAAGGTACATTTTTCATACGCTCAGTATGGATTTTCTATTCATATACTTGTATTGTAGATTTGAGTTAGTCTCGGAACCAGATTTGTCTGTGGAGTGTTTGAGTTTTATTTGGAGAAACATTGTTAGCTCTTTGATGATTTTGCAGAACAATTTAAATGCTCTACTTCACGATCCTATATAAGGTGGAAAGAGATTTTGAGTTTATTCTTATGAAAAAGGGTCTCCTCTGTACAGGTCTTTCAACGAGTTCTGAAGGCCTATGCTACAAAGCTGTTTGGTAAGCTCCCAAAAGGAGGCACCGGTATAGTTGCGGCAGCCACTGGCATGGATGGACAGATAAAGGTGCTGGCTTTATCTGCCTTCTTCCTGTTTCCAATGTGTGCTTTTCGAAGTAGTTCATCATTTTTATTTCCTCTGTGCAGGTCTCGGGGAGAGATGAAAGGGTGATATGCTACATAGTTAATTCTGCTGAGTATTGCCACAAAACAGTAAGCTTGTTTTTGTCTATTATTTTGTTTTCTTGCCTCTTTCACTTTTGGCACCCTCAGCACGCAGCAATTATGTAATACCTGTGTAGCCTGTTTCAACGGGTTAGTAGGAATTGTATCATATGGTTATAATCTGATCTTAGGCCAGTCATGCCACATTGTTGTTCTATCTAAACGCTTTGATTATCTGAACAACAATAAGGCATCACAAGGATTATTTGCTTTTTGTATGGCAGTCTGGTGAACTGGCAGAAAATGTGTCAGAAATTATTGACCCGCATTTTGCTGACGGTGTAGACATGTCAGAGGTCGAGGTACTTAATACATGAAGGACTTAATATTTTATCCCTTATTTTGGAATGTTCTTAAGCTGTGCTGCTGTGCACTGTGCAGGATGAATTTTCAGCCGTCATAACGAAAGCATTGGTTACGCTAGTCCTTGGAATCGAAACTAAATTTGACACCGAAATGGCAGTGATGACACGTGTTCCATGGAGTACACTTGAGAGTGTGGGTGACCAGTCTGGGTAAGATCATATAGGGGTTAAAATCTCCTATTGTTTTTTATGCCCATATGACCAAGCATAAACAACATGCAATTGCATCTGCTTGTAGGTACGTAAATGGTATAAACACAATCCTTAGCGGCAGCATTCCTGTCCTCGGGAACCTTCTAACACCAGTTTACTTCCAGTTTTTCCTCGACAAGGTAATTATATAGAGAGTATGATTTGTTGTACAATACTTCGTTCATCGAACAAACATCATTAGTCTCTACTAGGAGTGGAACTCCTATTGCCCAAAGCTATCTCCAATAACAGTTCAACGGGATTACAACTTGACCACTTTATAGATGACGACCTTTTGTTTTAAAATTTTGTGCAGCTGGCATCATCCCTTGGACCACGGTTCTATGCTAATATTTTCAGATGCAAACAACTATCCGAAACTGGCGCTCAACAGGTCAGCCTGCGTGCTCCATATCCTCCATATGCATGGCTCTATTTCTCCATTGTGATTTTTCTAGTAGTCAACTAGTGACTTTACTAAAAATTGTGAATTATCTGTCTTTTGGTTTCACAGATGTTACTAGATACGCAAGCCATAAAGAGCATTCTTCTAGAAATTCCTTCCCTTGCCAGACAGGTTAGCTCATCATTGCCAATTTATGTATATGTGGTCCCGACACTCGTAAAGCTTGAAAGCTATCGGGGTTTTGAATGGGACCCACTTAGGCGTCGTCAGAAAATCTTCTGGCGACGTACGGTAGTCGTCGAATCCCGGCGGTTTCAGAGTCTTCGAACTTGGTTATTGCTGTTTTCTGAGCATGAAGCATTTGGTGTCATCTTTTCCCAAAAATATTCTTGTTTCAGTAATTAAGAATACGCTGATACGCCTGTGTATATACCAATCAAGTCTTTCATTATGAAACTAGTTACTGTTTGTAAGTTCTGATTGATCTTTAATAATATCACTGCAGACTTCAACTGCTGCCAGCTATTCCAAATTTGTGAGCCGCGAAATGAGCAGAGCAGAAGCACTGCTTAAGGTCATACTATCTCCAATTGATTCAGTGGCGGACACTTATCGTGCTCTGTTTCCAGAAGGGACTCCCATGGAGTTTCAGCGCATCTTGGAACTTAAGGTGATTTTTATCCTTTCTTAAATCCATTTTAGTTCCTAGATTCTCTAAATATTCTTCACTCGAATTTCACGTTACATACTAAAATGACTCTCTAGATCATCGGTGAAGTATGTCCTGTGGTAACTTTCTCTTAACCGTTTTGTGGTGTGGATGATGCAGGGTCTTAAGAAAGCTGATCAGCAGAGTATACTTGATGATTTCAACAGGCATGGCCCGGGATTCACACAGCCATCGGTTGCAGCAGCGGCAATGCCACAACCGGTTCCAACCCCACCTGCACCGCCGATGGCAATGGCTAATCAGGCTGCATCCGCTGGGTTCATAGCAAACAGCGAGGATGTGTTAACCAGAGCAGCGATTCTTGGCAGAGGAGCTGCAACGACTGGGTTTAAGAAGTTCATTGCTCTTACTGAAGCTGCCAAAGACCGCAAAGATGGGCCTTTAAGGAGACTCTTCAACGCATGATGATTTTGTTTCTTTTCTCTACCTCATCTCAACTTTTGACTCCAATCTTAGATTCCCTTTATGTGTGTGTTTTGGTTTCTTTGTGTAATGCACTTTGCTATAAGGTCGAAAAACCAGTTGAAGAGGCTCGTTTGTTTCATCGGTTAGGTATATATCAGAGATTCATAGGAAATGACAAGTTTTCTCAGGATTCGGATGTATCTTTGTTGTTTACTGCATGGATAACGATAACACAAAACACTTGTGTGACATTCATCTCTTATGTAACGCTGTTGCATCAAGATTATTAGCAGGCCTAATAATGGGTCCATAAGATATTAATTAACAAGCCAAACAATAGGCCATAAGCCCAATTGTGTATAATTTTAGATTTCGTTTTTTGGATGGTCTTGGTAAAACCCCGATCAAATATCAAAAGTTACCGTGGATAATGGAGAAAAGCACATGATTTCACCTCAAAGTCAACCATCACAACAAAGTAACAACAATGAGCAAATTTCTCTTTTCTTCATCCATAGCATTTAGCATTTTCCTTGGCAAGTATAAACATACGTTTAACATTTTCTTGCTTTTTTTCTCCCACTTAATCTCTTGGTTAATAAGCCGGGATGCTCCAAAACAATTGGTTTGAGAGACTATATATACATTTCAAGCTCTTGGCGAACAATTGATAGGAATGAAATTAGAAACTAGTGATCAAGACGAGCATGTCAGCATTATAGTCTCACAAGTCACATCCATCAAGCGGTAATTAATAATATGTTGTTTACATGAATTATTCTGTTACACATTGGTTCTTCAACAGGACACTTTTGATGTATGATATTTTTAACCATATATAACACTAACAGGTTTGATATTGAGCTTAACTTTGGTAAAGAACTTGGGCGGTAATGAAGATGAATATGAGCTACAAAGTTACGATATTCAGTACAAGCATGTGTCCTGTCTTCTTCGAGAGAGTTTCAAGAGTTATTAATCTCCACTTTTGATCTTTTTGGTATGAGTATGTTTAAGTGTGATGTGTGATTTGGTAAAGCGTTTTTTAACAAATTCCAACTTTTATATTATACTATTTGGAACTTCTTGTCTTTACAACTTTTAAGGTGTGAAATTTCTCGCTACCGTCTCTGAGTGAATCAAGCAAGACGTTATGGAACATTACACAGAACATGTTACACAAGAAATTAAAATGATGCAAGATAGGAAACTTCTGTTATTTTTCCATAAGCGCATTCATATTCTTGAGATCACCTATTACATTTGATAAATAAATTAGTCTAATTCTCTTATATTATGTTATTATTAGTTAGTTGAACATATCAAATACATTTTGATCACATTCATCATTGGTATGGTGCACCTAATTTTGTCTTTCATGTATCTCATTGTCAACAAAAATTCATTCTCTTTTTTTTTCCCCTTTTACAATTGGAGAAAAAAAGGAAATAGAAACTAGCCGTTGTAGAGAAGCGGATTTCAAATGCCTCCAAGCGCCGCTTGTTTTTTTCTTCCCAACGTTCAACAAAAATATTCTCTTTTTACATTTTCCTTTTTCAGCAAATCGACGTCGTTTCGTCTTTACTCGGACGCCGTTTTATAACCTCAGAGCCAGAGACTCTCACATCTCATCCATCGATCTTTCTCATCTCTCTTCTCTCTCACTCGTCGGAAGAGAGAACGAAATAAAGAATAACAATCTTTGTTTGTTCTCTCTCTCTCCTTCTTCTACTCTCAATTCGATTCTACTCTTAAAATCAAGTAATCTAGTTTGAGCGTGTTCGATTTCCTTAGAATCAATCCGATTTTCGTTTTTGCGTCCGACGATTAGAAAGCGAAAGTGATGGCCGCCGTTAACGGGTACCAGGGAAACACTCCGGCTGATCCTCCGGCATCAAATGGATCAAAGCAACCAGCGCCTCCGACTAAGACTGTTGACAGCCAGTCTGTTCTCAAAAGGTAATCTTCTCTCCTTCGTTCTTTTATCTCTCGATCTTGCTGGAACATTTCAACTGGATTCATCGCAAAATTAAACCAAATCGCGTTTGAATTTTTCCTCCTTGATGATTATTTATGCCTCAAACTCGTATTTTCTTTGTTTCATGCTTTCGTATGGTTTTGTTAGTTATGGATCCGCAAGATGAAAATTGGAGACTTCTCCTATAAGTTTGCATACAAATTGTTTGTTAAAATGTCTCTGAGAAAAACAGAAAATTTATATCTTGCTTCGAATTGGATTTACATTCCCTCCTCTACTCTGTATTGCTCAAAGCTTTGATTTTTAACTCATATTTCTCTTTACTTAAACGCAGGCTGCAATCTGAATTAATGGGCTTGATGGTAAGTTATCATCATCTTGTTGTGAATAAGCAAACGTTTCTTTGTAGTTAAGAACTTAAGATGCTCATATGGGCTTTGACTTGGGGTTGTTTTCAGATGGGTGGTGACCCGGGAATATCAGCTTTCCCAGAGGAAGACAACATATTCTGCTGGAAAGGAACAATCACAGGAAGCAAAGAGACTGTGTTCGAAGGAACTGAGTACAGACTCTCACTCGCCTTCTCCAATGACTATCCTTTCAAGCCTCCAAAGATCAAGTTCGAGACATGTTGCTTCCACCCTAATGTTGATGTCTATGGCAATATCTGCTTGGACATTCTTCAGGTAAATAATAATACTTTCCCACTTGTGTCTTGTGTGCTACACAATGTCAGAGCTTAAATCCGTTTTCCCATTTTCTTATTGAGCAGGATAAATGGTCATCTGCTTATGATGTGAGGACAATACTACTGTCCATTCAGAGCCTTCTGGGAGGTAATCTATTGTGCACAACCTTTGATATAATATAAAGCCTTTTGGCTGAGTAAATTCGAAATCTGAGTGTGTTGTTGGTTACGTCTTTGTGTTGGTCAGAACCGAACATCAGCTCACCATTGAACACTCAAGCAGCTCAGCTCTGGAGCAACCAAGAAGGTAAAAACAATAAAATTCTGCACATTCATCTTCTAAGTTCCTTCATTATGAGTTTCTCATGTCTCTTTTGTTCCTCTCTCTGTGCAGAGTATAGGAAGATGGTTGAGAAGCTCTACAAGCCTCCCAGTGCATGATTGATGATTTCTTCAAGCTGTTCTGATATGATCCACAAATCTCAGCTGCCTTAGATGATGATAGCTCACATAAATTGATTTTCCAGAAGAAACACATTGATTGTGTCACTCATTTGCCTTATTCTTTGTTTTCGAACATCAGCAGCGTTTCTCTGTAACATTTATCTTTGAGTTTTGAATTGAGAGCTAAATAATGACATAGTGAGTTTTTCAGAGATTCATCAGAAAAGAGAGATAGATTCTTATTCATTTGAAAGAAAAATAAGAAGGCAAACACTCAAATTCAAAGTACAATCGACAACATTTTTATTGTTGATAATTCATAACGTGGTAAGCGAATGAGAAGCTTCTTCACGCTTTGACTGATCGATCCACCAAACTTAAGAAAGGCCACGAACTTTGCCAGTGACAGTGTCAATGTCAATCTCGTAGAAACATGGTCTTGTAGGAAGTCCAGGCATTGTGCTCATTGTGCCAACCAACGGGTATATGAAACCAGCTCCTATACTTCCTCGTACATCCCTTATCGGTAACACGAAACCCGTAGGTGCTCCTTTCTTCGACGCATCGTGCGAGAAAGAGTACTGTGTTTTCGACATGCATATCGGAAGATTGGAGAACCCTTGTTGAGTGTACATCTCAATCTGTTTCTCAGCCTGCATTTCACAAAGACGATTTCTTTTAACAATGTTTGGACTATGCAACCAAGAATGAAGTTGGTCTATGAATAAATCAGTCACCTGGTCTGAGTACTCCACACCACTGGCTCCATATGACTTGGCTATGGCCTCAATTTTGTCTTTGATGCTAATGTCCAATGGGTAGAGAAACCTAAGTGGCTGTGTAATGTTTTGACAAGCTTTCTCAACAGCGATACCAAGGTCCACCTACACAGCATTTACAAGAGACTTAAACTGAGATTGCAAAAGAAGTCACAAGTGTTAAGTTAAGAAGAGAGAAGATTACCGCTCCTTTGCCAGCATGAGCATGGTGGGAACAAATCACAGCATCAAAAGCACCAGCATCCATTGAAAACTTCCTCACTGCATTTAGTTCTGCTTCCGTATCCGTTGCGAACATATTCACGGCAACAACCACATTCACACCGTACGCCTTTGTGTTTGAAATATGCTTTGCCAGATTCACACATCCAGCTTCAACCAAGGAAACGTTCTCGCTTACATACGCGCGATCAAGAGGCCTCCCGGCAACAACATCAGGCCCACCACCATGCATTTTCAAGGCCCTAACAGTCGCCACAACGACCGCACACTGAGGCGTTAGCCCGCTGTAACGGCACTTAATGTTCATGAACTTCTCTGTTCCGATATCAGAACCAAACCCTGCTTCTGTCACCACGAACCCACCAGGTCCGACCAGCTTCAAAGCGATTTTATCCGCAACGATAGATGAATTCCCATGAGCTATGTTTGCAAAAGGACCAGCATGAACAAGCACAGGTGTCCCTTCAAGTGTCTGCATGAGTGTTGGGTTAATAGCGTCTTTCATCAGAACAGTCAAGGCTCCTCCAACACCGAGATCATCAGCTGTTATCGGATCCCCGGCCTTGCTGTTACCAATCACCATTTTTCCAAGCCTCTCTCTCATATCACCTAGTGAGGTAGTCAAAGCCAAAACAGCCATAATCTCACTAGCAACAGAAATGTCAAACCCTGTCTCTCTAGTCATCCCTTTCTCCTCAGGACCTTGTCCAATAGTGATCTTCCTCAAGAACCGGTCATTAACATCCATCACTCTTCTCCAAGTGATAGAAGCAGGATCAATATCAAGCCTAGCAAAGCTCTTTACTTCCTCAGGAGTAAGCTCCTCAGGACTAGTCTTCTCAATCCCAAGCTTTGTCAAACGCCTAAACATAATGTCGCTGAAACTACGCTTCCCTTCTTTATTCGGAGGGCACAGCCTATTAAAGAGAGCCTTGTCCGACTGAGACGCCTCATGGAAGATCCGAGTGTCGATCGCAGCAGCTAAGAGATTGTTGGAAGCAGTGATGGCGTGAATGTCTCCAGTGAGATGAAGATTGAACTCATCCATAGGAATCACCTGACTGTATCCACCACCAGCTGCACCTCCTTTGATTCCAAAGGTCGGTCCTTGTGATGGTTGGCGAAGGCAAGTCACAACCTAAACAGCAACAACACTTCATCAATCAATCAAATACAAAAGATAAACAAGTGAAAACAAAAGAGAGAAAGATGCAAGAAACCTTCTTATCAAGGTAAGCTCCTAAGGCTTGGCAAAGTCCAACAGTGGTAGTGGATTTGCCTTCTCCAAGAGGAGTTGGAGTAATCCCTCCAACAACAACATAGTATCCATCTTCTTGCCCTTGAAGCTCGTCAAACGCAGACAACAACACCTAGAATCATCAATTGGTTTAGATCAGAAAACTGAACCACAAAATCAGAGATTCTTATATTTGGAGAAATGAAGCATCAATTTTGTCTACCAACTAATAAAGTAACCGAAAGCTGATTGCTAGAAAAATGGTGAAAAGAAGCAAAAATCAAATTTGTAAACTTTGAGCTAACGTAACTACCTACCAACTCGAGCTCAATAATTAGCAATTTCTGAACAAAACCATGAATCGAAACCAATTCGGAGAAACAAAATCATATAGCTAAAATAAAAACAGAGTTCTATCGGATCCTTCTCCAATCGAATCTCAAAACATGTCACACGAACCCAGAGACAGGAAAATTCATTTTCCAGGGAAATACGGAGAAAATACCTTGGCTTTGTACTTGCCATAGAGATCGTAGTGAAGTGGGCTGAGATTGAGATCATGGGCAATCTCGGCGATGTGTAAAGGCTCGACTGAATTGGCGATGTCGATATCGGCGGGAACTGGTGAAGAAACCTGGAGCTTTCTCGAGGAGCTCATCGCTTTCACTGCTCTCTAGCTAGAGTGATGATAAAAAGAAAAGTCTTCCTTTTTGGGTTTCGGGGTCTACGTTCTGATCTTTACGCTAGAGGATGAGATTATGGAAGATGACGACGACAAAATGAAAATGATTTTTATTTTATTTTTCGTACTCTTTTTCACCTTTTAAATAATTATTAAAAACATATAATAATTGGAGACACTAAAATGACGTTTTCACCCTTAAAACATATAATAATTGGAAACATATAGTACTCCCAAGATGGCCAAGTAGCAGCAGCCAAGAAGGTCCGCAATTGTTAATTTGGAAAGAGTAGCTAGATCGAGTATGTAGTTGTTGATTAGTTGAATTCTAACTTATTTTGCTTATGAATTATGAATATGGTGGTCTCTTGAGTCTTCACAAAAGGTTATATTAGTGTAATCCAAATTTATAAATTTATATTGTGATAGATCAACAACAATAGCATTAGAGCTCCAGCAACATAATTTATTTGTCGCCAACCGTGTCGTCTTCCTAGTTTTTGCACGGATTGTGTAATCTTCATTTAAGTTGTCGACTACATCTTTTGGTAGCTTGTGTTCTAGAAGATATTGCTTTGTTAATAACATATCCTCTAACCAAAGTACATAATGTAAGCACCAGTGTAGCAACCATTTCACCAATCTCTTAACATTTGGTCCATTTGATTAGAACTCCTGGAGAAATAGAAAAAGTATGTGTGAGTACTTGTGAACTCGCTCCAACTTTAAAGGATTTAGAAAACCATAGTCGGATCAATTGACACTTGTCCCTCACTGTCCTACACATTTTAATTTCCATCGGCCTCTTGCATTGTCCATGTTAATATATGTGATTTTTCATAGCTGATCTATAAAGGTCATAAAAACTATATTTGGTGCAATATTAGTTTTTTCTTTTTCAAATAATAATAACATACTTATACATATATACTTCTTCAAACAAAATATTTGGATTTAGAAATAGAAAATAAAAAAGAAAACCAGATATATATATGCCCCAACAGAAAAAATCTCGCAGAAATATTGGCTCCTTGAAACGTATCTCTCTCTCTCTCTCAATACAACAAATACACGCAAAAAAGCCCCAACCACTCTCTTCGTCTTACTTCAACCATGCATCTAGCCATCTTTCTTTTCATCGATTTCAGTTTCACAATGAAAGCGAAAGATATCCGTACAATCATCGGAATTATTGGTATATATCTGCTTCTCTCAATCTCTCTCTTATATATATAACTAACATGCTTAGAGCATGATTAATGGTGCATACCCAAATTGTCTCTTAGAATTAGAGCCGTCTCAGTAGTTAGATGATGGAGCTGAATAGGTTAGAAAATAGGAGAGCTTAAGCTTTAAAATTGTTGCAAACAAAGAAAACTTGTATAAAAGAAAAACAAGTGATGAGGTATTGAACACTCCACCAAACAGTTACCAAAATTATCTAGGTGATCAGCAACCATAACGGCAGATTAGATCAAACTTATACTGTGTTTTTGAGTTGAGCTCGGCTCTAATGGCGGATGTCTCTGTATAACTTCACTATAAATCAATGCTTATCGTAATTTTTCTCGATCGGTTCCGTTTACTATGTAAACATAACCTAGAGAGAGAGAGAGATTGAATTAGCACAATTTCGTCATAGCTGCATGTTACCGACTACAAGTTTTTTTCTGGCTTGATGCAGGCAATGTTACATCCTTTTTAATCTCCATCTCATACATGTAATCTCTTTTCATTCTCTCTTTTATTTAGAGGTTTCAAGGATCAGTTTTCCACAAATCTGTATAAATATTATTATAAGTAGTCATAAACATATGCACATTTTATATATACATGTAGGCCAAGGTTTATAGAGCTTTACAAGAAGAAAACAGTGGAGGGTTTTCCACAACATCGTCATGTAGCGATGGTGATGAAATGTACCATGTGGGTATTGTATGGTCTCCCACTTGTTCAAAAGGATAGCATTCTCGTCACCACCAGTAATGGCGTCTGTTTGGTAATCGAAGTTATCTGCGTGGTCGTCTTTTTTATCTACTGTAACAATGAACAACGTGTACGTTCCAATCCATACATCTCATACATATTGTACATTGATCTTGATGATGTTTATGTTGATTGTGAGTTAATCATATTCGGCCACCCGAATTTGAAACTATAAAAAAAGAATGATGCTTATGCAGACGGATGTCACTGGCGTGGTTACGATTGAAGTCGGTTTGTTGTTTGTGCTCTCTTGTTTTACTCTCTGGTGGCTTGAACCTTTTTCTGCTAGACGTCCATTCATAGGTGTTGTTTGCAACGTCTACTCCATTCTTATGCATGGTTCACTTGCCTTGGTGAGTTTTTTTGTATTTTTCTTTCTAATTGAATTGATAGATAAATAACCTAAATGTTTATAAGTTTAGTTTTGATCAATTAATTTTCTTGTGCGTGAATCAATAGACAAAAATAATGGGGCCGGATCCAGCTAGGTACATGCCGTTTTGGTTATCGTTGGTTAACTTCATCAACGTTGGAATTTGGACCGCTTATTCTTTGATTTACAAAATTGACATCTACCTCCTTGTAAGCATTTTTCATTTTCCTCTAAGACTTTATTGGTTTTCCATTAGAGATTTGATTGTTTTTTGTGTGTGTGTTTCTTATTTTGGTTTGTGTATGAGACGACAGGTAATCAATGGCCTAGGAACGTTGGCGTGTGCTTGTCAATTAATAATCGTGTGCTTCTCAAAGAATAGTCCATGCTTGTTTCTACGCAAGAAAACGCCGAGTGGGAACGTCCTTGCTGTGTGAAGTTTGTGTTTGGAACTCGATTATTTTTATCTTAAATTTTGCCACCTGCAACACCTTTTTCAATTCCTTTGTGTTCTCTATTGCAGTTTTCATCACAAGCAACAGGGTCACATGATCATTAAGATAAAATGAATCAATAGAACAAAAAAGCAATAAATTGACATTCCATTCATCATCATCACCTTTACATGGTGTAAATCTTTTTCGTACAAAAAACAATACCTATTTGCCCATACATACCATCATAAGAATAGAAGAAACAAAGAATATATAAAACCTTCCTAAACATTTACATAGAAGCTATATATGCGTCTATATAACAATGATAATAATAATTAACAACAAACAAATATTGAATAAATATATACACACGCACATAACCAATAATATAAACATTAATACCAACGTTGATGGCGATGATGATGATTCATGATGACTGTAAAGAGGCAACGAGAAGAGCAGAGCCAATGCTAGAACCATCTTCCATGGCTTTAACGACGACGTATTGACTCACTTCTTCTCCTAATATCTCAACCAGAGCTTCTTCCATGTATTCTCTAAACATGGTGTAATTCATGTACAGGCCTCCTTCTACCGCAACAACTGTTCTTTTCTGCATTTGTATCTCGTTTCTGCTTCTCCCGCTTGTGATTCCTCCGCTCCCATCTCGACCGATCTTCTTCAAGATTCCTGCGATTCCCGCCGCTGCTAGCCTCCCCGCTCTTCGTGTCACCACGTCGCATATTTTCACCACCAGTTTTCTCACTTTCAGTGGTACATCTGCTACCTGTTCATTTTATGGAAGTGAAGTGACGCTTTTTCAGCTCCATGTAACATTTTTACAACATTCAAGTTCAATATAATAGCTGAGCTTTTAAAACTTACCCCCAAGTCTTTCAGGATTCTTGCTACTTCTTGTAACTCAGGTGTGTCATCTTCATGCATGACTGAGACTGAATTTGTTCTGAGATATTAAAGGAGATACAATCAGACGTTAAGAGAAAACACATTACTAGTTAGATAGATGATGCAGAAGATACATGAAGTGCGATCAAACATCTAATTAGAATATGTACCTTAGAAGGTAAGGCTCAGATAATACAGACGAAGTGGGTCCAAAGACATCGGACTCTTGTGACATGCGGAGAATTACTCTGCGAACAATGTCACCCAGATACATTCCCGATATCATCTTCTCAAATCCCTATATAACAAAACCCCCAAAAGATCTTAATGCTTATTCCTCAACTTATGATGCAATACACATACAAACAGAACAAAGAGAGAAGTGACGCATAGATTACCATATCATTTGAATTTGAACTCTCTGCATCCAAATCAATGTCATATGAAGTTCTCGGCAGATGAGAGGACCAAAAGTTTCCCCACTCCATATTCACTACCTGAAATACATAAGGAAGAACGAATCTTTTACATGTTATCCACTGGGATGATAGCTGTACAATTCAATATACCATGAAATGATTCTTAGTACCATGCTTCCGGAAGTTGTTAGCAAACCCTGACACTTGATTATGGCGTCAGTTCTTTCCAAGTAACATGCATTACTACCAGTTCCAAACACAACCGCAACAACCGTGTCTGGATCATGATAATATCCAAGTGACAGGGCTCCAACAGTATCATTCACCTGTTCAAAAGAGGATACTGAAATTAGAACCAATCAACAACATTCATGAAGATAACATGTTTTTCTATAGTTTAGCCAACACATCAAAATTTTGATAATATATCAAAGACATTGCAGTTCGTGTGCCAGAATTTTGCCAAGGAAATGATTCTGCTGCCGTGATTAAGAACTTACAAGAGCTGCAACATGCATATCTAGGCCTCTTCTGTTAAGTGCCCCTTGTAGACATTCAGCTATGTCTTTCCCAACCTAGAAAAGAATAAGGCTTTGCATGTTATATGATGAAATAACTTTGGAAAAAGCACCAAACAATATCTGAAAGACGAGCAATAGGTCGTCGAGAATATAAGAAGTAATGCAAGCATCAGTGTACTAACCATTTCGCTAATCTCAAAACCTTTGGTCCATTTGATTAGAACTCCTGAAGAAATAGAAGTATGCTTGACAGGGAACGAAAATGTAAATGCAAGTTCCCTTTTAACGCCTTGTGAACTGGACCCGTTTCCTTCTTTTTCGATAAACCTTTCCAAGGAAAACGCGAGAAAGTTGAAAAGAACCTGCAATCATGTGAACAAAAGACCAAACAGACGCTAAATTACACACTTTGTATCGTACAGGACAGGACTAGTAAGACATAAATAGCAATCTAGTAACCTCGCTGGTGCTATTCATCAAATGCGAAGGTATGGGATGCCGTTCAACATCTTGAACATCTAGATATGACCTTTGACCGCCCAGATGAACCCTCAAAATCCTAAAGTATGTGCCTCCAAGGTGAAGTGCATAATAAGTTCCTTTCTCCGTCCTGAAATTAAAGCAGTCAGTGAAAATCCTACACACGGCTGCAATGATTGAATGTAGTACAAATATAAAAAATAAGACTTGATGTGACCCGCACTATTAAAATTAAGATATATTGTGGAAGCTTCTTCCATGAATAGCTCAGGAACATAGAAAGCGAACCACATCCACATGCAACAGTAAAGGGCGAATCCAATGGCAAAATATGAAGAAACTAGTACATTTTCCTTGAGAAGTAGCAATCTAGTGGATAGGAACAAGATACCAAAGTAAAGGTAAGAGATAAAAAGGAGAACACCTTCAAGCTTTTACATATATGTAAACTTCACATAAAAGAAAGGAAAAAAAGGAGCAGAATCAAAGGATCTGTCCCTTAAAAATGGTACCCACATACACTTCTTTAATTCTTTGGCTCCAACTAAAGCTCAAATTCAAGACCCTTAACCACAGGTACACCAATTAGAGCCACAACGACCAGGATTGAGCTCATTACTCACATTATAGATTAACAAAATGTACTTTATAAACTAAGCAACACAAGTTTAGCCAACAAGCGAAATAGAATAATTAAGGGACATAGATCATGCAATGTAGAGTGAAAAGTTAACCTGAGATCACTAAATCTAGATAAATCGGAAAGCAAACATGATCAGAAACAAACAAAAAGGATCATCTTCACACATTACTCAATCAGTGTTTTACCAATCAAGAAAAATCTATTAAGAACAAAATCCCTAATCAACAAACATTGAATCTTACCCGTTGGGCAAATCATCGACGAAAGTGAGCAGCATTTTAAGCTTCGAGCCTCCTTCGGAAGCCAATCCAGCGTGCATCTCCACCGCCATCGCATCCACCACTTGTCTCAACCTCCCCACCGGAGTATCACAAGCATCCTCCAACTCTTTCAAAATCTCCACCACGGTCCTCCATTTCCTCCGACTCTTCATCCTCCTTCCCACCATCAACGCCGCCACGGAACAAGCCGCCACAACCGCCGCCGCCGCAAACGCAACCGCGACTTTTCCCATCACAACACCGCCAAACAGAACACAATACACAATCTCTCTTCTCTCTCTCTCAAACCTAAGACGGCACCTACTCCAATAAAGAGTCGAGCAGTGAATACCGGCGATCAGAAAACCTTATACGAATCTGTTTCACCATCATCAGCAGCTTTTTGCCTTCTCTCTCGACTTCTATTGCCGCCTTTTCCGCAGGCAAAATCGCCTCTCTCGCTCAGCTGTCACTGCTGTACCCGAAAATTAACCGCCTTGATTCGATGGTGTTTTCCGGTAATAATCTCCGGCGATGTTTGAAACGATTCGAAACTCGAGTTTGTTACCGGCGGTGAACGGACGATAAATATGGAGAGAGAAAGAGATTTATGGATTTCGGCAGAGACAAAAGCGGAAGGAGAGAGAAGGGGCTGGAAAGCGAAGTGATGAATATATATATATACACAACACACATTTATACTTACTCATATATATATCGCGTATATTTACATTAAACCATCTCGTCTTTTTTGATGTCGACGGTTTCGTTTTTTTTTTTCAGATTAATTTTCCATTTAATTACTCAATTTAAAAACAAATTACTATCGACAATTAAAAAAAAAACAAATGGCTCAACCTAAAAAGTAAAAACATACTGTAGTATGTAGTTTTCTCCTGATTTTTAACATTTCATTTACAAACATTTACAAATATTTTATTCATGATTTTAATGAAACTAATTGAAATTACGTTTCTTTACAGAAAACTATTTAAACATAAGAAGATTTTTTATAATATTAAAAGGAAAAGTTTGAGTGGTTGTAAAATATTTCTTTCTAAATTCTATTTTGGTCGTCGCAAATTTTATATAGTTTTAGTTTATTTATGTTTCTTTATCAACCTAACCATCTTTCAATGAAAGAGAAGTTTTGTTTTCTCACTGATTTTACTCTTAAACATACAATGATACAAGCTAAAACGATTAATGCTATGACAAAATGAACATTTCAATGGAAAATGAAATAAAAAATAACGTTAACGTTCTTTTTCACTTCAATGAATAATATTTTTACCAATGCAAATATTAACGAATGTTCTTATTTTTGTATGGTCACCAAAGGTGAATTAAAATACGACCGCTAAGGAAAATCATGTTTTTTGCCAATATTGACCCTCTATTTCTTTAGTATTACCGTCGTGCCCAGTCTTCTCTCTTTTTCTTTAATCACACTTTTAGGTGAGTTACAAATAGGGAAATACCAAACGTAACTACTTACATTTAAATTCTCATCATTTAATCATTTTAAAACAAAATAAAGTAAAAGAGTAATGCACGTCTGACCTTTGACCGGTCGATTTATTAAGACTCTCCTTTGAATAAACTTTCAACGGCGTGCTCTTTTTGCCGTTGGGAATCTCTCATGATCAGTATTATAACTCGAAATATTATAACCATCGAATAGTTAATTAGCAATAATAAACGGTCCATGAGCTAATTATTGATAATGACTCGTGGCAAAATCTAGTCCAATAGCTAGTAATGTGTAGGGGCTGAATTGTATTTTTGACCTTTTTCTTCTCCTTTTTGTAGCATGCCCTACATTAAGCCAACTTGGCAATTTTATGTGATTTTCCGCATTGGCATTATTATTTTCTGCCAGCCATTATTGCAATTTCATTTTTTTATTTAATTTAATTAATTAGCATAACAGTTGATCTTATTTTGTAAACTAAGCGGCGGAAGCATATGATAACGTAAAAATAAAGTTTTAGGAAATGATAACCAAACCCCACCCAACAATTTTTCGTTTTTAATTAAGTAGCATTTTAATACTTTTCACTTCATAACAAAAAAAAATGTTCTATTACAACTTTACCAAAAATAGTACTTCTGAAATTTTTACATTGATATCCTCAAAGGTCAATATAATTAAAATTTTTATAAATAATTTAAAATTATATTCATTTTTTAATGGAAGGAATACGTCAAATTTTCATTTAAATATTCATAGTGAAAACAAGAGTTTTTCTTGTATGTTACCAAATTTTAAATTCGAAATTTTGCATGAGTAAAAAGCCTGTAAAAACAATGAATGCAATTATCAATAGTATCGAATGTCCTTTGGTGTATGAATGTGGCGAACAGCCGCATAAAAGCTGGCAATTTTGATTTTACATAAAGACTTGCATTTTTCTATTTATAAGCAAAAATGTTTTTATTGTTGGGGAATTAAAAAAAATATCTACAATGGTGAGGGACAAACAGCGTCAGAGCCCATGAAAACGCACGTTGCCATTTAACCAAAAACAAATGTCGAACAAGCAAAAAAAAAAAGAGAAAAAAAAATCGCTCTTCCCCAGTTTGACAGCTCACTGCCACTCAACAGTAGGACCCACAGGTTTCTTACGTATTTACCATTTTGACCCTAGTTGGGGTCTACTCCGTCCCCTCTAACCCTAGAGGTTCTCCGCGTTTTGGTCTCGGATTTCGAACGTGCTTGTGGTCACGTGACTTGACACGTCACCTGCTTACCCTACGCTGACGCAACGCTTCTTGTGTTTTGATTTTATTTTTTAATTCCTTTTATCGTCTCATTTAAATTCGCATTTAATTTAAATTTACGTTTAGATGCATATAAGTCATCAAAAAAGTCCCACATTGAAAAACATAACGTTTTCCTAGTTGTATATATAAGCTTAGCTCATAGACATTGAATGTCGAGCCTAGTAACGTGGGGTTGTGATCCAAGTGGAGACTATAGGGTGATGGAACATTTGGATCGGAATGGGACAAGTGTAGGAGTTGCGCGCCGCAAGAGGGCTCGGAGGTTGGGTCCATTCAGTTGGCACCTAACTTCGGGGCGGGACTCGCTTACTCTCCACACTTGACGATCAAAGGGATTACACCAGCTTTGTCTAGTACAAAACGGTGCCCTTAACCGAGCTCCACCATCCCATAAGCCGATTTCAATAGGACCATCACCTTTTGTTCGGCCTTTCTTGTTTTGAAACCTGTGTTGCATTTTGTTTAGCTCTGTTTGTACTTATATAACTTGGATATGAGACGAGTTAGTCGACCGGTGAGTTTCAATCGCAATAGATTGGTCGCATCTCTCGATTGAAATTACAAGATATCGTACATCGTACGCTCTCATACATTAATCTTGATACTTTGCAATAGCTTATCAAAGAGGAACACCTTGAACGTACGCATTCAAGTAAGATAAACTTAATTACATCATCAGCTTTTATTGGTTCTCTTTCCTTTGTTGTATGATGTTTAACTCTACTACATACATTGACAGCAACAAGTATAAAAGATAACAAATAGTAAAAATAAGCATTTGAAGCTTAATTCATCAAACATAAGCACACATACTACAAGTTCTAACACAAATGTGAGAGAAAAGGCCAAATTTGCAGTCGAAAACAACAAGAAGAAACATGTAGATTTTTAAAACATGCATGAATATATTTGCATTTCACTCTGTTTTTGAAAAAAACCATTGTATGGTAGTGTTCTTTTTAACTTTTTTTTTTTTTTTTTTAACTTTGAGCATGCCAAACATGATCTCTAAAAACAACTAACCCCAAAACAATTGAGTATATAAACTATTTCAGCCTTCAATCTTTGAAGCTTTAACATATTGAAACCTTTCATTAAGGAACTGAAGATAGAGTAACCACAAACTGTGGCTTGTCTCGTAATTGTCAAAATGGGAAAACAGAAAAGAGAAGCACAAAACCTATTCTCATAAAGTAAGTCAAATAAAATTTGGGCTTTGGCCATGACTTCAATTCAAAATGAATATGAAATTAGTTTGATACAGAACTGGAAAAATCCATTGCTTTGTTGTTGTTGTTGTTCTACATGTCTTCTGGCAGCTATGAAGACGAATTCTTCAGAGAAGCAGTCTCAAATATAATTACGAATTTAACTGATGAGCTTCGGATTTTAAACAAAGTAGAGATGAATAAAAAATCAAACAAAGGAAGGATTGAAACGCAGAATGAAGAAAACGAAGCTCGATTCAAGACTGTGAAACTGAAATTACGAATCAAAGATGAAAAAAAAACAAGATTACCAAACAAAAAACAGAGAGAAAATGCCATCGTAGGATCTAGGCCACTAGGGAGTGAGGTTTGTAGGACCGCGGTTCCAACAAGGTTTTGTAGTCCATTAAAATCCCCACATCGAAGTAAACTTGTTTTTTGTTGACGATGATCGAATAAAAGTAAGAGAAATCATGGCTACCGGGATATCTGTTAGTTTAATAAACTGTGTTTCTCTGTGAACAAGACAGCAAGGGATCTGAATTGTTCTTATTAGATTGATCAGAAAAGATTTGGTCCTTTAAAGAGACCTTACAACGAAACTGAGAAACTAACTCCTACAAATACTGAAACAGAAACGACTTAATCTAACTCCTTTAAGATCGGAGATTTATTCAACGCAAGACAAAGTTTATTCAAACTTAAAACGGCTCCACAACGACTCTTATTTCTTCAATGCCTCCCCTAAACTGGAATGGATTCTTTCCAGTTTAAACTTCCTTCGTGCAAACTCCCACTCTGCTCCTCAGCTTCTCAAATGTCTCAAGTTTGACAGCTTTCGTCATGAAATCAGCGAGTTGATCTTGAGTCGGACAATAGTCAAGTTGTATCGTACCTTCATTCACCAAGTCACGTAGAAAATGATATCTCACATGGATATGCTTGCTCCTTCCATGCATCACCGGATTCTTTGAGAGTTTGATAGTTGAGCTATTGTCACAGTAGAGAATTGTACCTTCTGTCTGAGTTGCTCTTATCTCTTCCAACACGTTTCTGAGCCAAACACCTTGACAGGCTCCATATGCTGCAGCCACAAACTCTGCTTCAGTTGTTGACAATGTTACGATGGCTTGCTTCTTTGATGCCCATGATATAGCTCCTCCACTCATCATGAACACGTATCCAGATGTGCTTTTTCTATCATCACTGTCTCCAGCATAATCACTGTCTACAAAACCCACTAGCATCTCTTCTCCATCGTGTTTGTAACGAATTCCGAAATCCGTTGTTCCCTTAACGTATCTCAGGATTCTTTTCGCAGCCAACATGTGTTCCTCATATGGTTTCTCCATAAATCTGCTGACTAGATTCACAGAATAAATTAAATCAGGCCTGGTTGCAGTCAAGTACCTCAAGCTCCCTATGAGCTGTTTAAACGTGGTTGGATCTGCTGTCTCCCCTGATCCTTCCTTTGACAGTTTCTGACCCGGAACTATTGGATTCCTCACAGAGTTTGAGTTCTCCATCCCAAACTTCTCCAATATCTCCACTGCATATTTCTGTTGGTTGATGAAGATGCCATATCCATCTTGAACTACTTCCACTCCCAAGAAGAATTTCATCAACCCAAGGTCTGTCATTGAGAATTCTCTCATCATCGAAGCTTTAAACTCTTCAAGCAGCTCAACAGAGTTTCCAGTGTAGATGAGGTCATCGACATAGAGACTCACTATCAAGATCTTCTCCTTCTCTGTTTTTACAAACAGTGTATGCTCACAATAGCATTTCGCAAAACCCTCTTTCTCAAAGTATCCTTCGATCCTGCTGTACCATGCTCTTGGTGCTTGTCTCAAGCCATAGAGTGCTTTTCTGAGCTTGTAAACCTTCTCTGCTTCACCAGCCACTTCAAAGCCTAGAGGTTGCTCAATGTAGACATCTTCTTCCAGGTTTCCATGTAGGAAAGCACTCTTTACATCTAGCTGGTACACCTTCCAACTATTTTGAGCCGCTTTAGCTAGGATAGCTCGGATCGTATCCCATCTCGCCACTGGTGCAAACACCTCATGAAAGTCAACTCCCTGTCTTTGATGGTATCCTTTTGCCACCAACCTCGCTTTAAACTTATCCACTTCTCCTTTCTCATTGAATTTGGTCTTGAAAATCCATTTCACACCAATCACTTTCGCTTCTGCAGGAGGCTCCACGAGTTCCCATGTCTGATTCTCTTCTATGGAGCCTATCTCTGCCTCCATTGCCTTTCTCCACTTTTCAGACTTAACAGCTTCCTCAAATGTATCAGGATCTTCAGCTGTTGTGTACATCATCAGAGCCTCATCATCGTCAATGACAAAGAAACTAGCTTCTCCTGCAGTTCCAGAGACATAATCTTTCATCCATACAGGTGTTTGCCTCTGTCTTCCTGACGTTTCCCTTGCAGCAACAGTCTGATCAGTAGTGGTTTCAGCTTGAGTTACCTCTGTTGGTGCGTTGACATTCTCAGGGTCGACCTCTTCTGGTTGGTTTAACGTTTCTTCTTCTCCATTGTTCTCACCACTATCTCCAGCTTCAGAGTTTGTCAACGCTTCTTCCCATCTCACTCCATCGTCGAGAGCGCTTTCTTCCCAATCCCACTTTCTGCTTTCATCAAACCGAACATCTCGGCTAATGATGATCTTCTTTGTCTCCGGGTTGTACAGTCTGTACGCCTTAGACTCTTTACTCACTCCAACAAACACGCATTGTATACTCTTCTCATCAAGCTTAACTCTTCTTTCATAAGGAACAAGAGCATACGCCACACATCCGAACACTCTCACGTGTTCCACTGATGGTTTGTGGTTGCTCCACCTTTCGTCTGGTGTAACATCTCCAAGTGCAGCAGACGGACTCCGGTTCAAGACGTGAACTGCATATTGCACAGCTTCAGGCCAAAACCTCCTTGGCACTGACATACCCAACATCATACACCTCGCCATATTCATAATGCTCCGATTCTTTCTCTCTGCAATCCCATTCTGCTGAGGTGTATATGCAGCTGTGAGTTGTCGTTTGATTCCGTTCTCTCTGCAGTAGTCTTGAAATGCTGCAGAATTGTATTCTCCTCCTCTGTCAGACCTAAGGCTCACCAAGCTTAGCCCCATCTCACGTTCTGCAGCTACTTTGAATTCCTTAAAGGCTCTCAAAGCCTCAGATTTCTCAGCCAAGAGAAAACTCCAACACTTACGGCTATAATCATCAATGAAATTAATGATATACCTCTTCCCACTTGCAGAGGTTGGTGCAATTGGTCCACATATGTCAGTGTGAACTAGTTGCAGAGCACGACTCGCTCTCCAAGAACTCTTCTTTGGAATGTTCTCCCGGTTTTGCTTTCCTCTCATACATATGTCACATAGTCCTCCATCTCCGTTATGTGACAATTGAGGCAAGCCGTTCACCATTTTCTTCTCCACCAGGCTCTGCATTCCGCTGTGGCTCAAGTGTCCCAGCCGCTTGTGCCATAAGTCCTCCATCTTCTCTTCTGTTACTTGAAAGCAACCTTCTTCTGTATCTCTAGCTTCTTTCACTGCAGCGAGAACCACAAACAATCTGTTTTTCGACATCACCGATCTCATCAATAACCTTCTCTGTTCTTTGTGCCATATTTCACACACATCTTCATCAATAACGATCCTCAAACCCTTCTGCTGCAGTTGTCCAATGCTCATCAGATTGCTTTTGAGCCCTGGGACATAGTAGACAGAAGAAATCAGTTGGATAGTTCCATTGATTTCCAATCGGAGGTTTCCTCTTCCTTCCACCATCATTCTCCGATCGTCTCCGAGTTTGACGTTTTGACGGAATGTTTCGTCAAAATCCACAAACCACTCTCTAACACCACACATGTGGTTGCTGCAACCAGAATCAAGGAACCACATGTGTTCTCCTTCTTCCTTCAAAGTCTCGACATACGCCATGAGCAGTACGTCTTCTTCGAGTTCAGCATAGTTTGCTTTTTTCTCCCACTCAGGACACTCGTTCTTGTAATGACCCATTTTGTGACACTTGTAGCACTCAATCATCTCCTTTGAGGTGCTTGTACTTCCTCTGCCACGACCTTGGTATCCACCTCGTCCTCTTCCCCGAGATTGATAACCTCCGCGGCCATTTCCTCCTTCTGATCTCCATCTTCCTTCCACCTTCAGAGCTTGATCTTCACTGACATGTCTGGTGAGTTTCTGCTCGTGCACCATCAATGAACTCTGCAATCCATCAACAGACATGTCTTTGATGTCCTTCGACTCCTCTATCGCACACACCACGTATGTGAATTTCTCCACAAGCGTTCTCAAGATCTTCTCAACAACTTTGGAGTCCGGCATATCTTCTCCGAGATTCCTCATGTCATTAACCACCATCATCACACGAGAAAAATACTCTGTGATAGTCTCTCCCTCCTTCATCTCGAGAATTTCAAAGTTTCTCCTCATTCTCTGCAGTTGTGCACTTTGCACTCTTTCGTTTCCCTGATATTTCCTCTTCATGGAATCCCACAGATCCTTCGCCGTATCTTTCTTCAAGATGGTCTTGAGAATGTTTTTGTCAATCGACGCAAAGAGGTAATTCTTTACCTTGAGATCTTTGAGTGTCGATTGAGCCAGCTCCTCTCTCTGTGGTCCTGTTAGGATCACACCTCTCTCTGGTCGTGTGTACCCGGTTTCGATCAAGCTCCACCACTCCTTCGACCTTAGGAGATTTTCCATGAGCATAGCCCAGTATTCATAATCGCCATCAAATTTAGGAATGCTCAACAACCTGTCTCTCTCACTCATTTCTGCTCACTCGTACCAAGCTCGTTACGAGCTCTGATACCACTTGTTAGTTTAATAAACTGTGTTTCTCTGTGAACAAGACAGCAAGGGATCTGAATTGTTCTTATTAGATTGATCAGAAAAGATTTGGTCCTTTAAAGAGACCTTACAACGAAACTGAGAAACTAACTCCTACAAATACTGAAACAGAAACGACTTAATCTAACTCCTTTAAGATCGGAGATTTATTCAACGCAAGACAAAGTTTATTCAAACTTAAAACGGCTCCACAACGACTCTTATTTCTTCAATATCATCTCCGGTGAAGACTGGAAAAATAATTAAAGCCGGACGGCGAGAAGTTTTTCTCGATAAAAGAGGAATTAGTAGTTGAATGAAAATTTAGTCACCAAATGTCCCACATCGGAAGAAACAAGTTTTTCCTTGTTGTATATAAATGTTTAGATCACACGTACTGTACGTCGAGTTCAGTAACGCGGGCTTGTGATCCGAGTGGAGACAATAATGTGATGGGACATTGGGTCGATTTCACTGGGCTGGGTTCGGGTTGGGCTTTCTACTGGCCTGCCCATTCCAAGTCGGGAGTTGAGGGTTCGGTCTCGAGCGAAGGCTTGTGGTTCGGACTCTCTTAGAGCGGAGGAGACTGCGTGAGGCTGGTTTCACAGAGCAGCGTCCACCTCCCTCTTTCGACGGTGGAAGGATTACGGGCCGGTGCCTTCCGAGCCCACTATGACCCAATGAGCCGATTCCAATTGGACCATCATTTTTTTCCTCCTTTTTGTTTTCGTTTTTACTGCTGAGTTAAAAATTGTCCAAACATTATTTTAGCCCGTTCAAATTACGACACGTCATCAATCACTAAACAGTTGCCACGTCATCGCCTTCGATAACATTTTGCTAACGAGATGAGGTGAAGAGCGAGGGAAAGAGAGAATGGCGCGATCTTTGCTGCTGCATCCGTCGTATGGAGCGACGGTACGAGCATGTTCATCTAGCGCCACGCAATACGACGGCGTTCCGGAGGTGAAGCTCTCGGATCCTACGAAGAACTATCGGGTCTTGGTGTTGGGTGGTACGGGTCGGGTCGGTGGGTCTACTGCTACTGCTCTTTCTAAGCTATGTCCCAAGCTAAGGATCGTCGTCGGTGGACGGAACAGGTAAGAGATTTTCTGTTGGTTTCAGAGAAAATTTCGGACAATTTAATTCATTGATTACGGATTTCTCCGTGGCTGATGAATCCTCTGTGCGCAGAGAGAAAGGTGAAGCAATGGTGTCCAAATTGGGCGAGAATTCTGAGTTTGCTCAAGTAGATATCAATGACACTAAGATGCTTGAGACAACTTTAAAAGGTTTGCTTCGCTTGACCATAGAGACATCAATGCTAATTTTGGGTGTAAAATATTTGAAGTTCGATGAGAATTTGGAAACTTGGACTATATAATGGATTGAATTGTATTTGAAATTCAGGGTTTATCTGGGGTTTTTGTTTGGTTTCTGTTTGAAGTCAACTATTTGTGTATTGACCGTGTGAAGTGTGTGAACACAGACGTTGATCTTGTAGTCCACGCTGCTGGACCTTTCCAGCAAGCTCCACAATGCACTGTTCTTGAAACTGCCATAAAGACCAAGGTGAGGATAAGGTAAAAAAAATATTTCTGTGTCACCGAATCTTACATTGTCTATAGGAATGAGTTAGAATCTTAGGAGATGAAACTTACAAGAGAGACTTTTTTTGTGTTTCATATCTGAAACAGACTGCATATATTGATGTTTGTGACGACACAACTTATGGTTTCCGAGCAAAATCTTTCGAGGCTGAGGCAGTCGCTGCGAATGTCCCGGCGATTACGACAGCTGGAATATATCCAGGAGTTAGCAATGGTGTTAAATTCTGAACACATCTCCCTCTTGCTTTTATGTTTGATCAGAGTATGAGAGACTACACATTGTAGTTTTCGTTGATGCAACAAATTAACAACATGTTTAACTTGCTCGTAGTGATGGCGGCTGAAATGGTCGCTGCTGCAAGAATTGAAGACAAAGGGACGCCAGAGAAATTGAGGTAACACAAAATACTTTCTCAAATGTTATAGTGCCAAGTGCCAACAATTCTCTTTCTTTGTAGTTTGATCAGTTTTTTTTCCTGACTTACAATGTCATAGGTTCTCCTATTACACAGCAGGCACTGGCGGTGCAGGTCCTACAATACTAGCAACAAGTTTTTTACTTCTCGGTGAGGAAGTTACTGCTTATAAACAAGGCAAGTGTTACAGACTTTATCTCTCTGTATTGTACTGTTAATTTTTTCAGCAATTTTCTCAACCTTGTATTGTGGGGACTTGATTCAGGAGAGAAGGTGAAACTAAGACCTTACAGCGGAATGATAAACGTTGACTTTGGAAAAGGCATCCGGAAAAGAGATGTTTATCTTTTGTAAGTCGCTCCTCTTCCATATCAGAACCTCCAATGACATCCTATAAATATTTTTGCTTAGAACAGTGGCTGTTTTGCAGGAATTTGCCAGAAGTAAGATCGACTCATGAAGTTCTAGGAGTGCCAACTGTCAGTGCCCGATTCGGCACAGCTCCTTTCTTCTGGAACTGGGGAATGGAGATCATGACAAAACTCTTGCCATCGGTATCATGTTCAGACCTTTCCTGAATCAATGGTCTCGTGATAATCATATCTTCCTGTAATCAAATTGCAATGCTTGTCTTGCTTGCTCTAGGAGGTCCTTAGAGACAGAGCCAAAGTCCAGCAAATGGTAGACCTGTTCGACCCTGTCGTTAGAGCCATGGATGGCTTTTCTGGAGAGCGTGTCTCCATGAGGGTAGGAGGAGAAACAGAAGAGCTGCAAAATACTTTACAGTAGTTTCTTCCGGTTTACTCACTCATTGTTTCTCATGTTAACCTCTTTGGGAAGGTTGATTTGGAGTGCTCGGATGGACGAACCACAGTTGGGTTGTATAGTCATAAAAAACTCTCCGTGTGAGTCTCACCTTAACATCCTTATATTTGTACATCCTTATATGTACACAACACGTGATAAGCACCTGCTTAATTGCTTGGGTTTGCAGAGCCGTTGGAGTTTCAACTGCGGCTTTTGTTGCAGCAATGCTTGAAGGAAGCACACAACCAGGGGTTTGGTTTCCAGAAGAGGTATATCTCTCTCTATATATATATATATTCACAAGATGTTCTTAAGTTTTGTTTGGATTACTACGAAGAGTGATGTTGAAACCTTTGTGATACAGCCTCAAGGGATCGCAGTAGAGGCGAGGGAAACTCTTCTTAGACGTGCATCACAAGGAACGTTCAATTTCATACTCAACAAGTGAGCCAACTTTATTTTATTTTTTAGTCGATTCTTTAACTCTCTCTGTTTTTATTCGATAATGATGTATCTTGCTTTTCTTCTGATTTAAAGGCCACCCTGGATGGTTGAAACCGTCCCGAAGGAGGTGATTTTAGGGATATACGTATGAGTTTGCGAAAGAAGAAACAGAGATATGATCATCGATACATGACTTTGTAAACCATTTTGCTTCTGTGGTGTGTATGTATACTCGTACAGATTAACATTTTCATCAGAAGATATATATAAAAAAATCAATGGAGCCATGCCAATACTCGCCTGAAAGCTGTTGTTGTATGCAAACTCAACTAAGCTCAGGTGATCTGCCCAATGGCCACCCCAATCCAACACACACATCCTCAGCAAATCCTCCAAAGTCTGAATAGTCCTCTCTGACTGACCATCTGTCTGCGGATGATAAGCTGTACTCAAATGCACCTTAGTGCCCATCTCTGCCTGAAAAGCTCTCCAAAACTCTGAAGTGAATCTGGGATCACGGTCTGACACAATACTAGCTGGCACTCCATGCAGCCTCACAATCTCTCGCACAAACTTCCTAGCCAAAACAGCAGCTCCATCTGTCTTCTTGATGGCCAAGAAATGTGCGGACTTAGTCAACCGATCCACAATCACCCAATAGCATCGAAAGTCCTCGAAAGGTAGTCCAACCACGAAATCCATCGTAATCCTGTCCCACTTCCACTCTGGAATGGGTAAACTCTGCAAAAGACCACCCGGAACCTGATGCTCTGCCTTCACCAAGGCACAAGTGTTGCACTTCGCAACCCAGCTACATCCCTCTTCATCCCGACCCAATGATAGTACCTCTTGAGGTCATGGTACATCTTGGGTGTACTGATCAACGAGCACCAAAGAGTATTTGTAGTTGTCGATCGAGGCTATGAGAGAGCTTCAAACAACAATTTTTTTTTTTTTTTTTTGATAAATCCTAAACAATTCTAGCGGAAGTCTGAAAATAAAATAAATAAATAAATATCAAATAACATCAGTTCAGTGGAACCAAAAATAAAAATAAACAAGTCATGTACCATCTGGACAGTGATGAAGATGAAGGCATGATCTCTAGCAACCAGCAGCTGAAATCTCAATCTCAACCACCATCTATCAGGAGGCACATTGGCTCGGAGTTTGAAGACGGCTCTACACTCTGTACAATGCGAAAATGCAAAACCTTCCTGAAACAAACAAAACACACTTCATAAGCTACAAAGAAGATAAGTCCAACGAAGCATTGATACCACCATCAGTACCTTAGTGGAGCGCCAATTATCAAGACAAGATCTGTGCACGTACTTCTGAGTACCCTTACAATTGCACGGACCAATCAGATCTTCCCCTGCAATCATACGATACAAGAAAACAAAGTCGTCTCATTTCTCAACATCTCAACATAAGCCAATTGATATCGTATCATCATCACTGGTTTTGAGAAGCTAATGATACCTCCAACATCAAGGCAAATTCGACATTGTGGTTGATCTCCTCCAGCAACAAGATGTGTAGTTTCGTCGTCGTCGTCGTCGTCATCACTCTCAGCTATTTCAGAAACTTCTCCTTCCTCCACGATACGATCGCCTCTTTCCGCAGCTACGATTTCGTTCGAGGATGTTGATTCTTCGAGTAAGATCTGTTCCTTCCGATCATCATCATCATCACTAGGCAATAATTGCATCTCTTGAACATACTAAAAATTCTGGAAATGGTAAAACCTGTGAAATCGCGATAGAGAAATCAGAAATCAACAAAATTTCTCAAAAAAAAAAGGATCTAGCTTCCAGAAATTCGATCAAAGGAGCTCACCCGAATTCAGCCAATTCTCGATGATTTTCTTCCAAGCCAAGCATTGCTTTTAAGTTCACTCAGGGGTTGCGTCTAAGAAACTGGTCAACTATAACTGCGAATCAGATTGATTTGAATTGATTTTGTTTCTATTGATTCATCACTATCACAGGAGACGAAGATTTTCGAGCTTTGAGAGAGAAGAAGATGAAGCAAAAAGGAGGAGATTGGGATTGAGATCGGAGAAACGACGGCAAGGGCAAAAGTGGAATTTACAAAACAATAACATGTGGGAGCACGTGACACGTGGATCAACATATTAGCTCACACAAAGTGGTGGACCTCTACAGTTGATCGTCGTCCTCTCCAATCTCCATCGTTTACTTCGCAGGAGTTGTTTCCATTGGGTATCACAATCTGAGTTTTTTGGTTTTTAGCCGAGAGAGAGAGTGAGAAGATGACGGAGCTTGCGCATTCTCCGATCTTCACTTACGCATCTATGATCATTCTCTTCACTCTCTGCCCACCATTCGTCATTCTCCTGTAAGCTCCTCATTTTTCCGGTGATCGTTTTTTGTACTTCTCAGATCGACTCGTACACATTTTTGCCAACTCCTTGATTCACTCCGATAAGTCGAAATCCGATAGATTCACTTCCTTTTCTCCATTGATTAGGAATTCTAAATAACTTTAACGAATTTGGAGTTTTCTTTGTGGTCAATGTGTGAAACTTGTTACATGCTGATACAGTAATGGGCTTAATTCTCTACTGAGATTTTGATTTCCAGGTTTGATCTGAAGTTTGCAGATTTCACATTTATGTATTTGTATTTGGTTGGGTCCATACTGTATTTATTGTGCCCATTATGATTATTGTTCTGTTCATGTCTCTATCCACTCAGAGACAAATCAGGATTGGTGGATTCTTGTTGTTGAAAGTTCGTCAGTGAGTTTTTTTTTTTTGTTGTTTCTGTATAATAATGCAGATGGTACACATTGGCTCATCAGGATGGTTCTGTTACTCAGACGTATGGCTTCTTGTTGGAGAACGGAGTTCAAGGGCTTATCGACTTATGGCCGAGACCAACTGCGATCGCTTGGAGAATCATATTTTGCTACGCAGCGTTTGAAGCTACTCTTCAGCTGCTTCTGCCTGGTAAAAGAGTCGAGGGTCCGATTTCTCCAACTGGAAACCGACCAGTTTACAAGGTAATAAAAAGGGCCTTGCGTAAGTTTGATTAGCAGAGTTGATGCAGACAAACAACTGTGCGGTTCTGTTCTTGCAGGCCAATGGTATGGCTGCCTATTTTGTGACACTTGCCACCTATATTGGTCTTTGGTGGTAAGCAGTGTTTATTTCCTTTTGAATACTTTAGGTTGGGTTGAGTATATGAATGAGTTGACTTCTTTTTTGGTATTCAGGTTTGGGATATTCAACCCTGCGGTTGTCTATGATCACTTGGGTGAAATATTCTCCGCACTAGTATTTGGCAGCCTTGTCTTTTGTGTTTTGTTATACGTTAAAGTAAGTGCCCATGCCTTGAAATGAATGGTGTGTTCCTTTTGTTTATAGTCTCTACTAATGAAGAATTTCGCTTTTATGTTAAAAATTATAACTTGTCTTTTTATCTTGTACAAGGGTCACGTTGCACCTTCATCAAGTGATTCTGGTTCATGTGGTAACCTGCTTATTGACTTCTATTGGGTGAGTTATTACTGCTTACCATAATATCTTGCCTATTTGCTAGACATTTGGAAGTAGTTACACAATTTGTGGAGAAACGATTGATGAGCTCTGCTTTCACTCTTTGCGTCCAGCTTGTCATTAAGGCAATCGAATTTTGTGGCAATCTTATTCTCACAATATTCACTGCGTCGTGCTTTGCAGGGGATGGAGTTGTACCCTCGAATTGGTAAGAACTTTGACATCAAGGTTTTTACCAATTGCAGATTTGGTATGATGTCTTGGGCAGTTCTTGCAGTCACCTACTGCATAAAACAGGTACTTTCAGATAGAGTTCCAAACTCTTACGACATAACCTGGAGGTTTCTTTGAGTCTTTATTTGATCAGAGAGCCTCACCTCTTCCAATTTGTGGTCTTTTAACTAGTATGAAACAAATGGGAAAGTATCCGATTCAATGCTGGTGAACACAATACTGATGCTGGTGTATATCACAAAGTTTTTCTGGTGGGAAGCTGGTTACTGGAACACCATGGACATCGCACATGACCGAGGTATGCGTCTGGTACATATATATATCAAGTCACATGATCATCATCAACAAAGTTGCTTTACTATTTGGCTAATGCAGCACCATATGATTCAGATTATCATTTCCAGCTTTTACAGACTGAAAGTTAACCTTTGCCATGCTTTATAATTTGTGCTTTTCAGCTGGCTTCTATATCTGCTGGGGCTGTATGGTGTGGGTGCCTTGCGTTTACACCTCTCCAGGCATGTACCTTGTGAACCACCCCGTCGAACTTGGAACTCAGGTGCAAAAATTTAACATTTATAGCTTAATACAGAGGAAGAGATACGTGAGAAAGGCCCTTTGTGTGTTCATGGGAAAAAAAAAAAAAAAAAAGAAATGTTGAGCTAAATGTGACAATCTCAGAATCTGGACCTGACCATCTTTTTTTTCCTTGATTTGCAGTTGGCAATATCCATTTTAGTGGCGGGAATTCTTTGCATTTACATAAATTATGACTGCGATAGGCAAAGGCAAGAGTTCAGGAGGACAAACGGTAAATGCTCGGTTTGGGGCAAAGCCCCGTCAAAGGTGTGTGTGATCATAATAAGCTTATTCCTTTTCAAATCTAAACAATTCTGATGTGTATGAACGAACATCTTTTGTTTGTTGCAGATTGTGGCGACATATACGACCACAGCTGGTGAAACTAAAACCAGTCTTCTCTTAACCTCTGGATGGTGAGTTTACTCTACTTTACGAGACTTAATTTAGACGTTTTTCATCACAATGACATTGACCCATGCCTTTTGATTGTGTAGGTGGGGAATGGCTCGTCATTTCCATTATGTTCCTGAGATCTTAGGCTCTTTCTTCTGGTCCGTACCGGCTCTCTTCAGTAACGTAAAATCCTTCTCCATCTCTTTAGTATATTATAAGGTTTTTTAATATTGCAAGTGATACATACTTTAACTCATAAAACATATTTGTTTTTCACTCTTTTTGATTCAACCAGTTCTTGCCATACTTCTACGTCTTGCATCTCACAATCATGCTCGTTGATCGCGCCATGAGAGACGATGACCGATGTCGATCAAAGTAAGCACCAAAATGTGAATGATTTTTTGTTTGTTCCTATATATAAACAAGAACACATTTTCTTTCTTCTTCTTATGTTAAATTTGCTGTTTGTTTTATGTGTTTGGTTTAGGTATGGGAAATACTGGAAGCTGTATTGCGAGAAAGTGCGATACAGAATTATTCCAGGCATTTATTGAGTGTAGCAAAAGTCTGTCTTTCTCTTTTCTACTTTGCTTCGTTAATTCGAACGTTGGAAACATCAAAAGACCAAAAGGAAGAAGAAGAAGAGAAGGCAAATTGATTCGTTTAGGCATTTTTATTTTTTTGGTTGCTGATTTGTAACCTATGTGTTTCTTTAGATTATTTTTTAAGATTTAGCCTATCGTTGATTAAAAAAAGTTATTTGATATTTTGGTTGGTTTCTTTAAAGATTTGATCGTCTGCATTTCCACATCTAAGCAGTCTCGTATTTGTACCCTGTTGTATTACTCTCTATTACAACATTTTATAAACCATTTGTATTACAAAGTTTATCATTTTTCATTGTACCGTTTCTAATGCATAGTATAAGTTACCCTTAATTCATCACAAATGGAAAATTGTGGCAGCCTAGTTTCAATCACAAAGATCTCACCAACTCTATGATCAAGTCGACTCCGTTGATAACTTGATACTGTATAAGGTTTATTTTTTACCAATACTGTATAAGGTTTTGATTGGTCTTAGTGTCTTATCATAAGACTTTTACGCTGTAAAAAGTTTACGAATATTTACTACAGTTTCACGATATCATGATTTATTTATGTTTCGATATATCATATCATTGAGATTTTACAAGTTCAATAAAATAGGACGACCTTCACTACTTTTTTATTTTAATAAAATTTCTTACTATGAATTCTAGGGACTGTTTTGCTATGCATTTCTTTTAAAAAAAAAAATTCTACTATACTATTCCTTAGATCGGGTTTCAAATCTCAATAGTAAATATTTTCATTCTTTTCTAGAGAATCTTTTGGTCAATGGTCTTTTAGTATAAAAGGTGATTATGTTCTTCACACAGTAAAAACAAATAGAGAGAGAAAGAAGAGAAGAGGACAAAAGGTGAGCATTTAAAAGAAGAAAAGGACAAATGAAAAGTTATGAAAAGACAATGAACATTTAAAGAAGACAGACAAATCCCACACCCAAGCATCAGCCTCATCTTCAGTTTTTCTTATTATAATTTTTTAACAAGACAACAAAAACAAAAGAGATGGTTTTTGGGTTATGTTTTGTCTTTGTTAGGGCGTGTTTGGACGCTTCCGTCTCCTCAGAATCAATATTTTACCAAAACAGCTTTGACAAAATAAATATTACTTTTCGAAAATATTAAAAATAGTCATGATTCGAAATCCACCTCATGTTAAGACAAAAACCCATAAAAGTGGAGGTTCCAATCTCGAATACAGACATTCATGTTGTATGGATGTATGCATATATGATAAGATAATTCCAAAACGTATGATGCCAAATGGGTTCATTGAACTTCTTCCCTCATTTTTACTTTCTTTCCGTTGAAGTTTCTCTACATCAAGAAGAGTGAAATTAACTTTTAAAATCAAGAAAATTACAGGTGAGACTTCTACTATAATTTTGACTCTAATGGTTTCACAAGTTACAACTTTCAAATAGTGTGAACATAAAAACTTAAGAGAGACGATGGGATTGAAAATGAATTTGTTGACATGTTTTAAAAATATGAATTCCTTAAAAGGAAGAAAAGAAAGAAAAGAAAAGGAGATTTGAAAGAGGAAAAGAAAAGACAAAGAGGAACAAGACAAAACCGACTATCACGCATTGTCTGGTACGTAGAGCCAAAAGGAACAATGCCTCTGTTTTAGTGTTTTCTAGTTTCAATCCTTTCCCTAAAATACAAACAATTCACACACACACACACGCCAAACTCACAAGATAACCACCAGAGACTCATTACACACACAACACATCCATAGATAGACAAAGAGATTGATAAAGAGGAAGAACAAAAAATAACGCTTCGACTTTTTCCTCGAAATTCATATGCGTTTTTCTTTCCACTGACGCAAAATCCTGTAAGTCTATTTCTTTTTTGGTCATTGCTTCTTCTTGTGTCCTTCTTCTTCTTTATAAAGAGAATTGTTTCAGTCATCTGTTTATGATTCAGAGGTTTTAAATTGTGTACTTTCCTGCATCAAAAATTATAAATCCCTAGCTCCTCTATTCTTTAACCATTTCACCCCCTCTTTTGGTAATCTGCAGAATCTCTGGATCTTTAAAGAAATTCAGAATCTTGGGTTTGGTTCTTCTCGTTGCAAGTCTCTCAAAGTTCCAATTTTTCCTTACAAAGGATTAAACTTTTTGTACTTTTGTTTCCGAGTAAAATCAAAATCAAGCTCTGTTGCTCTGGCCTTCGATGGTGGCTATGTTTCAAGAAGATAATGGAACATCCTCTGTAGCTTCATCACCACTTCAAGTCTTCTCAACCATGTCACTCACAAGACCAACTCTCCTCGCTTCTTCTTCGCCGTTTCACTGCCTCAAAGACCTCAAACCAGAGGAGCGTGGTCTCTACCTGATCCACCTCCTGCTAACTTGCGCCAACCACGTGGCCTCCGGTAGCCTTCAAAACGCAAACGCAGCTCTCGAGCAGCTCACTCACCTCGCTTCCCCTGACGGCGACACGATGCAGAGAATCGCTGCTTACTTCACCGAAGCGCTCGCTAACAGAATCCTCAAGTCGTGGCCTGGTCTCTACAAGGCTCTCAACGCGACTCAAACAAGAACCAACAATGTCTCTGAGGAGATTCATGTCAGGAGACTCTTCTTTGATATGTTCCCGATCCTCAAAGTGTCTTACTTGCTCACTAACCGAGCTATAATCGAAGCCATGGAAGGAGAGAAGATGGTTCATGTGATTGATCTCGATGCTTCCGAGCCAGCTCAATGGCTTGCTTTGATTCAAGCTTTTAACTCTAGGCCTGAAGGGCCACCGCATTTGAGAATCACTGGCGTTCATCACCAAAAGGAAGTGCTTGATCAAATGGCTCATAGACTCATTGAGGAAGCAGAGAAGCTCGACATCCCGTTTCAGTTTAATCCGATTGTGAGTAGAGTGGAGTGTTTAAACGTTGAGCAGCTGCGTGTCAAGACAGGAGAGGCCTTAGCCATCAGCTCGGTTCTTCAGTTGCACAACTTCTTGGCCTCTGATGATGAGTTCTTGAGGAAGAGCAACAGCGGTTTGCGGTTACAGAACAATACTAATGGGATTGACTTGCAGAGAGTTGAGAATGATATGAGCAACAACAATGGGCATAGCCTGAGCGGTGACTCGGCCTCATCTTTGCCTCTACCTAATTCAGGGAGGATTGATAGGTTTCTTAATGCTGTTTGGGGTTTGTCACCGAAGATCATGGTGGTCACTGAGCAAGACTCAGACCACAACGGCTCCACGCTCATGGAGAGACTGTTGGAATCACTCTACACTTATGCAGCGTTGTTTGATTGCTTGGAAACCAAGGTTCCAAGAACGTCTCAGGATAGGATCAAAGTGGAGAAGATGTTTTTCGGGGAGGAGATCAAGAACATCATAGCCTGTGAGGGGTCTGAGAGGAGAGAAAGGCATGAGAAGCTTGAGAAATGGAGCCAGAGGATTGATTTGGCTGGCTTTGGGAATGTTCCTCTTAGCTATTATGCGATGTTGCAGGCTAGGAGACTGCTTCAAGGCTATGGTTTTGATGGGTATAGGATCAAAGAAGAGAGTGGGTGTGCGGTGATTTGCTGGCAAGATCGACCTCTCTACTCGGTATCAGCTTGGAGATGCAGGAAGTGAAAGAAGATGAATGATAATATAAAACACTGTTGTGTTTTTGCTTTTGTTTATGAGCAGAGTCCCTTTCTTTTGTATACATAAGGGACACAATCTTAGTTGTTTTTGTGATTGTGACTTTCTGGCTCTTTATGCTATTTTGGCACATGCTTCTACTCCCTCTGCACATAATGGCTTTCCATCAAACCGTTTGGTGAAAAACAGAGATAAACAAAGAGAAGAAGAAAGTCTCAATTCAGTAGTCTCTTCAAACCAACAGAAACTTCATGGCTTCGTTTATGTATGTACACTAATAATTTTCTTGATCTCAAAACTGTTGCAAAGACTATTTTACCTTCTTTCAGCACTTGAATCTGTCATTTGTGAATGTAAATAGCTAAGTTGGTTTATATTTAGATTACAAAAAGGACACATGCACTCGTCAAAAGAGAATCTGATGTATATACTATGAAAAGAGACAAGTTATTTACACATTTGCTCATTTCCAATCTGTGAACCTGAGGAACACACAAAAAATGCAGCTTAAGATTCCTTCATGATCAAAATTCTGGAAGCAAGTGAAACCTGGTCAACCGGAGATCTAGGAAAGGCTAAACCGAGTTGTCTACACTTGGAACAGAAATTTGAGATCATTTACTGTTAGTCGAGCTGCAGAGCCTCCACTGTGATCTTCACCAAAGGCAGACGCAACCATTATCCTTTTCTTTTCCTGATAATAACAAATTTGAAGAACCAAAAATGAGAAACTGATGGGGAAACAAGTATCACCTAGAAGGAGAGATATAGATCTTAAAGCATACCTGAAGTTCCAAAATTCTATCCTCGACAGTATCTTTTATCGTCATGCGAGTGACTGTAACTGGTCGAGTTTGTCCGATACGATGTGCTCGATCAATAGCTTGATCTTCAGTAGTTGGATTCCACCAAAGATCAAGAAGAATGACATGGCATGCAGCCACCATATTCAGCCCAAGGTTTCCAGCTTTTAAAGACATTATCATCACTTTTACCTGTTTAAGAAACCTTGCACTGTTTAGAGAGTTTCGGGATAAAAAGAGGCAACATATACCACAAAGAAAGCTGTATCGTTGATTGACATAACTTACATCTGGATCGTTGTTGAATTCTTTCACAGCTCTGTCTCTGGCATTTAGACTCATTGTACCATCCAATCTTCTGAACTCTATAGTGTTTTCATTCAGAGACAGCTCGAGCAAGTCAAGCATACCAGTCCACTGAGAAAAGATTATCGTTTTTATTGATCCTCTGTTAGGATTGGAGCGCAGACTCATTTCCTCTACAATGGTAACATCATCGTCGTCAATGTCATATGGCTTCGAGGAAGACGGCATTTGACCGTGCTGAGCTGAGTTTGGACTGCTTCGGTTAGAAAGCGACCGCAGAATATCTATGACAGCTTTGATTTTTGATGAGCTAAAATCGTCATTCTGAAAAAAATCTTTATCAGGACCTTTATCCTGTGAAGAGCTACCACCCAAATCATCAGCGACGCAACTTCTAAGGGTAGATTCAGAGAAAACAACATCACGGGCAAGCTCTTCTCTGCATCTAGGGACAGGGCACATGTTCTCATCCCCGTTGATAACTTCCGATACACACTGATAGCAGAATATATGGCCACACAATGTAATAACAGGGTCTTCTGGTGGATCCTGCAAACAAGACAGAAGGAATGTATGCGTAACGAAAATCAGAACTAGTAGTAGCTTCAGGACTGAAGATGGTGAAAACCTTTAAAAAAAACTTCTTCCAGACCTAAATTATTATGGACTTACATTGCACTCACGACAGATGGGAGATGATTCTAAGCAATTGAGCAGGTTAACTCGAGCCTCCCTAGGGAGTTTTTTAGCAGCTTCTTCTGATTCTTTGCCAACAGAATCTGAGCTATATCTTTTAACAAGTTCGGGGTGGTCACAAGCTTGGCGTAATCGCAAAAGCATGAGAAGAATGTTTGCATAGTTTTGATTCAAAGTTCCTGCAGCAGCATATTTCTGCAGAGAAAGAAAATATATCTTACCGACTTGACAGGAATCACTACAAAACATTTTCTTACATGGAAAGGCTCCCATAACCACAAGTTAGTATGTATAACACAGAGTTGTTGGTTACTGCATAAGTATCTTATTTTCTAAAAATAGGAAGATCACAGATATAAACCAAGGATGAAATGATAGTTTGGAGGAGCATGGAAAGAGCACCTTCATCTGAGACTGTGAAGCGGTTTCAAGCTTCATGTAGAAAGACCGCTCCTCTTCCGAAAACTCAACCTTGCTCAAACTAATTGTCTTTGGTGGTAGGTTAATTATTGGCTGCCCATCAAGCAGTGTCCCTATACAGTAGATCAAAAATGAAACGAACACACCAAATAATATTATTCTTATATCTTTCTTGACCCTATGCCTTCAGGTGACCGCTAGGCTAAACTCGCAAGTATTCTCATTAAAAAAAGTATGAAAGAGATAAGCTAATATTATCAGAATTGTGTACGCCATAGAAAACTGTAATGAAGCTTACCCATCACTAATTCACCTACTTAAAACATTAAAGAGACAGTCCAAGTACCTTTGGTACGGCGCAGCATAATAGCCCTTAGTATAGCTTGAAGCTTTTTGTAACCATTAAGGGAGTTTCTGGTAATAGGACCCTTGATTGTGTTGCAGAATGACTTGTACACGGCGTACGGATCATATTTTAGAAACCTAAAATAGCTATACAAATCATCTACTGTATTTTGCATTGGTGTTCCAGACAAACACCACCTCATTTTGGCTCGAAGACCGCAACATGCTCTTGCCACCTGGGTTCTGTGATTCTTGATTGTCTGAGCTTCATCTAATACAACTCTGAACCAGCCAACTTTTGCTAGAGTACCAGAGTCTGGGCCAGACGAAGAATCGTCAGCGTTTTTCTTACCTCTTTTCTTACTCTTCTTAGTAGCACCACTTTCAATTTTGCGTTTCTTACTGGAGGAGAAGCCAGAGGAGAGACCGTATCTATCGCCATTTTTTTCATCATTCTCATCGTCATCCACCAGAGGCTGCTTTGGAACTTCATTTGAAACAATAGCATAAGTTGTCATAACCACATCATATTTTGCTAATTCATTAGGATCTTTGGTCCTGTTACCACCATGGTAGATTAAAACAGAAAGTTTGGCTTCATCAGTAACCTTCTCATCAAGCTCTCTTGCCCACTGCCGCACAACACTTGCTGGACAAACAATTAAAGTACCCGCAGCTGGTCTCTTCCTGTTAAATTTCTGTGTTGAACTACTCGCTTCTTCATCCTTGGCTTTCTTTCTGCCTGAAATGACACTCACACCATTACCATTTGAAGCATTAGTCTCTGGTCTCTGATTTGCATTTTCTGATTCATCATCGGCATCCAAATCCAATGCTTCAGCCTCTTGATTACTTATATTCTGCAACTTTAACTTTGCTTCATGCATTTGCTTTAGGATAAGAGCTATAGTCGAGACTGTCTTACCAAGGCCCTGCACAGTAAACCAAATGAATTTGATGGAAACCTAGTAACATTTTAGATAGTTTAGCTGAAAAAAATTATGATTAAAAGTAACCTGATCATCAGCTAATATCCCTCCCAAACATGGCGAACTTCTAGTTTCCTTCTGAAACATCCATGCCAATGCAATTTTCTGAGAAACAAGAGTGTTTTAGTACACAAGACAATTCCAACAAATACTGCAGATGAACCAAAACATGAATACCTGATGTTTCATAAGGGGAACTGAAAGAAGACCAGCAGGTAACTCGACCTCAGACTTGGGTTGATTCAGATCCTGCAGGAAATACGTATTTGATCATCACAATTCTAAGCACTTACTCATTTCATGGAAATTATGGGAAACATCAAACTCTTGATATGGAAATCATAACCAAAAATGTTTTTGTTCCTTGTAGATTCTTAAAATTGGAAGAAAAATCAATGCTTACACTCACTGACTCTCAATCGTCATTGAGAGTGTGAGACGACGAATCCTAAAAAAAACATACTATTCACCATCTCTGACATACAATTAACCAAAACGGAACTAGCCTACTCCAATTTCCTACCACTGGCATATTAGTTAATGACAGTCCAATTACCACAAAAGCTGGTGAAAAAGGAGAAGTACAATGCACAAAGTATTAAAACCACAAAAGGAGAAACAAGATAGCAATTTCACAAGTCAAAAGTTGAGACATTGATAATACCTGTAGTGCAGCCTGATAGACCAGCCTCTCAGCATTCTGTGAACTCCTATCTTCACCTATGCCATTCCTATGCATTGGGTCACTTGAACCACCAAAATGTGAAGTTGAAGCAGCTCCTCCTTGCATCACAGATGGCGGTAGGATCCGAGCGCCATTAATCACACGCCCCATGCCTATCCCATCACGAGGTCCAACATAACCATCACCAACGCCACCCTTGTTGCCTGCAGCTGGACTACTATCAGGTCTCAAAGGATATGGAGGTGGGATAACAGTTAGAACATGTTTCCCTTTAGGAGCTTGTTGAGACTGAAATCTCTCATAATCTCTAACAGAGACGTTAGGAACTCTCGAGCTTCCGATGTGCGCATTTCCCGCGAAATGTGTCCGTGGCTTCATTTCGAAACCATTGCGTGAAGCCGGATTTGCAAGAGCCAGTTTAGTGTGGCTTGATGTATCCCTGCCTGCTAGGTCCCAAAACACAACCCCAAGACCATTAATAAGTCCATAAAGCTAACCTATAAACTAACCTCACAAGAACTCAAAATAACAATTTGATAACTCAGAAATGTAACCTTGAGTTAAGCGTAGAGGAAGAGGAGGCCTGTATCTAGTTTCTTGTATCTCTACGTCACTATCTGAACTGATTTCAATAGCCGAATCCATCGCAAGTCACCTCTTTTTAACTCACTTGAATCGAGCGGTCAAGCTTCTAAAATCCAAATGAATAACCAAAATCAGCAAAAAAAGATACAGACTTTTGTGTGCCCAATAAAAAAACGAGAATAAAACAATCAGAATCAATCACCAGAAAAACGGTAGCTTTGAAACTGTGAAATGTTTGGTGATTTCGGCATCAATTTCGAGTGGACGATCACCGGAACTCCTCGCGTGATTCAAGAGACTCCAATTGAAGATTTATTTAGAAACCCAGAAAAGCAATTCGAAAGACAGAACAATCAACGACGACGAGGGCATGCAATGGCGGGACAATATAATCAAAACCGGAATTTTCCGATAAAGGAAACCCTAAGAACACGGTAAGAAAAGGAAACGGTAAGTTTGGGAAATTGGGGAGCGAGGCGTGAATCTGTCTGTGAAGCAGAGAGAAGAAGCAAAATTGAGAAAATGAGTGTGAAGCCAATTGTTTTCATAGGGTTTTTTTGTTGCTCAGTTGACAAAAGAATCATACACAACGGCGCCGTTTTGGACGGAGAGAAACTGAACTGATTAGATACGCTGTGTCTGTGATATCATCTTAAACAATGAGACTCTTAATTCTTAAACAATTCCAGGCAATTTTATTTTAAAAAACGAGGAAAATTAATTATTATTATTAACTAAATAATGTGGAAAAAAAACAAAAAAAAAAGTCAGTCAACTCGGCCCATCAGAAGCTCTCGGCCCAAGATGACTACCTTGCGGCTAAAGGATATGACGAGGTACGCTTGTAGGATGTGGTTTTGTTGAGTTTGCTTCTGCTAACGAAGCAAAGATGGCGCTGGAAGAGAAGAGGTATGGATATTATTTGAACGATTGTGAGATTTCTCTTGATTTGGCTGAGATAGCTCCATACTTTTTCCGACACAAGTACAAGCTTGCAGAAAAGCTCTGTTACGAATACAACCTTCGAGTAGAATGCCTTCGTTTGCGGACCGAACCTGATTTGGAGGAACAGAATGATATCTTCAGCGGTACCAAGAGTCCAAGACTACCTTCTCTACCAAGATTAACTTGTGATAAAATGCAACTTAGGTTAGTTAATTACTATTTTTTTTTATTACCAATCAAATATTTTTTCGGCTATGTAAGATTTATTTTCTTAGTTTTTCCTTTTATCAAAACGTTTAATTGATAATGTGGATGGAAATTATTATTGTTTGTTTACAACTGAACTTGAAAGATTTAAGTTTTAACGGTCAATTTATCGTTTTAATTTGTTTAGATCTTAAAATTTAGTTTTATGTCTAGAATTTAGAGTTAAATTTCAATTGCGTGGTTAAACTAAAAAAATAGAGTAGTTTTCTAAAGTTTTGATATAAATTTAACCCGTAACGAAAAAAAAAAAATCCCACTGGGTGTGAATGCTTTTCCAAAAAAAAAAAAAAAATTTAACCCGTAACGAACTAATCCTCCTTGGATTCTATATTCTTTTGGGAGCAATACACAAAGCAACAAAGCCAAGAAGAAACAAAACTAAAGAAATCTAACAGCCAAAAAGTGTCCGAATCTTTCCGAAGACTATATGATGGAATCAGCCGACGTTAACGCCGAAACCAAACTTGTAATCCTTCTTCACATGGTCCACCTGGTTAATAATTTGTAACCAAGAAGAGTTTTAAACTTGTCATTATCCAAATCACTCAAAATGTATATATGAACATGAAAAAAATCGAGGTTTAAAGTCATCTTCTTTACCTCAGCGGATAGAAGAAAACGGAGCCCCATAGGAAATTGTTCTTCGATGTAAGTAGAAATAACACCATTAGAGTCAATCTTTCCTCTTATCCGACACTAAAACAAACAACAAAAAAAAAACAAAATTTGAACATTTTGTGTTGCTTGTTTCAACTCCAATGGGACAAGGAAAGAAGCAAGTACCTGTCTGAGAACGTAGTCATACCCAACACTAGCTGTAACATCTCTTTTCAAACAATTGTACAAGAATTCCGTGGCAAGTGAGACCTGTTGATCAAAAGAAAGAGAAATTTTTTATAAGTGTGATAGTTTTAGCTTATAAGATGAGTTGAGATGAGGCCAGAATGTTTACCTTCTCCGAAACCTTTTGAACATAGTTCATAATAATCACACCAGTGGAAGCAACTTGCCCAGAGGCAATCTGTTGATAACAGAAGATTGAGGAACATTGTAAACCAATGTAGAAGAGAAGAATCGATTTTTCTGATTGTGTCTAGTGTGAGTTTCTCATATTTTGAGTAAGAAGAAACATGCAATTACCATTTTATCAGTCTCGTAACGAGCTACATAACCAACACCAGATTGCCGTTGCTGACCAATCCAGAAAACCTCCCCACCTAAAGATAGCTTGGGTGTGACATGCTGCAAGAATATACATAAAAAGATTATATCTAATGGTGACAAAAGAAAAGAAAGATTGTTACCTAACCATATATACACTTAATCACAGAATTTTAATAGCATAAAAAGCAAGAGGCAAGTGTTCGGTTTCATCACCTGAATATAGTTAGTTATAAAGAGGGAACCATTTCCAAACTGAAGCCTTGTTCTGTAATCTGACCCCTACAAAAATGCCAATCAAACAAAGAAAAGCAAAATCAAAAAGTGCATTCACACACAGAGATAAACATATTCAATACAGAAAACTAATTCTCATTACCTTGTAATCACAGGTGAAGACGCCCTTGGACATATCTTTTTCATTTGTCAGCTGGAAAAGAGAAAAAAAAAAGGAAGACAATATTTATGCAGCTGCTAAGAGAACAATTACCATAGAGCAGACACAAATCTACATTTACTATTTACCTGAGCATTAGCAAGTATGGTCAAATTATCAGTCAAATCGCACTTGACTCTTGCATTTAGGTTACCATCCATCATCACCCTTCCGATAAGCATCAACTGTAGTGTATAGAAAGTTGGTCAATATTGTTATAGCTGAATCTTGATGACAATTCAAACAGTTTAATGTCCTGTAACACAAGAAAATAAGATATACCTTTGGGTCAACGTAATTAGCACCAAATTCATAGTTAGCAGTTGGAATCTTGATTATCTCAGGTGACTGAACAGGAACCTCTGTTGGTCCCATTGATACGCTGTTTGAAAAACATCAAATCAATACACATCTTCTGCTTAGCTAGGAACACAAACATGAATAGCTTGAACTAACCAAAATCTCACTACCTATGACTGAGAAAAAATTTCTGGTTCAACAGCTTGTTGTAGTCGAAGCGGAAACCCTCAAATAGCTCTGGCTTTAACGACACTGCAAAGTGAAAATTTCAAACTTTGTGATCACCGAAAGTAAGCATCCAAAACAGAGTGAACGAAGATATAAAACAGATGATGATAGTGAAGCAGTGTGTGTGTCTGATACTGAACTCATAGCTTCACGGCTGAATTCCTCATAGGGTAAAGGGCAAGGCAGATTTAAGTAATCCACTTTCTCGTCAACTTTAGTCTTTTGCTCCGTGGAACTCGGTCGTGAGAAGCCCTCCATCGCTGCAGCTTCAGACAACTGAAGAAACTTTTTTTGTTCGATGAAGATGGAAAAAATGGAAGAAATCGAAACCGAAGAAGACGAAGAATCAGGAAGACAAGAAGGGTTTATGTATTTTCTTTTTAGTGATATGCGTGTTCGTCAAGGGGTTTTTGACCCGGATTTGATTTTCCCTTTTCGAAACGGGTCGGAACCGATCCGGTCTCATTTACTCGCCGTCTCGGCTAGGCTTTGGTTTTCGAATTTTTGGGATTTCGGTTCAATTTGTTTTGGTTCGGTTTAAACTTCAAAATTTTGAAAATATATTTAATCTGTATGATTAAAAACACTAAAGAAGAATTCAATTAATTGACCAGAATACGTAGATTGTAAACTTTATTCGCTCTTTTAAGTCTTCACCAACGCAGAGAAACAAAACAAAAAGTCTCAAGAACTAAGAAGAAAGACCAAACAAAAGAAGTAAACGATGATAAAACGTAAACTGACAGATTTGAGCACTGATCATGAATCAGCCAAATTTGAGCACTCACCCTGAAGCGGGAATCATGTCCAAAACTTTCATCATGAATGCAAACGTAAATGCATCTTCTTGAAGCTTCTCGAATCTGCAAAAGCATAAAACATGGGTCAATCAAACACCAAACCGGATATCAAACCAAAACTTCTAGGTTAGTTGAACAGAACACGAGTCCACTCAAGCTCCCAGATTGTATTGTTGAGACAAAAGGACTAAATTCAGACATACCTCCCAGATTTTGAGAAATGACCAGCGCCAAGCTCACATTTGAACAAAAGCAAGTTGTTATCCGTCTTCATTTCTCTCAGTTTCGCCACGAACTTGCCAGGTTCAGAGTACATGACCCTTGGATCTGTTGGACAGACACAAACGTCTAATTAGTCAGAAACAAACCATTCGCCAAGCTGTTTTATTAAGTGAATCAGCACAACAACCGCTCTTAAAAAGTTCAGGAAATAATCGTATTTAGCCGAAATCAGAAGCAATTTTGATTCCAAACTTGCTTACCATTTAACCCAGCAGTTACAAGAATGTTTGGGTAATTCTGCGCCGCAACCTGTTATATTGTGAATAGATGCATCAACACAGAGAACTTCCATATCACTTATTACAGATAATATCATATTAGAGGAAGCGATATACTCACATTGTCGACAGGTGAATATGACTTCATATAGAAGTAATATTCTTCCTTTCTTGGGTCACCCCACTCCTACAATAATACAAGCCAAAAAAAATAACACAAATTTAAGGTCAATAACAAAAGACAAAACATTATTTAACTCTGTAAAGAAAGAAAAAAAAGGCACTGAACGAGCATCGAACCCACCTCCCATTCTGATGTAGTAAGCGGAATAGTTGGGTCCAGCATTGTTGTCAAAACATCTACGAAAGGAACTCCAGCAACAACCACCTTGAACAAGTCAGGCCTCATATTAAGAACAGCACCCATTAGCAATCCACCTGCACTTCTTCCTTCGACACACAGCTTTTCCTTTGAGCAATACTTGAGTTCTATTAAACTCTCAGCACAAGCGATAAAATCCGTGAATGTGTTTTTCTTCTTCAACAGCTTTCCGTTCTCGTACCACTGTCTCCCCATTTCACCACCCCCACGAACATGGGCAATCACAAAGATAAAACCACGATCTAATAGGGATAACCTTGATGACTTGAAATAAGGATCTATGGAAATCTGTAAGGATAATAAAAAGGTTAGCACAAAACAAGTAAAGGACCAATGATATGAGGACCATTAAAGCTTCATCTAGAAATACCTCATATGAACCATATCCATACAGCAGCAATGGATCAGACCCATCAAGCTTTGCAAGATTTTTGTTGTAAACAATAGACATTGGAATTTGAGTTCCGTCTGATGCAGTGACCCATTTCCTTTCTGTAACATAATTTGATGCATCAAAGCCTCCCAATACCTGAATAAATTACAGCAGGTTGTCATAAAGATCAAGCGATGACCATGCCGACATAGAAGGCAATTCATAAACGGATAAATAATCGCAAAACCAAAGTAACAGCCAGAAAACTTTTCACAATTTTCATGTGCTTTTCATTTAAATATGGCCTGCTACCTTTTAACGGATACACTCAATCATTGCAGATATTAAAATCCACAACTAAATATGCGGTGCACATAATAATAAATAGTTTACTTACTGTGTCAATCTTCTTGACAACGGAAGTGCCACTGTCCATGTCATAGTCATACACAGAAGGAGGTGTTTTCATCGAGTTGTAGCAGAACCTTAAAACATTGGACGAATATTCAGACTCTGTTGAGTCAACAGAGTAGACCGGGTCAACAAAGCTAACACTACGACCACCTTGGAGACTTGTCAGTGGCTGTCCCTCAGCAGGAAGCCTATGAACTGTTATCTTTTGTAATCCTTGTTCACGCTCAAATACTGCGAGATGATCTCGAAATAGCTGAATTTCCTGAATCTTTACACTGTCCATATCAAGCATATAGTAAAAGTATTTAGCTATAGGATACAAGGTGACATTACAATTAAGTGAATAACGCATCATAAAACTAAATTAGTAATTGAGAAATAACCGAGCCATGCATGCGATCTCTGCCAAAAACATAGTAGTTGGACTTCATTTGGATTTTGGATAACAAAGATGTTTACCTTTCTCTATGTGGAATCAGAACAGTAGTCTGAGATGTGTCATCAACAGAGCAGGCGACCAGTTCTGAGTTGTAAAACTCAGTGCTCCTTCTCTGGATGAAAAAGTGGTTCCCACGATGACTGACAGATGTATCAATTCCATCTACACGAGGTGTCAAGACCCTGAGTCCCTCCTGAGGCTTGGACACATCAAGCGAGAAGACGAATTGTGTAGTCTTGCTTTCAGATGCAACAAATATATACTTGTGGCTCTCAGAGGCGTGAAGGTCAAGAGAAAACATATCATCCTTCTCATGGTAAAGACATACATCACTGCTTTGCTCTGTCCCCAACTTATGTAGCCAAACCTGTTACAAAGAAAATATTAAAATGAGACTATTAACCCACAAACTTAGTAAAAACTCAAAAAGTATTGCATCTATGAGGTGTCTAATGTCAAAATCTGATGAATCCGGTATAGTCTAAACTAATATAGATACTTAATCATGCAAAAGTTGATCCCTGCCTCTAGTACAGTCGCTCTAAAATAGCCGGATGGGAAACAAATTAAAACATTCAAAGGTATACCTTGTCAGGTCGAAGGATTTCGTCCATAGTAATGTAGACCAAAGCATCATTACCAGCCCATTCAAGATCACTAGTCACTCCTTTCAGCGGTTGCCCAACTGGTTTTAGGGTCTCAGAGTCAATGACATTAACCCCATATATTTCATCACCTTTAGTGTCCTCTGCATATGCCACTAGTTTATGATCGGGACTGGTCTGAAGACACAATTACAAAAAGAATGAAACATCATGTTATTAACAAAGACCAGGTTTGAAACGAAATTGTTCAGAGAGGGCACCAAAGTTCCAACAGTCTAACCTTGAAGGCACCAATTCTGTAGTAGCCGTGCTCTTGGGCCTTGATATTCTCATCCAATAGTATATGCTCAGGAGGAGCATCTGGACCAGTTGGCATAGTATCATACACAGAAGGCTCAGCTTTTAAGTCAGTGATCAAACGCCTACATCGCTGAACATATTCCTTTCCTTGAAGATTCTTCTCGTAATAGTAGTAAGGACCCTTGCGCCGAGGTGCAGATATATCATCTTCTTTGATCCTCCCTCTTATTTCAGCAAACAGCTGATTCTCAAATTGCTTGGTCCCTGAAAATTTTATCCATCTAATTATCACAGCAAAGAGTTCACTAATACTCCAAATGCGAAAAAACGAAGCGAAAACCCCAAAACCCTAAAAACCCAACTCACCGGACATGACGGATTCAGTGTAGGCATTTTCTTCACGGAGATAAGCAAGCATGTCGGGGTCGCAGCGAGAATCGTCACGTAGCCAGTAGTAATTGTCAATCCTGACATCACCAAACATCTGCATCACATGCTCCACTTTCTTCGCCACGGGAGGAGTTCTCGATTCCGCCATGTCTACCGGCGATGTCGACCGCAGCGACGCAGCTCCGGTTTCAGAGGACGAGGAGGAATAAGAAGAAGATAGTCGCGGAATGCAGCGGCGGCGAGAGGGAAGAGGAACGAGGCGAGAGAGCGGAGCACCGAAGCGGAGACAGTGAATTTGAGTCGCGAGAACGAGGGTGCCAAGAGCTACGAGCCCACGCCTTAATATCATTTACACAGGTTTGGTGTCTATCCAGTGAGCGCAATACTCGCGCGTGTTGTTAATAGAATCTCGGTTAAAATCCGATTTAGATACCCCCAAACCGGTCCTCATTTGAATCGGTTATACAAAATTTGCTCACATTCATGATTCATCACTTATTTGCTTCTATTATTGAACGAAACCAAACGATTCGAAAACTATGCGGTTCGTTGAATTATTGAGAAGTTTTGAGAATGTCGGCTTCGTGAATGTTTTAATCCTGAGAATACGCAAACCGTAATAATCCGAACGAAACAAGATGGGAAGATAAAACTGGTCTTACAGGAAAAACAAAAAAAGCACGTATAATAATAACATCCAGAGTCTAGACCAAGTTAAAAAGTGCATCAAAACCACTAAAACTGCCAAAGTGACATTCACTTTCACAAGGAAATGTTTCCAAAAGAAAAGGAAGAAAAAACAATGGAAGTCTAAACAACATCAGAAGATATACCTTGAACGAACATAAAAAGCCAATGGAGATAATGGAGCTAACATCATCAGATTCAGAACAATAGGAGACTAATAATGTAGTAGGTTCATCAACATCCATCACAGGAAATAAGGAACACCTGTTCTTGGCCCTCTCATTTGATTGTTTTCTTCCGTCTCCGTAAAGAACTTCACTTCCCTTTCCTGTTAATAAAAAAAGCATATGAGTGAGGACTAGATCAGATCCTAAACACTTTCCAAAAACAGGTCTATAGAAGAACCTAATGTGCACAATCGATATGGGATGATAGATTCTACAGGACCAACTATGTATTTTCGCATGAACTGTCACAAGAGATGGCAACCCGTGGAAGATGATACAATATACAGCAGTATATCATAAATGACCAAAACATAGCTTGAACTCAATCTCACAAGAGTTTACTTGTCCAAGTTAATATAAACAAGAAGGTCGAGCATGTTTGTGTAGAGAGACGAAACCTCTCTTATTATATGATAAGTGCATTATAGATATAGTAATAAGAACGTGGAACACGAGTTTATGGCAAATCAGTAGAAGGAGAGGAAAGAAGTGACTCACCATGTTGTCATTGAAACTCAATATAGACGCCACATTCCCACAGCGGTAGCAGTAGTTAGGCGCAGACCACACCTTTACAAAAAAATTTAAAGAGAAACTACATCACCAAGCAGATTATAATACTTCAGACTAGCCCGAATGAATTTTAAGAAGTGAGACACTTACAGTTACGAGGCCTTTATCTTGGAACATGTATTTGAGACCTTCTTGTACAAGCTGGTGTGCACGACATACTAGATCGAGATTGTTTATATGGTTAAACTGCACAAGAAAACAAAACCACAGATCAAGGAAGTGAGAATGATTTCTTACTTATTCACGTTTCAACAATAACAAAAATAAACATACCTCAGTAGTAACTCGGGACCCGAAAAGCCAACCAGCTCCACGAGGACTGACAGCCCATGTTTCAATATCTTCAGGATCGCTCCACATAAGATCACAGAACGGTCCTTCATGCGGGATTTCGCAATTCCGCTCAACCAGTCTTATCTAGAAGACAAAATAGCATCTAAAGTGAGTGAATGATATTTAATCAATTATGAACAACACTTGCAGGGCAAAAACGACAGCAGTGAAAACAAGAAGGCACATTCTAACCTGGTCAATTGTCCGTACGTCAGGTGAAAGGCCACCATGAACACATAGAACCTACATCGAGGATGCAACTTTTTAAAATATAGTATACAGCAAACTTATGCATTCATATGATTCTAAGAGAAGATACATCATAATGAGATGCCAAAGGTGCTGAGGAAAATACTTACAGTGCCATCTATAATAGCTGAGAGTGTAAGATAGTCAAAAACATCCGTGCAATATCTCCATGCATTAGCATTACCGTACTTCCTTTGGCATTCGTCATAGAAACCATACACCTAGCAAATATAAAATTGGACTGACAAATTAAGATAACTATCGCAAAAAGTGAACCTGCAGGGACACAAAATACACACCAAGTGCAGTATGACATTAAAACTAGAACCCAAAATCTTCGTTGTCATTTAAACACCATCAATTCATATTTATTGTGTATGTCATGGATTGTGTATGTACAAAATTCCCAAGACTTGTCACTATGGAAGATTTTTCTGATCCTATCATCAGCAGATTATGGAATACACATCTAATTTGCATCAGGAGGTAGAATCATCAGCTTAATCATAGTGAAGGTTTATCAGAAGACAAAAAAATACTATTACAATCTTCTTCCTTGACAGTAGATGTTATAATATATGAGATACGGTGTAGGAATTACAATTAAATCAAAGAAGAAAACTTATGGTTGCAAAGGATTCACATGTATCTTAGTTAACATCCATATCTACATCTAGCATGCATAGCCACATGTACAAAAATCAACTCTCAAAGACCAGTTGTAGCAAATGAGGAAGAAAGCCAAAATTACTTATCCACTAGAAACCGCGTGAAGAGCACAGAAACAGTAAACATCAGTGAAACAGAATCACGCATACCTGAGTTAGCTGTCTGCTTTCATGATTTCCACGCAAAAGTGTGATATTAGCTGGATGTCTACACAATGAGAAAGAGCATTTAAGCTCAATGGAGCAATGTGTTTAACAGCGTAAAGAGCATAAGCAAGAGATCTATAATATACAGAGAAAAAATAAAAGAAGCATAATCAGTGGCATATGGACAATCACAAACAACTAAGAACAAGGAAGCACAATCAATGGCATATGGAAAGCATACCTTGCTTTAAGAAGCAAAAGAATAGTGAAAACTTCAAGACTGTTGTAACCTCTATCAACGAAATCTCCCTGAGAAATGCCCCAAAGCAAATTAAATCAAACTATGTGTAAATAATGATGTGCCGCACAAGAAGACGCCCAAAGACAAGAGTGCATACCATAAAAATGTAGTTTGTCTCGGGAACATGGCCTCCGGTCTGGAAAAGCTTCATTAGATCATGAAACTGGCCATGGATATCACCACAGACGGTGACTGGACTGTTGACAGGTTGTACATTTGATTCCTCGATGAGAATCTCTTTCACCTGTAAACAGTAGAAAACGTATCAGAACATCTTGTGATTACAAATGCATCTTAGCAAATCATTTCGCCATGAAAATCAATCGTTAAGAAACGAAACGAAGAAGCAGAAGGAGATAACAGTTTGCAAAAGCCGTTACTGAATTAAATTGGCTACAGAAGAACTACAAGTTAACACTAATTCCCAACAATTGAGAAGCAGATTGCAGATTAATTGGAGCAGAAAAACCCTAAAATCCATAAACAAAAATGTCAAAGGAAACAGTAAGCTATAGAGAAAGTTCGAGTAAAGTTCCACAAAGACAGGAACGCAGAGCAAGCACACGAAAACTAAAGCCTCAATCGAGAAACACGAAGAATTGGGTCATGAATCTTCGCAAAAGAGACTAAGGAAGCAAAAATGACGAAGAAGAGGAAGAAGAAGGCGTACGTATTCGCATAGAAGCTGAAGCTCGTCCTCAGAGAGATGTTGGCCTTCTTTAACCTTCGAAATCCATTGATCCAAATCCATGGCGGCCTTCTATCTTCTCTGTCGATGTGAGCAGAAATTCCTGAACTTTCGTCGAATTCAATGGCGAGTTTCAACGATCTTTCGTGGAGAATTGAAAGGAAGATAGATCTAGCAGAGCATTGCTCCCTCCGCTTCGTTAGGGTTACGTAAAGAGAAAGAGGGAGAGAGAGAGAGAGAGAGAGAGAAGAGGAAGGGGACAGAACGAACCAAAACAATCTCGACCCAAACCCAATTTGGTCTTCCCCATCTTCAAAACTAGATCCGTCAATATATTACATTAAATATCATTTTTGGCAACACAATTTTTTTGTTTGAACAGCAAATTTTTGGCAACTCATTAAACATCACTTTAATTTCTCTCATCTTATTAAATAGTAACAATTAAACTTTTATTTCTAAAATTTTTTTGAATAAATAATATGCTTGAACTGAAAAATGTTAGAAGTTTTGGAGTTTCTGTTTTGCTGATTTGATGAAAAGTTTAAATTAATGTTTTTTCATTATTACCATCGTTAGAGCCTTGAAGGTAATTTCGTTGAACAAATTTATATTAGCTTTTGTGAACAAATTACAACTAGTGTCGGTCCCAAGGCGAGTCAAGTGAAACTTTATATTCAGTCCCCAAATTTTGTACATCTAGTGGTTGATTTCTGAAAGACCAAATGAAGTGAAATTATGAATTGAACTATTAGTGAATCAGATTAGTTTGAGTTTATCTTTTCAACCTTCTTTCTCTTTTTTTTGCTTGATGATAAGTATCTTAGTTTAACCGGAGACTTCAAACATCGACTGAAACAAGCCATTGACTTTTACACTAAAGTCTTTGGCGTATTCAAAATTAATCGTGTTGAGGATCAAATTTCCCCTGTTGAGCTCATGTTTGCTGGCTCAATTTTTACGGTTTATGTAATCTCCGGGTAAATATACGAGTGAGTTCTCTCTTACTCAGTTTTTATTTTTTATTTTTAACATCTACTTATATTAATTTATATAGTAAAGGGGAAATACAAATAATTTCTCAATCATATTGGAGGAGATGAATAAAACATACATACATTAGTAGAGTTACGAGCAGATTTTGATAAAACATTAGCAGCTCGATTCCTTTCCCTGTTAACTTGTTCCAAAGAACACAAATGCAATTTGTTTATCCATAATCATATATCCTATAACAGATTCCCCAAATCCATGCTCGACTGTTGCTTATTGATGATATTTCTGAGCTCAATATTATCCCCTTCAAACCATATATCTTACTCAGTTGTTTGGTTCTTTCTTTGTTTGAGTTTTTAACTTGTTTACTCAACAGGAAACAACATCAGCTATACAAGTTAGTGATATACAAGTTACATTCAAAAACATTTTACATTTAGTGATATACAAGTTAAATTCAAAAACATTTTTTTACATCGATACCAAATATTGAGAACTTAATATCAGCTTTTCTTTACCTTCTTAATGATATTAAGTACATCATCAGCTATTAGTGGAGCATTCCCATAATGCACCGAGGTGAGGCCATTTCCGCTAACAAATTTACTTTCCTCTAGGAACAAATGACAACATATGAACAAACACGGTCATAACCTATGGGGCCAAAGATTATTTAGAGTGGACGTTTGTTTATTTTTCACGGCTGTATAATATTTAAAAAATAATAATAATGAAACAAAACATTTACAATACAACACTGGTCCACAATATTTTGGAAGCTTTGACAAATAGATATGTCAATTACATGTTTCATTGAATATCAAACAAAAAATATTTACTAATTGTGCCAGTAGATTTGGATGGAAATGAGAAACATAACGACTCTTTGGTGTCCCATGGAGAGCCTTCTCTTCTCAGCAACAAAACCTCAGATAACATCAAACGTGTAAGAAAATAGAGACGTGTGTCTCAAGGAAATAAAAGAATAAACCTTTTTAATATCTGCTACTCTTTAACCTTCCCCACCACTTCAACTTCACCTTCTCCACTGAACCACCTGTTTCTTCATTCCCAAGTCTGCTAAGTATCAGTTTCGTTTCCCTTAGTCTCCCTCCATAATCCTTCTTCCATGTCTCAAACATCTGTTTCAGCCTCCGTAGCTCCCTGTCCGGATTCAAGTTTGCTTCCACCTGACCAGATTTCACTTCCATCAAGAACTTCGTGTCATCGCCAAACACCTGAGCTCTTTGTCCGAACTCTTCTGCTAACCGGCTTATCACGCTTAAGCCTACGCTTCTTGTCCTCCCATGTGTCCTGAAATCACCACTCACTGAATCCAAATCCGTTGCATCACTTGCGCTCACTGATGCATTCGAGTTCCTCGCTGAGTCATCGACCTCTAGGCTCTTCTTCGCGATGGAAAGACTGGATTGCAAAGATCGCATCTGCTTCTGCCAAATCTCTTCCATGGATTTCATCTTCGTTTCGTATTCAGACCACCGGTTATCGTACTGCTGGAGTCTTTGTCGGAGATTATCGTTCTCCTCTTCTTTCTCACGAAGAGCAGCTTCGCTTTTCAAAACCCTCCGCTGAAGTTCGGAAAGTACTGATGCCTTCACTAGCACCTCATCTGACTCATTTCTCTGTGCAAAGAATCGGTTTACGAGTCAAGCAATATTCAAATACAATCCTCTAGTCAAATGCAAGAAAATAATGGGAACTTTGTTAGGACCTTTGTGCTTCCATATTTTAGCCAACCAATATCTCCAGAGCATCTTCTAACCAGCTCGCCACGAATTGCTTCAAGAAGATAAGGGTTAATTGGTTTAAGCAATTCTTCAAATAAATCAGATAATTATTCAACTCTTTGTACCTGATTGTATTACAAGAGATGCATCAACCGTGGCTTTATACTGTCTCTTAGCAATCCTTCTCTTAACATGGCTTTGTATCGCAGCAGATGCTCTATGCTTCCTTATTAACTCCCTGTATTCCTTTCTTATCATTTCTCCACGAACAACTGAATCAAAAGAACGTAGCTCGAGTTAATAGCTGAAACTGTCTCTGCTATAAAGAGATACAATCGAAATGAGAGAAGATTCATTACATGATTGAAGAACAGCAATCCCTCTTTGAAGCTCTCTTACACGACAGCGTGCTTGGTGCCCTCTAAAACAGCTTTGGAGACGTAGAATGCCATGAAGAGTGCGGTTCCTTGTATCTTCAAGAACTCCAATCTGCAAAGTAAGAGTCTCTAATTTGTGGCTCCTTCTAAAGAAAGTCAAGTCATGAGAAGAGTAGCTATATTATATTACCTGGCCAGTTCTGAAAAACAGTTTTGTGTAGCCGACTTGATACATCTCTGGCAAGATATGGAACTGATGAAGAATTGCAACTGAAACACTTAGAGGGTCTTTTGCTGCAATGCTCTCCAGCAGAAGGAAACCATACCTAAAGTATGACAAGATAAACAACATGATTGATAAGAGGGCTTGCAAAACTATGAAAGTGCCGCTACTTGACTACAGATGGAGTTGTTACCTTCGGGAAAATTTCTGATGAGACATTCTCGTAGGAAAACCAGACCGGGAAATTCGAACCACCTCTAGGACTCCACAACATCTTAGCTGCTGTAAGACAATCCCTTGCTCATACAACCCGGGAGACTGAACATTGTTTGGCTTTATGCATCGAATGAAATGTGGGGTTGTGTTCCCGAGACGTTGCATCAACTGGAAAAGTTGACCCTGACAAAATAATCCAGGCATGGTCACTAATCAGATGTCATAGTATGATGAGATGTTTAGAAGATTTAAGAGCAGAAACAGAAGCAAGTTGTCCTACAGGCAAAAGTGCTCTACCTTAAATTTAGTTGCTACACTCAGTCGCTGGGAATCAGCTCCACCTGCTTTGTATAAAGGACCAACAACAGGTTTTTCAGATTGAATGAGCATACTAGAAGCAAACGCTTGGGGAAGATGGCAAGAGCAAGATGACAAGAGTTGAATAGAATCCGAATGCAGCAAATCCCGGTTCTTCTCTAGAAATCCAGTCGTCTCATATGTAACCTGAGTTGGAAAAGCAAGTAAAGATTGGCATCATGAAGGAATCATTGACGAAGACTAGGTTCCTCTGCCAGTTTTAATTTCTAAACCTCAGAAAAGAACACACAAACCCAACAGCATAACATGCCTTGTAAAATGGTGCAACAAAGTTTTCTATAGCTATTACCTCTCCAGCATAATGAGAAACCGTGAAAGCCTTCCCTCGATCTCCTCGAAAACAGGAATTAGCATTTAGATGTTCCTTAAGCTTGTTGGCAAGTGTCAAATCTGTGCCATTCGGAAATGTGGATTCCTCATCCAGAAGTGAGAGCAAACCTAATGGTTTCTGCACAGAAGTGACATTTACTTGTCTCAGAGCTTAAAAGACATGTTCTGAAATACAATAAATATGAAGCAATGCAGCTTGATGAAGAGGAATCACTGCAAAATGTATCATATGATGATTGCTGCCTTTAGAGGAGATTAGTTATCACATTACCTTTTCAAAGAGACCAAGACAATGTTGGTTGTCCTCAAAATCAACCCTTGTCCAGTCAATGCCATCCTGGATATATTCCTGGAAGAGTATAAAGAAATATTAAGCCCTCAGAATTGGAGCTACTCGGAAAACTGAGACGTTTCATTGTCTGTCATGTGAATGGTCGACCTAAATACTACAAGAACCTCATAGCAGAAAGGGGTAACTTTACCTCCTGCTCCAGCTTGAATAGATGACGATTAAAGTGTTGCTGCAATCTCTCATTTGCATAATTTATGCAGAACTGCTCAAAACTATTCTTCTGCAATAGTTTAAATTAGTCATTCAGCAACCGAAATTACCATTGGTCCAAAATGATAAACAGAAGATGCATTTCCCAGCAGGAAAAAAAAAAAAAAAAAAAAAAAAAAAAGAGAAACTAAAAAGAAATATACATTGAATGATTCAAAGCCATAGATATCAAGAATGCTGATGGATCTGCCTGTTCTCCTCTTTCCCACCGCAAGAGATTTGTTTATCTGTTC